GGAGAGAAGACTTGGAAGACTGTCTCCTACTGATGTGAAAAAATATATTAGACTCTGCTCTCTCCTACTTAACTGTCCTTCTATTTCAAGCAAACCAGTCCTTTCACAAAACACTTTTCCCTTAATTGCTCCTTCTTTTTCCTCTTCATCGTCTCTATTTTTGTTTATAAGTTGACCTTACAAACTTCGCCTTTTTCATTTCAACATGGTTGCACTCAAACACTTGAGCATTTCTGCCGTCCTCGGGCTGGGTCTTGCCAGCCGTGGACTTGCACAGTCCCTTGATAAACCCGAAGATCTTGATGTTCGCGGTGAAATCGTGGAGGAAATTGTCGCTCGGGATCTCGATCTTGGTCTTGAAGAAAGAGACGAGGATGATGAGCTTGGGATTCGTAACTTCGAGGAAGAGCTCCTAGAGCCTCGGGATCTCGACGTTCGACGGAACAAGAGGCCCCCTCGCCCAGCCCCTAAGTCTGCTCCTCGCCCCCGTCCTAACGCCCGTGATCTCGAATAAGCACCCTCGTTCTTTCGCCACTCATGGATGAGGCCGTCGCTAAAGGGTCCGAGACAAGAATGACTCCTCTGAAAGGTCGCGGTTGTGAACTTAGCGAAGCAAATCGGAAGTTGCACTTTCCTGGTGGGTTCATTGGCTTGACTTGGAACGCGGGAAAGAAACTAATGGGGATGGAATTTCTATAATTGAGTTGTAGAGAGATGTATTTGTTGAGTTTTGAATATTTTGGGGAGTGTCTAAATATCGAAATATACAGTGGTTGTTAGAATCTTTGCCACTCCCCCGATTGTGAGAGTCACAAGTTTGCCGTAATGGCGATTCATTGATCCGTGCAGCGTGATGATGATATGCCCCGGTGAGACCTCATCTCGTCTTCGACCAAAGGCTAGGCATCGTAGCGAAAACTTCATGGTAATCCTTGGCCTCCCTATGAGCAGTGTAGTTTCCGATTTCAAGGCCGTGTTTTGGCGGCCTGAGACCATTCGTTCTCCGAAACAAGAGCTCTCCTTCGTAAATGCCAAGCTGGCAGCGGATGGCGGATCTTTTAGCCTACTCGCTTTAGTGAATGGTTAGAAGAAATTCGTTTACGATTCATCGCGTTAATTAGTTCAAAAATTGGTGCTAGATGTTAGAGAATCGTAATTGACCCCCGAGTGCCTTCAGAAAGCAATGGTAAGAATGATAAACCCAATCTTAAAATGCTGAAGTAAGATGCCGTTCACAATCGCCCATAACAGCCGTCAAAACCTGGAATAGGAGCCAAATCGTGACAAATCAGCCTTTATTCTTGGAATGCCCATCGGCTTTAGGAAAGGCTAGTGCTGGTAACATTCTCTCATTAGTTGAAAGAGCTGGCTCTTCCGTGCTCTAAATATTGTTGAACAACTATTTCTATATTATAGCCGGGCACTTTGAGGGATATTCTGTGACACTAATAGGGTCAGAAAACCGGCATTCCTCCAGCGCTTCACCAAGCTATCATAGCTACGTGTACATCTTTCTTCATGTCGCGTGAAGTTGCCACAATCATCTTCGTTTTTAGAAAAGCGTTTGTCATTATCTATAGACACCACTTAAGGTCGAAGCATAATAGCAGATTAGCTTAGAAATGCAACTTCTTGTATGGCCGATGTCTCGTTTACAACTTAGCCCCAACCACCCCGTGCTTGGATGCTGCTCACACAAAGCGCAACGATCCGTTTTCATTCCCGATCCTCTCATCCAGATTGATCGAGCTTGAAGCCCATTCTCCATTGCCGCAACCCAGCTCGGCCTCGAGCCTCTTCCCATTGTCGCGAAGCCGCACCTTGCGTGCCGAAGCAATAAAATTACCCACCTCATTAGACCCATCCACCCAACGGAAATTACCCCAACTATTCTCGAGGTATCGGTTCAAGTCGATGCTGCTGCTCCTCAAGTCGCCATCAACTGGCCAGCATCGAGCCACCAAAGTGTGAGAGTCGTGTTCAAGAAAGATGTCCTCGGACGAGCCACTGAAGTTGCCCCTGAGCTCGCGGGAACGGCTACGGCTTCTTGACCGCTCCTTCTTCTTCTTTTCCTTCTTCTTATCCTCCTTCTTCTTTTTCTCATCATCGCTTTTACCGGACACTGTATCCTGGATCTTGTGTCCTGCATACGCGCCAGCGAGGGCGCCTAGTACAGCGGTAGTCTTGCTGTGGCCTGTGACTTTGCCGCCGACTTTGTAACCTCCGAAGCCACCGGCAGCACCACCAGCAAGAGCGCCCAATACGCCTCGTTCACCTTCGGCGGTGTTGTAGCTGTTGGCTGCATGCTGGTGGGGAGGGTATCCGTACGGAGGAGGGGGCTCTGAGTGGCCTATGCCATGCGACTGTGGAGCGTAGACAGGCTGCTGAGGGCTTCCTGGGTACGCCTGTTGATTGTTCTGGGCATATTGTCCGTGTGGCTGGTATGACTGGTGCTGTTGTGGTTGATCTGAACTGTGGCCACCTTGGCCGTGTGTTTGGTATGGCTGATATTGCTGCCGTTGGTCCGAATATGGATTATAACTGCTCTGGCCAGCTGGTGAATGTCCGGGCGGCGGATGGCTGGGAGGCTCATACCCTCCCTGAGGAGTGTAATAGCTGTTATTCTGATGTTGATAGTAATCCTGGTTGCTCATGATGAGGTCCAAGTTCGAGATGGCAGCAAGCAAGGCAATTGAGTGAAAGGCACGCAGAGAAAGCTAAACAATTCAAGGAGATGAAGAATGGTGCTAAGCGGATATAAACACAATAACAAACGTCAGCCTTATCTTAGGGCCAGTGTGGCGGAGCACTCATTCGAATTCTAGCGCGTCATCGTCAAAGGTGGCGCAGCGCACCTACATGTTGAAATGTCCGCGTGACAGTGCTATCCGTTCGGGGTACGCGAGAAGTGCCTGTTTATCGAGTTAGGGGAAACATGAAACCCAAATGATGAGATGGTGCTGGTATGTATGATGCCTCAACCTTTCTACGGGTACCATTGCCGAGCGAGCTGGCACACGATGCCGGGAGAAGCTTCCCACTAAGTCGATGCATGAATGCTGCTGATGAGTGAAATAGTGCTAAGCCCTACAGGGCTCGGGATATGGGTTTCACGTAATACAAAATTGCCTGCTGGCATGATCAGGTCATCTTGAACAAATATCTTCCAAGGCGGGTTAATGTTCATCCGCATAGCGAGAGATTGTCCTAAATGGCAGTACTTCTACTTCAAGTAGGATGATTGTCTTAGATTTACACTGTTCATGAATCTCGAATAAGATTCGTAGTTGGGCAAACCCAATGTAGGTGCCCAAAGCATAAAGTTGCAGTTTGGCCAAACTTACTCGTGGCATTTGCTAAAAGGAACGAATACTTTAATTAAGGCGTAAAAGATGCACTGACGTAGGGCCTCTATCGTCAGTTAGTTAATTATTGTGCGTAAGGCAGAATCTTTCTGTAGGTGAATATTTATGGCACTATGGATAAGGTGACGTTTGAAATAACTTTTGCGATAGCTGGAACTGCAAGCCTATTCAGTTGCTACCCAGGAACCTTCGGGGTCAAATATTCCAGATCCCATCCCAGGCTATGACGATGGGAGATCCTGGTTAGGTCAGGATAAATTGAACCGCTGAGCCCGAGCAATGGTTGTGGGATTATTACATAGAGGGTCTCTCAGAGCAATTCTGTCTTAGAAATAGAAAACGATTCTTAATATCGGAGTGGGCTAAGAATTATCTGTCCAATGATTATAGTTCGTAGATTTCACATCCATCGTCCTTCCAACATCGTCCCTGCCTAAAGATACCTTTACTCACGCCTTTCCTTTAACCGAACCTCATTTTGAGAGCGTACTATGTTCCTACCAACCCATTGTATATTCTGCCAGGTAGTGTGCACTACGTAAGAGAAAGAGAATAAAATTCAACAGCGATGGAAGATGCCAGAGCCAGACAACTCAACACAATGAGTGTGCACTACAATACCTGTTCATCCCGATCCGAAACATGAGAGTTACTTCATCACCCATGGGCATCCCAATCAGCTGGTATCGGTCTAACTGCTGATCCATGCACCACGGATTGTCAGATAGGCTTTCATGCATAAACACATCCGTTAATATTCCACCAAGGGACCACTAAATAGACCGCAAGGCTTCCTTTGCTGGTAGATAATGTGATTAGTCAAGTAGCTGAGGAACGGACGGCACTAAGAATGGGCTTTTGATTATTAGTTCATGTCAGGTCCCGCTGACAGCGCGCGCTTTTTGAAATTCTGGGACTTTTGCCACGCACGTGGGCTTGGCTGCTTTTTGTTTGTTAAAGTACTGGATTGAGAACGAGGCGATGAAGGAAGAATAATTGCCCTCATATACTGCCCCCCCTTTCCGATTCCAGCTGGGAGAATGAGAATTCAGAGTTAACCAAGCAGGCGGAAATGTTGTATCGTGCCCTTGTATATCTGTCCAGATTGTACGATCGGCGTCGTGAAATGTAATCATGGTGAATTTAAGCTTAGGTATGTAGAACTGCGGACATTGCGGAGAAGGGGGAGCTGATCATGATTCTAAGAGAACTAACTGTCTGGTCAACTTGCCTCGAAGCAATCTTCGAGGTACTCCGCACCCCGGACGTACGCCTCTTATCATTTGCAGGGAATGTTGCAGAAATGAAATCCACCAGCCCCCTTGATGCCCTAAGGCTCGCTATCATCCGGCGCGGAAACATGACATTGTCCTGGCTTGCCGATTATCCGGCTCTAGCTCCTTCATCCCATCTTCTCGGACCAGTAATTGTGGGCTGGAATCAAGCTGACCTGCCTAATGAGGACGCTCTCTCAGATACTTCCTCGTCGTCCACGTGCTTCCGACTTCAATTTGCCCTGGTTTGGTCTAACGCCGAGCCTTTTGCCAGGCACGAGAAGCAATGGCGCACTGTCACTCGTCTATGCGAGGGCGATACCCATGCCATCACTGGTAGTATATTGAATAGTAAGGCAGGGGATTGGTGGAATTGGCAGATTAGGTAGGTCGACAGATAGGCTCGCCAACCGTAATTATTACTTTACTTATATATCGGGTTATCCCACGCAAAAGCACGCTTCTCCGATCTGAAGAGCAGTCTGACATCTGGCATCGTCTTATAACATGTTGTCGCGAAACCTCCTTGTCCAGGCCGCTGCCCTGGCTGTCGGTGCTGCCGCTGGCGGCTCCGTGTCATGCCCTGCTGATGTTCCTCTGAGCTGCCAGGCAACTTACACAGACACCTGTTGCTTTAATTCTCCCGGAGGCCAGATTCTTCTCACACAGTTCTGGGACACCAACCCCTCGACTGGCCCCATTGACTCCTGGACCATCCACGGACTATGGTAATCGACTTCTCTTGTTGGATTCTTTCCCGTGAGCATAGACTGATAAATATCACCGCGTTAGGCCTGACAACTGCGATGGATCTTATGAGCAGTACTGCGACTCAAGCAGGGAGGTTTATAATGTCACAGACATTCTCAAGGCTAATGCGCCTTGTACTCTTAAGTACATGCAGACCTTCTGGAAGGACTATAAGGGTGACGACGAGGATTTCTGGGAACATGAGTTCAACAAGCACGGTACATGCATGAGCACCCTTGAGCCTAAGTGCTACCCCAGCTACCAGCCTCACCAAGAAGTCGTGGACTACTTCAAGCGCGCTGTCAAGGTCGATAGAACCCTTCCCACCTACAAGTGGCTCGCTGCTGCCGGCATTGTTCCCTCCACAAGCAAGACGTACACTCTCGCCGAGATCCAGGCTGCCCTGAGCAAGAACCATGGGTACGAGGTCATTATCCGATGCTCCAGCGGCGAATTGAACGAGCTTTGGTATCATTACAATATCCGCGGATCCATCCAGTCCGGCCAGTTTGTCCCCGTTGCCCCTGTTGGCTCTCCTTCCAACTGCCCGTCAACCGGTATCAAGTACCTCCCCAAGGACGGCACCAACCCATCGCCTCCCACCAAAACCAGCACTACGCCTGGTAGTACCCCAACTTCTGCTCCCGGCCAACTCTCAGGCAAGGGATTCTTCTATGCCACCACCCCTGGCCAGTCCAACGGCGGCTTCTTGATCAGCAAGGGAACCTGGTACCGTGACCCTAACGGTACCCCCGCTGGATATACCGCTGCCCCCAACTCTGACGGAAAGACCTTTACCCTGAAGACCAGCAAGGGCAACTGTGCTGTGAAGAGCGACACCTTTTCTTGCGACACGAGTAACTCTTCTCCGAGCTCATTTGGGTTTGATGGTACCTATCTGACCTTCGGTAACTCTAACACATTCTACGCCACCGATCTTCCCACTGGCCAAACTCAGGGTACCGTTTACACTACCCCCAAGTCCGTTTCCTTCCAGGTCACTTGGAAAGCCTCATAGTTTGGGGCGGTCACAGGCATAGGGAGTGTGTAATTGCTCGCACAGATAGTGGCCGTGTGGCGGGTAGGATTATTAATCTGGGTTCAAGATTGACGACAGATGATTTATGAATTTTGCAATAGATAAGAATCGTAATACGAAAACAAGAACCTTTTATGTCCAACAGCAAGAATGCAGAATAAGTGTAACATATTATTCCTCTATGAAAGACACGGAAATGATCAACTTCTGCCAAAGTGTAGACAACTTCCATTAATAGAAGAGAGATACATGCGACATCGCTGGTGATTTCATCTATCCGTTTCGGTTAAGAGTTATTCATTCACAGTGAATTGTGCAAAAGGATTGAAATGAAATGTTGGATTTTTTTTTAAGCGACCCTTAGCTGGCTAGATTAGTTGGCGATAGAGAACTAGGTACCTTCCCCATCCTTGTTGAAACTCTAGTCAAGCCTTCTCAACGTCTTTTCATTCATAATCCCACGCTCTCAGATGAGTTTTCCATCTAGTAGAGGCCAACAACGACGTCACCCTTGACACGGGCAGTCAGGTGGACCTCGGCCTCCAAGTCGAGCTTGATACCGAGGAGGAGAGCGGCGTCACGGAGGGAGCCGTCATCCTGGGTGGCACCCTTGACGATCTGGCCTGTTTATCGAGAAGGTTAGAGATTGAATGAGTCAAAATACGAGACCTAGATATCCTAGCGAATGCAAGAGCACATACCAGCAGGAACGTTGAGGCCAGTGGCGGTGGGGAGAGGGACAGTGAACTGCTCGCTGTGGGAGAAGACCCGGTTAGCATGTTGAGATCTCTCTTCTGGAATCCAAATTTTTCTTACGTGGAAGACATGATGTCGGTTTTGGGTTTGTTGGAAAGGGTTGAAAAGGTGTTTGTGTCTGAGTGTTGATGAGAGTGATGATGAGAAAAGTCTGAATTTAGAGGGATTCATCACGGCCCTTTATACCTTTGACGGGCACCGTGATGGTTCAGAATGATGGCCTCGGCATGAGAAATACGGATGCATGTCCAGCTCAGCGTACAGCCGGCCATCAATAGCATGAGATGCACGATGCAGGGACAACCGAGCCATGCATGTTAGCATTGACGAAATCTAAACGCCCCATCGACTCCCCACGCTCTGCCTCCAATCACATTACGCTCCCCCGCGCAAAGAAAGGCGCAAGTTTCATGGCATAATCCAGGTGGCGCGATTAACGAAAACGGCACACGCATGTCATCGGATGAGATCGGACATATTGGCAGCCGGGCTGGTTCTCAGGCCAAAAAGCGTCTCTATTGCCGACAGATTGATGTCACATAGGACTCCGGCTATTGATCCAAGGAGTATCTGTGGATCTGCAATGTCGCAACTGGTCAATTTGTTGACGTGGCAAAAGAACATGAATAACACATGAATTGGTTAGTTTCTTTTTCTTGCAATTTGATCATGCGATTGGTCTGCAACCACTCGCCATTCTTCAGTAGCATTGACCAATCGCTTGAGATACGGCTTGGCAGATAACTTGTTAGCTCGATCATTGAACTAGCAAAAAAGAGAGTCAATTTTCGTTTGCGGTTGTTTCCATCAATTACACTTTGAATCCAGACGCTCTGTTTCTCCCAATGGAACTGTTTTCGGGTTAACCTGCCAATCGATACGTGTCAAAAGTGTTCGATTGTACGGTAATACCTTGCTTAAGTCTTCTAACGTGAAAGGGGAGCGAGAATCATGCGTTGGCCGATGTGCCATATGTGTATCACTTGGTGCTGGTGATGCCTCACCCCGAGGCATCACCACATTCGCCGAGGCAAATTGGAATTCGTGGTTCGGCTTTCCGGATAATGGCATTGCCAGGTTGTTTGCAAGTCACTTCAACGCCCAAGGCAAAAACGATTACCTCAAGGCAGACACAAAATGCTCGACTTTAAGTACCTAGATCAGCTTGCCTGACGCAAGATGTAAAATACAATGAGAATATCTGGATATGAACAAGAACTTAGACCGAAGCAAAACAATTACAAACACACATTGCGAGCTCTTAAAACTATTCCAACCCGCTAAGCCATTGCCTTCTTCGCCATACCCACAACGCCTCGCACCAGTCCGTCCACCATACCCGGATCGCCAGAGTAGCCCTGCCCATGGATCCCGTTTGCATCTTTCCAGACACCGTCAGCAGATACTCTGCCAAAGGCATGCGTGTTCTGATTCTGTTCGATGCCCCATCTCCACTGCGCGCACACCTCGGGACTATCGACCATGACGTTGACCTCTTGGCTATGGCACCACGATTGTGTGTCTTGGTTGCCGCTTCCTTGGATCCCCACTGTCTCGTCGGCAATCATCAGCTTGATGTGGCAAGAGCGAGACTTGAAGGAGTGGTGTATAGGGTGGTCTTGATCCTTTGCGACGTAATTGTAGATATGGAGCAACTGGAGCGCCTGCTTGTCCCCATCAAGCAATGCAATGAGTCTCCTGGCCGCCTGCTCGTTCGTCCCGCCTTGACCTGGTATCATTTCGCCTGCGTCGTTATAGCCAAAGCACACATAATACGTGACCTCTACGCCTCTCTTCACAGCTTCGGCAAGGGCTTTCAACAGAGAGTCGGCATTGAGGTCTGGAGTTTGAATGAAGATGTTCCTCTTGGCGTTTCTAGCAAGTGATAGCCATGCTTCATTCTGTGGTACATACGTGTTTCCAGCATCCAATGGCCCGTAAGGTGGCCTTGAGACCAGAGCCATGGGGACCGGTTGTGATGTCATGGTCGTAAAATACGGTGTCATCTCCCTTCCATCTGTGATCTCAGGGCCGGTGGCCTCGATGTGGTTTTTGATGGGCAAATTGAGATGGTGATTGATCGCTTCAAGGCGGCTTACCTTATCTGAAGCGTCGTAGCCCTGGTTAGCGTATGCCATTTCCTCCTTCAGATCGCTGTCGTAATGAGGATCTTCCAGGTTTCCAGCCTCCAGGTTTTCAGGACGAGTGATACCCGCCTCGACGGCCTTGTCAGTTGTCTGGGCTTGACCAATGGTTGATGGCCGTTCTTTCAAGTTCTTCCTCCACGTAATGAGTGCAGTGTCGTAAATGCTGGCAACGATGGGTCCTTCGAGATGCGTCAGCATTTCAACGTTTGCATTATCCTCCACGTTATTGCTCATCACCGCGGCGGCCAGGCCATCGACTATCAGCAGCTTGGAGTGTAGAGTCCCCAGGAATATGGTGTGAGCTCCAATCACCTCGAGCTCGAGGTTAGGAATCTCATGAGGGAACGGTAATTGAACATGTTTTGAGTCATATGTCGAAGATTTCACTGGCTGATGGCTGTCGAGCGCATGCCAGATTCCAGGCTGGTCAAACATTATTCTCACCATCACTCGCTCTCCCCTCATACCAGCCCGCTTTGACAGATCGACCAATGCATCTCTTATCAAGCGCTGGGCAATAGACGCTTTCCAGGTGCAAGTGATGAAGAACACCTCCTTCCTAGCTTTTCGAATGAGGTTCGCACAGTGATGCATAAGGCTGACCAATGGCGCAACGATGGTCAGGGGCACAACACCATGGGATCCCATCAGCGGCGGAGACACCATTCCCGCAAGTGGATTTTCTTCTAGACAAGCAAGCGAATCTGCAAATGCCCGCAGAAACAGACGGCTGGGCTTGTCTTGGGGCCACTGCCCGCACTCATATGCCCTCTGTAGCGCATCACGAGAGGAATCTTCTTTATCATCGCTGTCACTAGAACTGTTGGATTGACGGTGCGGAGTGTGGGGCTTTTGACTTCCGTATAGCCGTTGAATAATCTTTTCAGGCGTGTCCCTCGGGTTCTTTGCCAACTCGGAGCTCACCGTAGCCCCCGCATGGCAAAGATCATAGACATACTGAGATACCATGGTGAGTATACATATGTAGGGGTCGTAGACAGAAGATGTTTGGTCATCAGGAGCGGTCTTTGATGTTTCTAATTCGGTACACATGAGCTTTATCTACATTGGCTGTCTACTGGCCCAACTCAATCCATATAATTCTCGTCATTAAGCAGTCCAGGAGACGCGCGTCTGCAGTTCCGTGATGCCCGAATCCCTGGAATTTTAGTCCCGGACGGCAAACGGCACGGCAAACGGCCATTAGCGCAGGTTAGACACTACATAGGGTTTTACATGACGTCTATACCGTCTCTATACGTCCTTTCTTGGGAGCGTGCAGCTGATGATATTATTTAGCAATCGGGAGGCCTCTCTGTCTTCTTATTGCAACGCGGTTGCTCCTATCATCTTCTGCTCTAACCATCTAGTCTGACTGATAGAAAATGGCGGCATCTAGATTATTGACCCTCCGGTCCAATGGGAATTGTGACCGGGTATAAGCTATGACGTATTAGGGTGTTTTCACCCTCTCATTCAGAAAATATATATATTTGGGGTGAGTAGCTTCCAAATAAGCTAGAATTCGGTAAATACAGGTTTGGTATTGTTCAGTCAGCAAATTTAGCAGGCAGAAGTTATATGTGTGATGATAGTCAATCTCTTGGCTAATAAGGGCCCACTCCTTGTTTATTAAAGATCTGTGATGCGATATGACGTAGATGAGATAGACCCTATCTTATACTTCTTCCTTCTGTCTACTACGGGAGCGCCTAAACCGACCCTGGTAATGGCATACCGAAGCCGAGAAGCCGGCATCCGAGAAGAGGTCCATTATCAAGACTTCCTTCACCCGCCCCGCATATTCCTTTACTTGGAGCCATCAAGAAGAATGGAGTTAGGCTGACGAGCTGATTCTTGCTCGATGGCTAAGAGCCAGTCAGTCAGTGTCGTCATATCTGTGCTTCTGGCGATATCCGATCCTGTTTTACGAAACGCTAGAAAGATCCCGGTAAGGAACTCTGCACGACCTGGTTCGCGCCTCTTCTAGCCGTATCAGGGCGCCTTCAAGCAGAGAAATCATCTCAGCAGACACAAGGGCGACTCAAGATTTGAATCACGTGGTAAGAAGCCGTGTACGAGTACGAATAGGGGGTCTCACATGAACAGAATGTAGTTAAGGCAGCCCGTCAAGAGGATGTAGCTATCAATGGAGGGAAAGACCTTGATGGCTGCTCAGCTGCATCGGCACATAGATACACAAATGAGACACAATTGGCCGACGAGCCAGCTTGTGTATGTGTTGGTGAGTCATTCTGATGTGCGTTATGAGGGCTATGTTTCGCCTAGGCAGCTGCGTTTACTTTACGTGCACTGATTTACCAGATGCGAATCGAATGCAGACTCGCTCTGCCCTTCAATATCCGTCAGCTTATGCTCACAGATAAGTTTGAAATCATATCCGCAACACCTGAGAGGCATTTTAGGCAAAAGGCTACGGCTCGTAGAAACACGCGAAGTTAGATACATATATAATGTGACATGGATAAATAATATTTAATTCTAGCAGACCCAGAAAGATAGACTAATCAAGATGAGGGTTTTGCACCCAACGAATGGCAATGGATGACCCAACTACGCTACAGAAGCGTCGTTCCGTCACTGTCGGGGACATTATCTCGACTCTTAAAAGTTGGACTATTTATCCTCTTCTTCTTATTGCTATTTTGGGAATCGCACCGGCAAATGCGATATCATCCTACGGCCCTGCGATTATCAACAGCTTTGGGTATGAGAGACTGACTTCAAATGCTCTGAATTCAGTTGGCTCGTGGATCCAGCTATTTCTTAACCCGGCTTTTGGATATCTAGCGTGCGTTCTCTACGAGATTCTTGTACATTATTGTGCGAGCTATTTAATCAGACAAAGAATTTGACACTTCCTTCATATCCAATATCCGAACTCTTATACAAAGAAAATCAAATTAGACAATAGATCACAATGATACACCTACTTTCGCCTAATACGTGATATTGACGCATTTACCCTTCCAGAAATTGGCGTCTCCTTGCACGAGCTCATCAAACATCCATTTAGCCAAGTCCAGGCGACTAATGGTGTAGCCCACTTCAATGCCATGTTCCTTTTCGTCACTTTTCTTGAAAATAGCATCTTCCCAGATCCACCCAACGCGAATCGAATTGGTGCCTTTCATTGGGCCATGTGTAAGCAGCGGTGGACGGAGCATAACGTATCCACCCAAAGGTGAATCGGCGTCCATTGCTGCTTGCCGAGTGACCTTCTCAAGGACTGCTGTATCTGATTGAGGGATTGGTAGAAGCCACATATAAAGCGGAATTAGGAGCAGTGGCTGGTCACGGTAAGAGCTGTGTCCAGTGGAGGAAATAGGAATAAACAAAGGGGCGTTCGCGATGCTGTTGGTAAATTTGAGCTGTCGCAGAGCATCTACCACTGCAGCAGCCGAGTCACCAGTGATTGTGGCATCTTCCATACCGACAGGCCGGAATGGATTATAACTGAACTTCGGTAGGCTCGTTATACCGCTGAAGATCAGCTCTGGATCGTGGCGAAGAAGTTCAAGGACTGCCTCCAAGTCCCGAGACGATCCCCCGACGATCGTCAGCTGAGATTGCTGTATTTCCTCAGAGACACCCTGACTTAAGAGGGCCTTCCTGAGCTTATCGGGGTTCCTCACAACTATAAACATCAATATTAATGAACAAGAATCTCTAAGTGACCATCGGATATCTTACGAGCGGTAGCACGATGTCCAGCAAGCAGCGTCCAGTGGAGCACATGAATCAGCGTAGCTCCGCCAGCTCCAATAAAAGCAGCCTTGACCCCCATCGTAGAGAATGAAAGTTGTGGGAACAAGACGGTTCAATGCTCCGAATAACACAGAAGGATAATTTCTTGATGAGATGCAGAATATAGTTGGAGACACCACTCGTTTTATTAACTACTGCTTGGTGATTGAGCTGACAGAGCAGACAGACGGACTCCGTATATCAGCCAAGACAGCGTTTGGCGCCACATTCGCTTCTACTCCGCACAAGTCCGCAGCATCAAGCGGACACGGACTAATTAGTCGGAGAGATTAGATGGCCCGTATGTAGATTTCGCTGTTCTTTGACCCCAAGTATGACTCCAGTGACATTCCATAGTGTCCAGTGCATTGAAGTCAGCAAGATCCAGCTCGGGCAGTTGGGTTGGAGAGGGAGCGGAGAGGTGTCGCGTCTCGAGGACCGTCTCCTAGGATAGCCACACGTTACTCGACTGCCTCTAAGCAAAGTACACAGACTTCATGGAAGGCAATGATGTGGTTTCCTGAGATGCTCATGTAATTGTATTAAAATGAACGAGATGGTGTGTAGTCATACATTTATAATCTACCTCCGCACGAAAAAGTGCAAGAATCAAGCATCTCTCCATAATCTACATCGAATCTTTGGCGCTTTTTCAGTTGGAACTTCCACCCAATTGTGCCGGTGTATATTTTACAGGAGCTTGAGAGCATTCATCCTACGGTAAAAGGCCCGCTGGTGCGGTGGAAACGTTTAAAGTCATCCCGAATAGCATCCAAGCATCCAGGTCTGACAAGGGGTCTAGATTCCTCCAGGGGCTTCGTTAGAGATGGTGATATCCTTGTCTAACGCAAGTTGTCGCAAGTGCCATACGATCTTGCTCATCTCGCACCTCTGATCACAGATCTCTTCGTAGCCCTGGCCAACACGTTAGATACGCGACCAAAGCACAAGCAGACATCAAGAGCTTACAGGGTCCTTTCCAGGCTTATTGATGCAGTCCTCCTTGATGGGAAATCGGCGTGCGACGGACCATAAAAGCGTGCTCGGGTCATAGTTGTACACAATAGGTGTATCGGACTGTCTTTCAAAACAAGAAGTTGTTATCTGCGGCCAGCAAGTCAGCGCTATTGTCGTTTCGGTTGTAGATCAAGGGCTATAATACGCACCCTCAGCGAGTGATAATTTCAGGAATCGATGCAGGCTTCATGCCGAAGCCAATAACTGTCACGTGGAACTCAACATCTTGGAAACGAGCCTCAAGTTGGCTGGTATCCTCGTCGGGTCCCATGAGAACGACTAAGCCCCGTTAATCCATACAACAACATTAAACTGCCTTTCATCTATCACATCGGACTATCACACTCCTTTTGGTGTTGTACACAGCATCGATCAACTTCTGGGCGTCTTTGCGGAGGCCAGCATCGACCGCAACTGAATCCCATCCTTGCTCAATCACGTAGGGGTGATATGCTAGAAAACCTCTAAGGTTATCGAATTAGTATGGTCCCAGATTATTCAGTGTATTTAACATTCACCAGCGGGCACATACGTGTAGAGAACATTGATGTCGCCACAACCCGAGTTTTCAGGCAACTTAGCTGCTGCAGTAGCAACAACGCAGAGTCCGCAAATTGTCTTGATGGTATTCATGATGGAAAAGCTTCAGCAAAGATTCCTTGAGGGTGATCGGGAAAATCGTTCACAAAGTTGGATATTAGTCTCTTAGATAAACCGGTCTGAAGGAGAAGACATTTGTTAAGGAATGGCGGAACAACGGGCAATATGTACTTCAAACATCACGAGGCAGCTGCAGTTCCTCCATCTCCAGTAATTCGCAAACAAGACTTAAATGCCCAATGCATACATCGTATGATAAATATGTCGTTATTTTTCTTGCTTGGTGAGAAATGGTAACCTATCACGGATACACGGCTCAAGGATGTCGGAGTTTCTCGAGTTTCCCCAAAGATTCAGAGAATGAATAAGGTGTCAACACGATTTCGGAGGTTTGGATGACCACGAGCAAGAGAATGACGGCTATCGTCAAACCAAGTTAGGGAGTTGATCCCTGCTGGGGGACTCCTCCACATCGCGTTCGGCGAAAGTTGGCCGCTTATTAAGAGCATAAACCTTCTCGAAGATGGGGTTCTCGGTCGCTTCGCGAGGCGCCGGGCCGAAAAAGGCGGTTAATCGATTGTCTCAGATCTGTCTAGCCGGACACCGACCGGGCAGCGACCGGGCAACATGATTTCTCATCAAGCTTAGCTCGTTATCCACGTCATAAGCGAGCATTCTTCCTTATTCTACCCAGGGGCTTGGATATAAAGTCAATGCTACATTGCCCCAAAACGACATGATAGGTTCCAGACATCACTCGCGTCACAATACTAAGACTCATAGCTCTAAAGCCTGTTCATTATCCGTCACTTGTACATTCCATCTTTCTTCAAAATGGCCGGATTGAAGCCAATCACCACTTACGTCCACGGTATGCATTTGTTCCAGCTACAGCTTGGGATTTGGTCCAGGTTTACATATCTAACATACACTCACATCTTCCAGAGGGCGGACCTAATCCTTACAAAGTCATCATTGTTCTGGAGGAATTGGGAATTCCCTACGAAGCCGTGGTTGTGAAAGACCCCAAGGAGCCATGGTTCACTGCTATCAACCCCAATGGTCGCTTGCCTGCAATTGTCGATCCCAACAATGGCATCACTCTCTGGGAGTCTGGTGCCATCGTCGAGTACCTCGTCGAGACCTATGACAAGGAGGGAAAACTTAATGTGGAGGATGTCGCTGGAAAATGGCATCTCAAGCAGTACTTGCACTTTCAAATGTCCGGCCAAGTACGCACTCCCTTCACGCGACATCAAAGCAAGGCACTTCCGATGCTGACATGTTCCCGCATAGGGTCCGTACTATGGGCAATCAATGTGGTTTCACAAAGCCCCTGAAGATATTCCTCTAGCCAAGAACCGATACAACGAACAGATTGTTCGTGTCATCGAAGTGCTTGAAAACATACTAAAGGACAAGAACTACCTCGTCAATAACAAGCTGTAAGCCGTTCTCTATACATAAAAATCTCGCCATTTGATATTCCTCCCAAAATGGAACGGCATACAAAAAATAGGCTAATGATATTGCAGCACGTACGCCGATCTCTCTTTTGTACCATGGAACAGGGTGATTCAGGGACATCCCGTCTTGAAGACCGTGGTCTGGGAGGCATATGAAATTGAGAAGAAATATCCCAACTTTGTGGCTTGGCATCAGCGCCTCGTCGGTCGTACGTCGGTCGAAAAGGCTTACAAGGCATGGTAGAAAGAATTCAATACGATAGAACAATAGATTTCAGAACTATCAACTGACTTTACTCTTTGCCCCGCGCGGTTGGATTCTCAATTCTATGCTTGTAAATCGCCTTGTTTGCCAAGTGAATCAGCTCGGCGATGAATGCTTCCAGTCTCTGCAAGTGCAGAGCTTCGCTAGGAGTTGGCTCCCGGGCCCTCAACTTCTTCAGCAAATAAGGGACGGCGCTGACGAGCTCGACATCACTCTGTGCATGCCGGGCCAACGGCTTGTAAATAATATTGCAGAATAATGTCACAGATGCCCAAAGAGGGTAAAAGATGACAAGCCTGGGGAACAAATCGATCAGTTTTTATATGGAAGAGCCTTGGATGCTCTCACTTACCAGAAAGATTCCCGGTGCACCATTTCTGAGGCCACCTTGAGGTAGACCAAGGTCGAGCGACTTGCTTCAACGGAGAGTAGGAGACTCGACCTCACTGCATTGGGAACTCCGCCATCGACAGACCAAGCCTGGCATCTCCCGCATGCCCTATGAATAGCGGATAAGAGATAGAGATACTCAAAACGTACAAATATCAACAGCATGCCGAACTCGTGCTGCAAGCTCGGATCCGCGGGATCAGTCACCGAAGAGAGGCTGGGGCGCACAGACTGCGGTACAGACATGCGCCATCTCTCGAGCTCCTCATCGAGCATACGCACAGTATGCAGAATCTCGGTGTCCGACTTTTTAAGGGCGCTCGGCGTGAAAAGTAAGCTGAAAACTTTGGACTTGATGATGGTCAGACCCAAATCGCTAGGCTGCAGGGGCTTGGGAAGATATTGCGTCAAGCTTGGGCCATCCATCTTAAGATCAATGAAATCAAGTCCGGTATAATCATCACAAAGCGCAAGGTCACATTGGTCATCTGCTATAGCATGTGGCTGGCCGGTGCGAAGCGAGATATGCTTGTCACAGAAATAGCAGAGCCAGAACAGTGTACGCAGGTGACGTAGCCGAGCATCGTCTGGGGTCGCGCCAGAGGGTGGCTTCGGTTTTAGATGGCCCCCGAGCATGAACAAACTCCTTGATGCCAGAGAATGGAGCATCGAGGCTGCTTGAAGTTGGCCCGAAAAGTCGAGATATAAGCACTAGGAGAATGGCATGTCAGCGTATTCTCCGAAAGATGCATCTGTTACGTACTAGCAGAAGCGCGGCCTGGAGGCCCTCTATTGTTGGCTCAGCCATGGTTAATAGAAGCAGCTGCTCGGCTTTCGTAGCGTACATTTCAACATCAGGCAGTAATTCTGCAGTTTTCTGCGGCTCGAGAAGTGAAAGGAAGGAGATGAACGAAAGGACGCAGACCATGGCACGAGTCGATTCGGCGGTCCCCTCGTACGCTCGGTCTATGGTGTCCTGGAACGTGCTGAGGTCAACAACGGGAAACACGACCTGTAGAGTTGACGCTCGGAAGATGTCAAGACAAGACTGGGCTGTAGCCTTCGTGGGCAGGGGAGGAGCTGAGTTGTGTCCACCAAGTAGTGCAAGATCGCTCAGCTTATTTTGGGCGAAATCCAAGTCCATTTCGCTCAGCTCTTGTCCGCCTTCCAGCGCCGCGGTTTCGCCTGTTCTGTCCTGAACCCATTTCCGCCCTTCATCTGAGAAGATTGGGATCCCATTTCGAGAGCTGATGTCTCCGAGATGGCAGCCAGCGAAGTAGAGACTGCCGTAGAAGATGCCGCCGTGTGAAGGAGGCTGGCTCCTACTCGGAAGTTTGTCACTATTTTCCGCAGGCGGTGATGGGTCGCCTCTGTCTGTTCGCCGCAATCCCTGGAGTAGACTTTCTAGCCGTTCAAGCCGTTGCTCGATTTCATCTTGTAAGCTGAATCTGCGCAGAGTATTGGGTTAGGATCAGAGCTGTTTATGTAATTTCTAATTACACACTCAGCTGGCTGAGGCCTTTTCCGGCTAGCTGCGGAGGCTCGGTGATATGTGCAGTCTAGATTGCGGTGGTTACACCAGTCACATCGTGGGGTGCCTCCATCGCATGAAATCTAGTCCTATATCATTAGCTAGTGTGTTCGGATTCATCGACGAATCATTTACCTTTTTCTCGTGGCAGGAATCACAAGCTCGTTTTCTCGGCATTGTGCCAGGGGAGCAGTGTGTTGTATCGGCAGAGCACCAGTGAGCGAGATGGCTGCTGGCAGAGAGAGAGAGAGAGAGTCGCAGAGCAAAGGACTTCATTGATTTCAATAGAACAGTCCTGTGCTGCGCTGCTTTAAAAGTTAAATTTACCCCTGAACCCAACCCCTGTGGGGTGTGATCGGACTCATCAGTCTGACGGTCTATGGCTCTAAAACCAGCTTCTGTGCTAAGTTAGTGGCTCAAAGCGCGTATGAAAGGTTACAATCATAATCCTTGTCACTGTTTAGGCCAGGACATTTCTTATTTCAAAGGCCTGTGGCACAGACGCAAGTCGTGAGAGTCCTACGCTATGGCTTCGCCACATCAAAAGCGCCTACTATTAGGCAGCAATCAGTCCAACACGTGAGATTGATCATGGTCAGATCATGCACTCGTTAAATAACTACAGTCACTGAGCCCCTAAATTCCATTTCAATTTTCCATTCCTCATTGCGCATCCATTTCCACTCACCATCTGCCGGCAGAAGCAACCACTGACAACTCTACGACCTCACCATGGCCGACCCAATGACAGCGCGTAGAACCACATATACATCCAATGATGTCGACATTCCTAAGGATTTCCTTCGAGGGCCCTCGGAGAAGCCCATAACTCTCACGCACGTCCCGTTTGGCTCTTCCCCTGTACCAGAATACGATGGCTCTTTCGCCGTTGTTCTCGACAATGTTCTTTCCTTAGCCGAGTGCAAGGAGCTGATTCACCTAGCTGAACAATCAGCTCAGGTCGCGGGTGGCAGTGAGTTGGCGAATCAAAACCCTTGGCGACCTGCCATGGTGTCCATCGCGCCGGGAATTGAGGCACCTGCGCCGGGATATCGAGAGAGCGACCGGATCATTTGGGACAGCCAGACGGTTACAGACCTCATCTGGGGTCGATGCTGCCAAGTGGAAGGACTCAAGGAGAAGCTGGCCGTGGTAGAGCGCACAAAAGAGGACAGATCGGAGGGGCGAGCACCTGGTAGATGGGTTTTCAGCCGGATTAACAACAGGATGAGATTTCTGCGGTACTCTCCTGGTCATTACTTCAAACGTAAGTTATGGTTTCATGCGTCGATAGAAGTTGTGCAAACAGCACCATTGGTTTCGCTTGACTTTACTGACAAGAATCTGCCAGCGCACTGTGATGGGGCATATTGGTATGACGAAGGTACCAAGGAATTTCAAACGCGGTACACGGTGCATCTATACCTTAACGACTCGGCCAAAGTATCAGCGGACAGCGATCTTGAGGGCGGCGCGACTGGGTTTCTGTCCTGGGATGATCAGCGTCGGATTGATGTTAACCCGAAGGCGGGGAGCGTGCTGATCTTCCAGCACGAAGGTCTTTATCATGAGGGGGCACGAGTAACAAAAGGGCAGAAATTTACCCTCAGGACAGACTTGGTATATGAGTGGGAGGATGCTCGGGATTACACCCAGGACGAGTGAGCCTTCTCAAGAGCAGATCTTGTATTTGTCTACAGCAGAAGTAAAAACAGGGACAGAAATGGATAACTCATGCGGGAAACTCGATGACAAAAACTCAAATGATGAATAAATCATTGAACAGTAGCATTTGTCAGTATTGCATGCAGGGTGGCCAGGACGTCATAATAAAACTCTTACTGGATGAAACCACCATCCACATGTAACGCAAAGGCTGGCAAACTGGCTGCACAAATCTTTCTCCTCTCTCTTGCAATATCAAGACTTTTACAGAAATTATGAATTCTGTTTTCGGTCAATATTAGAGCTCATGCAAGTCTGATTCAGTTTCCGGATGCAAGCTACTGCTCAGCAACGTCAAAGCATCCAGGGGCCAGTCATATAGACTGGGATCGCAAATTACGGCTATCGGCACCGCTGCATCCTGCGGGGCCTATTTGGCCCTTTTCGACCAATTTGACGAAGTCCATGGACTTTTCCGCGGCGTTTGTCAACAGTCATTGGCTGGTGCTCCGGAACTGCAAGGGAAATCACAAACGTCGATGCTACAGTCGCCATCATTACCGCCTAATTCCGGTAAGTCCTGGTCGGTGGCAGATCAAGAAAAAAAAGCTCATCGCCTCCGCAATTCATTCGAAAACTTCCAGTCTTCAATAGCATTCATACGCATCCCCAGCAGACATGGTGTCGCGCAGAACATCAGCAAGTGCTGAGACCAGCCCCAGAGAAGGCCCCAGCGACGAAGAAGACATACATGAACTGGAGAAAAAGCAAAGCCAGGCGATCGAAGAAGGCCATGATGCAGACATACCATCCAGTGCTGGCTATATCCTCGACGCACGAGGGGAGAGGAAGCGCAAGCTTTCCCTAGCATCCAGGCGAAGGTCCATGGCTTCTAAGGAAAGGGTCGACTTAGAAGGAGGAGACAACTCGGTCGAAGACAGTGCGGGCGACGTCGACTCGAATGAAGTTTGGTGGGATGGTCCCAATGACCCTGAGAATCCGTATAATTGGCCAACCTGGAAGAAAATATTCAATTGCGGGCTGGTGAGCGCAATGACTTTCGTCGCGCCTCTTGGCTCATGTAAGAAACCATCATTCCGCATCTCACACTTTGTCTACTCATTCGTGCTAACCTCTCCATAGCTATCTTCGCTCCTAGTGTTCCCGAAGTCATGGCTGAGTTTAAGTCCAACTCGTTGACAATTGCGTCCTTTGTCGTGTCGGTCTACATCCTCGGATTTGCTTTTGGGCCTCTCATCATCGCGCCCCTTTCCGAAATTTACGGACGACTCCCAGTGTATCACGCCTGCAACCTAGGATTTGTAGCCTTCGCCGTTGGGTGCGCGCTTGCTCCCTCCCTAAACGCCCTAATCGTCATCCGTTTCTTCAGTGGCCTCTTTGGATGTGCCACTGTCACAATAGGCGGAGGCTCTATCGCTGACATGGTCGCTCAAGAGTATCGAGGCGCGGCAATGTCTATATACAGTATAGGGCCCTTGTTTGGGCCAATCGTTGGCCCGGTTTCTGGAGGTTTCCTCACTCAAGCGGCTGGCTGGCGCTGGACCTTCTGGCTGCTGGCCATTCTCTCTGGGGTTCTCTCCATTATCATGGTGTTCGCGATGAGAGAGAGCTACGCTCATGTTATATTAGAGCGCAAAGCTGCCAGGCTACGGAAGGAGACCGGCAATGGGCTTCTCCACTCCAGGCTCGATATTGGTCTGTCTACGGGGGATTACTTTAAAAGAGGCATCATCCGGCCGCTCAAGCTCTTCGTTCGCTCTCCCATCATTCTGATAACATCAATCTATATGTCGATATGTTACGGGTATCTCTATCTCATGTTCACAACGATGACAACAGTTTTTCAAGAAACATACGGCTTCAGCACCGGCACAGTCGGGCTGGCCTACCTTGGGCTGGGAGTCGGCAACATGGTGGGGGTTGGAGTCTCCAGCTTGACATCAGATAAATACCTGAAGAGGAAAGCCGCCCAGGCCCGGGAAGCATCCAACGAAGAAGGGGCCGAGCTGAATTTAAAGCCAGAATACCGACTTCCCCTGTTACCTCTGGGTGCTGCGCTGGTTCCAATCGGCCTGTTCATCTATGGCTGGACTGCCCAATACCGCGTCCATTGGATCGTTCCCATCATCTCCCACGTTCCTATCGGGGTTGGGAACTTACTCATCTTCTTAGCTATCCAGATGTACATCGTCGACTCTTTCACAGTCTATGCTGCGTCGGCACTTGCCACCAATACTGTGGTCCGATCTATCGCTGGAGCGTTGCTACCCCTGGCTGGACTGCCAATGTTCGAAAAGCTAGACATAGGTTGGGGAAATAGCTTGCTAGGATTCATTGCTATACTTATGGTTCCAATAGCATTTGGGATGATCAAATGGGGCGAAAATCTGAGGAACAGATTCCCGGTTAAGAATCTTTAAGGCAAGGATGTGATATTTCCCAAGATGGCAGTTTGCTTGCTTGAATCCCTAGCCGTTATCCTCGCTCTCAATGATAGGTTTCTCACGCCTTTCGGCTCCCAAATTCGAAATTGACTTATCTCGTTGAAGTCCTTTTTTATGTCTCAATCTCATATTGGAATTACTTGGAGTAGGCGAGGATACAATATATATGAGGCTGCTGTGTAAGGGTATTCTTTTTTCCGTTTGCCTCTCTATTCTGAGGCTGGCCTCAGATATATTATTGTTCTTTGATAGGTAGCTTATGCCTATGTGCACTCGATAGAAAGCCGTACCATTCCCAATCAACCCTGCTCTTGGAGCATATTCTTCAAAAGGTCAAGTATACCTAGTAACTTTAACAGCTCTTCATTTTCGATGAGTATAAACAATTGATAATTCAGCAGTTCTTCCTCGTTGTTTCTGAATCGTGTTGGGAGACTACTGTGTACATCCACGTCTTCCCGAAATTTCTTCAAGTGGTTAGCCAATTCATGGAGGACTTCCGGTGAGAGGTTGGAAAATGAGCTGTAGGAAATTTTCTGGCTTTCTCCCTTTGATTCGGGGCCAACCTTGATCCAATCGGAACCATCGTTTGTAAGACTGGTTCCAATGGCTGAACCCAATGTCTGCGAGGCCTCGAGAGCTCGGTCTGCATCCTCTGGTCTCTTCGCTTTGGGTATCTGCTCAAAAAGGGTTTGTAGGAGAACTGAAATTGCCTGGATCTCGTCTTTGATCTCATAAAGCTCCCGCCGGATGCCTACTATTTTAGGATGCGGACCCTGGTGTGGATTATCTGGATAGCTTGGATCTGGAATGCGCATCGAAGAAAACATGGGGTTCTTAGGAAGGTCTTTATCAGGCTCTGGATCATGGCTGCACAAAATAAGCAATAGATTAACACACAATGGCAACAGGATAGCTGACCTCTTGTGCGGAGTTTTCAACGGAGCCGGTCGTTCAACTGGCGGCTCAACCAGTATCTTGCGCTTGCTGAACTTCCGGCTGAGTGATCCTCCTGACCTAAATATGCTGTTCGAAAACCGAGAGCCGGATCTGCGTACGGGCTGAGGTTCTGGAACGCACGCCCTAGGGGTTGGCGGTGTAGGGGCATAGAAAGGCGGAAAGGGTGATATAACTAAGGGTTCTTGCGGGCCAGCCCTTGTGATTGGAACTCTTTGCATTTCGTATGGAGTCGTCTGCGTATGGTCCAACAAGCGACTTGGCCGTACGTACTCCGGACGCTCCCCACCACGAGCTGGTGTGGGTAGCGGCCATAGAGGCGGGCTGTAATCTGGCGGCGGCCCTTGTCCCATCGGAGCCTGGTATAGAATCTGTGAGAGATTACGGCCAGGGTGGGATAATAAATAATGAGAGTAGATGCTGTGAAGCGCATAAAAAAGGAGTGGGAGAGTTGTGGAGGTGCCATTAAATTTTCCTTGCCAATGCGATTCACAGCTTTGAGATGCCTTACAGGGCAAGGCAACCGCAGTCCGCGCCTAAAAAGCTTCTGGTGAGCGCTAAATGGGTCGGAATACCAGATCTGGTTGTTTCTTTCATGTCAGCATCAGCCCCCATTGCATTTATCACTAACTCTCATCTCCATGATCCGATGTCGAATCACTTGTTGTATATCATGGTCTACGCTGGGTATTGTAAATCCAGCGCAATAGCATGCGCTGTGGCTGTTCTACAAGTGGGTTTTCAGCTCAGGTATTCATCGTCCTGGACCTTAGCCATGGGTGCTGGGCATTGAAACCCAAGCATACCCTCGAGATCAGTTAGACCCCAGTCGCCATGAAGCGATTATAGACGGAACATAGCAGTAGATTCTAGATTGATCTGGAGAGGTTCATCTCCCTGGTTTTATCATACATGAAGGAGGCCCAGAGTAGCCCCAAGTCATGTCTCGGCGTTTCGGTATTTCGGTGGTCTGTGTAGGCCGAACCTGCGAAGTTCCGGCACAATCTTAGCGACAAACAGGTGACAAGGGCTCCACCCAATATTGCTCTCTCGGCTCTTCATTGGCTTCATTGTCAGATCAGTTGGGGGTGGATGAGGCGATCATTCCTTGTTTAGGAAGTGAATCGTTATGATTCATATCGACTAACTTAATAAGTCTCCTTCAGCCCCGATGCGCTGCAGCTCGCCATACAGTTTTATCAGTTCATCTGAGGCCGAGAGACCGAGAACGATGTATATTAAGTGCCTGGCTTGCTGCCTTAATTTCATTCATAGCCCAGTATCCAAAACTCAAAGCAACAAATAATCTATCACTTAGACCTTTGCACACAGTAGTCGCTTGCCTTCACCTACTTAACTCTTTTCTCATCACTTCATGGTCACGGGAATAACAACGACAACAACAACCAACGAACAGATGCTCTCATTACAACCTACCTCGCCCCAGCTTGATTCCTACAGCTACGCCATGTCTGAGCTGCCATTTCATCTAGAAACTCCTGCTGTGCAAGCAACTCCGGTCTTCAGTTCTCTATCTTGCCTTTTCTGTAATTCACCTTCAGACAGTCTTGAAGAAAACCTGGAACATATGCAAAAACGGCATGGATTGTTTATTCCAGACAAGGAGCATTTGATTCTGGACTTGGAATCTCTGCTAGAATACTTGCATCTTGTGATTTTCGAATACAAAGAATGTCTTTACTGTCATACGAGCCGCCGCACCATACAAGCAGTTCAGCAACATATGATGGGCACCGGGCACTGCAAATTTGATATCTCAGACGAAGATTCTGAGTTTCGGGACTTTTACGAATATGATGAGCCAGAAGCAAGCTTTTCCGAAGAAAACCAAGAAAACAACCAGGTGCAGCTCTGGAGTCGCGGCACCTCGACATCTCCAGTCCAAGTCGACGATACCAGCATGAGGCTACCCTCGGGAAGGATTGTATCCAACCGATCAGCCCCAGCACCTCGCCATCCATCGCGCAAGCCTCTGGAACCACAACCTCCGAGACATGCTTCAACGATATCCGTTGCGCCTGCTGTCGCCAGCCACTCAGATGCATCTGAATCCTCAAGGGCAAGCGAGGACCCTACTTTGCCGAAGGACCTTCCGTCATCTAAAGCATTGGCAAAACAAGAGAGGCAAAAAGCAGCATTGGCTGTCCAGCTCTCTAGTATGCGGAGCAGCGATCAGAGGGCCCTCGCCCATTTGCCTGCCTCCGAGCAACGAGCAGTGTTGTCACAAGCGCTGCGGCTGGAAGCGCAGTCAGATCGCGCAAACAGGCAATTTCGGGGTCAGATGGATAGTTTGGGTAACGTGTTGATGAAAGCTCGGTTTGTCAATGATGTACCAGGAGCCTCCAGGGCGCATAAGAATCGATTTTTCGCGGCCTAGACCATGTTTTGATGTGGGCTAGAAGGAAAGTAACACTCCATATTGTCGGAGTTTGCTATTTCAAAAGCGTGATAGGATCAATAAATTTGTTTTCGTCCTAGACTCATCAGTTCCATCCTCTTGCAGTGGTCAGGCTTCTCCCAAAGGATTTAGATTGATAAGATGAAACTAGTCATAAAATGGCGCCCTGGCATGGTAGGCCCTGGTTCAAAAAGGCTCTCGGGTTTCCCATCAGCCTATTTCCAACCGCATACGCGTGAGTGCCCCAAGCTACGTAATATTAGCACTTCTGGTCCCAGGAGCTTCGTGTAAATGGGAATATAATAGCATTGGAAACAGCCATTAGTCATAGGTTAGTCACGCTCGTATCAGATATATGGCAAGTTAGCCTCTGGAACAAAGACACTGGGGTTCGTTCGTGAAAAATAGCCAAACCCCTTTGTGGGTACGCCTCGGAAAGTTAGGTAGAGTCGAAAGCCGTCTATCCGGTTTCGCTCGAGACTCGTTCTCGGTGCTTGCCTCAAATTAACTTAGTGTCCCTAGAGTCTTTCGATTTCTTGTTCAGTCCAGAGACCCGTTCTTCCCTCAGTGGAGTTGAAACTTTCATGTCGAGAAATTCTCAGCTCACAAGTTCATGCTGAAGTTCTCTCCAATCAACATGGACCCCTGCACCAACATCTGTTCAATATTGAACCCATCTCAAGGCAACAGGAACGAAAAATTTGGACCGGGCTCAAGAAGCCAGTCTCTAGATCCAGCTATGAGAACTTGGCCAAGGTCGTATTGAGGTCGCATTGAGGTCTATTTCTTGACTGGGACTACACTCTTTCGCATGCCATGCAATTCAGCTACACCATCTACAGCTTATCCAATGGACCGTTCTCGAGGCGCTCCAGAAAATCACGGATTCCAATCTGAAGGGGTCCAATTATCATGGGAGGGTCTAGAATCCTTGCCGTGTTATGTACACTCCCACCATTCACATCCTCGTGTGCATCAACCAGTTTGAGATTCGGCCGAGAATGTTAACTTTTAGGTTTTCAAGATTTGTTGGTCGAATTTCAATTGTAGGTATTTCGTGCTCCTTAAGCCTACCAGGGCCAAGTGATACTGTCACATTTGCCAGAAGACAAGGAGAAAATTATAAGACCTCACATGCCATACCTTAACTTGCTGATCGGAGATCACACTCGCCAAAGCACCTTATTATTAGAACCAGAGACTGCAGCGAGCAGATCACGCCTCAGGAACACTGTGACGTGTGCCGATTTTCCGCGACCCCTGACCCATTAAGTTATCAGATCCGCACCGTCTGACCAACCAGACTCCACCCCCTCACATGGCTACCTAGTTTGTCATGTTTAGAGCAAGCTATATCCCTCGTCGTCTGCCCTGCAAGTGGGCTGAAGGCGTTCCAGTGCACCTAGTTAGGAAATCCCCTCCACTGCTAGAATCTCCTGACAGAGCAGACCAGTCAGTGCTAATCTTTAATAGTTCGGTGGGCAGCAGCTCGTGAGAAGTTGGAGAAATACCTCTCGGCTTACCCGGCGTTTCTAGCAGCCGAGGGCGCCGGCCTGCATATCAGCTGCGAAAGTCGTATCCTTCATCATGCAATGTCGTTGCCTTGTCTCCATATATATCCGGCTTGTGATGCTGAGGTAGGATCAAATGCAATAACCAGCCTTGGCAAATACCCACATGCAGAGCGATCAAGCATCATGGCTAGGGTGATGAAAGCCTCCATCGACCGACCAGGCGAGGTTTGTCTCCCCACCTGTTCTCAATGTAGAAATCTCAAGTGTTCATCCCGGGATGCTGCGCGGATTCCTTGACCGGGGTGGCTTGCTCAAAGGCAAAAGTAATCGGGAAGTTCCTACCGAAGGAGTGGACGTTGCATTGAAATGTGCTCATGCCTGCATCCGACGCATAATAACCACGCGTGCCCCCCTCTTGTCAGATTGATTGATAAGGTTTCTCACTCCTCGAATTATCCCTGGCTCTGCACTTACCCATTGGGACACATTCACGAGAATCTGCTATAATGGGTGCCACGAAGCAGGTTGGAGACGATGGTCTCCAAGCCACCACCAACGTAGCCGCCATTGATAGCACCAGGCAGACCGGTGACGATGACTTCCACGCGGCCGCGGCACGCAAAGAGGAAGCCAACGTAGATACCAATGATGCTGATCATCAAGCCGGCTGGGACACGGACGAGCCCATCAACAAAGATGCTCAAGCCGGTATCCAGAACATCGAGGCGACTACCATGGTATGGAACAAGAAGGCGTTGATCGCTGCCTATGTTTGGATCTGGGTTATCTGTATGTATCATTCCCAATCGCTAATTTGACATGGTTGCTTATGCCTTTTTAGATTTCGTCGATAGCTTGCAGCAAGGCACCACGGGAGCACTCACGCCATATGTCACATCCTCCTATCTGCAACATTCGCTCACCCCAACTACAAGCATCATGAGTAGCATCATCGGTGGCGTCTCACGTCTCACTATTGCCAAGATCATTGATGTCATTGGCCGTCCAACTGGATACCTCCTATCAGTCGTCTTTCTCACTCTCGGCCTGATCCTCATGGCTGCCAACAACGGTGTCGAGATGTACGCGGCCGCGCAAGTTTTCTACTGGGTCGGCTACGACGGTCTCATGTTCTGCCTCACAGTTTTCATCGCGGATACATCCCACCTGCGGAACCGAGGTCTGATGTTCGCTTACTCCCAGACGCCATACATCATCACCACCTGGATCTCGGGCTACGTTGCTACTGACTTCCTCAACGGCCCAGGTTGGCGATGGGGGTTCGGCGCATTTTGCATCATCACACCCGTCATGCTCTCCCCTCTCTGGATCCTTTTCATCCACTACCTGCACATTGCTAGAAAGCAGGGCATTCTGCCTGAAAGAACCAAGAGTGGTCGCAATATCTTGCAGTCCCTCTACTACTACTGCCGCGAGTTTGACGCCATCGGTATCCTCCTGGTTACTGCCGGTCTTGCCCTCTTTTTGCTGTCTTTCAACCTTTACCCAAATCAGGCCGAGCAATGGAAGTCGCCTCTTATTATCTGCTTTATTATCTTCGGTGGCCTTCTCCTTATCGCCTTTGCTGTCTACGAGAAGTGGTTTGCTCCCGTCACGTTCATTCCTTACAACTTGCTCCTTGACCGGACAGTCATGGGGTCCTGCATCCTGGCAGCCACCAATTTCATCAGCTTTTACATCTGGAACTCTTACTTCTCCTCTTTCCTGCAGGTAGTGAACGGTTTGACGGTCACCCAAGCCACATACGTCGGCAACACCTACAACATGGGTTCCTGCTTCTGGGGTGTCATAGTCGGTCTAGCCATCCGCTATACCGGTCGGTTCAAGCCTTTTGCTCTGTTCTTCGGTGTTCCTCTCATGATCTTGGGTGCAGGCCTGATGATCAAGTTCCGCCAGCCTGACGTAAATATCGGATACATCGTCATGTGCCAAATCTTCATCGCCTTTGCCGGCGGGACTTGCGTGATTACCCAAGAGGTCGCCGTCATGGCCGCCGCTGAGCACCAGCATATCGCCGTCGTTATCGCGATGCAGTACATGTTCTCCAGCATCGGCGGCGCCATCGGCTCGACCGTCTCCTCCGCCATCTGGCAGAACGAATTCCCCAAGAGCTTGGCTAAGCACCTTCCTGAAGAGTCACAGGGAAATCTCACGTCAATCTACGGCAACTTAGTCACACAGCTGTCGTATCCGGAGGGCTCACCCACGCGTATCGCCATCCAGGATGCGTACGGAGAGGCTCAGCGGTACATGCTCATTGCTGCCACTTGCGTCCTCATTCTGTCCCTCGGTTCTGTCGCTGTCTGGAGGGATCTCAAGATCAAGAATGTCAAGCAGGTCAAGGGTGTCGTTGTCTAACGGGGCCAGATATAAGGGAACAAGCGCAAATTGACCACTGGAACTATCAAAGCCGAAAAGAATTGATGCCATGCGACGAGGAGCCCTTGCTCATTGCACTGGGGAAGTTGTAAATTAGAAGCAGCCGTAAACTCGTAATCTTTCTCAACTTGAATATTAATAAACCTTATCAACTATGTACGGTTTCATCTCGATGAAGAAGGTCATTTCTCCAACTCGAAAATTTTGCGGTCGAAGCCCATCACCAATTGAAGAGAATGCTGCTTGGGGATAAATGGCCTGGGAGAACAAGCGCATGTGCCTGATCGCACCGTTTGTGGGAATTCCAAGGAAAAACGAGAGCAGAGGCGAGATGGAAGTCCCAAGGTTCCAAAGCATTCTTCAAAGGAAGGCAAACTCTGTAGGATTTGATGGTGGATGGTTCTATTTTTATGCAAAATGAAACTCGCCGCGCCATGGCTTGTATTTACTATGCATCTTATGATTCAGGCAAGAACACCTCCACTCAGGTAGAATGAAACCCATCTCGCATCCCTAGAACTACGATGACGACCCCATCAAGAAAAAATTTTACACGCGGCATCCACGCGACCCAGCCACCGACCTTCCATTCAGCAGCCATCACGCACATCCTCCATCGACCTAGCAAGTCATCTCTTCCTCACGCCGAGGGCAAGCCCCAAGCAACAATGAAAAGAAAAAGCCTGTCAGACGTCCATCAACACCCACCCAGACCGCGCGCCCTAGGGCAGACCGCGAAAAGGGTCGAGATCATCAAATTAGGGCCCGAGAGCCCCGTATACCATCTCTATACAGCACCGCCGCGAGGGCAACGCCGCCATCCTTGCGGACAGAGCGAGAGGACCAAGTGTGTTCACTCTAGGGTGTCGAGGATATACATTCATCAACCAGGGTGGATTCTGTGGCTTCGGTAGGAAACCAAGAGAAGGTCGAATACTATAGAAATGATTCTCCTGCAGGCGGCTGTTAGCAACGAGAAGAGGCGGAGCGTTGGGAGCAAAAGTAGGGGGGAGACATACTGAAGTATTGTCGACGTGAAGAAGAAAGAAGAAAAGGGAAAAAGGCGAAGAACGATGCGAAGCTTTTATAGAGAGTCTGTGGGTCCGCGATCAGTCGTTCACACCGCCCAAAAGTTTTTGGCAGAATCGGAAAAATTTGTTTGTTTTCTTTTTTCCTCATTGGGCCGAGCCTTATCTTATCTGTTTAGGTAATCAGCTCGTGATGCACCTCCAACCTCACTTTTTGTATTCAGCTACCCTAAATCTCGGGATTTTTCTCATTAGACCTCCTCGAAACCGCGTGCGAGTGAAGACGGTTCACTATCATGTAGCTCGTTACCTTAGAGGATCGATATGGCACCTTCCTTTCTGTGAGTCATGATTTTCTCGACACCTCCGCCGTCAGTATCCTCACCTGTACTCCGCCGTTAAATCACAGCATTTCTGGGCGTGAACAAGCCATCCCGAGCTTAACATGACCAAACTCTGCCTCAAAAACCAACTACCCGAGTTTATCATTCTAGCTCGAGACAAAAGAAAAGCTTAAAAAATTGTCATTCTTTACCATGTCTGCGTGCACTCAGATCTTTGTATTTAATGATCTTCATGCGTCCTGTTACCTCACATGATTTGTCTTACCTTGGTCACTCATGGTCTTGACTCTCGAGGTTATACCCTTTGCATCACAAGCAAATCACACACCTGTCAAAAACATACAAAACTACACTCAATTAACGACCTTCGCGATTGCTAGCTGATGATGCCGTTTGCAAGACACGAAGCAAGCAGCGTCGCCATTGTCGTCGAGGATGGCTGCGACATCGTTGCCGAGGCGGACAGCCACTTCCAGCTGCGCATTGCCTCCATCTTCATCATCCTGGTAGCCTCGGCGATTGGCGCCATAATCCCCATTTTCCTCGCGCGGAAGAGCAAGTCCAGCCGCGTCCAAGAGCTCATCTTCTCCATCTGCAAATACACCGGCACCGGCGTCATCATCGCCACGGCCTGGCTGCATCTTCTGGTCCCTGCCGCAGCCGAACTGTCGGACCCATGTCTCGAGCCACGACTGGGAGCTTATCCGTGGGCATTTGCCATCGCCCTGTGGACGGTCATGGCAATGTTCTCTGTCGAGATTCTGGCGAATAAATTCACAATGTCAGGCCCTGCGTCTTCTACGGAAACCAGCCCATTCCCTACAATCAAGGAATCGGTCGAGGACGACTCCCGCACCACCAGCAGCGGCAAAACGCAAGGGCCACTGGTCACTGAAATTGATGTGGAGAGACTGGCGGCAGCCTCAGAAAAATCTACGATCCGGGAGCCAGATGATACGGACGTGCCCCATCGCTCCTGCGCGAGTCAGATGCTGGCACTGCTTATCCTCGAATTCGGCGCCATATTCCACAGTTTCTTCGTTGGCCTCACACTCGGAACCACCAGGCAGCTCGTCCTGCTCCTCATCGTTCTCGTCGTACATCAGCTGTTCGAGGGCCTCGCGCTCGGCGCTCGTCTGGCCGACGCACCGTGGCCCGCCAACCGACGCTTCCTGCGGTACGTCTTCGTCGCCCTGTTCGCCATTGCGACTCCCATTGGTACCGTTGTCGGCATGACGGCCCAGCCAGGCAGCGCCGTCGCGCAGAAATTGCTTGGTGGAGTCTTCAGTGCGGTCAGTGCCGGGATTCTGTCCTACACTGGCATGGTCGAGCTCCTCGCCGGCGAATTTCTCTTCAGCCAGGAGATGGTCGAGGCGTCTACGTCCAAATTTGCTGTCGCGTTCATCTCGGTCCTAGGTGGGATGGTAGCCATGTCTGTTCTGGCTGTATGGGCATGAGATCACAGGCGGGCGTGATTCATGGTCCTTGAAATTATGCGCGGTATCTTGGTCATGTCACAGGCGTTTTTTCTTATTTCTATTTCTATTTGAAGGACAATATTGATTTTACAAGGCAGGCTAGGGATTTTTATTTTTAGCTCCATCATGATATTACGATACAGGGTTGGAGCGTGAGTGCACTAGAAGGCGTGCGAATCGCATGCTAGAATAGAACAGATTTGCAATTAGCTGTTGTTATTCATATTATGCAGTGTAATTTGTGTTTTCCAAGTGAACGGCACCTCCCTCACCTTAATGCCATGACTCAGTAATTTCGTAAGGGTAAGTCTTGATTGATCGCCCGCCCTGGAAGATCCTGTCTTCAGGAACGCTGTTTGCGGGATGATGGGCCAATCCCGAGTGCAGAATTCCTCACAAATGAACCTGATCTTGACCATTTGCGTGTAGTCTGAAGCACTTGATTGGCTGCTCGATGTACAAGGCCCACCTACTGGCACTCGTTCACTCCCTTGACGATCCTTGTCAGAATGCAGCAAGCATCTCCATTCCGGTGCCTTGACTCGTGGATCGGAGCAGCGACGGTAAGAGGCCAGTTGAAGTTGTTTCATTGCATCACATATCTACTATTGTTCTCATAATCCCCAGGTAGGAAAGATCAGTCGGTGTGACTCGCTGTGGTATCGGCACTTGATGGCTGTTGGGTTGATCCATAACTAGCAGCATCCACTCATTCCCAGCCACCACCAGCCCAGCCATTTCTGCAACAAACCATGGATTTTATTGCAATTAGCCTGCCGTGTATCCCGTAGCACAGGTCTGGATCTCGCACATCCCGACCAAGGGTCCTGGACAACGGGCCGAGTCTCGGAACCACACTATGGCTTCGGAACCTAGTGGTGGATCTCACCTTGACTCCAGACTGAAAAAAAATTCCAAAAAAATAAAAGACAACATACAACAGCCGGTATTCGCTGGTCGTCACCGACCCAACTACTAATCGGCCCCTCATCCGTTTAACTAGGCGAGAGCGGACGGGATCGCGTGTTCTCGAATGGGTATGGTCGTATGTGACAGTCAGCGTTTGTATGTTGCCTATATTCCTACGCTATTGTAATAGGGCATATTATCTTTGAAGATAGACCAAACTGGATGATTATCATGGACGAAAGAATCGCAATTGATGTCGTCTTAGACCTTATTTGTTTGAAAACGCCTTGTTTTCCAACGAATTTTGGCTACATTCATGACGAGGAATACAACATGGATCAACTTTCTTGTCAACTTATACCAGACCCCTTGGCTCACAATTTAGCCCTCTGATCACAATAGAATGCCAAGGCATAGTTGCTTGTCGAGAAAGATATCTTTGAACCCTTTGTAAAGAGGAAGAGGTCTCCAGATCTGGCCGTGACCTTTTGTCCCGTCTCATCTTCCACGACACAATCGCCCTCTAGAAAGAGCTTTGCTTCATCAAACTCATACTCAAAGACCAAAGGCTTTCCTTTTTCAATTCTGAAATATCCTGCAGAGATCGGAGACGCGGCATTGGTATCGATTGTTGACACAATGTCTTGAGACCAGCCCCGTTAGCTGAGTCTTTCATGAAATCAGTTGAGTATTTGGATTGTATACCTCCTCCGAAGGCATTCCCGCTTCCATCTATAGGCGGTGGCTTCACAGATGAGGCCTTGGGTTTGTACTTGAAAGGCATGGCTGAATAAATATCGTGGGTGACGTTTTCAACTCTCTGTGCTCTATGTTCCGCTACAGCCTGGGCGTCCGTATCTGGTATTTAAGATCTCGCAACTACACAACAAGCCCGCGATGAATGCATCCAATCGGAACTCCTATTATTGATTCCGGGCATTCCGACGACTCATTGTAACATGACCTTGTCTGTATCATGCTTCGGGCTTTCGTAGACTGATGATAAGTCTCGTTGTTGAGATGGACCTCGCACTTCTGACCCCGATTAGGAATAACCTCATACAAAATATGCCGCGTCGCACTTTTTGGCTACTTTGGGCATATCATCGTTGATCTCCACACTGAGGTCCAGCCACTGACCTCTTCACGGTTAGTACATGGGCATTGTATATATCATGGAGATTTCACGCCGTAGATTGTAATAATACCGACCTGAAAATCCAAGTTTTCTCTTCATAGTCACTAAAACACTCCATGATGGCAAGCTCTAAAGAAGGATATCTCTGGACACCAGCCGGCGAGACAGTCGGTCTTGTCAGTGACGGTGTCGTCTCATCCACACCTCAATCAACACTTCGCGATAGCTATGACGTGGTAGTAATTGGCGCTGGCTTCGCAGGTCTCGTTGCAGCACGAAACATCAGTGAGAGAACAGATCACAGCGTTCTTCTGCTCGAGGGACGTGACCGCATTGGCGGGCGCACCTGGACTGCAAAAGCCCTCGGAGAAGAGTTTGAAATGGGAGGCACATGGATCCACTGGTAGGTTCTTTGGGGTGTCATCTCAAAGGATAGAGAATCGCCATCTAACATCAACTATCATTAAGGAACCAGCCGCATGCATATGCCGAGCTGCATCGTTACGGCCTTCAATCTATCATGAAAACCTCCGAAGGAAATCTTGATGCCAAGGCCAACTACTATACTCCAGCAAATGCTACTAGCCAAGAAATCAATCCTGAAGATGTGGGCCCGGTAATTCAACGAGTGGCCGATGCATTTTTCACTATAGATGGCCTGACCAGCCGTCAATTAATGCCATATCCACATGAACCATTTCGCCAACCGGCACTATGGGCCAAATACGATCATCTCAGCGCCAAAGACCGCTTAGACCAGCTAGATATCCCTCAGATCGAAAAGGATATATTTGACTCCATGATCAGTTCCCTTGGAAGCGTGCCTGGTAGCGGGTGCGGTTTCGTTGAGTGTCTGCGATGGTATGCGCTTGGAAACCACTCAATGGAGAACATGTTTGAGCTGGCAGGGCTCTACAAACTCGGTAAGGGGGGCATGAGTCGATTTGCCCGGTCGATCTTATCTGATTATCGCGGCCATTTGGTGCTGAACACCGTGATCAAGAAGATTGCCCAGACGGATCAATCTGTCCTCCTCCATACGCAGAGCGGGCACCAAATCCGCGCAAAATATGTCATTTCTACTATTCCGCAGTGAGCCTTTCCTTGCGGCCTCAATCATTTATATCTTGCTCTTGCTAATGGAACGATAGCAACTGTCTCTCTGACATAGAATTCCAACCCCCAGTTGCGCCCATGAAGCGGCAAGCCATTCTGGCCGGGCACATCAACCAAGGCGCCAAAATCCATTTCCACCTCGCCGAAGAAGAGCCTGGGTGGTTCTCCACGGCCAACGGCTACGGCGACTCGCCGTGGTGCTTCGCATTTTCCGACCATAACGGGACAAAGAAGAAAGATGGCACATATTGTATCGGGTTCGGATATGGGGGTTACTTGAAAGACCCCCGAGCCAGCAAGGAGATCATATCCTCGTTTAGAAAGTACCTCAAACCTGATGCACAAGTAAAAGCGTACCTGACACACGATTGGATGAACGATCCCCTGGCCAAGGGGGTTTGGAGTTGCTGGGGACCAGGCGGCATGACGAAATGGCTGAGGGAGCTCCAGCAGCCTCATGGCAGGGTGTTATTTGCCAGTGCCGACTGGGCGGATGGATGGCGAGGATTTGTTGACGGCGCCATTGAAAGAGGGGGACGTTCGGCTATTGAAGTTGAGGGTCTACTGCAGTCTGATAATCCAAGAGCAAGTTTGTAGCTATTGGTTTTTGCTGGGATGTTATCCTCAACACCTTCTGTCTCCTCTTTCGCATCTTCGGTACTTAGTTAGCCGACAAGATTGGTCATCGACTCGTTGTCCTGCTCTCTACTATTCTTCTCAAATTTATGTATAGTTAGTCTGCTAAAATGATATGGTTTTCACATACGCTACTGCAAAGCGTGGTGGAAATCTTTTTACTTTTCGTTTAAGCAAGCCAGCAGAACGCGTCAACGCGATTGTTGAAACCCCGCACTGACTGAACTATGATTGTCTGTGGCCATACATCCATTACACCTGGAAAAAATAATAAACAATCCGAGTTCTAGGTGAAACTCTATCGTCAGTCGCGTTTGGTCCACCCCTTAAATATAGCATTTGGGGCCACGTCTTCCCCATACACGTTCGGGCTCTCTCTAAATCTTCCAAACTGAGGAAAGAAAACAAAAACCGTACAAGATGAAACTTGCCATAGTACTCCTTCTCGCCTCTCTTGTGGTTTGCTTCAAGCGGCCAGGGAGGCCGAATATTTTCATGATTCCGCACGGTGAGAAGATGACCAACGGCTCCGACCGCTTAAGCGAGGCCGGCCTTGCACGTGCTGAGTGCCTTCGTGAAATCTTTGGGCCCGGCTCTGTCTATAACATTGGCTTAATTTTAGTCCCGAAATACCATTTTACGCGTAAGTCCCCTTGTAATAAAGGATGCAGACACGTCACTGAGAGACAGTAGCTGGTATCGTCGACAGATTGGGATACGACACTATGACTCCTCTTGCCGAGGACTTGAAAATCAACATTCGTGCAGGTTGCGCCCGGATGACCTACGGCTGCGTATTAGAAGCGATTGACTACTGGGTTGGTACTGGTAAAAATGCTCTCGTCTGGTAAGGTTTAGGCCGTTGACATGAACGAAGTAAACCGACACTGACAAATCTCCGTGTAGCTGGGAACCCAAGCTGCTCGGCGGACTGTCTCGGCTGCTTGGCTTGAGACGTCTTGAGAGATACCCGTCTGGAAGGCATGACATAATATGGGAACTCACCCCATGCCGTTACTACATGAAAAGAAGGACTCTTCAGAAATGCCCAGGCTTAGATGTTCCTTGGGTTAACCTGGACTCGGAGGATGAAAACCTGGGCTCCGAAGACAAGGGCTCTGAAGAAGAAATAGAATCATGGCAAATAAGGGCATCAAAAGTCTACAACGCAACCGTTGGCGTCAAGTAGCTGAATTTAAAGCATGGCACTATAAATCCTTTTCTTGGAAGAGAGGGGTCGAATTTTCTTATTATTAATAGTAAATAAGATGAAAAGAAAATAATAAATTATCCCACGATATTTAGCCTGATATTGTGTTCATTACCAGATTGGTTGTGTTGATATTGTATCGAAATTTAGTTCTAGGTTTACCATGTTTTGTATCAGCCGCTTGAATGGATAGTATAGGGGTCATCAGTCACTGGTTCTGCTTCATTTCTCTACTCGAGATTGTTATTCATTTGCAAGTCTATTCGCAGATTCTTGACTTATCTGTGATATACTTCAAAGACAGATAACTAGGCCTTTCATTCAACCAAACAGCTGGTCCTAATATTATAAATAAACGGCACTTACTGATTGCATTTATCTGTTCGTTAAAATTAGCCCATCTGAAAGGGCGGTCAGATATTCATTATACCTACCGTGATGGGAAACGCATTACAGTAAACATTGCGTTTGATGATCCTCGCAAGCGAGATCGCTGCGCATGATGTTGGTTCATTATGCGTGAATATGTTTCTTCGAAACTTGTCGATAATAGCGGCTATTATTAACCCCCAGGCGGATTCACGAGGGCATGACTGTGGTGGAGATGAATCCAACCCGACTTCCTGTTTCTATGGGGACGTTGTCAAGGATGCCGAGGAGGGAGCAATAAGCCCCATCGCGATGCCGCCTCATCCGGTCTCAGATCAATTTTATTATCTAAGATCAACTCATTTATGGCCCTGTTTGGCTGCGCTTTGCTCAGCAAACGGCATTCGTCTCCGGCTTTTCTAATCCCTGCTAAAGGCATGTCGTCGCTCATCAAGGGGAAGGTTGGCCCGAATATGTGGGATTGCAACGCAACCCCAAACCTTGACCAGGAGATGGCCTTCAAAAAACCTCATACTGAGTGATCAAACAGACCGCCTGAAGACTAGGTTTCCTAAAAAGGTATGATACCGGATTTAAGAGCATGAATGTACGATCCTTGCAAGACGCGACCCCTGGGGAGTTTACGTGTTAAGGAATATATTCCCCTGGGTGTCCTGGAATTGGGCTCCCAAGGGTGTTTGAACTTGTTCAGCACCCAGAACTTCCCATAGAGACGTAATTCTCCATATTGTTTTGCAACCTCTATCTGTCATGGCCCCTCTTCCGATTACCACACATATCAGCAAGCTGATAGATACAGCTACCACACAGCCAGACCTACAAGCCTTGAAGATCCCCCAGTTCTCCGATGACGGAGCTTCAAATGGATGGGAAACGATAACTTTCGCCCATTTCCTGCGCGACGTTGAGAATGCGGCTCGCTATTGGGCAAATGAACTTTCTCAAAAAGGAGTGAAGTACCGTGATGTGGTTGGAATCTGGTATGAATCCCTCCTATATACCACAATCGTCTCCCCAAACACAAACTAGTATTAATTGATGTGTTGCGCTTGTATAGGATCAAAGGGTTATCATACATCGATGCTGTGCTAATTTGGGGAATACTGAGAGCTGGGTATATCCCACAACTCTTCTCACTAAGATTGACAAGTTCCGATGTTATCTCGACGCTACTCGAGAGGACTGGCGGGAAAGCTGTCGTCGTCGAATCAGAATGGCTCAAAAGCGTCAACGTCACTCAGCCTAGTCTACCGGCAGTAGATACGAGGGCCCTAGATGTGAATAATTTACCACTACCTCCAGTCTGGGTGCCGGCCAGTGGCGATGACACTGTCATGATATTTCATTCCTCAGGCTCAACATCTGGAATGCCCAAGCCGATTGACATCACTGCTAGGTGGTTGAACTTCAACATCCAAACGAGCCAAGACATCTTTGAGGCCATGTATACTGATGGTAGACGAAGTGTGATGTCAAGCAAGTGAGTTGCACAAGCAGAGTCAGTGAGATAGATCGCTAGGTGACTAACTCAATCGCAGTGGAAGCTTCTGCCACCTTGCTGCCTCTTTCATGATGCTAAGTTCACACGCCCGTGGTGGGTGTGTGGTGCTCTGCAAGGGTATGCCTTGCACCTCACAGGAGATTAAAATGCTCGTCAAGGAACACGGTTTGACGAGCTTGTTCCTTTTTGCGTCATTCCTTGGCGACATCCTCCGAGAGGCGCGAAATGACAAGGAGTTGCTTGAGGCCCTCCAGAGCCTGACGGATGTGACCTATGGTGGTCTCCCTATCGAATCAGAAATAGCCAATTGGGCCCGAGAGCAGGGAATCAAGCTCACCGAGGGGTTCGGCAGTACTGAGATGGGCATCGGTTTGTTGTCAGTAGGAGGAGATGGGCCCGATGCCGCTCTCTTACGCCCAATCAAGGGCGCAACGTACAAATTTGTACCAATTCAAGACCACGCGACGGACGGTGACAGTGCGGGAGAGAAGCTCTTGGAGTTGATCATTCCGCCAGAGTGTCACAACTGCCCACCGAAATCTCTCCGGAACGAAGCAACTGGCGATTTCCACACGGGCGATCTCTTCGTCGAGGTCATGCCAGGAAAATACCAATTCAGAGGACGCAACGACGACTGGATCAAGACGCAGTCCTCCCTCCGCTGCGATACGAAAGCCATTGAGGAGAACGTTATGGAGCTCTGCGCCCAAGATCTGATTAACAGGGCTGTTGTGGTGGGAAGCGGGCGGCCATCTCCGTCGATTTTGGTAGAGCCAAAAGATGAAAAGGCGGATCATGTATACCTTCGCGAGGAGATTCTTCGCAGAATCACTCCATTCCATGAGCGGAGGTATATGCATGAGCGTGTCGACGACTCTCGGTTCATTCTTGTTGTGCCACAGGGATCTCTGCCCACGACGGCAAAGGGCAGCGTGCAGAGGAAAAATGTCGAGAAGCATTTCCAGGCTACTTTGGACCAGATTTACGCCATGGCTTAGCTTCGTTGATTGTAGGTAGATTGATAAATATACGCTGCTTATTGAGTTAGGTAATTTGACAATAGGCTAAATCCGTCATTGACTATCATGATTCATTTTTAAATTGCGGTCGTGTTTCAATGTCAAGAGTCGCTTCGATACATGCAAGTTCTCTCTCCCGTCTTGAGCAGTGCCTTGCCTGTTCATTCTTGGAGTAGGATGTTGTGTCTACGTTGACTAGAAACGGGCGGTTTTATTCCCGATTGGATAACAATCCTGATCTTGTAGGCCGGCCTGTTTATTTACCACGTTTACTACCGGCCTGGGCAGACACGGCGGTCGAGATCAGTGTTTCGCTGAGCTGCGGATGGCTTGGGCTATATGGTAATTGTGGTCCTTGGATAAACATCCCAATGGGGAAATGGTGTAGGGGCATCACGTTTGTTTTGCATGATCAAAAACATACACTACAAAAGGTCCGGGGTTCAAATCCCCGTTTCTCCAGTGAGCATTTCTTTTTTGGCGGCTTTTCGCTCATTCGTGTCATCGCATCGCACATGGGCAAAGCCAGCATATTTTTTTTCTTTTTGTATTCCGGCAATAGTCTTTTGTAAAACATGAACTGCTCATGCAACGAGTCGTTGCAGGTCTGGACGCTCCTCAATCTCTTGAAGGATCTCCGTAAAATCTTCTTGGCCCCTCTGGCTCATTTCTTTGATGTACGGTAATTGGTCCTTGAGCCAACCCATTTCCTGGCCAGCTTCAGGCAGCACCATACCACCCTCACGAATGCACATCATTGGTGTCAAGGTAACCATCAAAAGTCTCTTTGGGTTCATTTCATGCCGGGCGCGGCGCTGTTCGACAGACTCTGTGCCCCCATTTACTACCTCGTACCATGCATCTTCAATCTTGGCCGACAGGGCGTCGAAGTCGGCCTTCTTGCGAGCAGGGGAGATGCGCAGAATGCCGATGATGCGGTTCGAGGTCAGCGTGGTGGGCTTTCCGGCCAGAAAGGATGTGCCGTCGCCGGCATCTTGCGGCAGAAATTTGACGTGGACGAAGAACGAAGGGGTGGTGAAGGCCGCGCAATGTAAGTCAGTAATTGATTGCGCCAAGGCCTGGCGCTGATCCTGTGTCAGGGGACACGAGTAGTAGATTTGGTAGAAGGGCATCTTGACAGACAGCACAAGCCGTGATGTTCGGAGGGTGATGGCAGTGAGGGTAAGCCGTGGGTTTCAGTAAGGACTCAACCTAGTATCCACGCCGTGGTAGAAGGCGGGGTAATAGTCATCTGCCATCTGCGAAGAAGCCTCGGCCAGTGAGATGATGGTTCCGTTCGGAGATGTGGAACAAGCACAGAGTGACTGAGCTTACGCCGTACCGCATCACTGATGACTACGACTGAAAGTTTCACTGCATTATCGTCCCTCCGAAGCCTCTAGAATCACCAAATATAGTACTTATTACTCGATAACATAGACAACCATGCGCGAAAGATGAGTAGCCTGGGGTGTGGAGGTGATACCTGGTTTGATGCTCTCCGCTACAGGTCTGAATTCTCAGCTGGCAATGATGTTGGAATAAAACAATGGATACAGGAAAGACATGAGATCGGCTGTCGAAAGATACCACTGTAATCGGATTTGGTAACCTCCATTGCATATGGGATTGGGATTGATTCAACCGACAAGCTGGATTTTAACGCCGATGATGTCAAATTGTCTCTGCAGCTGGAGCGGATCACAAGTGTGACACATGACCCGTTGATATCCGAGTGGGATCAATTGAAAGCTGGAAATTTTCCGACTGCGAACTCTGTGTGCGCCTTTGAGCGTGTTGGGACAGCTTGTACCATCGTCTGTTGTAACAGTTCGGCATGTGCATCATCACGCCGGAATGTAGGGCCAGAAAAGATGCACATCTTTACGACGCTGAGTCTGCTAATATGGCAGCTCTTGCACGGCATATAGCCGTACATCCCGTCCAGCGGTGTGCCAATGTCGCGGGCCAGCCTGCTCATCATGTCTGAGACGGCGATGGCCATAATGTCTGAAACGGGCTGGCGGAGGTTGGACGTGGCTGTCTAGAATGTCGGGCCTTTGGAATGTGCCAAGGCTGTGATGGGAGGACGAATCCAATAGTGTTGAGACTCCTGAGAGTCAAACAGGGCGTACAAGTGAAACCCTACGAATCAGGCAGGCTCCATCACAATCCCTAATGGTGGAGGATGAGAACACCAACCTCAGATGCCTAATTCCTGAATCCCGCGGGGGCTGGCGGTGAGTGTTACCACGGACAGCCATTTTCGTTCAAAGAGGACTGAATCTCTACGACAAACAGATGCTTCCATCTACACACTGAATGTCCTGGATACTTTGCCTCGCTCCAAATATACACGAGCAATACTCATTCACTTACGCCCCGTACTCGGACCGACATCTAAGACAGAGTGAGCGGCGGCCACCCGCACCCAATCTCACTTTAATCAGCGCTCAAATGCTGTCTCGGTCGCTCATAAAAGGCGCACCCAAGTCGTAGAAGGCACAAGGAAACGTCTAAAGGCTCGCCGTGCCTTTCAAACCATGGAGAAAGAATTGTTAGTACACGACAGCCACGACCACAAACATGATGACCACCACGACCACGACCACGACCATCACAACCACAACCACTCGCATGATGATGATGGGCATGCTAGTCGAAGCCATAGCCATGGAGGCTCCTGCTGCACCGACAAGACTACAGCAGTTCAGTACAACGAGGAAATAGACATGGAGAAGGCCACCGAACACGAGCTGGTCTCTATCGCCATTGCCGGTATGGATTGCACCAGTTGCGCTGATAAGCTGTCACGAATACTCGTTGCGATCCCTGGTGTCTCCCAGGCTCGGGTCAATTTCATTGCTGGCCGCGCCGACTTCACAATTGACAATAAGTTGACCACCGCCGATCAGGTTGTACGTTCAGCAGCGTCTGGCTCCGGGTTCCGACTAACCCGCATCCTCGGGGGCGAGTTCTTCATCGATGTCCATGTCGATCCTCAGAATGGCAAGGCGCTCGCCCGGGAGCCTCCGCAAGGAGTAGTGGATGTCCATGTGCTTGACAAGAAAACCCTTCGCTTAGTGTATGATCCGAGAGTTATTGGCGCCAGGGCCCTGTTCAACTCAATAGCTGCCAATACGCAGGGCCTTGCTCCTCCGCGTCCAGACAGCCAACTCGAAACCACCCGACGTAGGCTGGACGACCAGTCGATAAAGACAGCGCTTGCTGCTATTTTCACGATCCCGGTTCTTGTCCTAGCCTGGCGGCACGGCCTGGTTGAAGACAGAAAGAAGGCTATCGTTTCATTCGTTCTGGGTTCTATCGTGCAAGCTATCGCCGTGCCCGAATTTTATCGCCCGGCTCTGTCGACTTTATTTTACAGCTATGTCGTCGAGATGGACATGCTAGTGGTTATCAGTATAACGGCCGCCTACGTCTACTCTGTCGTGGCATTCGCTTTCAAGATGTCTGGCAAATCCCTCGGCAACGACCTCTTCGAAACCAGCACGCTACTTATCACGTTGATTCTCCTCGGCCGACTCATTGCCACAGTTGCCCGCGTCAGGGCCATTTCAGCGGTTTCGGTCAGATCAATGCAGCCAACTAAAGCCATTCTGGTAGAGAAAGGCCGTGATAGTGAAATTGATGCCCGACTTCTACAATATGGCGACCAGTTTAGACTTCTCCCTCATTCTCGTGTCCCCACGGATGGGACTGTGCTGGAAGGATCTACTGAGATAGACGAATCGATGCTCACTGGTGAACCGATGCCAGTTCTCAAACAGACGGGTGATGCTGTTATTGCTGGAACTGCGAACGGGGACGGCACGGTGCTCGTCCAGCTAGACCGGCTTCCAGGAAGGAATACAGTCACTGATATCGCGCAGCTTGTGGACGACGCAGCAAATTCCAAGCCCAAGATCCAAGACTTGGCAAACAAAATAGCCGGCTGGTTTGTCCCGGCTGTCTCAAGTATAGCGGTGATCGTCCTGGCTGTGTGGCTTGGTATCGGCGTCAAGATATTCCACCATACGCCTGGACAAGCTGTGCTCGAAGCCGTCACCTACTTTGTTGCAACTTTGGCTGTAGCGTGTCCATGTGCCCTTGGGCTCGCTGTGCCAATGGTCCTCGTGGTTGCTGGTGGTATTGCTGCCCGCGGCGGTGTCGTGATCAAATCAGCGGAAACGACCGAAAGGGCCCGGAAAGCGACTGATATTATATTTGACAAAACGGGAACTATTACAGAGTGTGAGCTTGAGGTAGTTGATGAGAGGTATTTGACGAACGAGACCGAATACGTTGCTGCTCTGGCCTTGGCCTTGGTCGCCAACGGCAAGCATCCTGTTTCTGCCGGAGTGGCCAAGCATCTCCTGACGATATTAAAAGAGAAGGACTCAACAAGCCTGCTGGAGCTATCTGATGTTCGTACCATCCCTGGGGCAGGCATCGAAGCAAGTCTTGATGACAAGCTAGTGAGAGCTGGGAGTGCTCGATGGACCGGAACGGACTCGCACCTTGTGGTCCAGGCCTTGGAGGGAGACGGGCTTACGACGTTTGTCATTACAGTGGAATCAGAGCCCCTGGCAGTTTTCGGTTTACGTACACAGATGCGGCCCGAAGCACGTCGAGTCATCAGCCAACTGCTAGCACGTGGTCTAAATGTGCATCTCGTGTCAGGAGACCAGGGGCTAGCTGTCAAAACCGTCGCCAGGGCCGTCGGGATCCCAGAAGAGCATGTTGCAGCCGAGTGCACACCGAAACAGAAGCGCGACTACGTGGCTTCGCTAATGCAAGATAGTGGCCGCTATGTCGTATTCTGCGGCGACGGGACCAATGATGCCATTGCCGTTGGTCAAGCTCACGTTGGCATCCAGGTTGGGGGCTCACTGACAACCAGTGATGTGACCCAAACGGCCGCTGACGTCGTTATTCTCAACGGATTGGAAGGCGTATTGTTTCTTCTCAACGTGAGCCAAGTGGCGTTCCGGCGAATGATCTTCAACTTTGTCTGGTCTGCCATCTACAATGTCTTTGCCATCACGATGGCCAGTGGTGCGTGGGTGAAGTTCCGGATACCTCCGGCCTATGCAGGGCTCGGCGAATTCGTAAGCGTTCTGCCTGTGATTGCAGCTTCCGTGAGCATGCTGTTACTTAACCTGAGGCCAGTTACTGCCCGCCGCCGCGACGGTTAGCTACTCAAGGTCAGAACGTGTGAGAGTGTGACGGTTCCAAAATGTTTCTGGTTCAAAGAGACCCGTTCCGTGGAAAATGATGAGGTTACGATATTCATGTCAGTAGCGAGTTGAGGCAATGCCACGGTATTGTTAATAGCTGATGAGCGAGGAGTCGCAGCAGGGCAGTGAGTGAAGCACAATACATGAGTGGCCCTTCTCAGCCAGCGGGCGACAGTTCCATTTATTTCTTAACATTACTTGCATTTCATAAAATCATATAACGAAAAACGCGGGCGCATTAATGCAGGCTGTGTCTTGTGTTGATGACTCTGGTTTATCGTTTATAACTTGGGAAGGTGGTTCAAATATTCTTAATAGAAGGCATTTCCTACGTCAAACCTGGAATATCATTTGTATCCCACGCTCCCTGAGAAAGAGTTACTCTAACACCGAAATTACAGGCGTAGGCAACTCCTGTTGGTATGAACATAGGAATATAGGTGGCGGGCTGCAAACGGATTAGGACCGTGTGATGTTCCGGAAAACGAAACATATTCCTCCTTCATCTGTCTCTAACCCCGAGAACCGATTTAACTAATCCCACTTTTAAATTACATTAACCATACATGTACTGGTGCTTGCTTATTCAGGAGAGTAGTGGTGTACAGTGATATCTTTCTGGACATGGATTTTGGAAGGCCCTATAGGCTCCAAAGGAAGCTCCGCCTCGACGCTGTGCTTGCGATATGCCCATGCACCAGAGTCTATGTCGCGGTGGCTGTCTGTCCACGGTCCTGAAGCTCCCTGTTCTGACTCGCTCATCTTAAACGCAGGACCAGAACCCTGCCTTCTTCCAGAATAAGAACTCGAGCCGACCGTATCTGTACGATTCCTGAATAAGGGGCCTAGTGTGGGAAGACAGGCACAGATGATGCTGAGGCCCAGTTGTACCATTGACCAAAAGAAAATGGTTGCATCGATGGCTAACATTAGAACAGTTAGAACTCGCGATTTTCTTCTCCGCATTGACGTGAATACCGCACCTTTCTTTATTTCGACGAGACGTACAACGCTCGCAATACAGGTGCTGTCGGAAATTAGTTGATGAGAACTCATGCGCGCTCATAGATGGGAGAGATAACAAACCTGGCGCCCAGCAGGAATATGCCCATTACTGAAAATTTCTTCCAGGTGCTCAACTTCAACTCTTGAACGGCAAAGACCGGGATCGACAGAATCAAGATATCGTAGAATAGGTTCGTCGATTCAAACGGGAGAAACACATAGGCTGTATGTATGCAGAGCTCGGGTGGGTTGTCGGTTGTCCAGCTGTCGACTGGGTTCTTGCACCTAAATGCACAAAGAAATGTAAAGGTGATCGCCCATAGAACACAAGTTCCCGAGACAATCGCTATGAATTTCTTGTTTCTTCGATTAACACCGAAAATGTCCCAGAGAAGTGCCAGGATGCTGAACTTCACGATGGCATAATCGAAGGTAAATACAAGTTGGCTGATATAACTCATCTGGATAGTTGAATGGTAATTAGCGGGCGAGCATCAATCTAATGTGCAACGTAATGACCTTATAAAACTCCTGAAACCACATGATATGGGCGATATCAGTTGGATCAGTTATCGGATGAGGCTTGAATACACCGTCGACGGCTGTATTTCGAAGATCTATCTTGGACTTCGGTCAGCACCCATTCGTCTGTGCCCTGATCACAGTTGATGGGCCTCAAAAAGGAGAAGCTCAGGCATTTGAAGCATGGGCAAGGAATGTCTGACAGTCAAAAATAATACCGGCTGCTGCAGTGCTCAGCAAATATGAAAATAAACATAACCCATCGCTCAAATAATAAAAGATGCGGGCCTTGATTCGAGCATATGCTCTCAAAAGCACCGCAATCGTGGTCAAGATAAGCATGATGATGTTAATCACCAGGACCAGCTTGGATTGTCCATCATAATGCGCCATCTGTGCAACTGTCTTCGGGCACACCACGATATTCACTGGCTTCCGGGTGACCCGAGTATCTGTAATCGCCCCAATCGTCGCCGGCGGTTGGTTGGTAGCTGGTTCGGCAGCAAAGCCTAGAAAGGCGATGGATAGAACAAACGAGGAATGTCTAATCGCAGAAGACTTGCAGTGAGGGTTTGATGAATCATATAACCAGAACAAATTCAATTTGCAGCTATGTATCTGTCACATGTCGTTCTATCCTAGGAAGGATTATTACGTTGGAATCAGGCAGTTATTCTCAATATTTCATCTGTTGGTTCTTAAGGTCACACTGCATGACTGCCATAGAATTCCCGTTCAGGCATAACATCACGGTATTTTGATGGCAGATATACACGTTGGTCTGCCGAGCCACGCGTATGGAAATCAGGTCAATAAGCATGCATTTGTACTTCAGTTCTAAATCCAAATATTAGGGACAATCTCCGATCCTGAAAAACTATTAAAAGAATCATGCCCTCCAGAGCCAACGTACACTCAGCCAACGACATTCAGCTAACGTACATTCAGCCAACAGCACAAATTATCAGATATTGTCCAGAACGCCATACAACTGGTAGGCTTCTTTCATAATATTAAACTTTCGCATCAAGTATTCGTTCCATATATTCGAATCTTTATCTAGTCTCAAAGATCCAAAATGCCCGCCCCGAGAGCCAGCCTACAACAAACCGCAGACGACTTCGTTGCGAATCTGAATAAATTTACCAGTGGAGAGGCTTGGTCGAATGGACGAACTCCAGATGCTGTTCACAATGTTCACCCGCTTTCACTTACATTCCCCCCGAAAATGGACAACGATGCGATGGCCGAATTCCTCGGAGGAACACTCGCCAAGGTTCAAAACCTTAGAGTTCAGCCAGTGGAAAACACGACCGTTCTTATTGACGAACAAAACAATATAATTTCCCTCCATTTATTGGGTAAAGGGGATACCTCTGCGGGGCCTTTCACTATGGAATACATCTTCACGCTTAAGACAACTGATGACGGAAAGCTGGTTCGTGAGTCATGGGAATTTGTTGATTCATTGACCGCCACTCAAATGGCAAAGAGCGGCAAGGAGTAGGCGTGGAGACCCATGTCCGCTTGAGGACGGGGACATCATTAAACTAACGACATATAAGGCTGGGTATCTAAGATCTTGGAGATGGTACGTTTAATTTATGGTGATCCTTAATATTGGTTGCCGGGGCTATTTAGCATCTGAGCGAGGGGTTGTACAATCTGGATCAGAACAGGAACTCGTCTGTTCTAAACCCTTACATTTAAAACATTTGCCATTAGATTTTAGGGAAAAGGCCTCAAGGCAAGAGATTGCTTCAAACATCGCAGGATCCAGTGACTGAGGGCATGCAACGTTAAACAAATCTCACGAATACTAAGCCCCGGTCGTGCTGTTGACATGCTCAAATAGCCACTGGATGAGGCGCTTGAAAAACCTTTCACATATGACACTCAATCATTGCGTGAGACATTAGTGACGAAAGGATCTTTCGTCTGGCTTGCCCTGAGCTGAATAACAATATTTGAATAGATAGTCCAAAGGATTTTGCGTTGCCTGTGTATTCCTTTAGAGATATAGACCCCAGTATTATACTCTAACGGATTGCCAAACTTGGTAAGAGTACGTTTGTTCATGGAAAAACTTGGTACTATTGCGTAAATCCACCAACACTTGGAGTAGAGTTCCGCTATGATTGTACGGTTGCAGTTTGAACAGGTTGGTTTTGCTTCCTACATGACGCGCTTTATCGCCTTTTCCGCGGATTTCGTTTTCCAATTTTCACCTAAACTCAGAGCCGTGACTCATTTCTCGAAACCTTATCAAGAAGAATGAATGTATATGTATTAAGAATTCCCGATGGCCGCGATCTGTTAAGGGATCACTCCTACTCTCTATCTCACACGTATCTATCAAACCACTGTATCGTGATACCTGCCCTGAACATCCGAAGAGAACACATTATATTTGCCGATATTGAATACAGGCAGGAGAAAAATCGGCACCTGATGAACCAGGCTATTTTGAGTATTCCTTCCTGCCGCAAGACTGAACACTGCAGAGGTGAATTAGTGACGGCCGTCAGAGGATCGATTAGTAAATGCAATCTTGAAGACACCTTCACAACCACTGCTCTTTTCTTGATAGTTACCAATGATGCAGAATAGAGGCCGTGTCTATAAGTGACTTTGATGTCTAGAACATGAGTGATTTTGACCCGTTTGCCTCCATACCGGCTAGCTGGCCCTTACTAAATCCAAAAAAGGTTTTTAATCATAGACCTTAATACGGACATACCTCCCGTCCCAAGTCAGATGAGAGTTCTCAACATAGTACACACGACTAGGCCAGAGCCCGCGTAAGGAAGGCTTTAAGTATCTCGCTCATATTAATTCGCATGTGCATCAACGTAGGCAAGAGGCCCCTGCCCGTTAAATTAGACCAGTTTCGGCACGAACCTAATCGGATCTGATAGATCCTGCGTAGGCGAAGTGTACTTGTCCGACTGGGTATGCTGGAATTCGCGCCTATTATAACTCCGCCCCGAGACCGAAGCCTCCGCCGTCTTATTATGTCATCAAAAGCGATACATTATATAAACAAGAAAATGCATCCAGAACAAATGTTGCTTTTCATTTATGAGAAAAATTGGAGTGAATGAATTGTCTAAAGTACTGCCAAAATGTCCATACTTCTCAAGGGAGGAGTCTTGCTCATCCATCACGGACCTAATGACGACGTCCACCCAACCAAGGCCGATCTCCTGATCAGAGACTCAAACATCGCCGCCATTGGTCAAGATATTGACCCAGGCGATGCTGAAATTATCGATTGTGTGGGAAAGCTCATCTCCCCGGGGTTCATCGACACCCATCACCACGTGTGGCAATCTTGCTTAAAGGCGACTCATCCCAATGACACCCTCTTGGATTATTTCTGGAAAGGTAAGCTAGCGGTCTCAGAGGTTCCTTGTTTAGGCCTTATTGAACGTTAATATAGGAAACTTTATCAATTCCATGTTGGCGCCGGACGAGATTTTCTGGAGTCAGCTGGCTGGTGCAATGGAATGCGTCGATAGCGGAACAACAACCGTGGTTGATCATGCCACAGTCAACTATTCCGAGAAGCATTGTAAGCAAGTACGCCGAATCAGAGCTTCTGGGCCATAGCTGATAAATAACTTCACCTAGCACACGAGGCGTTGAGAGCGACGATTGGATCTGGTATTCGATCCGTCTTTGGGTATTGCCCAACACCTATTGTTTCCTCTTGGAACCCAGAGTTTAAGCTCGTACCGAATATGCTCCCGCCGTGGGTCATGGAGAATTTTGATAAGCTGGCCACACAAAATCCTTTTGGGCCGAATGGACGTGTCCGGCTTGGGTTCGCATTCGACGGGCTTTGGCTCCCCAAAGAATATCTGCAGCCGCTTTTTGCAAGAGTCCGAGAGGCAGGCGCGCAGCTTATTACAGCACACGCAGCATACGGAGCCTCTTTCGGAGGTAAGTTCCGTTTGTCAAGTTCTTTAGAAGGAGTCAACCGTGTGCTAAACTCAAACAGCGCCTCATGCACCTTCAACTGTAGAGAATCTTAAATCCAAGGATCTACTGGGTCCCGGGCTGTTGTTGTCGCACTTGACAAACCCGAAACCTGGTGATGCCCAGATCCTGGCCGAATCAGGAGCGACAATTTCCACGACGCCCTCTACGGAGCTGCAGATGGGCCATGGGAACCCCGTCTGCTTTGACGAGCATCTGAAGCCGGTCTCAGGACTCGGCATTGATTGCCATAGTGTATGCAGCGCATACATCCCAGGCCAGATGAACTTGGTCTTGCAGTGGGCTCGAGCACGAAGACATGAAGAGTTGGAGGCCGAGGGTAAATGGTCAAAGACGGTCGAATACTCAGTACGAGATGTCTACAACTTTGGCACCATCAAGGGCGCCCGAGTAATCGGTATGGAATCACAGATTGGAAGTCTCTCCGTCGGGAAAAAGGCAGACATTGTTATTTTCGACACGGAAAGCCCTGGGATGGCCGTTGCTGCGGACAGGGATCCACTGGCGGCCATCGTCCTCCACAGCTCGATTCGAGACATCGACACAGTTATAATTGATGGGATCGCGAGAAAGAAACAGGGACGACTGGAGAGCGTTAAGTTGCCTGTTGGGATTGATTCATCAAGTGAGGGTGAGACTGTTACCTGGAAGACTGTACTGGGGCGAGTAGCCGGCCTAGCCAAGGAGGTTGATGAGCGAAAGAAGGCTATAAATCCTGAGATTGCTGAAAATGGCGTCTTGCAAGCCTTTTATATGAACACTGCGGCTCGATGCTAAAATGACACATGTGTTTTCTGTGTCAGAGTGCATTCGAGGGTGAAGCCCCTAATAAAAACATGTATATATACGGCTGTTCCTACGCTTTCCTCGCCCCAAATGATGAATGAAAACTCTAAATTAATGGTCAATATCATCTAGCGAGAAATTCTAGTCATGCTCTCACATCAACGAGAAATATTCTCACTGTCAAGCCTACAGATTCCTAGCCACCGCACTAGAAATTAGGCAAATGACGGAAGTATGTCACTTGAACTGAAGACAGCCCTCAATTTTAGCCGATAGTCCAGGACTCTCTCGGTTTCCAAGTCGTCCTGTAGCCATACGGACTGGAGCATGCGGTGCACATTCTCCATTGCTACTGAGCCAGACCTGACGGCGGCCTGTCGTACGAGCTTCAGAAATAACTTGCGTTGCTCATCGTTGCGAGATTCTATTCCCAAAACCAACAGAGGGAATGGAATATGGTAGATCTCTTGCTGTCCTAGTATGGTTAAAGCTTTCTGAAACCATCTCTGAACCTTTACCGAAGGGCCAGAGGATCGCGTAGACGCTCGCTCTAGGTAGATAAGTGCTGCTAGCCTATACAGCTCAATCAAATCCGCGGGTGTATCGACGGTGCCCGCCCCAGTTGAATACGATGATTGTAGCGTTTCAAGTCTGCTTTCAAGCAGCTTGAGGGAATCCGCATAGCCGGCAGAGTGATAAGATGATGCTGAAGGATCTTGAATACTCTCAACTACCTCAGACAGTATTGTGACGATCTCGCGGGGGCTTTCCGCTCCATAAAGTGCCTAATATCAGTCAGAACTGTGCGTGTGATGCCAAACATTTCGAAAGAAAACTAACTGTTAGGCCAGTGCAGACTGTCGGCATCCCAAGGCGCTTCCTTGCAGGTAATTTCCAGTAGTCATCTCCATTGCGCCAATGTTGCAGACCAAACCGACACATGACGTGCTGGTAGGCCACCCAATCAACCATCTCATGTAGCTCCCTTCCGTTTGAGGATTCGATCAGGTTGGCGACCGTGAGGATGTGATTTGCTCCGCAGATATACCATGGCCATGTCACCGCCGCACAATTCACCTACTTCGTTTAGCTGTCCGAATATTTCATGCTAGATCCTGGAGAGGATCTGATGGACTCACCTCGAAAGAACACAGCAGCATCTGAGCTGCAACTTGCTGAACACCCGCTAGGCCGTCGATGACGTGCTCGCTTGAGCTCTTCAAAGCACGTAGAGCCGACAGCTTCAAGTCATCTACCTGTAGCGATGGCCCATAGCGTTGGATAGCGGACACCGTGAGAAGCGATTGCAGTACAGCTTTAGAGGCCGGTGTGCCATCTGAGAAGGCGAGGCGAAGAATGACGTCGCGAAAGCCTTCAAAATCCTGATGGAAAATTCCCATGGTCTTATAGGCAACATGATTAACTAGCCAATTCATGAATGTAAGACACTGCCCCATGCGCATTAGTTGATATGTCTTGGTTGCTCACAGTAGTCAAGAAGCGTCTCATTCCCATCAGCGATCTGAAATGGGCTCCAGGATGGCGCCTTCTTTAGCACCATACGTTCCACATGAACATTATGCTCTACAGAGCGCCCAATAGCAGGTCAGCACTTCAATATAATCAGGATCCAATCTCGTTTCTAGGGAAGTCTAACCGTGCAGGCCAGAAAGACTAGAGAGATGGTGATACATCTCCAAGTCCCAGAAACTGGCATTGATGAACCGGGCTTTTGTGTCGGGCCTTACCGGCATCAAGCTCGCCTTTCCAACAACTGCTCGGCCACTTTTCGCGTTCGGCCATGAGAGGCGGACTCCGTATCCTTGGCATTTGTGGTTGGATTTCTTGCACCTGGAACACTCTGGGTAGCTCCGGTCACACATAACCTTGCGCTCTGCTTTTGTTAGCCTGCACTCACAACCCTGTCTGTGGCAAACCACCCAGGTGCAGAACCGTAATCACAAGCGATACAACCCACCTTTGCAAGTCCAACATCCTCGGGGGCGAGTCATTCTTGGCGCAACGAGGGCAATTCGTCAATTACAGATAAATCAGTGTCTCGCCAGAAGTTGCCTTGATGCTGGTTTTGGAAGACTAGTTTGTTGGGAGCGCTGATGAAAGCTTATCTATTGCAGTGGAAACAAAAGGGTCTGGAACCGCTGATTAATGAAGAGAGACTGGTCAATCCTTTCCTAAAGTGGACGAAAGGCATCAACTTGCGAGCCGAGTCAAGCTGATTACTGCCAGGGTTTGACCTACCCACTTAGAGCTCTTTGCTAAGATGAGTGGACTTGACGAGCCATTCCTAAAATGGACGAAAGGTCCTCGTTTGCGAGCTGGTCCAGCGATTACATTTCGAAACTTTCGGAAAGCCTCAGACGGCTGCGGAGATGGTGTCATGACCAGCTGAGTTGCAATATGGACTATTGTAGAAGTCTAATGCGATGTTGTTTGTAATCATCTAATACTAATCTACAGATGTACAATGTTCCTGGTATCCTTCCTTCAACTATAAAGGGCGCCATGTTCTGTCGGACTCACAGCCAACAACAGCAACAGCAACAACATTCAGACAAAAAGCCAGATTCTCACTTCACATCACCATATTTCAGTTCCCAACGAAAAAGAACCAAGTCAATTTAACAATGGCTTCCTACGTTGTTACCGGAGTTAACAGGGGCATTGGAGTAAGTATTGGTGATATAAGCGAGAACGGTTTGAGTTCCATATACTGATGCGCGCCTGGCTAGTTTGAATTTCTTCGCCAACTGTCTGAAAATCCTAATTCAATTGTTATTGGGTTGAGTCGCAACAAGAAAGCCACTGAGGAGAAAGTCAAGGCTGAGATAGGCCGCTCCAACATACATATTCTAGAGGCTGATGCGAGCGACGCCGCCGCCTTGAAGGTAAGCCACAAATGATTTGGTTGATCATCTACTCTTGGGACTCAGCTCATAAATTGTTTCAGCAAGCTGCTGCGGATACTTCAAAGATCACGGGCGGGAAGATCGACTACGTGATTGCGAATGCTGCCGTCGCATCGGAATGGTCAGAGTATGGAAACGTGGAATCCTTGTAAGTTTCTCGACCATAATCTGGGCTCTTAATCGCCAGATCCTGCCAGAAACTGACAAAACATCGACCTCCAGAGGACAAGAGCCAGAGCGTTTCGAGAAGGACATTCTTGATACCATCAAGATCAATACCATCGGGCCTATCCACCTCTTCACCTTCTTCCTTCCGCTGCTGCGAAACGGTTCGGCCAAGAAGGCCATTGCGATTTCCACGGGAATGGCTGACGCGGAGATGATCAGCAAATTTGCAGTCGCCATCTCCCCGCCGTACGCCATCTCCAAGGGTGCCCTGAACATAGCCGTGGCCAAATTTGACGCCCAGTACCGTAAAGAGGGCATTCTCTTCTTAGCTATTTCTCCTGGCCTCGTCGACACTGGCAAGGGGGCAACTCGTGAGTACTCTCCTTCTACGTTCGAAGTGCTATTTTCAATCAAGATTCGTTGTACTAACAAGAACACCGTAGTCACCGAGGAACAAAAGAAAGGTCTCGGAGCAATGATCGCACAGTTCAGTGAATATGCGCCTAACTGGGCTGGTCCTATCACCCCTGAGGTGTCCGTAAAGGCAGTTTTGAAGGTTATCGACGAGTCTAGCATTGAGAATGGAAGTGGCGGTGCTTTCATTTCTCACTGGGGCAACAAGCAATGGCTTTAAGGTCTTGCGATCTCCATATTCTGAGAAGCTGAGGCATGAGGGGGTGCAAAGAGATTGTAGTCCTAAATCTATAGTTCAGTCGATAACGGTTATGTTCAGGTCTATTTGTATGGTGTAGGGAAGCTAAATACTTTGAACCCGGGGGTAGTTCCGAGGGACTGAGATCGAGTTTCCTGTCTTAAAAGCTCGATCACAATTTTTGTCATAACGCATATTGTGCCACAGCCGATGACAGTCTTATTTTAGATGGGGGAAATCCTTCTTACTGACTGCTGGTTTATTCTTGAAGCGCCAAGAGCATGTGCCGCAAGAACTCACTACACGATGCCTGTCAGCACGCCACTAGCTGAGGCCCGAAGGCGGAAAAGTCAGCTCCCCAACGTGTATAGATAGCGGCTGCCTCTCAAGCTGATGTTGGACTATTTGCCCCAAATTTTGGTTGAATCTGAGTGAAACTTATAACTCCTGATTCCTCTGCAGCTTCGATCATGCTATCCAAGTCGGCACTTCCTCTGCTGATAGCAGCAGTTTCAGCGCAACAGGCTTGCTATCGTCTTGATGGTTCCGAAGCGAGCCCAGAATTCGCACCTTGTAACCCAAACGCAGAGGTCAGCGCCTGCTGCCATCTCAATAAAGACGTGTCGGATATTTGCTTGAGCTCTGGTCTCTGCCTCTCGCAGCAGCCTGGGTACGAAGGGCTGATATATTCAAACGGCTGCACAGACAAGACGGGCAAAGACTCTGCCTGTCCCCAGCCATGTGCTGATAGTATGACTGCTGACGCCCCCTTATAATCAGCCTTCTTATTATTCTGGTCTTTGCTAATCAGCAGCCTCTCTACCGGGGAGTTTAGAGAACAGCAAGTTAGTTACTGCGTACAATGTTCTTCCATGTGCCCTTGGAAGGCAGTTCTTTTGCCGTGCCTTTGGAGATAACAATAATTGCTGCGGTGACATCGTAACAGTCGCAATAGGGTCAGTCGTGACAGCTGCATCGGCAACGCTGGCTTCTACCGCAATGACGACCGGGGGGGCCATTAGTGGAACTATCTCAACAACCAAACCGACGACAATATCTTGGGCCAACTCTACGGATGCTAATACCCTTGATACATGTCCTAAAGACAACTCTGTGGTTATCGGGGGTGCTGTGGGAGGGGCTCTCGGTGCCATTCTTGTGGGTTCACTAGGTACGATCGTGCTGCTATTCATGAGAAGGACAAAAGATATTTTGACATATTTTGAATCCATTATTCACAGAGAATTTAGAAATGCCAATGCTGAAGCAATTTTGATCTACCAGAGCTTCCCACACCAGGACCTTCAACATCACAGTGTCCAAAATCAGAGCCTCAAACATCAAGTTGCCCCTCATCATGGGCGGTATATGAGCTGCCTCAAGCTAAGTCATCGAGATCCGAGTTGAATGAGTAGGAAGGCATAGTATTAGAAAATAGAGTTGCGATTTTCTGAATTCTATTAATGAAGATCAAGCTTATTCATGCTTGAAAGACTGATTTTTTATTCTCTTACTCAGCGAGCATGACGATTGTGCTAATGGTTCAGTTTAATTACGGATACGGTTCAACGTACGTGCAGAGAAGGCACAATTCCGGGGGATGTGTCGCAATATTGGATTGAGTGAAGGCCCATTAATGATTCTATAGGTATATATATATATCAATATCGATATGATGATGGCCTGGCAAGAGCTTCGTTCATCTCCAGCGATGAAACTCGGGCAACGTCTCGTTTTGGATAAACTTGATGCCACTGGACTCAAATGCTTGGCGAAACACCTCGGCTTGCTCTCCTTCAATACCTCGAATCATGACCTTTATTAACTTGGGGAAGAGTTCGGCAGCTCCGGAAGCAAGCCCCAGGATATCCTGGTAAATGTGCTCGTGCGGTTTATGGAGTCCAAAAACCTGCAGCGAGCTTGGCAAGAGGCTCGTCAAGAGCGTTCCATCCGTCGTGGTGTCGTCGTCAGTCTCGACATAGACACATGTTCCGCAGAGTTCTAGGTTCACCAAGGCCTTCATGTCTGATAGCCCGCGCATGACTTGATCCTCATCGAGATCATCCCCATAGAATGCCTCCTGAAGGTCAATTGAGACGGTCTGCAAGGTGTCCCTCCGGACGAGGAGTGCGGTCGAGATGTCCACTGGGGTTGCCTCGCCCATTTCATTCACTGTGGCACCACCGGACTGATAGCGAAACGTCTTGAGATTTGGAAAACTCCTCATTGTGGTTTCCAAGTCGCTCAGTGTACTCCACTCAAACACAACCGTGGTGACATTCTCGTGGCGGAAATGGCTCTGTCCTCTACCCACCAGTGCGGAACTATTTAATAAACGACAATGCAATGTCTCCAATGCTGGAGCAGCCACCAAAATACCTGTCATGCCATCAAGTTGGACCCCTCTCGCCTCCCAATTCAGGACCCTGATTGTGGTAAGAGAGGGAAGCATGTGAGGGCGAAAGAAAGGTTTCTGGTTTAGGTAGCCCCCTTCCAACGTCAACTGCTTCACATTTGGCGTCTTTGTCATAATCAGCATTGCCAGAAACTCTTGAGCGAGGTACTCGCACATGTCACCCCCGTCCATTCGCCAGGGCAAATTATCGGCGTCCCACAGGCATATTGGTGACACTCGATCGCCGCGACTATTATAGATGGTCTCGGTTGCCATCTCAGCCTCGAAAAGCCGCCTGTCCTCGTCAGAGTTGACGGTCCAGTATCCAACAGCCCATAGATCAGGTCCAAAGACGAGTTCTTGCACTTGCTGCGCAAGATCTGGTCTCTGGACAATCATGCGAGCAATGGCAGCGCTGTCCCTCTTAATGGCCCATGGCATGTGGTAGAGGATGGGCTGCGCAATGTCGCAAAGTGTTTTACAGGTACGTGAGAGGTATGAGAGAGCAGCGAGGCCTTCGTTTGCGTCTTTGAGGGCCGAGGGTCCTTGGTTGTACGCGGGTGGCTCGGAACCTTTGCGAACGCAGTGCGTGCAGAGATTTTGACATATTGCCATTAAGGTCTCTGCAGGGAGAGTGAGCAGAGAGGGGGTGGCCATTTTCGAAGTCATTCTGCTATATTTGAGTTCCTGCTGGAAATTTACACAGAAAACAGAGCAGCCAATTGTGTAGGTAATAGAGATCGGAGTTCAAGTGTGAAGTTTGTTTGTCCTTGAATTCACGGAACCAAGATGTCAGCACCGCCTGTGTCAAATAATCAATCCCTGACTCGCAAACCCGCAATTCGCACACATATATGGATCTCACGTGCATAAATACGTGATATAATTCATTTAAGCCTACTTTTATAATTCCTGCATGGAGCTACTATTAGGCAGAGCAGAGGAACTCGATACGATATAACTGTTATTTGCTTAGTTTTAGTTTGGCAAGGTAATAGCCAGAAGACTTTTAATTATTAAGCTCTTAATACTTAAATAGTTCAGCGCATGGTTCGTGAGAAGCGTTCTGCTGAACTGTCAACCTAGCTCCTTAGATAGCTTGTTAGTTGAGTCAAGTCATTATCCACGAATCAAAATTAACATACCTTCTCTATTGCTAGATCGGCAGAAATTTTGTATCTTATAGTATGCGGGGTCCGGATATCTCGGCCTCGGACACAACTACTCCGAGTCAATGGACTCATAAAGATTCATCTCGGAGACACTGTTTCCGGGGGGTGAGGTATGACACTTCTCGGAGAATTCAACGGTCAAATTTAGCCGGATATTTCCGAATGAAAGTGGTTAGGAGTTTCATCATGAGTCTTCACCTAATTTAGCCGGGCGCGAGTACAAGTTGAGCTCAGCATTATCATAGATGGTTTTTTCGCTGTGAGTAATACTATTTTATCGAGACATTATCTCTGAATACCTGGCATCATGAAGATTAAATCGCTTCTCACGGTTAATCTCATTGCCGGCCTATTGTCAACATCGTTTGCTCAACAACCCTTATTGGAGAGATGCGGAGGCCAGGATTGGACGGGAGAGACTGAGTGTGTGGACGGCGCGGTTTGTGTGTAATGATCAATTGCTCCGTATTTGATGCTTCTGGAGTGTAGGAAGCTGAAACTTGAGATAGATTCGTCAACGACTCGTACTCGCAATGCCAGTCCGGAACTGCCAGTCAAAGCACGTTTAGTACCTCCATTATCAGCCAGTAAGAGCACCTCGGCCTCGGCCACAGTAAACATACTCTCCTTAACGGATGCAAGCTAATAAATACATAGAAGTACGTCGGGGAACTGTTGAAGAATAGCTAGATCTCTTACTAACGTTCATTCAACAGCAGCGACTGATAGTTCTGCATCATCGATTGCGATTACTAAATCTGAACGGCGCGATTCCAATGCTCCTGAAGCAGGTGGCTTCCGTGTGCGTCTCAACCCTAACGGTTTGCGGGTGTGGGAAGACCCCGACTGGCCAGTCTGGACAGTTCTGTCGCAAGCATCGCATTCCTACACTTCCAACGGGGTGACATTTACCTTGTCTACAGAAGGGACTACTCTAAAGGGGGCTCGCTACAAGTATGTCCAGCAGAGGGCCGCTGCTGGCATGGGGGAGAAGATGGTCGGCGAGGCGATGTCCTCCGACGCAGAGAGCATGCCGATCACGCTCACAATTCAGGGTTTGTCAGCCGGTACACATACTCTTACGACTTGGCATAATGCTCCCCATAGCCTGGCTTCCACTGCCGCCTTGACCATCTCTGTGAAAGGAAGCAACGTTTTATCGGTTAGTAGCTCTTGCGAAGGGTTGTTCCGCTGTCAATTAACTGACTGCCGTCTGTCAGAATCTGGCCCAGAGCATCCGTCAGGACAACTTGTGGGACTCTTCATCCTCTTATCTAACTTTTGACGTGGTTTCTACTACGGAGGAAGTCAAGATAATATACACGCCGGACTCTAGCGGCGATAAAAGAGCATACTTGAACGGTTTCGAGATTGACAAGGCCGATGTAAAGACTCAGATACAATTCCCATACCCTTTGCATTTGGATGAACATGTCGATTTGGAGGGCAAGACAAGTACCAGCATTTCATGGAAAGCGGCGAAGTCGGCAACATCACCTTCCTATAACACATATCTCGGAACCGAAACCGGCAATCTCAAGCTAGTTGATTCAGGCACCTCAACGTCTGCCACGTTCTCGGGTATGTCTTAACAACAACGAGTGAAGGCAAATACTCTTTCTATGCTAATGACCCACATCAAAGGCCTGAACACCGATGACTACTATTACTGGCGAGTCGATGTCGTCTCAAATGATGAAACCTTTGTTGGCCGAGAAAACATGTTCCGCATTGCACATTTGGCTTTTCCCGGAGCAGAAGGCCACGGGTATGTTTTGTTAATGCAATGGTGGCGTTGTCGCCAAGCTACACCGGCTAACGTCCTTACAGTCGATTTGCGCGTGGGGGAAGAGGGGGGAAAGTTGTCAAGGTGACAACCCTGGAGGATGGGACAGGGCCTGGAACTCTCAGGTACGCATTATCTGTGGCTACAGGCCCACGAACCGTAATATTTGATGTTGGTGGAGTCATCACGACAACATCTCGTCTGACTGTCAGTGATAAATACGTCACGGTGGCTGCTCAAACTGCGCCAGGAAAGGGTATTGTTATCCAAGGAATGCCCGTTGGCCTCAGCGGTGAGTCTTGTCTATCATATTCTTGCATATAATTCTCTTTATTAATCACCCCTCCAGGGGCATCCGACAATATCTGGAGGCACATGCGAGTTAGACCTGGGAAGGTGAGTCTTTCTCAGCAAATAAAACGAAGATGTGGAAGAAACAAAACTAAAATCAAACTACAATCAAGGTGTCAGGTGAGACCATTGATGGCATGGGAATGGCTGGTAGCAATTACGCCATCTTCGATCGCTGTTCTGTGGGCTGGACAATCGACGAAAGCTTTTCGTCTCGTAGCGCCAACAACATCACGCTGCAGAGAACTTTAATATCAGAGCCCCTTAATGTGGCTGGCCATAAGGTATGGTCCCGATACAACCTCGTTAGGCCTCCAGCTAACCAGACTTGAAACCCAGAACTACCCTGCTGGCACTGCGCACGGCTATTCCGGTATGCTTCAAGCAGACACCAGAATTTCCCCAATAGCAAGCAAATATTCGTTGCTAACTAGTTTTCTCATTTCTAGCTTCTGTGGGTGGCAACATTGGATCATTCCATCATAATCTTCTCGCCCACGCTGAAGGTCGAAGCTGGTCCATGGCTGGAGGGCTGGACGATGCAGCTACATTCAACGGGCGTCTCGACTTCCGAAACAATGTCGTGTATAATTTTGGCCACCGAGTGACAGACGGCGGAGCACACCAAGTCAATTTTGTTGGTAACTACTACAAACCAGGACCAGCAACTGGCAGCAGCATGACGTACGACCTGGAAGGCACCTACGAGGATGATGCTCCGGGTACGCAGACATATTACTGCTCGGGTAATTCCATGCCTGGCGTCTTCACACAGGTAAGTTGCTCCAGTTAGCGTCCAGGTTTCTGGCACCCAGTACTGGTGGTATACTCTTCGTACTGACCTGTTCTCTTTCTCGTCTAGGATTCAACTCAGTACGTAGGTGACGGCACTGGCCAGACATCAAACATTGCATGCAGAGCTGTGATAAAGTTCAGTCCTGGACCAACTTACCAGAAATTCTACGACAATGAATTCTTCAAATCATACGTGGAGACGCAGACGTCAACCGAGGCCTACAAACGCGTGCTCTCCGATGTGGGCGCCCAACAACCAGTCTTTGACGATCACGACACTCGCATTATTCAGGAGACACTCAACGGATCATACACGTACACCGGAAGTGTAGGAAACACAAAGGGGATCATCGATGACCCGGCAGATGCTGGCGGGCTGGAGGATTTCCCGTCTGTGACCCGGGATTCGTCGTGGGATAGTGACAATGATGGCATCGCGGACTGGTGGGACGGATCAACCGGAGGGGAGGGATACACACCCCTAGAAGGATACATCAACTTCATGGCTGAGCCTCACGTATATGTATCGCCATCAAAGACTGTCACGATTAATCTTGCTGCGCTGGCTTCAGGGTTCTCATCCCCATCATTCAGTGTTTCTGGACCAACCAAGGGCTCAGTCTCGCTCAGCGGTTCGGAGGCGTCCTACTCGGCCGGCGCATCCGCCGGTATTGATTATGTTACGGTCAACATCAAAGACGGCGAAGGCAGCACCTGGTCAAGGAAGGTGGGAATCGCCATATACGAGGGCGCAAATTAGCTGGTGAGTCAGACGTGCGGCTGTGTGCGCGACTCAACCAACGCGCCAGGGCCAGCAACGCGACCTTTATGCGCTTCAGCGGCTGAGCCCCAGGGATTTTATAAATAAAAACATTATTGATTACCGTTAACGTGGCCAATGCAAAAGTAATATTACCCGGATTAATGGCCAGGTTTGTGGTTTTGTTGAAGAAAATTTTTTCCATTTGCATTGCCGTATCCGAAGCTATTGATATGTTTACTTTTGGGCGGAAGAACTCGGCTCCCACAGTTGATTACAGAGCACTTATTTGAGCTTCCACACAATATGGAGTTCTTGGCTTCCGAAATTTGTGCATAAACAAACGTGCCCGGGGAATGACGACAGAGTGTGGAGAGCAGCATGGCATTTTGGCAAAGGGCCGTCCCGGAGAGAGTCTGTTTGCACTATGTACGTCATAAGAGCTGTTTGAGATTGCTACGGCAGCTCGTTCGTGCCCAACGACAAGGAGCATCCTGAACCATCAAGAGGAGCTTGCTGGATGCCGAGGCTGGATGGGGACGAGCTGGACTCCGACACACACTGAAAACAAGTTTCATCTCCACGGCTACGGCTGGATTGTGGGCGGCGCTAATTCAGGATCCAGAATTCCAATAGCGGCAGGACTGGGATTAGAGTGTGATCGGAAAGCATCCTGGTCCATGCCCGGATCGCCTCTCAGTGACTCTGGCGTCTGTGCCTGAGATTGAGCTGACCCGTGGCGGCCACGGTCTTGGTCCTCTTGGACTCCTTCTGTCACACTGTGCCTAGCAGGACCCTGCGTTTAATTAATTATAGTCCAAGGATATGCAGGGGTGATCCCACCAAATCAAAATTACAGGCGAAAGGCACAGCCCATCAGCCACCATCAATGGTCCATCATTGGGCCCGTTTACCCCTGCTCCGTCCAGAGGAATGTTTTTCGAGTCGGGCAGCAGCAGCCCTTTCTGGGTCTGTCTTCCAGAAGGCGGATTCCGGGGGTGGTTGGGCGGCCACAATGTCCCTTTTCTCCCCAGTAGGACAGAATCCGATGGATGCCCAACCGGATGCACATACTACTTAGGCCCGATGGGCTGCAGGTCTGGTACCTTTTTCCTTTCTGAACCATCCCATCCCAATCAATCACAGAATCGAGAGAGGCGCGCTGCAAAGCCGCGGGGCCAAGCTGCAGGTTACTTCAACCAGATCCGATCTACCCAGGACAACCCTCTTAATCATCTCAGCCATGGCCCCATCAGCGTCTGCCCCGCCTCCCAGCTTTGCCCAGCTGGAACAGGCAGCTCTCCACATTGTCCGGCTCATGAGTGACACGCCCGGTTTGGAGAACACCAAGCTGGCCGTCACTGGTGATCTGGCTGTGTGCAAGTATCTCCCCCAGCACGGCCGCGTTGAGGTAAGACATCACAACTCATCCCCCCCCTTGCCTTGAAGCCGAGTGAAGCTAACCGTCGCACTAAAATGATCAGAGCATCGACTTTGTCATCAGCAAGTCGTCGTCGCCCAGCCGGGTCAAGAAGGAGATCGTCAACCACCCGATGAGCCCCCTTTTTGAGAAGGCCGGCCTCGTCTACATCAAGCTGTCCACTGGCCAGCAGGTTGAAGTCAAGATGATCCCAGACTGGCTCAGCCCCTATCTCCCCGCCGCCGCGCGACCAGTGCGAGAGAACACCAACGCTCTCCCCTACATCTCCATTGACGACTTGATTGTCTTCAAGGTGGATGCCTGCGGCCTTCGCGAGCGTGAGGCGAGCAAGCGACAGGAGGCGTGCGTCGCCGCTGCGCTCCTGGAGCTTGCATCTGAGCATGGCCCGATCAACGTCGACGAGGACAAGTTGGACCGGATTGAGCAGGCTCTTCCGGAAATCCTTGAGTTCTGCGACGCTGAGCACGACAAGAGCTGGTGGCAGCGCCGACTTGGTGGTGTTCCCGACAAGAGGAGATCGGTCCAGGAGATCCTCTCTGATCTTGCTGAACATCCGACGTCGCCATCGGCAATGTCGTCTCCTCCTACTTCTCCCCGGGCCCCCCTCTCCAAGAGGTCGTCGATGTATTCCACCATGTCGCGCACCTCCTCATCCACGAGCTCCATCTCAAACCTGTCGACCTTTTCCTCGATGACCTCCATCACCACCCCGGATGATGAGATCAAGCCTCTTGAGAAGAGCACTCGGCCACGCAAGCTCAGCGTCACGGGACACTCCAAGAAGCACGCCAGGCATCCCTCCAGCGGTGTGGCTCCTACCAATGCCAGGCTTGAGGATGCCATCCAGCGTATGCACATTGGCCGCCCAGCCTCGCCTGGGGTTGCCCTCACCAACCAGATTTAACACTCATTCATCTCAATGTTTTCTTTTTTTCCTTGATTGTTTCTTAAGCGCATTGGCACATAGCAAGTTTTCTCCTACTCCCACTTCCATCTTCTTTGTTATTTTTCTTCTCTTCTCATGTTTTTGTCTTGTTATCTTGATGGTTATTAATTAGATACGGATACGGGAAACGAATAGCCTTGGTCTTTCACAGATACCCGCGACGAATGAGGCGCACATTTTTGTAACGGACTTTGGTAGCGTTTGTTGATTCATTACGGGACGGTTCAGAAAAGTTTGGAGTCTGGGATAGACAATAAAAGCAGGTAGAATTGGGGTTTGGTTAGACAAAAAGTTTTGTATCAACAGTAGTCGTCTTAGATGTATTTCTCATTACAGATAGCAATTTAATCTGGCTCAATAGATCGTGTTGACAGTCAACTGGAATATCCGTGCTCAAGTACAAAACATAGCTTAACCGAGGAAAAACACAAGTGCGTTAAACAGGGCATCAATTTCCGCTACTAACGTGATCGTTGCTATTGACATTTAGAACGGGTTCAATATGCCTGGCAATCGAACTGACCTGTTTCTGAAATACAAACACTCGGCAGGTTGAAAATCAACACTTATCAATAGGCAGAAAACAACAGGGTCCTTCATACGACTTCTATATCTCCATCTATTCTACAGTCTTTACTGTAAGTGGTTTCTTTTCGTTATCTACGATGTCGGCTTGTGGTTGTCCTTCCCCAACACACTCAAGTCAGCTTCCTGAAGGACGATACACCCCTTATTCAGAACTTATCCAAACCCAGGCAGATAAAAGCAACGAGAGCCAACTCATAATTAAGCAAGATAGTCACCAGCTATTACTACTCACATATAGCACGAGTGACACGAATATAGGTAGTATTAACTACCTAGTTCAGAACAAGGTCAAGAACACCTACGTTGGGCTTATCAAGCATTCTCAATTTCAAGGCTTAGTTAAGTCAAGAGTCCGGTCTACTATGTACTCTTCTCAGCAGATCTAGGATGTGGAAAGCCATTTCTTACTAAAATTCTTGTCGATGCAGTCTTGAGTAGAAACAATCTACTAATTTCTCTTCAACAGTGTGGCCAGAATAACACCCATCAGGCACTCTCTGCTCTACTTTGCCAGCCTTTCTCTTGGAAGGAGTATCTACTAAAGCAAGCCATAGCATAGTTTAAAATAAATGCCAAAAACTTGAACCTTCCAGCCCAATCCTCTTAGATCATATAAATACCGCAAAAGGCTCACTTACAAGGTCCATCATAATTTACTCAATGCCTTGGATGAATGTGTTGAACCAGACTTCATGAACTTGGTGCGGAATCTAGAGACTCAATTCTGCGAAAATAATCGAGGCCAAGGAAACCTCAAGTAATTCACTCTCAGCCGCCTATATCACAATCGTACAGCCAAGCTCTCCAACAGACTAGCCACATTCTACAACTTTCATATACGCGGAGAAGAAAAGCCAGATAAAATTAGCCACGAGGTGAATTTCATTATTGCATACCGGTTCAACGAACTAGGAAAAGCGAAGAAGCTATCGCCATATGTTCAAGATTCGATCAAGTAGCAGTTACATACCATCAGTCTCGGAGCACCACAGCGGCACCTTGGACCGATGCTCGACTTGATAGCATCAATTGGTGAGGCCAGGCACACTGACGTAAGAGGTCTCGGTTTCGTCATTGTCTCAACCCCTCTTTTACTTGAGCACTCCATCGGCTTGCTCTGCCCGAAGACACTCAGCTTCACAGACTAAAAAGAGTGAACGTAATTCTCGCACCATCAATCACGGAAAGCTCGGTATTCACGCAGCAGGGCACATCATGACACGGCACATCCTCATACTCGGCGGGCATGGCAAGATTGCGCAGCTGCTCACGCCGCTGCTCCTACAAAAGTCGTGGACAGTGACGAGCATCATTCGAACTTCGGAGCAGATACCTACTATTGAGGGACTGGTGACTGGCCATGGGAAGCTCAACGTCCTTGTCCGCAGCCTCGAGGACGTCAGAGAGGTGTCGCAAGCCAAGAGGATACTGGATGAAGTCAAGCCGGATTCAATCGTGTGGACTGCCGGCGCGGGCGGGAAGGGCCCTGTGGAAAGGGTGAGCGCGTGATCTCCCTCGCTCCCCTGTTTCCATCAGTCTAACGCGATAGACTGCAGACATTCGCTGTAGACCGAGACGCAGCGACTTGCTTTGTCAGAGCGGCTGTCGACACGCCAAGCATCTCCAAGCTTGTTTTGATATCATACCTCGCGTGTCGCCGAGCATCGCCCAGCTGGTGGGATGCGGATTCATGGGAATACGTCCGGAAAGTACATGCCAGCTCCCTTGCCGACTACTGCGAAGCAAAGCTACAGGCCGACCAGGTTCTTGTCCAAGAAGCGCCCAAGAGAAGCGACTTTGCCGCCATCAGCCTGCGGCCGGGGATGCTCACAGACGCGACGTCGGGGGGTGTTGAGCTGGGGAAAACAAAAAGCGCGCGGGGGAATGTTAGTCGCGCGTCTGTTGCGGAGACGGTCTCGGCTCTATTGGAGAATGAAGCCCTAAGCACATGCTGGTTGGATCTGCTTGATGGAGAGGAGGATGTTAGTACGGCTGTAGGTCTTGTTGCTCAAAGCAGAGTAGATGCAGCAGACGGGGAGGAGGCACACCCTTGATAGAGGGATGGATCCCAATGCTAAGATCACGGCAGAAACTTGACTAGAAATCAAATAAAAGTAAATGAAAACATTCCCAAATTGGATCTTGGTGATGCCTATGATGGGATCGTGGTGTTTGGAATTTCAAGTGAGATAGATGGTGGCTAGGGTATAGGGTAGGCCGTAGGATCGAAAAGGCGACGCTCAATGGAGTTTCAATTGACGAGCGGCTGTAACGCAGACCTGTTCTCTCTCCGGCTTAGCAAGGTGAGACAATTTGTTTCAGAGCCATGGTGAGCGAAACCCCCAGCGAGCCGCGATTCTCGTGCTCCGAGTGCAAGCTGCGCAAGGTCAAATGCGACCGCACGACGCCTTCTTGTGCGCGATGCATCCGGAACGGCGATGTCTGCCATTATCCGACGGTGCGGAGGCGCAACGCCCCTGGCATGGGCCTGCCGTCGCGGCCCAAGATCAGCGACCTGGAGAGCCGCCTCGGTGAGTCTTTCCAGTGAACATGACATTACGATGTGTTTAGTTTGTACATTGGCTGACTGCGATGCCTAGCCGAGCTTGAGGGGAAGCTACGCACCCAAGATCATGGGCAAGCATCGCGGAGCAGCGAGCTCCCCCAGACCCCAGAGTCCTTCGGCGGAGGGTCGAATTCATCCTCTTCTATGGCGTGGACGGGTCGCATGGAGCAGCTTCCAGCGCGGGAGCAGGTGGATGAACTGTATGCCATCACCGACTTCTCCTAGGTCTTCTTGGACATGAGAAAGGATGGTTCGCTAACGACAATCACTACGATGGTTCATGCAGGACGGACATCTACTTTGCAAAAATACATTGTACCGCACCCATCCTCCATCCTGTGCGGTACCGGGCATCGCTGTATCAGCCACCGCACATGCAGCCGCCAATGTGCCTGCAGTACACCGTCATGACCCTCGCGGCCAACGTGTCGTCGGCATACATCGCCGAGCCGTTCTACAGACGCGCGCGGAAATACCTAGAAGCCGACGAGATGATGGTGAGTCTGATTCATGGCCTCTCTGAGAAGGAATCCGCTGAATCGTCATGCGCTGGTTGGGTAGGATGACGGCTACAATATTACGGTGCCTCACATCCAGGCATGGATCCTGCTCAGTCATTTCGAGGCGCAACAGCTGTGGTTCTCCCGGGCCTCCATCAGTGTATCGAGGGCCGTCCGAATCTTGCAGATGCTCGGCCTGCATGCATTGGACGCGCCGCATGGCCCGACTCAGCGGACTCTGCTCCCGCCGAGGGATTGGTGTGAGCTCGAGGAGCGACGACGTACGTTTTGGGCTGGCTTTATGACAGACCGGGGGACGAGCGCCACTACGGGATGGCCCGTCCTGATCAATGCACACCAGGTGAGTGATCCTACTTGATTTGCTCAGTCGGAGTGGGAGTATCATTGGGAACGGTGGGACAACGGAGAGTACTGACACGCCGGGCTTCAGATCCAGACTCGATTACCTGCCTCCGATGAAGATTACCTTGCTGGTGTATCTACTGAGCCTGCGCCCCAATCGTTCCAAGATGCACTGAGAAACGGCGGTACGGAGAGGTCTTCCTTTGCCTGCCGGATCATCGCCATGCACCTCTTCCATGAGTGTATTGATAGCAACCATAGCAATCCCCTGCTTCCGAGCTTCTCAGCTCTAGATGCTGAGCCGTTTTGGATGCGGTTCGCGTCCCTGGACCAGGGAATAGCGACCGCCTTTGCCACGATGCCAGCCCACCTCTGCTGCCCCGAGAACATGCACGACAACGATGCCGTTGTCGTCAACTTGCAGCTGTACACGTCTACGATATGCCTGTATCGCGCAGCGACATCGCGCGTTAACTTGGCCAGTGAGGATGGTACGGATGCACCACCACGACTACCGATCGACGCAAACGAGAGGGTGCAGATCGCGGCGCAGCAGATCACGACGATTCTGGCCATGGCCATGGACATTCACACGAGGTTCCGCAACCCGTTCACGGCGTTTGCGGCGTTCATGGCGGCGTTTGTGTTCATCAAGCGGGATCACGAGTCGGGCACGCGGTCGAACATGGACAAGGTGAATGCGCTGATGGACATGATGGTGACGATTGGTAGCGAGAACGCCATGACGGCGTCACTGGCTGTGCAGCTCGCGCACGAGCTGATGAAGACTGGGCTGGACCCCCTGGCCATGAACAAGGTATGTCACTATCGTCTCGCGTCGCTGCTTGCTTGTGGATTAATGGCTGACGAGGACCAGGTCTACGGGCTGATGAGTATGATGGATCAGCACGTGCCGCTGCTGGGCAAGGAGAGTGAGAAGGACGGCGCGGTGGTCTTCTGCCCGATGGAAGAGCGGTTTGGGAAGACGACGCATTGATTGGTTCGTCTCTGATTGGATTCACGAGGGAATGAATACACGACTTGGATTGATGATGTAGAATGACCATACCTTTCTCGATGTGTTGCTCGATGTTCATGCCGTATCCTGAACTTACCACTAGCAAGCTGAACCCACCGCGATTGGAACCGTTCCAGTCGCGAAGCTAACGCAGGAATAGATGCCCGATTAACTCGCCCTAGCCGCCGTCTGTCTTGTCTGGCTCGAGCAGCTGGTGAGCTGTTGGCCACTCACACACGTGTTATTGTCAGAGCCGGAAGCGGTTTGCGAGCTTGGCTGACTGCTGACGCGCAAAAGTGGATGAGGGCCCCAATGTAACGATTTTAGCAAGGCGGTGAGCACCAAGATACTCGCAGGGATTGAAAAAATCAGGGTATGTCGGAGGCCTTTCGGTGATCTGCGCACGGCAGCGATGGAATGGATCGCATATCTGAAACAGCAGAAAGCTCGGGCTGCCAATTGAATGCCCTGGCTGGACGCTGGTTGTAGCGGCCTCTTGCACTGTGTCCGCTGTGCTGCAGGTGCCTGGAGGCGCTGGATGGAGGCCCACCGGTGCTGCAACTGCTGTACGTAACGGCCTGATCCGCTGTGCCTCAGGGACTGGAGCTCCAATTGGGTGCTGAGCTATAGCGAGCTGCCTGAAGCTGAGCTGAGCTGCATGTCCCTGAAGCCATCCGCAGCAGCTCTGCTCCATCGCTCTGTCACACGATCTTTCTCCTGTTTCGTAGTTTTCTCTCCCCTCTCCGCTGCTTCGTACTCCTGCTCTGCCATCGCCTGTGTCGTCTGCGGCATCATTGGGAGCATTGCGTTTGTCTTGCCTCGTGCCGAGCAGAGCTTCGTCCTGCCCCTCGCACGTGCTTTGCTGTGTCTCACCCCGCCATTGACTGCTGCATCCCGCCTTTTCTCCCCTCCTCCTCCTCGTCCAGCCCGCCGCCATGGCTCCCAGAGGCGAGATCCCGCCCAACTCGTCCGTCACCGCGGCGTCCGGCCGAGGCGAGACCGGTGCAGTCCCCGATCTGCGTCTGCTGCACTACAACGACGTCTACCATGTCGATCCCGCCAGTGCCGAGCCCGTCGGTGGCCTCGCCCGCTTCATGCACCTGTGCCAGCACTACCGCCACGCCGAGCAGTTCAAGGGCCAGTCCGAGCTGCTGACCTTCTTCTCCGGCGATGCCTTCAATCCCAGTCTCGAGAGCAGTGTGACCAAGGGGAGGCACATGGTGGATGTCCTCAACACAATTGGCACCGACTGTGCCTGCGTGGGTGTATGTGCCCTTCCCCAGCTCTCCCTGTCTGCTTGTTGGACCCTTCCCATTGGGAGAAACTGACCATTTGGAGCACACAGAACCACGACTTTGATTTCGGCGTCAAGCAGTTCCAGTACCTCTCCGAGAAGACCAACTTCCCATGGCTCCTTGCCAACGTCCTCGATCCCGCCCTCGGCGAGAATGTGCCCCTCGGAAACGCGAAGCGAACCCACATGATGACCTCATCCAACGGCATCAAGATCGGCCTCATCGGCCTCGGCGAGCGCGAGTGGCTCGAGACCATCAACAGCCTGCCCCCGAACCTCATCTACCGGTCCGCCAGCGAGACGGCGCTCGAGCTGGTGCCCGAGCTGCGGGCCCAGGGCGCCGAGATCGTCATCTGCATCAGCCACCAGCGCGAGCCCAACGACAACAAGCTGGCTGAGAAGACGGGCGGCATCATGGACATCATCCTCGGCGGCCACGACCACTACTACTCGTACACCTTCATCAAGGGCACCCACGTCCTGCGGTCGGGCACCGACTTCAAACAGCTGAGCTACATCGAGGCGTGGAGGAAGGTGGACGGGTCCGGCGGCTGGGACTTCGACATCACGCGGAGGGACGTCACCTCGGAGATCCCCGAGCACGAGGAGACGGTCCAGCTGGTCACCGAGCTGACGTCCAAGCTGCAGCACTCGCTCGCCAAGGCCGTCGGCTGGACTGCGACGCCGCTCGACGCGCGGTTCAGCACCGTGCGCATGAAGGAGTCCAACATTGGCAACTTCGTCTGCGACGTCATGAGGCAGCACCACGAGGCCGACTGTGCCATCATGGCTTCGGGCACGATCCGCGGCGACCAGGTCTACCCTCCCGGCGCGCTGCGCATCAAGGACATCGTCACCTGCTTCCCCTTTGAGGATCCCGTCGTCTTGCTTGTCGTGACTGGCCAGGCCATCTGGGACGCGTTGGAGAACGGCGTCAGCCAGTACCCTGCTCTGGAGGGCCGGTTCCCCCAGGTGTCCAACATCCACTACGAGTTCGACCCCCGCAGGGAGACCCGGAAGCGCATCTTGTCGGTCAAGATTGGCGGCGAGCCGTGTGATATGGAGAGAAAGTACAAGCTTGTGACGAGAGGGTACATGGGCCGTGGAAAGGGTAAGGACGGGGCCGGTCCAAATTATAGAGGAATTTGCTAACACGCTGCAGACGGATTTACATCGCTTCTTGTCAAGTCCGAGGGCGGTGAGGCCGAGGAGATTATCGACGAGGAGAACGGGATCCTCATCTCGGCGATGCTGCGCCAGTACTTCATGGGCCTGCGGACTGTGGGCCAGTGGACGAACCTGGCGAGCCACTGGCGAAAGGTGGCCGACAACTGCACCACGCCGCTGTCGCCCGTCCTCCCGTCCTCACCAGTCCTTGAAAACTTCGGGAGGGCGAGGCGGAACACCCTCGAGCGTCTGTACAGCGAGGAGACGTCCCTCGAGTGGATCGGGTTCCTGCACTCGCGTATCGGATTGCAGCGGGCCCCGATCAACGATGATGTTAGTGACACTGAGAGTGAGAATGGGGCGGAGGACGCCCAGAACGCGGATGGTCTACCAACGGTGGACGACGACAAGATGGAGATTGAGCTGCTGCTGATGCGCAAGTTTGCGACGAGGTGGGTGATGAAGACGGGCCTGAAGACCAAGGTGTGTGACCCCATGAGCGAGGCTGAAGCATCGGTGGACTGGACGAGGACGATTGCGCCAGTGGTCGAGGGACGGATCAAGATGGTGAAGTGACAAGGACCGGCAGGCGATCTACCACGCCACCGGGCCCCGGATTTCCTGATAGAGATAACGACGGGACCATAAAAAGAATCTAATGACCAATTACGACGTAAGAATATAAAGTGAACGAGTTATGCAACGTTGTCCCTGTGCCAAAGCCGCTCGCTAAAGGATGGTGGTTGAGATCCCCGGCGGGAAAGGGAAGCGAAGGGGGAAGGGGGGCCAGGACCCTGGGACAATGACATGCAGATCAGATCAGCTCGACCCGGAGGCAGACCCCGTTGATATCATTGTCGAATAGGGAAGCTCTGTGACGTCTCTCGGACGGACTTGTTGCTGTTAGCGCCAGGAGAATGGGATCATGTCCTGATCATTCCTTGTCCAGTCTTCGGGTTGACACTTGTGGAGAAAGATGCTGGGCACTGGTGAGTGGATGGAGACGGCGAGGGATTCGGGATTACGCGAGTGTTCATGCAGGCAGCTATCTGAGATGGGACGGGCGGACATTATTATCATGTGGAGGGTTGATCAGATATGAGATGGATGGCCTTCAGGACGTGGAACCCTGGTTCTCAGCCCGCCGCCCCAATCTATATGGTTCATTCCTACGGCTATAATATTATTCGACCAGGAAGAGGAAGAGTAGACGTTGTATCGACTCAGAGAGGATTGGTTTGAACAGAGGGACGAGGTCTCGAAGTTTGAGCACGACGGTTGAGGCATGACACCACGGGCAAGACCCTGAAGCAGCAACGTATAAATCACCACGCGAGCATTTGTCAGGACCGGCGGGTTACACTGTCCCTGTGTGTAGCATGCGGACGGAGCCGAGTGTAAGTCACATTGGTGTGGAGAAGTGAACTGACGACAGGCGATTCTGGAGCGTCGTCGGAGCAGCGGAGAATTAGAAATACGGAACATATCGAAAACGACTACTACACGAGATGACTGTTCCGGCACCTGATCTGATCTGAAGAAAAAATTAACTCGATTTAACGGCCGGTGTCGCGTGTTGAGTGTGGGCGGGATGCTGGGACATGCCCCCAATCCGCTCTTCTGTTGGACCGCCAGGGGATGAACTGACACTGAAATTTACAGTGTGATCCCTGCATATCGCCTAATGAGATGCATTGCGCTAGCAGGCGAGTGGGCTGTTTTTCTGTGCTTCGATCCGCCGTGGAGGTTCGTCTCGATGCTGCTGCGACGTGGGAAAGTCGCCGACAATGCAGGCTCCCAACGCCCAGCACAGCACCTGAGGGAGAATTCTCTTCAGGTCAGCGGGCCATTCTTACCACTCATCTACACAGCCTGCTGCGATATTCTGTGCTCCGGCGGCCTGGAGCTCGGGTGCGGCCGGACGCGGATCCGTCTCCCGGCCTGCCCCGGAAATCAGACCACCATCAGATGAGCAGGTCCCAGGCCAGGGTCGGTCCCGGCAGCTCGCCCACTGCAGCTGGGCAGGCAAATGGATGGCTACTGAATGGTCAGAGGCCCGTGAAGCCTCTCAGATGACGTCGAGGCCTGGAGCCCTGATCCCTCTCCAGAGCTGTCGCCGGCGCCGGTCACAGAGTTGAGGCCTGCCAGCCACCCCGGCCATAGATCTCGCCATTTTCTTTTTCAAGAGGCGGCGGCCATATCTTTCTTCTTCCCCTCCTTCCTGTTCCCATGTTCCTGCTGAGAAGGCGTCTTGTTCTCTGTTAAGAAGCGAGCCTGCATCTGCGCTGTACTGCTCCGACTGTGCATGCACATACGATCGATCATCGAACCACCGCACACCCCTCCATCCTCGTGATTTCCCCGCCGATACTGGTGGTGCTGTTTGAAATCTTCGATCTTGACATCTATTTATTTTAATCTGCTGTTGCCCAAAAGCCTCACGATAGCTTGCGGCTACATATAGGATCATAGCTGGAAAGCTGCCTACACCCATCCCATCACACAAGCTGGTCCCTTCAGACCCCAGATTCGTATCATCATGGCGCAACCGCGGCTGTTCATGACCTTTTCCCGCGAGGAAATCTACACCAACCTCGAGACTCGCATCCACTACCTCCACAGCTTCATTGATTTCAGTAGTAGTGAGTCCCCTTCCTCAATCTACCCTCCATAGGATCCGAATTGCTGACCACATCTCCTCAAATAGAGGACATTGAGGCCCTGATTGGCGGCGCCAAATATGTCAAGGCGCTGATCCCCGCCGTCGTCAACATCGTCTACAAGAAGCTCCTGCAGTACGATATCACGGCCCGCGCCTTCACGACTCGTTCCACCAGCTTCGAGGGCCCGATGGACGTGCGCCTGACCGAAGACAGCCCTCACATCCAGCATAGAAAGATGTTCATGCGGGCGTACCTGAATAAGCTGTGCTCTGACCCCAGCCGGATGGAATTCTGGGAGTACCTGGACAAAGTCGGGTAGGTCCAAGCCAATTGCACCCTAAATTCACGAATCTCGAGTCGGCTCTGACGTTTAACATAGCATGATGCACGTCGGTCTGGGCCGAGCGCACCCCCTCCACGTCGAGTACATCCACCTGGGCATGACCCTCGCCCTGATCCAGGACATCATGAACGAGGCCATCCTCTCCCACCCCCGCCTGGCGCTCCCCCGCAAGATCGCCATCATCAAGGCCCTCAACAAGGTCATCTGGATCCAGAACGACCTCCTGGCCAAGTGGCAGGTCAAGGACGCCGACGAGTTCCGCAACGACGACGAGGACATCGTCATCGAGAAGGAAGGGTATGTCAACGGCGTCAAGATCCTCCGCACAGACGACGACGGCAGCAGCGGCGAGGAGTCGCGGCCCGACTCGCCCTCGCGCATCCCCAGACCGAGCACGACGGGCGTCCACCCAGCGCCCCCGCCGGGCCTGTGCCCCTTCGCATCCATGGTGGACGGGCTGGATCTGGACGGCAAAGAGGTGCCCGCGACGCCTCCCCCCAAGCCCAAGCCGTACGTCGCGCCGCGGCTGGCCGGGTACAAGCCTGAGAACTTTGGCGACGACAAGGTGAATCCCAACGCGCCGAGGGAGGAGACGGAGCAGCTGGTCGCCCCGGAGGCTTGGTAGAGAGGAGAAAGAAATTAAAAGATTTTAATGACATGTTTTTTGTTCTCTGGATTGTTTAAAACTGTGGTTCTTCGCTGGCATATAAAGTCTGTACCTTCTTTTCATCGTTCTGCATCCAATAGGAGTCACGGGTGTTTATGCGATTCTTTGTCTGTTTTGAGAGCGGCGCCTGGTCTCGGGTGTAAGAATGAGTTCTATCTGGTTTGGTTCAGGTCCGAGAGGGACTGTTGGTCGGCATTTACCTTGATACTCTCTAACACCACCAGACGATTTCGCTCATCGAAGTGTTTGATCGTAGTTGTGCGTCTTTGCCCAGTGATATTCATGTGACGGGGTATCGGAAGCGCACTTGTTCAAGACCGTATAATTGATCGCGCTTCCAGTCGTAATTCCCTAATCAATGACGGACCGTGTTAACCAGATGGAATAGACGGGATGATCGCTTAGTGGTGACTTACTTCCGGTGCCGAGGTTGACATCTTCGACGGGGATGTGAACCCAGAATCCCGCTCGAAACGGCGACCCCGACGCTTCTTCTAGCCCCTTGTCGCTGCCAGTGGCTGCGGAAGGTGTCTCCCGCCAGCACTTGAGGCCCTCGATGTCTGCGCGCTGCGGTTTGGTTGCCTCCTTGCCCTGCTTCTCGACGAGGGCGAGGTCGGTCACCTCGTACCATATCCATTTGGGGCACGAGATGGTGACGTCTGTGGATGGCGGCACGATCCTGTCGAGGAGTGCGTCGATGTCCGGGAACAGGCGGGTTTGCAATCGTGATGCCAATGTGTCCTTGCTCCTGTACGGCCAGTTGAGACCTGTTGCGGCGTCCAGTTCACCCCAGGTTAAGCTGGCAAAGGTGATGCGGAGGACCTGCAGGGAGGGGAACAGAGGTTCTGTCTGGCGTTTGTGAAATTTGGATGCTGCCTGGCCCGTGAAGCCGAGGGTGAGAGGAACCTGGGTTGCATTCCAGACAAGTTCTAGTGAAGTGATATGAGATAGAACACTCGGCGTCATGATGTCCGGTAAGTGATGAAGGAGGGGGGCGGACGCGATGTGGATGGTGTTTGTTCTGTATAGCACGTCCATGCCCTCTAGATATCTGCAGTAGATACGATTAATTACCTGGCATCGATTAGAGAAATGATATATACTCACGCTTGACGACAGGACAGTAGCCAGCCCAGAGCCCCAATCTGGCATTTGCCGGGCCACTCTCCCGGCCACTCATTGCATGTCCCTGCGCCCTCGAGACAGCAATCCCCATTCGGCTCAGACGCGATGCCGTGGCCGATGGGCCAGCTGCGTCGTCTGCCGTAGGACAAGGCGCTGCATGTGGGTGGGATGCGATGACACACGCACCCAAACCACGTCCACTGCCTGGCCTCGCCGGTGAGGAGATGAGACGGAGGACCGGTCATGGAGCCGTCGGCGGTGGCGACGGCGCTGTACTCGATCCCGGCGTGGGTGTTGGATAAGTCGTCGGATTTCGCATCCACGAGGTGGAAGGGGTGCTGGAACTCCAGATTCATGTGCAGCGTGCGATGGCCGAACGCTTCAATCAGAACGAGGCGCCGGATCTCAGCCGGCAGACGATCAAAGAACAGGTCAGACTTCCTCCTAGAGGTCCTCCTCGACCGGGCGCAAATGGTGACGGCATCGCGCCGGGCGAGGAAGCGCCTCGCGAACTCCCTGTCGCGGCGCCTGTACTCGCGGCGCTCCTCGTGGTACAGCGACCAGGGATCGATGATGGGCAGGATGGTGTGGTCAACGAGCTTCCAGACATGCGCGAAGAGGGCGAGCAGCAGCATGCCAACGGTTACGACGAGGCCGAGGGCCAGTTCCGGCAGGCACCTGACGACGCCGATGCGCCTGCACTCGCTCCAGATGTCGGGCCAGATGTCGCCGACGTCGCGCAGCGTCGTCTTGAAGGACGGCGTTGAGCAGATGTGCTCCCTTACCGCCGCCAGGCACGAGAGTGAGCCTGTCATGATGCATGTTCCCGCGACGTCCCAGCAGATGGCAGAGACGAGAACAGCGCCTCGCGATAGCAGACACGGTCGACTTGAATCAAAGGACGAGGACGGGAACTAGTCAGGGGCCCGACATTGATGGCGGACGCCGAGTTTGCAATGCATCTTCTAGCCCTCTAGCTCCAGCTCTACACCCACATTGATTCAGGTCACTCCGGTGTAGAAGTGCATAGTTCAGCGGCTACGTGCATCTCCGCCAAGAGCCACTATCAGAAGATGGTCCAGATTCCAGATCCGGGTCCAATGGGGAGCGTGTGGCCCAGATTTGCCTTTGCTCGCCCCCCATCTGACTCTGGTCCAGCCTGAGCACCGGCGGGAGACGACAGAGCTAAACGGGCTACCCCGGGCATTAATTGGTGACGGTCGTGATTAGTCTACTTGGATCTTAGGCTCTTGTAGCTGGTTCGTATATGCAAAGAATCTACAAATTGGGCCCTGGTTGGCGATCGGGCTTTAGAGTCTAGACCGCCGTCCCTTGAGCCGGACCCAATCTCATCCCTGTTCCACACCACCATCTCTCCGATCCGCTCGCTACTCGAGCTTCTGGTTGCCTTTGCTCGCCGACCTGATGGTTGGTTCTAGTGGGAACACCTGGTTCTCAGCCGTCACCCCCTTGTACACCTTATCCCACCTGTCCTGCAGCGGCGCGGGCGTCTTCCAGGCCAGTCCCTCGTCCCGCAGCCAGAGCCTGACGAGGTGGCGTCTATTTTTACACAAGAGAAGAAAAAGAAATATCAGTCACACGCACAACTTGGCAAATAGGAGATTTGAGAGCATGATTATCAGGGGTGCAGGGGGAGGTAGACATACTGCTTCTCCTCGGAGTCCTTGAACCCTCCGCGCGCGTGGAAGATGCTGAGATTGTTGACGAACTGGATGTCGCCCGCCTTGAACTCGAGCGCGACAGCGTGCTTCTCCGCCGCGTAGTGCAGCGCGTCGAGCGCCTCGGCCTGGGCTTCGGTGATGGCCGGGATGTTGGCTGATCGAGGGAGGCCCCAGTACCCCGTGAAGGAGCGCCGGGCGTACTGGATGATCAGCCTCTCCGGATCGCCATCCTTGGGTGGCTGATGGTACAGTAGGGGCCGGAGGGAGTAGCCAGGGGGACCAAGCTTGCCGAACCTGTGATATTTGCATGTCTCAGCCTATGAGGTAACCCTGAGACAACGGAGGGAACTCACTCGTCAAACGCCCATGGCTCGGCGAGCGTTCGGATCAGGTCTGGCCGCGTCTGGGCCAGCTCGTTGTAGACGGTCCAGCTGCTCGACAGGTAGCTCTCGCCGCCCTCGGCCGCGGACTGCAGCGCGAACAGGGAGATGATGTCGCCCGCGTCCGTGTGAAAGACCTGCTTCTCCGTCGTGTACGCGGGGGCGCCGATGCTGTGCGCGTCAAACTGCTTGGTCAGGTCCTTGATGTGGGCGAGGGCGACGTCGGCCGGCCGGCCCTGGTAGGAGCTGTCCTGGCGGCCGCGGATCGAGGCCACGTGGGAGGCGAGGCCGACGTAGATGATGATGTTCTCCTCGCGCGTGTAGCGGTCGACGGGGATGCCCCGGACGACCTTGAAGCCGTGGCCGCTGTGGAGCTCGCGCGAGATGGAGCGGAGGGTGGAGTGCAGGGGGCCGAGGGGGAATGTCTCCCGGCTGATCTCCCCCAGGGGCTTACCGGATTCTGGGTGGTGAGATCATGTCAGACCATGCTGTGTCTTTTCTCGACGTGGGAGTGAACCTTCGTGGATAGCAACTTACTCTTGAAAGCTTCAAGGGCTTGGTGAATCTCCTCGAGCTCTGCCTCGTTCAGCTCGTACGACCACTTGTACGTATCGGACACAGTCGCGCCGTCCCAGACAAGTGGTGAGTCTAGCCGTTGGGGGAATCCTTCTGGCAGAGTCTTGGGAAGTTCCTCGGACTGCTGACGTCTATGGATTCTGATCTTGTACGTCTCGGGGTTGGGGGTGTATGCGATGTCGGGTTGGCCAGGAGGGCCCGGCAGTGTCTCGACGAGAGTGGCAGACATGATGGAAAGTTTACCGCGGTATTCTCACGACGCAGATATTCGGACTCTTGAATTCATCTATTCATTCATGTGCCCGTATCGAGCGAAGAGAGTGTCTCTATTTGTAATCGTAAACGATCTATCACGTTCAAATCATCATGGCTGACGCCATTGCGGGGAAGGGATTGCATCCGATCCCGCACTAAGACAATAATGAGCACCCTACTTTCCTTGAATCTATTTGTCACTCCTAGTCTAGTCTCGTGACGATCATGGTGACTTCCGAGCATCGGCTTTGCTGAATGCCACGTGAGTGCCGTGCTCCTGAGGGAGGTAGCAAGGCTCGATAACTGCGTTCATGCCGTTATTTCTCACACAGATCTGTCGAAGAACTAGCCTGCCTGGGCTTAGATGGCTGGCTGGCTTGATCTCTGTGTATGCCCTGGATTCCCACTGCTTGATGTATAGCCACTATGAGCCGGTACCCCCAGGGGCTGTCGTCCAGCCATTATACAACATGGAGTTGCACGAGCCGACTAATCGAACCGAACGCCGTCCATACACGCCGTCCCCCCCATCAATCTGTCAAACAAGGCCATGTCAACGCCTTGGAAGGCCCATTCATCCGCTTCATCCATCTCGCTGGAGCCGAGGTCGGCTTGCTGCTGGAGATTGAGATTATCGCTACTATACATCATAGGCCGTTCATACTCGGACGCGCGCAGCTGCATGATCGGTTGTTGAGATGTAGCCTGGTCCAGCAAGGGCTGCCGAGAGATGGGCCCCTGTCGAGCAATCCGGACAATACCAATGTACGGAATGCGCAAGTGAAGAGCTTCGCCACCGGCTTGGTCGTCTTGTCTATCAATATCATCCACGTCATCATCTCCATTTACGCTGCTGGTTGCATAGTTTACCCCTTCGGCTGCGTCTGCCTCGATGGCGAGCAGTCGTCGTATCAACCTGGCATTCTTGCCAGAGACGACGTCGTTGTTGGCGTTGCTGAGTATGTCCATTCTCTCCAGCGCCTGATTCAACATGGAGAGGTCGCCTAGACGTTGGTGAGCAAGAAAATGATTCGCTTCTGACCCATGGTGGGCATCGATGTGGGCTAAGAGAAGCGTCATGGCTGCTAGAAGCGCAAAGAAATCTACGGGCCGTGAGCAAGACGACATCGGGTTGAAGGTCCGGTGTGCTATGAACCGTGTCATAATCTCCCGACCGGCATTCATGCAGGTAAACTTGGAGTTTTCCTCATGTTGGCTGTTGTCCCCTATCCGCATCATGTGAGGAAGATGGAGTTGGATCAGCAGCGCATAGTAGTAGACCTGGGCCGACAAGCGAAGCGTCTCTAGAAGAGTGTCAGGTGATGCAGGAGTAAGGTTGAGGAAGTTCACAGGCCGCCAAAAGCTTCCCGGCATACTCTTTGAAACCATCAGTAGTTCGGCGTCGATTGCATGGGTGGTTGCGATGCCACCCGAGCTGAATTCGCCCTCGTTGCGTTCTAGAACACGGGATGCGATCACTGTGAGAGATCTCTCAAACCTACCCAAGGGAGGCTCGCGGGACAAAACAGAACTAGCCCCGATACTCGTGTCAGGAGTGCCCTGCGGCAGACCGAGCAAGAGACTGAGGTAACGGTCCATGTAGATGATGCGGAACCACATAAACTTGGGATCGGCGTCCAGCGCCGGGTCGATGCGTTTCGGTGACGGAGGAGGAGAACGATGGAGGCCCATCAGCTGAGCAGCTGCCATTGCTCTACGATAGACGCCCCAGGCTCGTCGTAGATTACCACAATTTACTTCGTAGACACCCTCTAGCATAACGCAATAGAGATAGTCTATGGTCCCGCTCATCTCTTCTCTTGTAGTTACCCATATTGTAGCAGTCGTCACAAAACGACTCATAAGAGTGTTCTGTGGCTCGGAAAGTGAACGGAGCTTCTCACTGTACGGAGTCTGCAGTGTAATGGCAAACAAGAGCATCATTCTCGCTAGACTCACTGGATGCCTGTGGGGGCCAGGGAGAGCCGGAACCGCAACAGGCGTTGCCAGTGCCTCATATGTCAGCTTACTATGAGGTTGGGTGTTCATGATTTGTGTATATAGAGACGGCCTGGAGCTCTCCTTGAGGAGAATACGAGCGTCCTCGCCTCTTGGGAAAGCTCCGAGCAATTGATGCACCGCGGTTTCATTGCCAACTCCATTCCACTCAACATGCGAGTCCGGGACGAGGACGGACTCCGGCACAGACTCGCCACGCAAACTCTAAGGAGATGTTAGAACCAGCAGGCTACTCTAAAAAGCTAGGATCCGCAAGGACTATGGGACTACGTACCTGCACAGGTGTCAAAGGAAATGGAACCAGTTGCGCGGACACCGGTGAATCATTGGCCTGAGCTCTCGAGTCATCACCGCCCGACTGCCACTCTTGGCGTGGAGCTTGACTGATCGCCGCAGCATTGGGATTGGCGAGAAAGCCCTTGATGAAGTCTTCTACTCTCGCGATGCGCTCACCAAGCTGTTGGCCGCCGCTCCTGGTCGCCGCCGGGACCAAGTCCTCGGGCATTTCCTGCGTGACACAGGGAACACGCCGGCGCAAACACCCATTGCAAGTTGTACCATCCTGCGAGGGAAAGATGCATCTGATTTTTCGTCGTTTGCACTCCCAGCACGACCGTGTTCCTTTCCGAATCTTCCTTCGTGTAGAGTCTTGTGGGGTTGCCATGGGAGAGGGGCCTTGACCCGGGGTGATGTTGTTCATCGTCGTCTGTCTGACACGAGGGGATTGATGGAGTATCCTGCAACGAAATGCGGGCGAGTTCACGGAGTTCTGTCACCAGTTCGTCCACCGCAGCGGACGGAGGCGAGTCGCGGCGGAGGAAAATGGGTTGATAATCAGGCCCGCCGTCATCTCGGACGAAGCATCTGATCAGCGGTGCTGACAAACCTCACCCTCGATGTACCATTTATATGATTGGTCACATTTTCTCTTGTTCCGCCGTCACGGGCGAAAATGCTTGGCGAGCCTCCCCTTGGGCATGTCTCCCTACATTGGTGTCTGCGTGTAACAGGCTGCTCATTTGGTGTGGCCCGATCATGGTGAGTGAAACTCGCTGACCGTCCGAGAAATCGAAGCTGAATAATGTTCAGTTATCAACAATTAGTTCGATCTGATCGTTGTGAGACAAAACAGATCAAACTCTACATCAAAGAAGGGTTTTGGATCTCGACAGCTGGCATGCATTCAACCCACTTTGTTAGCAATATGATAGATCCATTTCTCCTTTAACAAATCATCTCCGTATCGGCGGAAGCGTCCTGTTACTGCTTACAAATTTGCCCTTGGGAGAGCTTCCCAACTGGCTCCCAAATGGCGTGGTTGTAATAACGTAAACAAAGCCTCATATATACCCAACTTTAACGCGTAGCTCAAGGTCCAGCACGGGAGATTCATCACTTGGATTTCTAATTGCGGACTCACGATGGCTTCGGAAAAGCTTGACAATGCGCCCCAGCCAGACCTGGAGCTGGCGACGGATGGCGACAAGTATATCAACGACGCCTCAAACGATACGATTAACGAAAGCTCCAGGAATACCGCCAACGGAACCTCCAAAGATGCCTCTAAAGATATCCCCAAGGATGGAGTAGCCGAAAAAGCGCCTGTACAATCTGGCGGCCCTCCTGGAGCGCCTTCACCCCCTCCTGATGGCGGATTAGTTGCATGGCTCCAGGTCGCCTCGGGCTTCGTCCTATTCTTCAATACATGGGGTCTGATCAGTGCTTTTGGTGTCTTTCAGGCGTATTATGAGTCTGGTGTGCTTTTCCAGGCCACTTCTTCAAACATCTCATGGATTGGATCCATCCAGTCCTTCCTCCTTCAATTCGCCGGACTGATCGCCGGACCACTCTATGATAGAGGTTACTTGCGACTTCTCCTTGTCACTGGTAGCTTCATGATTGTCTTTGGCTTGATGATGCTGTCCTTGTGTACCGAGTATTGGCAGGCGTTGCTAGCACAGGCCTTTGTTATCGGCATTGGCGCTGGACTGCTCTTTGTCCCAACAGTGTCGCTTCTCCCGACGTATTTCAGCACTCACATGGGCCTCGCTGTTGGAGTTGCCTCGTCCGGCTCCTCACTCGGCGGTGTCATCTACCCCATTGTACTATACCGTCTGATCGGCCAGATCGGCTTCCCCTGGGCTGTGAGATGTCTCGGCTTCATCGCCCTTGCGACCTTCATCGTCCCCCTGGTTTTCATGCGCGTCCGAGTCCGTGTGCCAAAGCCACGAGCCATCGTTGACTGGTCCGCCTTCACCGACGCTCCATTCGCGACTTTCATGCTGGCCGTGCTCATCATCTTCATCGCCCAGTGCGTGTTGCTCTTCTACATCTCCTTCTACCCGGTAAACCGCAACCTCACCAACGAGTCCCTTGGATTCTACATGACGGCCATCTTCAATGCTGGATCGGTGCTGGGGCGGATCTTACCCAACGCCCTGTCTGATCGCATCGGTCCGTTCAACACCATGGGCCCCTTGACGTTGGTCTACGGCACAACAATTTGTTGTCTGTTAGCTGTGCACAATGCGGCTGGAATGGTTGTGGAAGGAATCGTCACGGGCTTTTTCAGTGGCATGGTCATTGCTCTACCACCTGTGTGCTTCCGCATGCTCACCAAGAATCCTTCTATGATCGGTACACGCATGGGCCAAGGGTTTGCCATCAGTGGATTGGGACTGCTGCTCGGAGGTCCTAGCGCGGGTGCCATCCTCGGAAGCGATGAACCATTGAACTGGACGGGAATTTGGCTTTATGGAGGTGTCTGTGGTTTGGTGGCTGGCTTGATTATTCTTGCTGTTCGCGTTATGAGAGCTGGATTCACGCTGAAAGTGAAGGCATGATATGCAATTGAACTGACAGCATAGCCAAGAGTAGCTACGCCAATACCCGTCTTCGGATGTCGATACTGAGCTTTTCCCATATAAATTGCTGTTCTATTCTAAGGAGATGAGACTTAGCATTAAACATGATACCCTTTGACGCGAGGGAGTAAAATTGTCGTCGTATTGTTTTGTTGGGTCGAACAATCTGTTCTAGTTTTGTATAGTAAGTGAGAGAGCTATGCAGCTGCTGAAAAAAAAAGGGGGGGAAATTCCCAAACACCAAGAATTTAACAACTTGATACCATACCCAGTATCACAACACATTAGTTTTAGTTTTATATATCCTTATTTAATATTTCTACGATAGCTCACTAAAAAAGGAGACGAGAGATGAAGCAGAAGATAAAGACTGAGTTCTTTTGATTTTCAGTCTACCAAATTCTTCCCTAGAATCTACGGATAATCAAATACTCGAACAGATGAAGTCATAAGCCTTCACAGTGGCTTTCCAAGCATCCGACTGAGGATCGCTACTCAGATCGCATATATGAGGAGCCCCCTCCAGAAGCACCAGACCAGTCTTGATACCTCGTTCAAGCATCGCTTGATACGTGGTGTTACTCTGCTGCCACGGAATTAGATCGTCAGATGTGCCGTGAACGAAAAAGGTAGGAACATTGTAGTCGCCCTGATCAATGTGAGCGCGCGGGCTATGTGCCTTGATAGTTTCGACAGAAGGCTGTGGAAGCTTGTTCCAGTCCTCCACGTCCGGGTGTTTCTCTGAGGCCGTCTTGCGACTAGGCAAGCCATTCATAATCACAGGCAGGGTTTGGGCCTTCCAGTTGATGTGAAAGACAATCCGGCATCTCGCATCGTCTTGACTGCGTGGGTCAGCAATGGGTTCTTCCCAAGCTCCAACCATCTCGTAGTTAGTAATCGCTTCATCCTCCACACCTTCGAGAACATCGTACTGTAGCCCTTTGTACGGAGCCCCGTTGGGGTATATGGGGTTCTGCCACCAGGGATCCTCGTAGTCGGTCGGGGCATAGAAGGCAAGAATGGCAGCTGGCGGTGGAAGGCCTCGTTGAGGCGCTGTCCAGGCCAAAGACATAGCAAGCTGTCCTCCAGAAGACCATCCTACGACGACCACCTTCTCCCCATCGATTTCGACTCCTAGCTGCGGAAGATTGATGCGAGGTAGTTGGCTACGCGCCCACTCAAGAGCGTCACATACATCTGTCATTGCTCCCTCGGCAAGCGGAACTTCTGGACAAAGCCTATAATCTAGGCTGACCGGAAGAAACCCTTTGTTAAGCAAGAGGCGCGTCTGTGCTGGCCTGATATCCTTTCTGCTGAATAGCATATGGCTACCCCCATGAATCATTAAGGCTATTGGATTGTTAGCTACCTTATATAAACATCATCAAGTGAAGGGGTTTACCTACCAATAGGTATTTTCTTCTTTTGGGTCGGAGGCTCATCATCGATGATGGGGCAGTAGATGTCGGCATGAATCTTCTGGCTCCCAATCGTTTTATAAACCACAGTCTCAATTGAAGCTTTCACGGACTTGCCAACAACCACTGGCTTCACTTGGGTGGGAAATGCTGAGATCACGCGAACTGTTCTCGACTCCGGCGTCACACCTTCACTCCAAGATACCTCTCCAAAACCTGCAGCTTTCATCCTTCGCTCCCAGTTTTTCTCATCGATTAGTGCGTGCTGACGGCCGTCTTCGAACAACCACCATCCTTCAAAGAGTCCAACAACAATGTCGAGCCAATACATATTCTTGGTAATCTCAATCAAGGAAAGGAACCCATCGTCCCGAAGCATTTGACGGATATGTTTGAGTGATACTTCAAGATTTCTAGTAGCGTGAATACAGTTGGTCGCAATAATGCAATGAAAGGCGCCTTCGAATTCCGCCTTAGGAGGTTGTTCAATATCTAAAACATCGAACGAAATATCATCCATGCCCTTGAATTGCTTCGAAGCTGCGGTTACTAAGGATGAGCTGAGATCGGTAAAAATGTACTCAAAATCAATACCCGCGGCCCTCAGCACACTGAGGAGGTATCTAGTTGTACCGCCTGTTCCCGCGCCAATCTCGAGGATTCTAAACTTGCCCGTGCCGGTTGAGTTGGTTAATGCTTTCAGTAGAAAACCACCGAGGACCAGCGTGGGGGTTCGTAGAAGGGGCCAGAACTCGTACATCTCTTCCAGCGTCTTCTTGTTCTCACGGTTGCCGAAGACGACTTGTATGCCCTCCTTGTCGCCTCGTAGGCAGGCCGCCATTTCTGATCCGACGGCACGTACGAGCTTGTTGACACTGGCGTGCTGTGGAAACAAGTCTTTGGTTTGGTTGTAAATGGATTCGGCAGATTCGGGATCAGCAGGAACCTTGGTCCGAGTAAAAGCTCCGGCACTTTTTTTGATAAGTTTCCCATCCTCAAGGACACGATACAATTGGCGTACCAATTGTGAATGTTTGCTAAGAGCACTGATCTGCGGAACTTGGCCACCATTTGGAATATTCCGGACATCGCATCCCAAGTCAGCAAATGCTTCCACAACGTAGGCCAAGACCAAACGTGCTTGATGAGGGTACGCTTTCTCCCAGAAACCAGCAGCTTGCGTAGTTTCCGCTAGATGATCATATCTAAGGCGCGTTGCCTCAAACGACTCATAGGCAGAGATAATAGTAGGCTTATCCATGGGTTTCATCTCTTTTGGTCTCTCTCCTTCCAAGCCGCCTATTCCCGGCGTTGTAACCCTAGTGACTGGCGTTGACTGCGTATCAGATGACGAGGCTCTAGCAGAATCACTGTCGTCATTTTCGTCGTCTTCTGCCTCTTCTCCTCCCAGGCCTAGCTTTTCATCGACATGAGCGACGATTGCTTTGAGATTTGGGAAGAATAAAAAGCTTGATAGATCAATGGTAACTCCCATCGCCGCCCGGATATCGTTCAGCACCTCGGTTGCCATGAGCGAGTCAACTCCAAGATCATCCAGTGTAGAGTCATCCTTCAAATCATCAACTGGCACGTCCGTCACGTTGGAAATTATCTGGAAAAGCTCATGTCGTTTACCAACTGATTTTCGAGAAGAGGGCGTGGAGGTGGATTGTTCCATGGGGTGAGTATACGCTTTAGTCTCCTTTTTATCGTCTGCGAGCTCAATGTTTTTGGTCGACTTGGACTTGTTGACACTCTTCAACACGCGAGCCAAAAGGTTCTGAGACATTTTAGAGAACTGAAAGCCGAAAGCAGCCATAACCATCTTCTTGGTTCTGGAATCAAAGATGTAAGCGTCTGCTGTGGCATCAGTTTCTCCGCCCTCGCTCATGGTGGAATACACGAGCCACTCCCCTGCACCAGGGTCAAAGCAGCCGCCAATCTCAATATGCTCAATCTTATTACAGACAAAGACATCATCCATGCTTGGATTATTGAAATAGTTGACTAGAAATCCAGCAAATTGCATAAAGCTATCAGTCATGGGTGTGTCACAAAGGCGTTGATCTGTGGGATCGTCTGCTGCGGGTGTGATTCTGACAATTCCTGCAGCCTCTAAGCCCACACAAGACACAGATTTGATACCCTGGAAAGGTTTGCCATAGTATACAACAGTATTGAATGCTCGATAGACATGCTTGCCCTGCATCTTTTCTGCATCCGGGTGGTTCATCACGTTTTGGTATCTCCGGTGGCCCGTCAAGGTCTCAAACCGCTCGAAATCTCTTGTGGCTTGTTTGTCGTCACGTTTCTTCAGATAGACCCTGCCGGTAGAATGCTCGAAAGGCTCAGCGCCCTGGATGTCTGTATCCTGTGTTGTGATACGGAATGACCAGGAAGGGCTGGCAGTATCGAGTTTGCTCAGCAGAAGTGTGATCTTTTTGCTGGTGCTTGAGCCAATTGGTGAAGCCATGAAAAGATCATCAACTGTTGGGACATATGACAAGGCCTCAACATCATTTTCAAGGAAGAGTGCTGCGCGAGACACAACCTCGTAGTAGAGGGAAGCAGGGGCGAGGGTTTGTCCAGCCATCACATGCCCGCCCAGCATTGTTTGGAAGCGATCGGCGCGAGGATCAATTTGGAAAACGGCCTCCATTTTGGATACATCCTGGAAGTCAACGAATTTCAATAGCGTTGGAGGATCTGTGGAATTCTCTCCCTGCTTCGCGGTCTCATCGTTTGCGACCGAACCTCTTCCAGTAAATCCAAGCCAATGACGAGTCTTTTCGAATTGAATAGGGGGCAAACTCAAGTAGCTGAAGTCTTGCTTCTGGATTCGGTGGAATGGCCAGTATTGCGTGGCGTAACCTTTTCCCCAGAGGCCAACCGTGATATCAGCCAATGAGTCTTGTGCATTTGCAGAAGTGAGTTGAGGAGAATAAAAGCTGTGGCCCTGAGGATCTCCAACAGACCCTTTGACAAGTTGCATAACTGAAGACCCGCGCCCTACTTCTATCCAAGTACACTTTGAGAACTGAGATGCTAATCTTTCCACGGCTTGTTGAAAGAATACTGGCTGTCTTGTATGTTTTGAGACGATGCTGAAATCTGGTTGGGCTTTGGTTTCGTATTCGTCGGTTGTTTCAAGCTGGATCTGCGTATCTCTCCATTGTAACCGCCGAGCTAAAGACTCAAGATGAGGCAACATAGGTTCGGTAAACTGTGAATGGAAACCATTCGTGACATTTAGCCTCTTAGTGCGGATCGAGTCCCGAAGGTATGGAGTACTAGCAACGTGCGACTGCAAGAGTTGAATGGAGTCCGCAGAACCCACGACAACATGACTCTTTGGTCCGTTGAAACATGCTATCTCGGCATAGAAACTTTCTTCTTTCGCTTCCAGAGTCTGGATTATTTCTTCCACTGTCTTGCGATCGGCAGCTATGAACAACATGGAGCCAGTCTCAGCCCCCCAATGCTGCTGCATCAGAGAGGCTCGGCCTGAGACCAACGCCAACGCATCGAACAGGGAAAGTGCACCAGACACACATAAAGCCGTGAGCTGACCAAAGCTGTGTCCGACAACAGCACTAATCTTTAGTCCGCAGTCGATCCAAGCTTTGGCAGAAGCATACTGGACCGCAAACAAGGATGTGTGTAGAGTGACTAGATTTTTCAATGGTCTTGTCTCGAAAATAGAGGGGTAAAGGCTCTCTAGTCCGGAGGAGATTACCCACTCGTCGATGGAATCCAAATGCTTCCGGAATATCTTGGCTGAATCGTAGATTTCACGCGAGAGACCAATATATTCGCTCTCTTGACCTCCAAATACGAGCACGACAGGATTGCTTGCCTCCGTTGGGGTTATTCCTGACCCACCAGCGGCAGCTTGAAGTTTGGCCTCCAGATCTGAAATGCTGCTCACTGCCGTAGATAATGCGAAAGGCAACGAATGGTTACCTCTACCAGCAAGATTGAAAGAAAGAGATCCTAGGATGTCTTCCCGGCGGTATACTGATTCAGTGTCGTCCAGCCAAGACAAGAGTTTCTGACAGTATCGTGACAGACCATTCGAGGATCCGGCGGATATAAAGATTGGATACTTTGAAAAGGATGCAGGGTCATTATTAGACATAGGGTCTGACATTTGTCGAACAATGACAGCAGAGTTGCTGCCAGCTGCCCCGTAGCTGTTTACACAAGCTACAAGTGAAGATGCCTCCCACGGTATTTCTTTTCGAGAAATAGACATCTGATGCTGATCAAAAGCTGGGAGTTTTGGATTCAGAGACTTGAAGCTTGCCTGGGCTGTTATCTTTCGATGTCTCATCATCAGCAGCACTTTGATAAGGCCAGCTACACCGGCTGTAGCTTCAGTATGACCAATGTTCCCCTTAATCGAGCCGAAATGCAGAACAGAATCTCGGGTAGGTCCACCGAACGCGTCACGGATACTGCGAACTTCAATTGGATCTCCGACCCCAGCTTTGGAAGTCAGATAGTCAGTGAAACTGATCAAGGACGGTCCTGCGGATGGCTATACTTACTTCCTGTACCATGAGCTTCAACGTACGTCACGGACTCCGGCTGCACATTCCCTAGTTCCATAACCTTCTGGTACAGCTCGACTTGAGAACCTGAATATGGGGCGGTGATGTGACTGAAATTATGATTTTGATTCGCAGCAGATCCCACAACGACACCCAGGATATCATCGTTGGCGTCGATTGCATCTTTAAGGGGCTTCAACACAACCACTGCCACCGCTTCTCCACGGCAGTAGCCATCTGCATCAGCATCGAAAGGTTTACACTGGCCAGATGGACTAAGAAATCCGGCAGCAGATAAATTCTGATAATCAAAGGGACTGGAGATGACATTGGTGCCGCCAGCGATGGCCCTAGAGCATTCTCCTGACCAGATTGCCCGACAAGCAGTGTTGATAGCAACAAGGGACGACGAGCAAGCCGTATCAATCGTCAATGACGGACCGGTCCAGCCGAAGTAATGACTCATACAGCCACTGAGGTAGCATCTCGAAGTCCCAACTGTAGCATAGGCGGTACCAGCGTGGCATGATAGATTATCATAGTAGTTGTTCATCACGGCGCCGATGTAGCAGCCATAGTCGAGGGGTTCAGAGCCAGCCGAGGGACCAAAGTAGCCCGCGGACTCTAACGCCTCATAAATTACTTCAAGCAGGATTCTCTGCTGTGGATCCCATGCGACTGCTTCTCGGGACGACTTCTTGAAGAATTTGTGATCAAAGGCATCTGGGTTGTTCAAAAAGTTTCCCCACCACTTGGTGTTCTCGTGATCTCCAGTCTGGGGTAGATGAAGTCGTTCCACAGGAGCGGGTTCAACCGTCGTCCTTTCCTCAGTGATAAGTTTCCACAGCTCATCGACGGAGTCTGATCCAGGGAATCTCCCAGCCATTCCGACAATTGCAATAGAGTGGGATGGGTACTTCGACAAGTCCTCGTGGCTCTCCACATCGTGGATATCGGCGATGCCATTCGCTATTCCATTGATGTTCTCATGATTACTGGAAGAGCTAGTCCCGAGATTTGTGCCGAATAATTCAGTAGAGCCCAAATTCATTAATCGAGCCCCGCAATCTCGAAATAAGGACTTCGGAATGAAGTAGCCATTTCCCGCAATAGCGATCGTCTGGTTGAGCCCGTTGATGTCTTTGAGTGAGCGGCTCAACGTCTTGTACCAGTCTGCAACATTCAAGAGCGTGTTTTGCAGGGCAAAACGAGACAAAGAACCTTTCTCGAGGCGCTCTCCAGTAGCAGTGTCTCTGACCGGGACTAGGAGTGTGCTTGCATCGCCGAACTGGGAATCTTTGAAAAGCGGTTCAAATTTCATGAGCTTCTCAGCTACGAGTCTGTAGTCGGCGGTGTGAAAACGGCCTTGGACATGGACAGGACTTGTTCTCATATCATGCTCTCTGGCCTTGTACATTAGACCTTCTATGTCAGAAGCCTTGACCGTGACAGTCACGCTTGCTTCGTCATTGATGCTTGAAATATATGCCTAATAGAAGTCAGACAACGTCGTCGTGCTAGGAATTCTTTACTTGCCGTTGAGATAGACTTGATCAAATTCAGAACATCATCCTTGCCTCTGGCGTTGCCCTCTTTCCATCGAATAGCAACAGCCTTGTATTCCGTAGGCTGTGAAGAATAGGCGCCATCACGGTCAACATAGGCTCCGATGTACACAGCAAGACGAACGGCACTGGCGGCTGCAGTACCAAGATCTTCCTCTCTACTCGAGCTAGCAACGGCAATAGCACTGAGAAATCCGACACAAAAGCCATGCATTCCTCCCGCTTTAACACCTTCCAATACCTTGCGGTGACTGTCAACACCAACGCGGCTCAGATATTGGGTGTACTGCGTAATTTGTAGGAGTATAGTGACCGGAAGAACGAAATGATTGGGCAGATGTGTCTCATCCATAGAAAAGGGCCCGCCTTCTCGGACCCAATGTCCAAGTAGACTAAGATATTTGATCCCAGGAACATTTTGTAAATCCGGGTCAAATCTTGTCAACTCTTGCCAAAACCGAGGTAGATCATTCACCGCTTCGACAAGAGTAGACAAAAACTTGTTACTAGTCAACTCAGTGCGAACTTGGTCGAGGGCTTGTGGAGATGGGAATTCCGTTTGGGGCCCAAATAGGAGAAGGGAAGGAAGTGTATCTGCCATGATTGAAGTCACAAGAAATTTTCGGACAATTCAAATAGAGGTTCAAAAGCCCGAGAGGTTAAAAGCTCGGAAACTTGGCAATCAGGTGTTGAACATGCGAATAGTGAGCTGTTTGCACCAAGAAGAAACAAACTCAGCGGCGGATGGGATATTTGAGGGTCACAGCAGCTTCCAAGTTTTCTCTTTCGGCAAGTGCTCGTCATCAATAAGATGATGACTAACTCTAGTGCTATCTCTCAAGCGAAACACCGATAAATACGAACAGTACTTGAGTATCAAGTAACCCTAGAAGATAAGCAGAGATATGGGTGACTTCACCGACTTCTGTCAGCCTCACCATCAGCCGTAGCACAAACGAGAAAGTTACGTACATGTACAACCGGATCGAACGGCATGTGAAGCGTGCTCAATGATGCCTGGTAGGTTGTCATGCACCTACCGGGTTATGTTCCGTAGCTTCCCTACCTTGCATATACGGGTACGAGGAGAGGTTGTTGCCTCTCTTTCGAGACATATGCGGTTGCTCTGATGTAAATGGCACATCCACTATGCTAAGCTTATCAATCTTTATCGTCCATCTTTACCTTACCGAGATCAAGCCATTGTGCCATCGCCGTTCCGGTCTATATGTCGAGACTGTTACAGCTGCTTACTTCGCGGATCAATTCCGTCTCTGTCTATGGACCTTATTGGTAGAGCCAAGACTACCACTTCATATCCGAGGAATAAGCATAACTACGAGGAGTCCAGAGATCTAAGTACTCCAGTACTCTGGTAATAGCATATCTGGTGCGAGCTATTCTGGCCGCTTAGTTGGGTATATGGATTTGCATTCTATTCAAATGCATTCAGCCAAGAATAGGATTGACCCAAACCTACTAGATTTGAGGACCTAGCTACAGGCTACTAACTTTGAACTCAACGCCCTGAGCTTTATTGTATTTGCCCACGAAAAAGTCGCCCACCATTTTCACATCCAGAGGGGTTGTGTTGTATAATCTAATAACCCCCAATTCGTCTCCAAGTGCCACCTCATCTGTAGCCCACAGCCTCCAGATCTGAGCTATAACCAAGCGAAGAATAGCGTATCCATGAGGCATGCCTAAGCAGACACGACTACCCTTGCCAAACCCAACCATGTATTTATCCAGCTTCTTCCCTGGCTCTCCCAGCCAGCGTTCAGGGTCAAATTTGTTACTGTTGGGGAAATGAAGTTCGTTATGATGTAGCAGGACACTTGTCATTCCCACCGGCGTGTTCGCAGGAATCACCCAGCTCTTCTCTGTCCCCTCTTCTTTATACACCAAAGGTCCGTCAGGATCATAGCGAAAGTGCGGAGTAGAGTTCCCGTAAATCAGTCGAACGCTCTCTTTGACAACGGCTGTGAGGTAATCGAGGCCCTCCAAGGATGAGAGCCGGACATTTGGAACATCGTCAATCGTGGGCATTGCGGTTTTTAATTCTTCCTTTAGCTTGCGCAGCACGTCCGGATTGTCAACAACCCAATAGATTGAATGCTCCAAGTTGGATGCCATGGTGAGCGTGCCCGCCATGAGCAACATCTGTGCATCCTGAGACACGCGCTCGACGGTTTTTTCCTGGGGTGGCAACTTGGGAGAGTTCAACACCCCTCGGAAAATGGGCATCTCCTTTCCGTTCCACTCGTCGTCAGATGTAGTTGAGAGCTGGACTACGAGCTTACGTGTTTCGTGTTTCTGACGCATGTAAGACCCGAGCGATGGGCTAACACGCCGTGCCAATGTCTCTGGTAGGGACATCATGATATCGTTGAGCCAGGGGACTCGCTTCATGATATGGAAAGATTGCGCGCCAGACAACGAAGCATCGCGCTCTGAGGGGTCAAAGCTGGGGTGCTCTGGATTTTTCACGTCAATGGATGGTTGATTCTGTAAACCAGGTACAGGCTTGTGACATACCAAGTCTATGAGTACATTGTCCAAAAGCAAGGTTTTCCATTATGTCTACCAAAGGGCCAATATTAGTGTCTTTTTTCTAGTTTTCCTCCTAACTCCGGGGTCTCACCTCGACTAAACGCCGCGAACATGCAGTTGGCATTGACCGCTACGTCCGTGTCTTTGAAAGAAACCAGTCTTTCCAACATGACATTGAGCCTCTCTTGGAATATCGGCTGAAGGCGTCTTGCGTACGTGGGGCTAAAATATGGCAGAAGAGCCGCGCGGCGTTTTCTGTGAATGTCATGGTCCATGGTGGAAAATAGCGAGTCGTCTAGGCCGAAGAACTTGGTTAAGCTAGGCGGCTTGTTGGCCCGTCTTCCGCTCGTAGCGCTTGGGTAGAGAATGTCATAAAATTCCTTGATATTGAGTCAGCTGATTATTCCAGAGTAGTCGCTAGAATGTTATGAACGGACATACTGGGTCCCCAACGTGTAAATCGGAGGGTGAGATTCGAATTATTGGGCCGTACTGATCGTGCAACTCTTGGATCTTCCAGATGTACTTGCCACCAAGCCAGTTATTGTAGTACATCTCATATCTAAAGCTAATAAGTGATCATTCCAAGTAGATGACGGAGCACACTTGACTTACAAGTGCGTGAGTGCTGCCAATTTTGGCCCAGGGATATGGGCTATCGGTGAAAGATACAAACGCCAGATTGCACAATAGGTCAAGTAGATGGTCGTTGCGCCAAGGCCAATCCAGCCATATTCACTTCGGGATTTGATGGTTGCAATGCCAGCCCACACGAAGTCCATTTTTTGAGTAGTGGGTCAGAGAATGCACGGAGAAGTAGGTCAGAGAATGCGAGAAGTAGGTCAGAGAATTGAAAAGTAGGTCAGAGAAAGGAGATGTCGATTAATTTGAAAAGTTGACGAAGGACCTTTGGTAACTTGAGAATGGATCAGGAAATTGAGACTTTAATATGATGTGGCTACCATTTCTTACCTCGTCGGGGACGATGAATACGAAAAGACAAACGCAAGTCTCACACACTTACTCGGCGACGATCTGCCCGTTTGTATACTGGACATGCAGTCATCATTTCAGTCCCACAACTGCCTAATCTGCAACACCGCGGTCATCGACTGATAGGTGACTAAAACCCCCTGGAATGGTACGTCACGAATCTCTCGAGTTGGCTCCAACTGCAAGAACCAAATCTGGATTGGCTATAGATCCCTGTTTGCTGATAATAAACCCCGAATAGGGGCTCATCGGGTATGACTTGACTGAGTCACAGAGCCCTGTATTGAGCTATGGCTTGTGGGAGTGGTTACTATCCGAATTACGCTCTGAGAGCACTAGGAGTTACGCAGCTGCACGGAATCCAACGGGACGCTTTAACTCGTCGCGTGATAACCTTGGTTAATGTATCGTAAGATTTTAAGATCAATTTATGCAGGGGAAGCATACATATTGCATACCTATCCAAGCATTTAGGTTGCACTTTTGATAAGTTTACGGATAGCTAGTCGCACGTGTCCCACAGTAATCATCGTATGGTCTTAGGGTTGCACTGGAAGATCCGATAGTAGACACATTCCCAGTTATATACATAGGTTCCGCCGCAGCCCTATCAAGTGGTCCCCTAGGGTCCATGTTTCACTGCATACGCTTATGATAGTCACCGGGCAATTACGCAAGAAGAAAGCAATATCACTGGTCGAGTGAGCTTCCCATCCGCTTGTCCGCGGCGCAATGGTCGGGTAGACATATCAGCTCGGCAATAGTCGAGTTTCATACGAACCGGCTCGTCCGCCGAACGGAGCAAGCAGAACGGGGGAAGCAGAGCGGAGGAAGCAGAACCGGGCGATACGTGCCGCACGGGAAAACTACAAAGCTGCTTACCCCCACGGATTCGTCACTGATTGCAGGGCTAGACGAGAAATCTCCGAATAGATTGCGACATCAATGAGGCGTATATGTAGATACTTATACGGCTATGCAAGATTACATTTGCTTTCCTATCTCGCACAAGAAATCCTCCCACGGGCGGGTTGTTTTCATGGGAGTAAGCAGGGTATCAAGGGGCAACCGCTGTCCTCCCACCGCCCCGGGCTGGCCTCCAGGCTTACCTATAACACTACTGCCGGAATGATTTAGGGATGGGGGCCAAAAATAACTAACAAGCCATCTCACGAGCCGCCGTGCTGTAGAACGAATGAGAAACATGGAGTTTCTGCCTTCCTACCACCACAAGGATGTTGCCCACCCTGTATTGAACCAATGGTCTGGGCCACTGGGATATGAGCCACACGCAACAGGCTTTACGCATGAGCTCAATCTCGACGAAATCGAGATCATTTACACGGAATTCCACAGATTGGTTGATAAAGTGGTTGCAAAAGCTTTCATCTGCACAGCCCCTCAGCTCAACCGGATAAAGGATCAAAACCACAAGCTCATTAGCAAGCTCATGACTCTTGAATGCGCCATTACAGGAGACATGAGTCTCCATGATGCTTCCCGTATTGCATCTCTGCCAGTGCGGTCGTCGGCTGGTAGCATGGGTGAATACACCCCAACAGCTGGATCGAGCCCGGTATCACGCAGTGCTACTATTAAACGACGGCGAATTTCAAAGAATAAGACGCAAGACCAATTAGAGAGCACAGTAGCCCCAGCCAGTAGTTCAACAGTGAGTTAGAGCATTACACGACGCTAGTTATTCCCCGTACTCACCAAGCTTAGACAACACAGCGTAACAACAATATTAGCCCTGAGTCCGGATGCAACGTGCATGACTTTGAGAACCTTGGAGAGAACTCCAAGCTGGCGAAGAAGTTGTTCTATGTAGTTTCCGAGGAAGCTAGAGCGCAAGTTGCCGAGCTGTCTAAGCATCTCAGCGCTGCAACATCCCATCCAGGGGTAGAGAAACCTCACCAGGCGCACAGGTTTTCAAGCTTATCACAAATAACCAGCATGTCACGCTTCCTCCAATTGGTTGTTGATTTAGGCGCAGCAATTGAAGGCAGCATATTCGGAGAGCAAACGAGCAGAACACGGAAAAGAATTGCCTTGGCTCACTTTTACCGTGCGTATTCACTGGCCCAAGACAACCCCGGTGTGTTCCTTGCGTGGTATGACAACCAACATTTTCAAAAGAGTGGAATCCTGCCACCCAAAGGGGGGAGCAAATCCATCGTGCAGCATCGCTTTGCAGATATGATATTCCATCATGCCCCACTACGGGATGCAAACACTGTCTTGGCCTATACTCCCGGCCAGAACGACGACATCAAGAGGAGAATTGCCAAGATACAGATGTGGAGGAAGAGCGGGAGAAAATGGGCTTATATCATTCAAAGATTTGGCTACGGAATCCTGCTCCTTCTCCCTCCTAGCCTTTCGGATGAAGAGTAAGTCGTTCATCCCATCAAGCACATTACAAGAAAACTTTTTATAACCTGCTCGTGTGAACAGTTTGAGAGTTGCCCATGACAAGGTTCTCTCCCGTATTTTGGACCACATCGACTGCCGTAGAGAGGTATTCGCGGAGAGTTTAGAAGCAGCCAATTATTTGATAGACTCCTATTTTTTCCTTCAAGATAGAGACGGGGCCTGCATCAGCTCAGACCTTAGCAAATGGCCGAGCTGGGACCATCTTATTACATCCGTTCCAAGCTCGAGCTAGTCAGCGTTTTAGTTGAGAGGCCTATGGCAATAATTAAAGGGTGATGAATAAGGAGAAGATTGATAAGAAATATACAAGATCCAACATATAAGAAGCTAATTCTTCCGACGCAAGCAGGTGGTGTTCTTTGCATAAGCTCCAGCACAAGAACCCCGTCACTCGGGCCACCACAATGTCCGAAGCCCCGTTAATATTACCCATGTTGTGAGGGTTTTCCTCCGAAGTAGGTTTCACTGCATTTCAAATCACTAGATGACGGACTTATTACACTTGTGCCGTGGGATTCGGGTTTCGCGGACACGACACGCGTGAGCGAATTTTCATTTCCGCTTTCGCCCCATTACAAGCGACAAGCACCTGATTCCCATATAATACCCTTAGGCCCTGTCTAGGCATAGATAGTTCAAGCCTCTTGTAGCTGAAGAATTTACTCACAGAGTAGTTTGAACATCTCTTTGATATTTCCCGGGAAGAGCACGAGCACGGTTTACAGCAATGACTCACTCTCAATACCCGAATAATTCGCCGTCCCCCGAAGTTATAATCGATTCGGGCGTACTGTCTGGGCTTCTTTTCCCGAACAATACCAGGGCCTTCCTTGGCATACCATATGCAGCTCCCCCAGTCGGAGATTTGCGTTGGCGGCCGCCGCAGCGCCCTGAATCATGGGAGAACGTGCGACCAGCTGTGAAGTTCGGCCCCAGCAGCCTTCAGTTCCCCCTCCCAGAGAATTCCATCTACCATGGGGGGGAGTTTGAGTTCAGTGAGGATTGCCTCTATCTGAACATCTACACGGGTTCAGACGGTGATAACCGACCTGTATTGGTCTGGTTCCACTTTGGAGCATTCATCTTTGGGTCTAGCTCCAACCCCCTCTATGATGGGACAAATTTTGCAACAGAAGGACTAACTGTTGTGACTGTCAACTATCGCCTGGGGCGCCTCGGCTTCCTCGCACATCCAGAGTTGAGTGATGAGTCCAGCCATAAGACATCAGGCAACTACGGCATCATGGACCAAATCGCGGCCTTGGAATGGGTGCGAAGGAACATCAAGGCCTTCGGGGGTGACCCCAATAATGTCACCATAGGAGGTGCTTCTGCGGGGGGCGCGAGTGTTCACATATTACGCTCCTCCCCGCTAGCAAAGGGGTTATTCTCAAAGGCTATTTGTGAGAGCGGACCAGGTGTGGCTCCAGCTCTTGATGGCCATGGCCATCTCGCAGCTTACACGACACTAGCCTCGGGAGAAAAGGCAGGCGTTGAATTGCTGGCCGCTGTAGGGGCGCCGTCTATCGCGGAGCTTCGCAAGATGCCCGCAAAGACTATCATGGCTACATATTTACCCCGGGCAAAGGGACAATGGAAATCAGAGACGTGGCATGCATCTACAAGCCTTAGTCTGTTTGACACCGCCAATCCTATTGTTGATGGCCATGTCTTGCCCGAATCACCTCTGACGACGCTACTATCCGGGAGGATGGCTGACGTCCCCTTTCTTGCAGGAAATTCTGTCGACGAAGCAACTAGCTTGCCACATTTGGATTCGCTCGCCGAGTATCGTACCTACGCAAAGGACACATTCGGTGAGCAAGAAGAAGAGCTCCTCCGCCTATATCCCGCTGCAGCCAACTCAGAGGTGCGATCTGCATGTTTAAACCTTCTCGGTGACCAAGTTTTCGTCTGGCCGACATGGATCTCGGCAGAGATACAGGCCGCCAAGATGAGCTCTCCTGTGTGGTACTATAGGTTTGCACGAGCACCTCCAATTGCCCGTGAGACAGCTGAGGGGAATTCCGCTGGCGTATTTCACTGTGCCGGTGTCCCGTACGCATTCGGGAATCTCAACAACTGGAAGGATTGGGACTGGACCGATGCGGATAGAGCCCTCTCCAAAGATGTTTTAGAGACTTGGGTACGATTCATGACATCGGGGAATCCCAACGCGACCGACATGGATTCTGGTACTTGGCCCGCTCTGAGTTCTACGAGAAATAATATCAAGATATGGGATTTCGAGCCAAGGATCGAGGTGCTTGAGTCGCGTTTTGACCATATGTCAGCATTTTGGAAGGCTTATTATGGGGTGAACAAGCATCTATCTACTCAGTAGAAGTTTAGCTCTCACAATCTATGCACATTCTCTCATGATTGTATGGATTCTTTGTCTACCGCGTAGTGTCTGATGGTTCTCCTATACCTTTGAGCCTACACGCCGAGCATCTCGTTCAGACTTGCCAACGGAAGCCTAGCTCTCATGGTACCGTAACCGTAATCGTAATGCAGGGAATACATTGCGCAAGTAGACACGTATTCCTTTTTTCAGCAAATCTAGCTAGCCTTGGCAGGATTGATCATCCGTTGTGTAGGTGTATCCAAGAAGAAGTTATGGGCAACCAAGCCAGCTATCCGCTCTCAAATCAGGCAGCGGCAATAAAATCAATTAGCGGATGCAAGTTTACTAGGTAAATTTTATCTACAGGGCAGTTCCGGTGTTTCCTTGGCCGTCTCCATCAAAGACTGGATTACCATTTGATGGATCGATCGGGTGGTTTCCAGACATTGAGCATGCATGGCTGCCTCGGAGGCTTTGTCCTCCACATCATCCATCCCCCCCCTTTTTTTCGTCCTAGCATGGCAAACTAATCCAGTTACTAGTACTGCCCAAGGGGGTATTTTCAAAGAGTAAGCGGACACTGCCCAACTCCTGTTTGCCGGTTCAGGTGAATTGTGGTTGGGATATTTATCCACACAATCGCCGCCGAAGTAACGAGAGATTTATCAGGCGAAACATAGTAACTATTTAATCAATGTGTTAAGTAATATTTTGGGTAAGGCGTCTCGTTGAATGAGTACTCTAGGTTTTTCTAATAAATTTCCATGACAAAAGAAAAGTGTCCTCGTCAGGCCCTCGCAGATCTGGGTTCGCAGCCCAAACGCAAGTTTCTTAACTAAAATCCTCCATTAAGTATTTCTCCATTGAGTAGGAGAGTGTGCTATATCTATAGTTGTTTCTATCAATCTAAATGTATCAGTTAGGCAACAATAATCCAAACACGTTCTAAACCTCTTCCCCAGCAGGCTTTTTCCTCTCCTCGAGGCCATACTCCGTGTCAAGGCCCTTTCTCAAAGGAACGTCTTTCTCAAATAGAGCAAGAATGAAACCAGTTCCTCCAAATGCCACGGAGATGATAAAAACCTTTCGCAATGCTAGCAGAAAGACTTCCCGGATCTGGCTTTGAATCGGCTCAGGAAACTGCATCACGAAATGCTGAGTGCCACTGGCATAAGCATCTCCGTTGCTAAGTAGTTCACGCACTACCTCATTATCCACCATGTATGCATACTGCTTAGTGAAGGAGTTCAGGACCGTGCCCGCGATAGCAATGCCCCATACCATTCCAAATGTCCTCACAAAGCTCCATGTTGCTGTTGCCGCAGCTTGGTCTTTCTCTGCCAAGGACGCTTGGAACGCAGGGAGCAGAGTAGAAATAAGGAGCCCAGATCCCACAGCAGGCATGACTTGGATTCCGACCCACACGCCTGTGTTGCTATCGGTCTTGAGAAGTGAAATAAGCCCAACACCAACTGTGGTGAGCAGCATGCCTGATATGTGCAGTACCTTGAATTTGCCGAACTTTGCCAGGAGTAAGGAGGCTACTGCTGCACCAGGGACTGCTATAAGTGTGATTGGAAGGATCTGAACACCAGACCAGGACGGTGTAGAGAGCTGAACCGCTTGAAAGTAGACTGGGAAGTAGAAGAAGCACCAAAATTGAAGCATGGGCATCAAGAATGAGTTCACATATACAATTATTGATGTTCGGTTTGGAAACAGACGCAGTGGGATGACGGGCGCCTCGGGTATTCCTGAGCCCTCGTAAACACAGAAGCCTACGAGACCTGCCAGCCCAACCAAGAGCGGGACGAGAACCCGAGCATCAGACCAGGGATAGATAGGGCCAGCCCAAGTCAGAGCAATCAGGACTGATACCGAGGATGCCATGAGGATGGCATTGCCCAGGTAGTCGATTCGTTTCAGTTTGGACAGGATGCGTTCCTCGCGGTCGTACCGGAGATTGAGAAAAAGATACGCAAAGACCATACCAACACCCCCAATAGGAAGGTTCAGGTAGAAGACCTGGCCCAGATGAAAGATCAGCCACATGTGAACTCCATTCAACTCCAGATAACTTACCCATCGCCAAGTCGAGTTCTCAACAATGGCACCTCCTATAAAAGGGCCGATCGAGTAGCCAACTGTTGAAACTACCAGTAAAAGTGCGACATATTTTCCACGGTATCTCAGCGGCACCAAGTCTGAAATGATAACTTCTCCCTGTCAACCGATTGTCAGTGTTGGTTGTCCCTAGCTTCCTCGCTTTTTCTTCAACTCACAGACATGTTCAACCCACCACTTCCAATGCCTTGGATAGTACGGCCAGCGATGAGCATGGCTTCTGTTGTCGCGCCTCCACATATACCGCTCCCTATAACGTACAAGCCCAGAACGGATATCAAAACAGCCTTTCGCCCAAAAAGATCGCAGAATTGGCCGAATAGGGGCTGTACTGCCGCGCTATAATGCTATGTCAACGATGCTCACAAGGAAAATACCCATGAATTACCAAAAAAAAAAAAAAAAAAAAAAAAAACACCTACCTTGTCAAGAGAAACACATTGGTCACCCAAATGTAGTTGCTCCCCAGCTTGAGCTCTGAAACAATATAGGGGAGTGACGTGACCACTATGGTGCCTTCAAGCGACGCAAGCATGATGGAAAAGCACAGCGTGAGCATGATCATCCAAAACCTATAGTCCTTCTCAAACGAAGGTGCTTTCTGCTCCTCCTGCTGGGCGGATGATGATGAGTCTGCCACATCTTGAGGAGTCTCCTTGGGTCCAGACACGATACTTTCGGAAGAGGTCTCTGCTATGTCTGCAGCCACTTTGAGATCAGTGGCTGCTTTCTCGGTTGGGTTCGACATCGGGCACGGTTTTGATGACACGAAAAAGATACACAAAGGCCTACGGAAGCATCAGAAGAGGTCTTTGTCCCGTGGAGAGTTCTGGATCTTAAATAAACTAGATCCTAAATTCGGAAAATCTCGCTGCCACGTTATATATCCAATCGGCCAATATTCGTAACCATCCGCAGGTGGACCCAAACCCTGCGGTCTCCAGACCGGAGACTTTCTAACCTAACAATTCCAGGTGAGAAAAGCAACCCCTACAAGGTGAGTTCTTGGCTGTAGAACAAAACGCTATTTTGTATTTACCAAGTCGACAGTAATGGTATATTAGTCGTCCTGCTTCCGCTGAGAGACTCCCAACAACTATCATAGTTGCAGCCTCAGAAACATTCGTCGGAGGCTTTACATTGGCATGAGACGCGGGGAAGAAAGTCCACTGCTGACATGAGATCCCAATCTGTAATCCGCCTGTGTCGCTTTCTCGGATTTGTCGGGACACTTTACCACAAGCCCATGATTAGGCACCACATCTGACGAGCCCCATGCCCAATAACCGGAGGAACATTACCTTTGGTGAGTGCCCCTCAAATGCCCGAGCTGACGTTGGCCGGACTGCTCAAGCATGTACGCTCGAGTCTTGATTCTTAACCGAGATCTCAGCAGACCGGTCAGCATTACCTGACTAACTTCTAAGCTTGCAGGTCAAGTAGGCAATCTACAGTTGACCTTCGGCAGATCTAGGCATACCCAATTTTCCACTTCCACAGGAGCTGAACTTGCCTGCGCTGTACGTACGCCGTATTCAATCTTGTTATAGGCAGCACATGAAAGGTGTCAACGCTACTCTTAGGACCCCATCCACATCTTCCAGCCAATTCACATAAACTGTTTTATATCCAAGTAAGTGATAATGGAATGACCACTAGTAAGCCGTCTATTCCGCATGCTACATTTTGGTGTCCTAAGCCCTTTGTTCTAATCCACTGCTTACACTTGCGATACACCGAAAAACGCGCAATCACTACAAAGAATGACGAAGCGCATTCGCATTCACGGGAATACTATGTCAGTTTTCATCAGCATGTGTCCCTTCATTGTATGCATCTCGCATTGCTCGCTTTCAATGGCGCCCCAGCCACCTCGTCATCGCTATTCCAAGGAGAGCTTCCCACTCGAATTTGAACATACACTTGTAGCCTTTCGAGATTGCTTCTCACGGAATTCCAGATAGCGAACTTGGCTAATTACTGGCATCAATAAATCGTGTAGGTAAATGATCCGAATTTTCGACACCCATCCTTAATGAATTCAAGAGAAACAGGAATCATCTTGCCCGCCCTTGCCCCCCTCCCACGCCGGTAATATAAGTATGCATAACTAAACTTTGCTAATCCCCTCAGCCCATGCATGTTTCAAGTGGTAGTAAAGTTATTCAACTTCCAGCTGCCAATAAGAGGCGTTCTCTTGTTGTCTAGCGTCGTTCTCTTTCGCTGATTTCCAGTCAGCATGCGAAGATCGACATAGCTGAAGGGCGATGTGCTTGGCGTCACCTGGCATGACCAATTCTAGGCCATTCACATCATCCTTCGCATTTGTTAGCATACACGACACTTTTTGGAATACGAAGTAGCCTCGTATACATTTTTAGATCGGGGAAGTGGGCAGCAATGCCAAGCGTTGCGCGACAACTCAGAAACCACCGGCTTCTATCTTTTGAAATTCTATAAAACGCTGCTCATCCTCCAGGGAATTAATTTTCCTGCCTCTGAGAGACACAAGTTATCGAGTTTAATTTGAAGAAGCATACTCAACCGCCACACGCTTACTCCCATTCACCATGAGATTCCTCAGTATTCTTCCTTATGCCACCATTGTACTTGCTCTCCCCGCTCCGGAGACTCAGGCAGTCAATGGCCTCATCTATCCTTACGCAACTTATCGATACTGGGTTCAAACAGGCAAGACCATCATTGATCCTCAGGACCAGCTCCTAATCGTCAAAAACGGAAACCCTGCCGATGAAACAACAACCATTGTGACGTTCCAGTTCGACCAGAGCACCCAAGGGAAAACTTGTGAGCTCATGTTCGAGCTCTGGGATCGCGACGTCTCCACCGGAACCCAGACACTGGATGTTTTCACTTATTCTAATCCTCCAAGACCTGTTGTGCAGCTCACAACCACTGACATTGCTCAACTCGTCTCGGCCAAGAGCAGAGACAACCATGCTGGTCGAATCATTGCTCCGAAGCCTGGCAATGCAACTTGGATACAGTCATATCAAGGTTGGCCCAAGATACCGTGCCCAGCCGGCCAATATATTGGTGTGGAATATGTTGGAGCAGGCGACTTTGTGGAAGTGCGCTGGGACATTGGTGTCACGGGGCCGAGATTCAGGGTTTTGTAAGGAACAGGGTTGACAACTGTCGTTATTCTACCCGAGTATGTAACTTGTCATAGGTTTAGTAATGGCTGTCGATGAGCCTCAGAGGTTAATCGTGACCAATCATGAAATGAAATGTCTTCTTACAATCACTGCTAAAGCTTCATCGAAGAATGTATCTTCAATCAATAGTTTCATGGATCACGAACTGTTAACTTTCTTCAGCTACAGCAATCTCATTAGGCAGACAGCATAGCAGGTTACATTTAAAAGTACCATCAGATTCTACTGAATCTATATGGCACTATTGATGCACATGGGTTATCACTCTCGTTTCTCTTTCCCAGTTATAGCAAAAATCGGGCGTAAGGAAGGATCCTACCGTGAACATGTCTACCTAGTTCTATATCCATTTGACCGCCCGGCATGCATAGTGGACAAGGGACTGCAGTCGGAGGATTTCCACGTTTGAATCAAGTGGGACGCTACCCATCAAAGTCGATGATTTTCATGCATCGCGAATCACACTCGCAGCGAGAGGATCATTTAGATGATGGGATACCCTAGTTGCACATCCCCCACTTTGCAGCTTTCCAAAGTTCCTTTCAAGCCACCACTATGTTGTTTGTGACCTACATTGCATTAGCGCTGGCTAAGGGTTCAGCATCAGCTGATCCAGTGTGTGTATGACTGTTTCGGCGGGGGCATGTTGGCACTAAACAGTGGACGAAGCAGGGGTATTAAGCTGCTTCCTTCACATCGAGATCCTACACTATTCAGAGGATCAACCCGCAATGGAGGAACGCCCGTCTAGCGGAGATTTTCCCTTGATCTAGCTTGACACTAATGCGGATATATGTTTGGAGATCCCTCGAGGATTGGAACTTTGTGGTGAAAATTTAAGGACAAGAAGTTGTCTCTGAGCGCTGTGCCTGCACCAGAGAGTGACGACGAGTCTAGAGGGTTCATCCGACTCTGGGAGGCCACCAAACTCGATTCCTACATACTATGTCTTTCATATAGTATCGCCGCTAGTTCCCCTCAAGTAGGCTGAGATGATGAGGAACCAGAGCCCATGATGAGCTGCTTTGTATACAGGTTATCAGCCCTGCAAGTTGAACTTACCCGGTACCTAATCTCGTATGCTAGCCAAATTGTGACCGCCATCCATACTACGAAGTCTCTAGGGCAAATTAATGGGCTCATTATCATCTGTTGCAGGTGAAAATAATGTTGCATGGTTGTTTTTCACTGCAAGTAGTAGTGTTGTTGGTTTTGGTGGCAGCATCTGACTTATGACAACCTAAGCCTTCATGCGTTCGGATGAGAGCAGAAGCTTACAAGTAATAGCCAAGACAGGCTGAGTTGCCAAGTATGATGTATCAGAGAGATGTAATTTCACACTTTAGGGTTTCCATGGCAAGTGCTCTAGAAAGCGTCCAGCATAGTCTACTATCAAGCCAGTGGCTGGAGCTATGGGCTTAACAGAGAAGATAGATTAGCAACAACAAGCTCTTCCAGTTAGACAAGAGCATATATTGATAAAAGAAAAGAACCGATATAGTAAGTCTAGCCTACTGGATATACTGAAAAAGACGATTGTGATAAATCTGACGTTGGCGGCCCCATTCAACCACAACGCCTCCTTCTACAATGGAAGAGGCGCCAACAGAGTTGCTTTAAGGCTCTTTTGAATGAACATTCATTCTGCTCTGGGATATGCGGACACTACAAAGTAGTTTTGTTCAAAGGCCAGTCGACTGGTTCACAACACATCGCATCAAATTAGGGCCTGCCAGTTGCTCCGGCCACCTTTTCATAACCAAACTCCCCATACCATGATGCCATGTAAGACAAGCTATCGTAACCGGGTCACAACCCGTCTTGTTACTGGCAGAAATGCTGATGTGGCTGCAATCACTTCCGTTGCGCCAGCAGGATGAACCTGATCCGCCTACTGATGACGCATTCCCTACGTATCGGCGCGTCACTGAAGCGCACCTGTCCGGAGTTAAGGTCCAGAATGGGCAAGTCACATCACTTCATATTCGGTCCGTAATGATATATTCGTTTCCTGAACAGCGACATACATCCAACCCCACGCTGGCCCCTTTGGGTATCAACTACAAGCAGCCCGCAGGCTTGTGAGGACCCTTTTCGCCACCAGTATATTTTCCTCATCATGATAGTATCTCTAGCGTGATGCAATCAGCACAATTCGGAAATCGTGTCTTGGGATCGACTCATGGCTCAAGTTCGCGCTGGAAACCGTATTAACAATGCAGGTCCTGCAAGGACACTGCTTGTTCGTGACCCCTGTAAATCCAACTGTGGGGAACGTATGCGAGATAAAGCACGGGGTATTGAGGCAGCCAAAGTAAACTATGCAAGGCCATTGTATGATGGTGGCCTACAATAGTCTACTGTGGTTGCAGATGGACTGTCACTGCCGCGGCGGTCCAGCATCCGGCGTCCCAGGACCGTGTGTGAGGGCCAGATCTTGGCCCTGCGGGCACCAAAGGTCACTGAGTAGTAACCACGCTAATGCCCAGATGTGGGCTTCGGGCGAAAAAGGCCTTTACTCTAAGAGGTTGTCGCCCGAGATGTGTGACTTGACTGGCCAGGAAAAGGGGTGAGCTTGTCTCACCAGGCCGATGGTGTTCTTGCCAGCTTGGATTCTAGGCGATTGATTGGAGTCTCGGCCCAGCGGGCTATACCTAGAAAATCGCTAGTTTGCCGCTGGTGAATAATCATTTACTATGGTAAATGCGCCCGAGACGGTTGGGATATTTGTGTGGTGGACACTCCTTCAATTGGACAGGCTCGGGCGCGTGCCTCGCCACCAAAAAAAGCAGCCCTGAGGATGGGGAATAGCCGGCCAGAGTCGTATCAGGAGTGGGTATCCATCTTGAAATGCTCCAATGCCCAGTTCCTCAGCCCTGGCTGGAGTTTGCCCACCCTGGTTTGAGGTGGTGTGATGACGGCATGGGTGACATGAGGTGACATGAGTCTATCCAAGGCTTTGCATGGGATAGATAGTCGTTTAGCCTCTGGGATGAGCTTCCGTGGTCCAATTCAGTTCATATCAGCAGGCTGTTGGTTTCAAATAGGTTACTTGATTGATATGTATCTTCTGACTCTCCAGGACCGAGTCAGTATCTTCATAGCGATGTGACAGCTGCCGCATGGCACCCCAGCTCCCGTGTATTCTCCGCTTTACGAGCGTTCCCATGACGTGCTGGAATTTACACTCGGATCAATGTGTTCGGTAATTAAGGCTCAAATGGGCTGACGGACAACACCGAACCGGCGAATCCAAAGTATTCTGGAGTCAACCTACTGAGATTTAATCCCATTCCCTTACAATAGAACCTTTTCGATCTACGTTAAACTCCACAAATAACCCGCATAGGAAATAGCTGAGAACAAAGCGAGGCCTCATTCGAGTCTATATATAGAGTGAAGACTTTTCTGCCTTCACACATTCTGTCACGGCTGTCTTTCTAGAGAGTCGTAGCAGAAAGCTGGGCAATCTCATTGGTACCACGAGATGTCTAACATGGCCACTGCAAGAGCATGTTCAGTAGGTTGATAAAACTACTGGTTCTGAATATCCAGCAAGAAGTTTCTCAAATATATGGCACATCTCTTGTGAAAACCACAGGAAAACGGCGAGAGCTAGTCAAAGAAATTGGATCCTACTACTGTCAACCAAGAGTGGTCAAGTAATTCTCATAGCCTCATTCCCAGGCCAGAAATGGCACTTCTCATTCTATTACAGCTTAATCAAGTATAGTGTTTTGTCTATCTATATCGCCTTTTCTAAGCCGCTGGTCGGTCATCGCGCCACAATCTCCGAGAAACTTGTAAATTTGTGTTGATGTTTTGCAACATGTCTTGGCAATATAAGTGCATTGGTCCCCTAATTTTCTTCTTTTAAGAGCTTTATCACAGGAGATGCTCGGGCTCATGGACCTACGTCATGCGCAAGATCGAAATGAGGAAATATAGAATGGGTTGGATTAATGCCATGTGTCGAGACAAGGGACCCTCAAAGCACGCTCTACAACCCCAGGTTTCGTCTGCTCTAATTCTACTTTGCTCACCGCCGTTGAAATCCTTTCGGGTTTCCAGGGAATAAACGTCCAGAAGATTCAAAGAAGGAAAGCTTGACTAGGTCACTTCATCCCTGCAGCAAGGGTATTAGCTTCTTCTTCCCCGCAGAAACGTTGATGAAACGTCTTAAATCCAATGATCCATTCATCTAGGGCCCCTGCTACCTCATCATTCAGAAGGGAACCAAGCCACGTGTACACGGTAGGTTCCAATCTGTGATTGGACTTCTGAAGGATAGCTTGGCAGGCAATCACGAAGGAATTACACCTTAGTTGAGCCAACTAAGCGGCGTGTCTATATCGGCTCCCGAACGAGTGGTTCTGACTGCAGACTCCCACATGGTGTACCGATGGAGATCATTCTCGAACCGAAATGGCTGTACATGTCACAAAAACTGCATGTACCAGTAGAAGACGCTAAGAGAGGTAAAATGCGGTATTCAAATCCTAGTGTTTTGATTATAGACAACCGCAGGCTAGCGGAAAACATGGCAATGGCTCGTGTTAGGATGTTTGATTATATGAAGGTGAAAAACGGTTAGACAGACCGAGGCGGCCCTCTGACTCCATTCAGAGAGGCGGATCTGATACCAAGCAGTACTTTGTGGACAGGGACATCATGCAGGGATCTTGATGTGGCTATCACCTATCAGTTACAATGTTCTGGGGTTGGATGTGGGTAAGTTGGTGGGCATCAACGGGCAAGCCCATCTGCCTATCAATGAAATAACCATGTCCCATCGTGTTCGGTGAAGTTGGCTGGCATCGCCGAGCGCGAACCCATAGCCGCGGATTCGGTATTCAATGGCTGAGAGCTTACCTGCATACTGCATGATCCCACCGAGGTGTATCTTACATACAGCATTAGAAGTGGCTCTTTGTAAAAACGCTGAAAGAAGGAGAGGAATGAACAACAACAGACCTATCAGTGACATGCTCGACCAGTTCTGGCTAAGGTCTTCTCGCGTATAGACAAGCCAGCCGCCTAGCCACAGAAACGTTCTGCCAGCAGTAGTGCACGTGGTAGCTCCACCCTTGAACGCGCGCTCGGTTGCGGGAGAATCCGCAACCTGCATACGGAGAACAAACTGAGGGTTCATTTCTTGTCGTGGGCTCGTAGAGGCGGTGGCCGGGCTTTTTTCTTCGTAAACTGCTAAAAACAATCCGAAACACGCATCCCCGCCAGGGGTCGAAGGGAAGAAAATGTTCAGGGAGGGAAGGGATGGCCTGAACAGCAGCCACCCAGGTCGCGAACAGGTTTACCTGTACATCGGAAGACAAACGTGAGCAAACCCCGGCGGGAACCCACCAGCGAGGGTAAAAATTCCCGCTCTTCGGGTCTGGGTCACGTACGATAACTTGGCTGTCACTGGAGCCTTGTAACCTGGTCCGAAAGGGGTCACAAGACGGGTCCCTCCATCTTCTCTCGTTGTGAGTCTAAGAGACAACTACCTACAGTAACGACAGGGAAGTAGATTAGCCCATGTTCCCACAATCAGGGGTCAAGGTTTTGACAGACATGGAGCTAGCGCAAAATGAAGTCAACTAAGGTGAAACCGGTAGATGAGGCCCGAGGAAGAGACCCAAAGCAGAAAACCGAGGGTGTGAACCATAGCCATGTGATGTGATACGCTAAGGTGGCTGGTATGTGATGCAATGCGACATTTGTCTGCACAGAGATGCAGATGTCCCATAAGGCCATCGTCTGCCGGTGCCAACGAACTGGCACCAACGGTACTGTGGGCAAATATGCCGAACTGTCACACCCCTAAGTTCTCAGCCCGCACTAGCAGTGCATGCAGCTCTCCCAAATTGCAAGTGTGTGGCGTCACTGAGGTCCTCAGGGCCGCATGGATGCAAACTCGCCTAAGCACGCACCACTTGGTACGCGTGGGACCGCTTCATCCTCTCGACAGGGATGCTGAAAGTTGTTCTACGCCAAGATGGGCTCTTGGGCCCCAATCCTTGAATTGCAAACAGACCAAATTTCGCTACGTGGGGGCTGGCAGGGTCCCATGTAATTTGGGGCGAGTGTAAAAGGGAAATATGGCCACCGGTTTCTGGACTGAAGAGGCACATTCTCGTAATAATAATGCATTATTCTTCTCACTTACCGGTTTAGATCAACTTGAGTCTGTTGGTTGCATGCCCAGTGCCAAAAAGCTCCATATCTGCACTGGAAATTTCTTCCCCAGGTTTAGAACACTGGCGTCAAACAAACCCAATCCGTTACCTGCGACACCAACGAAGTCATGCCGACGACGAGCGCAAACGCCCCTCGCCCCAGGCTCAGCTACCGGCGGGCCAACTTTGGCGCGGGCGAGTTTCGCCTGTTGGAAGTTCAACGGGCTTCCAACATCGATGACCGCATCGTCTGCCGAGTCATCACTGCTAACTTGAAGGAAGACATCGAGTTTATCGCCCTCTCGTCGCTATACGGTGATACAACCATTAGCGAGTTCATCTACATCGACAACCAGCGCATCCCGATCCCCGAAAACATTGCCTCCGGCATGCGACACGTACGGGCCGTTTTCTTGCCCGAACCAGATAACTCGAAGACGGACGTGAACGGCAAGGTTAAGAATGAGAAGAAGCCGGGCGGTACGCCGCGATGGCTCGTCCACGCACTACGATTGTTCCGACCAATGTTCGATGATCACTCTCAGGGACGACCGCTCCGCATTTGGTTTGATGCTCTGTGCATCGATCACAACAATGCCAAGGAGACCCAGCACCAGCTCGTCCACATGACGCAGGTTTATCGCAAGGCCAAGATCGTTGTGGGCTGGCTCGGACCGGCCGACAAAGACTCAGAGATCGCTGTCGACACCATCAAGGTCATCAACGAGATCATACCCCCCAACTGGGGCGACGAGGAGGACAAGAAGATCAACCCCCAAAACTACTCGCCGCAGCATGAATGGATGAAGGCTCTTGCGCAGTTCTGGGCCGAGCCCGAGACCACGGAGGAGGCGGTGACCCGCCCGGATGGTGTACCCAACAATTATCATTGGATTGCCTGCAGGCAGTTCCTCTCCCGTGACTACTTCAACAGACACTGGATCCTGACGGAGATGGGAAGAGCCAAACATCCAACCTTCTTGGCTGGGACCAAGATTCTGGGCTGGAAGCACATCCTGCGATTGACTGCCCTCTTCCAGGAACTCAGGGACAAGCCGAGCAACGTCGTGCCGCCCCATCTGGTTGCTGCACTACATCAATTTCCCCTCGGAGTCGTGTATGACTTCTTGGCAGATTTCGATCAGAGGCACAAGGCTGAGAAGCTGGAGAGGCTGCAAAACACGCAGCGCTCCGACAACACCCAGTTCACCAGCAGCTCTGAGACATACACATAGACAACAACCACAAGGCAACAAAAAAAGGAGAAAAGCAAAAAGATACGAAAAAAACAAAGGAAATACCAAAAGCATCTTCCCTATTTGAAAAACAACAAAAAAATCAATAGAAACACATCCACGAATCTCTCTTCTGTCATCTCTGATACCCTGGGTCAGGTACGGGGCCACACGAATCGTCGGCGTTTGGGCGAAGCAGGAACGACACATGTCGGCCTGCGGGGATGCCTGCTCACATATCGCGCAGCTTCCAATGGGTTTGAATGCTACTGTAGTGTTACGTTTTCAATACAAAAGCGAATCTTATATTTTACCTGCACAATTGGGGTACTTGAATGGGAGAGTGTCTACGGCAACGGATTGTTGGGACGAAGACAAACATAGCAGTTTAACCTCACACAATCAATTGAAACACAATTTGAAAAATCTAGGCGTCAGAAACAGTATAGTCGGTGATGAGTTACCATTCGTCTAACCTGCAACTCCAGCTACTGCGACTATAATTTGGTCTGGTCCCAACACCACACCGCAAGTACCCACCGACATTGAATGGAAATACTGATTCAGTGTTCCAGTTCCAATCAAGCAGGTCGGAACTCAACGCTCATGCAAGTGTGTGGGGTTGAACCCGCCCCCAGCCTGTCAAGCTGCAAACCACGGGCTGGCAATAACCTCCGTGGCAGCTAGCCATGTCATGTTCTTGGCACCTGCCAGTCAGTGCTTCGAGTGATCAACAATTGTCATCTCTGTCGGGCCGCCACGACTTTGACCAAGATTGATACACCGCCACTTGGGTGGAGAGGCTGGCTGTCAGGCCACCCACAGGACAAGAGCTGGCACGCACCTGCCTGTCATTCCGTAATGAGAGAAATCCTGCGAATGACATGGGGGACGTGTTAGTGCGAGCTGTCAATAACTAACCTTACCCTAGATCCTGGGCTTTGATGGCAAAGTTGATTCAAACACTCAGACATGTACCCTAGCCAATTGGCTCGTGGGTTTTTGCTAGGGTTTTGGATCGTACTTGCAGCTTGGATCGTACTCAACAATTTCGAATGGCTGTTATTCCTGGCCCTGACTAGTTGTCCTTTGATTTGGCCTAGTCATCAACCCTTGCCAACAATATCATCTCGCCACATGTGCATGCGATCCCCCAGCCAACGATCTCTTCGCGAAGAGGCGACGTATCCGTGCGAAATGGGAGATCGACAGGGAAATACCTAGGGAATTTCTCCATAAATAAACAACGTGGCCAGAAAATAGCCCGCCCTACGGGGGTTGTTACAATCTCAAGGTTGTACTGAAATGAGCACGGATAGCTCTGTGGAGTTTTGCCACTGACAGGTCAGCCGTGGCGTTATTTGAGAATTAGATATGGAATTAGTCGAGAATTCTAGAATTAAGTAATATAAGTCGGTCGATATGCCAATGAGTTGCCTCAATGCAAGCCAGAAGAGGTGATGTTGCAGTGATTTTGCACTCCTTCGTGGTTTGAGAGGATGAGTGGCATTCACACGCCGGCGAACAATCCATGTCTCTTATGGGAAAGTAATGTATCTGCATTCTTCACCCTCGCTTTCGGTTTCTTCTGTTATATGGTTAAAACAATCAGCCTGTAGATCGCGCCCACGAAACAACCACTCTGCTGGAGTGATGACTGGCGGCAATTGCCGTCTCAGCCACTAGGGAGCAAACTCATTTGCCGCTCAGCGAATGAGATGAGATGCGTTTCACTAACAAATTACACCATTGACAACGCTAGTTGATTCAATTACGATGGGCAGGCCGTGCTACAACGCCCGGGCTTATTCCGATTTATGTCGTAGAAGCAATCTCTGTGTTAATTGGAAAATGTCGGACCGGCCTTGAGGATCGGGCTCGAGGATCAGTCCGTGATGCCTACAGGGGTTGAGAAATTTTTGATGTAAAAAAAGAGAAGGCCCTATAACTGGTTCTGTTATAATATAAAAATACGCAACGTTGATCCTCATTACGATACAAGACTAGTAAACTCGTCAGCTTATGCTGTAGCCTGCTTCCAGATCGATTACCTCGCAATGAAGCCTGTATAAGGATATTGAGTTGGGAGAAAAGTGTATTTTGAAAAGACCAGAGGATGCCACACAAATCACCTCGATGACAGGTCAGAGAGGCTTGGCACTTCTGATCAGAGGATTGAAAACCAAGTAATAGCACTGTCGGCTCGACCCATCCCTCCTCGTGATCGAATTCTCCTTTTATGCCTCGGTCAGTCACATGTATCCGTAATTCATCTGAGGTCAACGACGGGTGCGGGGTTGTGCGTTCGTATGTTTGAGGGCATATTTGGCTTTCTCTCCCCCGTGGTGTGGAGGTCCTTTGTCAATCTAGGCAATCTCAGCAGTTGAACTTATCTTGCTGCAGATTGAGGCGATTGCGCTCGCCGTCATATGGCGAGTGCTCTTGGCCATAATTATGCTCATCGTGCTATTATCCAGGCCTCCTTCTTCAAGGAACTCGCGGAGGTTAAGCACATGGTTACTAAAGCTAGGTAATGTGGCAAGTTGCGTTTTATTAAGCTCTGGAAGCTCTTTATTATCTTCTTAACATAGTCTACTGCCTTGGTAGGGTCTAGTGAGGTTTCTGTCGATCGTGTCGATCTTAGGTCGCTATACGATTATTAAGATAGATAATTTTCTATCCTTAATAGTCGACACCATCACCTTATACACGGCCGGGCGCAAGCCTCGCAGCCGGGGAAAATTGGGAAGTTTGATGTGTTGTGATGCTGCATAGAGCCTCGGCTTGTCTGACCCTTGGTGTTCGGGTATTCGTCCTTTGTTTTTTCAGCAGCTGCCGCTGTTTTGCATAGCTCTCTCACTTACTTACCATCCGAGTTCAACACCTACAGTGTTCAGGAGCATTGATTCCCGTGTATAAATAGCTGTCAAAGTTGAGCATACGTTTGATCCACGTTCCCCAAATGTTCTCGCACACAAATCGACATATCTAGAACAATTTCGTACATATATTCACCTTCGAGCACACTTGGGTAATTTAGATGCTTTGAAATGGCGGTTGCTATTGGTATGGTTGAGTTTTCGGGTACTTCCAACGAAGCTTTTATCCAGGCTTGCTTGATTATATCTCCCTTTTAGTTTTGCGCCCTTTGGTTTCTCTTGGCTTGCGATTATTGTGATGTATGTGGGCTTGAAGACTTGATCTTGTTGCAGTGAGTGTTGGCGAGGTTGTGAAACTGAGGTAACCGTGCACTTGTGTTGATATTAAGGGCGATGATGACGAGCAAAGCCTCTCAAACTTGACCACGGATAGCTCTGGTGAGCTCTGGTGACGTTCTACTGTCTAGTGATAATAGGTAAGCTATCTTCTCGTTTAAGATTGTCTTCACAATCGTTATCATAAATTCCCGAAAATGTCAGAAGGTGGAGGAAATTTGTTTAGTGTTGAGCGTAGATAAACGAAAAGGAGACTTGCGAGGTACTTGCTATAGGCCATGTGGTGAGTTTCATTTAGAAGATACATGGGAATTCTTAGGTCCACCTGAAATAACCAGTAGGTACTACCGCCTCTTATCGCTGAAAGTCTGCTGGCTGTTTGATACTTAGACAAGTCTCCAACGGTATTCAAGAAGGTTTTCATCCGACAATAGCCTCATATGATAATAACTTCATTTAACAGTAATAACACCCTTTACTCAATATATCTAGGGCCTATCAGTATTTTGTCTCTTCCATACGATGTGAGGTAGAACAGAAAAAAGGCTGCGGTAATCCAAAAAATTAGAGGGAATCATCTGTTGGCCACATGTGACTTAACCGCCTGACACACTTGTAGGGTAACAAAGAACCCAAGAGTCGTCCTGAGATACTAGTAGGAGGCTCGCGCCCCTATCTTTGCAGCTTCTTCCTCATGGCCGTGACTCGCTTCCCGTGGGCTCTATAGAAGACAATGAATGCCTAATTAAGAGCGCTGGTGCCCGCAATCAGCTGGAGAGACTACACCCACTCGAAATCTCGCCTATGTCCATCAAACCGCCATACCCCCGGCCAGACATCATGTCTCAGTACGTTCTTCCATATGGTGGTATCTCCCACACCTTCTTCACAGTCCACAGAGGTCAGTAGATGGACCACATTTAACTGAGAATATGTCGAGATGTTGGATGCTCGTGAATAATTTGGGGTCCTTATCGCATGACTGGAGAGGCTACAGAATGGGTAAAAAAGAAGGAAGCTGAAGAACCCTCGAGTGCCTCTGCAACAGAGTGTAAGAAATTCCACCTTGGCTTGGAAGAGCGAGCTGCTGGTCAGCTTTCTTACTGGTCACTCTTCGTTACTTCTTAAGAGGGTTCTGATGCGAGGGGAAACGTCTGACAAGTCACAAAAGACGCTATATTCATGCAGGACAGGCACACTACAAACTCCACCTTGTTCAGCTCCGAGAGTCCGGTAGTTACAAGATGTGTAACAGCTTGAATCATACAACTTGACTTTGGTGAGAGCTAGCAGCGGCTTGTCGAAGAGAGAAGCCTTGAGTGAGTCTCCACGACCTGCTGAGGACTAGCGCTCTGTCAGAAAATTGCTAGGACTGGATTATCCGCATTCTTAGGCGCCTAGTGAGTGATGGTAGCAGTTTCAGGCTGGTTTATCCGCTCGGGAGGGAATGGTCTTTGATGTTGTTGATGAACATGAACACAGTAGTGAGTCATTGGACTGTATATATGAGCAAGGAGTCGTGCGAGAGAGAATACTGCAATCTGTCGTCTTTCTTGGTGCAAAGTCTGGTTGCGTCCTCGTTTGGATATCCGGAGAAGGGGCTACCACTTTGCAGAAGCTTAGTCCGATAGGCCTTTTTCGAGAGTCGGAGCTTGACCTTGGAGCTGGGAAGAGAGAACTAAAGAGGAAAATCTTCGACATCATATGAAATGCGTAGAATTTGGTCTCTTTTCCGGACAGGCTATGGAGGGGAGGGAAGCTGGTTCTTGGAAAGGGGGAGTTGCTGGCATCGAGTGAAGCGATACCCCCTGTCACGCACACCTTTTGAACGAGTTAGCCGTGGCAAATGCATCATAGCTCGTCTCAAGTCTCAGCTGGGATCTCAGACCTTGTTTTTCCACATCGCGATTGCCTATGTAGAGATTAGGGAGCATGACGCCCTACACTCGCCGATGCGAGGTTGTGCGATGACACCCAATACAAGCACAGCCCCTTATCATCAGACTTGGCCTCCATCTCGATGGCACCATATACAGATCATACAAGTGTTGGATGGGTGGGTCCTAGAGAAAAAGGGAAAGGCTCACCAGAGGCAAAGCAGATTAACGCTCCAAGGCAGACTGGCGTCGAATTTGTATAGTAGGATCTACTATCCTCAAGCTTCGAAAGTTCCATTGGCTTCGGATATTTTGGGAAAAGAGCAATGAGCAGGGAGTATAAAATTTCCGTTTGAGGAACTACTGTAGTGGCAAGGAGGCTGCATGGCGAGGTGGCATTTGGGGCAGTCGGTGACCTAAACGGAACATAGTAGGCATTTCGAGCAGCGGTCAGCAGCTCGGTCAAGGCCACCATCATATCATCCCTCGGGGTGCTTTCCTGATGCTGACAGAAGGTGATCGAAGTCCTCCTGAAGACGGAAGCGAGTGAACACGAGAGCAAGGCAGTGCAGATCGGGCCCGGCAATCGGCACCGTTGAAAATGGTGAGGCAGCCAGCAATACGGATCGTCCTTCTCCGGAGGTCCAAACTGAGGATTTTCAAAAAGAAGCGGTGATGACTCAAAAGGAAACAAGCGGGGGATATCGATACGATCAGGAAGAATGGAGAGTGTTCCGAAAAATCTTGGAGGAATCAGGGTTGACTTTGGCATAGCCACTCCGGCTAGCAACCATCGAATGCTCCACTTGGGTATCGGCGCCTGGAACTAGGCATCACTTCGTTTAATGAGCTGGCTTTTGGTTTATGCTTTAGACTTTCTAATCATCCGGGCAAGGCAGTTTTGTGAAACCAGTCTGTTGGGCTCAATAGTGCCCCCGCATTGACAGAGCAAGCGTTGGTCCTGCAAAGCATGGGCCTTTCTTAGTTACCCCTGATCCACTGGCGATGCCATTCCAACATGAACAAGTGCTCATGTATACCGAAAGGGGTATTTTACCATATCATTGGAAGAGGCTGTGTTCTCAAAGGACGGCTTGGTGTATTGGGCGAGGTTGGGTGAATGGCAACCATCCCCCTTTTTTTGCGAGCATTCCTGCCAAGTCTTTGGAGGGTGAGAAGTCTGTGCAATTTTGACCCGACCATGCATATGAAAGACAATGAGGTGCTTCACCGTCTGTCTGATCGTACCTTGAGTGAAAGACGCCTAATAGCCTGGCAGCCTGGCCTCTGATCCGGCTTGCCTGCCAAGATGACCCAACATGCTGGTAGTTTACCCAAGCGAAGCACTGCCGCATCTAGAGCTATCGATATACGCGCTGTAATCATCGATCACCCAACGCGTGGGACATCGGACAGGTGGTTCCTATCACGTTCTACACGTGGTCAGTGACACCTGCAGGGGCTCGAGACTGGGGAAGATGACACCATGAGGATCACTAGTGAGGCTTTCTTAGAACGCATGATGCAAGGAAAGGCAGCAGTGACTTGTTGGTTTCAGGTGAATGCCTCACCGACTAGATGTAGGGCGGGCACTCTCACCAGTCTTGGGGGAAGTGGTTCGTGATGCCGCCAAGGGCGCGAACGAGGAGGAACTATTGATGGCAGTAAAAAATTGGGTGGTTTTTCCACTTTGCAATCACGAAATGGGGCACTGTCCACTCTTTTAAATGAAGCTTTACCTGGTGTTGTTCAATAATGTAAGGAGAGATGGAGGGCTAACAAAGGGGCTCCCTGTGCTGACGAGCAATGCCACAAACCAGTATCGCTCCCAGATTGCGGGAATAGGAAGTAATTTCAATGCCAGGAATTTACTGGGGGCACAGGGGTCCGTTGGGGGATCGAAGGCCCTTGTCATGGGGCCTCAGAGTGCCTTCTGACCTGAGCTTGGGGCTGTGACGGCCTCTGATATTCTGATCTTGGGAGGTACTTTAGCGGTTAGGGCTCATAGTTTTAGAGGTACCTCGGCTGCAGTGGCGGAAGCACGGGACTGCCAAGTACTCTGGTCTGTTATGTAATCAAGGAATGACGCTCGCAGTGACTCACGGACAGAGTTTGAGTCCAAGGTGAGCGAGTAGGAGGTTACATAAGCAGGTTAGCGCCTGTGATTGAGCTAACCTGGAGCACAGAGAGGTCACATTCTGAAAGCGGCGGCGTGACCAACGGAATGGGAGTGATGCAGGAGGGACACGAGGGAGATGCCAGACGACGCACGACACCGCACAATCAATTAAAATGCCCATCAGCAAGGGGGCCCAGTCTGTGTGTCTGTCACAGATGTTTTGGCGCCCTAGTCCCGACACCGAACACGCGGGGTGATGTTTCGAAGGCAACTCATCCATTGTCAGAGATGTACTGGCACACTGATGTGATCATGGATATCGGGTGAGCGGTACATGTGCCCAGGCGGCGAGACCACCTACGGCAAAGTACCTATGCACAGCCCCAGGGCTTTCTCAAGGGCGCTTTCGCTGTCTCTTGGGGGCCCACTCTGATGCGTTGCTGTAACTTTGCCTCTGAGCGACTGCTTATTACGTACGTCTGGCTAGTACTTAAGGCAAACGGGCTGTCAGGCTATCATCAATCACTCCAACAGCTCTCGCAGCCTTTCCCCTCACCTGCCGCCTCAAACGACCGTCGCGACAGCGCAAAGCAATGCCGTCCAAAATGGCCCCCCACGGCCAGAGCGAGGATTTGACCATCTACTACAATGACTCTATAGACTCCGACAACGCCGCCGCCGCGCTCGCCCTGCTCAAGGAGGTCGCCCAGCGCCGCTCGGCTGAGCGCGTTATCTGGATCCTGGAGCCGCGCCAGGCGGCCTGGGGCCCTAGCATGGGCAAGGAGGAGTCTGATAAATGCAAGAAGCTCCTGATCAAGTATTTCCCAGACAAGTATAAGACAGATTACGACGCCTTCAAGGCCCTTCTGGGCTCCCGTCTCAAAGAAAAAACGCTCCTGGAGCGACAGGAAGAGCTGCGAAGAGAGGGCCAAGAAATCCCCAGCGAGGACCTGGACCTGGTAAGAGGCCTGCCTTTGTTGTATCCCAATTTTTTTTTCGCTCGATTTTTTACTGACACGATGACCCTTTAGATGAGAAAAGCTACCAAACCCATCAACTCACACAAAGAGCAGTCCAAGAAACACGCCAGACTCATGGCGTGGGACCTTGCTGGCTGCCTAACTCACTGGTCCAAGGAATACTATAGATCTTCCCCAGCCCCAAAGGTTGAGGTTCTGGTGGATTATGACAGTCTAGAAGAGATTCAAAACCCAGTGAACCTACATTTGCATTACCATGAAGAGTTGGTGAGCCGTACCAATGACGAAATTGAAAGGTACAACCAGGCTGTACAGAAAGAGTATGGGGAGCCCTCGAAGGGTGATCCATTGAACCAGGATGAAAAAGCCTTAGAAAAGGATAAGGAGAGCAACGCCGTGGAAGATTGGTACGAGGAGTGCATCAACAAAGAACAGCAGAAAACAGAGGGTCAAGACACTTCAGTTGGCCAACTTGATATCGAGTCCCTGTGCAAGGCAATCAAGGCCGCCAGGAACGTCAGGTTTCTGGGCGGCTCATCCCTCCGGATTTTGCGTCAATTCATCGAAAAGAAGGTGGCTTCCAAGGTTGATTGCTATATACAGGCAGTAGGTTACTGCAAGCATTCTTTGTCTGCGGTATATGCTAATCTGCTATATAATATTTAGGGAACCCAAGACTTCTCTGCCAATTTATTCCTAAACCAGTTCAACATCGGGTTAAACATAGAGGCTGCAAGCTTTGTCTTAAGAGAATATAAGCAATTCGCGTCCTTTACTATTGTCCCATCAGCTACCGCACAAAGCCTCAAGTACTCCTTGGTCGGGCTGCAGAGATTAGGACACGACTGCCTTGGCAAGAAAATGCTTGGCTATAATGGCAAAGTAGAGCCCAAGGACATCGCAGCAGGGAACCGTACAATCGAGAAAGACTTTTCCGAAAAGACAGCAAGCATGCCTGATCTGACCACATTCCTGTGTGTTCTCAAAGAAAAGGAGCTGGGTGCTTTCAGGTCGTATGTCCAGGTGGTTTACAGCATCGAGAAGGAAGCAGAGTCCACAAACGACGACTCCAGGAAGAATGGCTCCCAAAATGGAGAGCCCAAAAATGGAGATTCCAACAAGACCAAGCCCGAAACTAGCGAACCCGAGAGAGATCAGAATGGCAAGATAAAGGAAGGCGTGTCTCTTCGTCTGAAGGATGCCTCTCAGGGCATCCCCATCTATCGATTGCCACCAATGGAAGAGTTCACCACCGAGGAGGTCGTGAAGCTGCTGGATTTTTCAGGCGGAGGGGATTGACTAGCAGCGGGATTCGCGAGGTCGCTCATTCGGCGCACGCGGATCCTGATTAGCAAAACTGTTGAGGATCTCAACAACTCAGGCTTGAGAGCAATACTCAGTCCTCGGAACGGTCAACGGCGAAGTTCTTTGTAAAGAGAGACATGCTACGCTTTTTAATGTCCCCTTGATGCGGAATATGCTTTTGGGTTCTAGGGGCGTTGGATCATGATGGCTTCTTTGAATAAACTAGGGGCAATACAGGTATGTGTATATGGGTTTTATCAGGGCAATTTTATATGTTCAAACAAATTCTTATTTCTTTTCACGCTCAGTGTCGGCGAAACTTGTGATGCCTATAAGTAGAGACTGTTATTACGCTATTTCAAAGCCATCAATCCCCTAATATTCGACGCTGAAACACACCGTTCAGCGTGAAATATTTCGTCCCATCCTAAGTACACAATAGTGAATGAAAGGTGAGAAGTGGCCTAAAGCATTTCATTACTTTCGATGAGCCTGCGACTAAGCCAGGATTTCATCAGGCCCTGGAAACGGAGGATGCTTTTTGAAGTTGGGCTTCCCTTCAACTACTTCGATATCATCCTGTAGATAAATACGGTAACACTCGGGCTCCGAGAAATATAGCCCCGATATTTAGCAATAAAATTGCGCATTGCGTGCCGAGTAGAAGTCCGGTCTAACTCACCCAGAGGAGTATTTCCAGCTGTGTGATGTGTACAATTTCAGCCCGATTACTGCACTCTTTCGGTTTCAGCTGGAGCCGGCCAACCAATAGACCGTTCCTGATAAGTGATGCTGACTGCGTTTCCCCGCACTTGTGCTCTCTCTGCTTACGCCCATGGAGGCAGAAGCGCCCTGAGTTACCAATTACCTTGGCTGGGAAGCCTGGTGAGGCTGTGCACATTGCAGAATTGCTACCTAACGGCTCAAGGTGGATTGTGACAAGGCGAGAGGCATTCTGAGGCTGCATGATGAATGTCACAGTGTTCTATCAACCTTTCGTTATTCACCTGCGAGTTTCTGAGAACATGGCATGAACACAAACCGCGCGTTTTACAAGAAATGGGCTTGAATGAGAGCAAAATTTCATTCTAAATTATCTCTGTCATAATACGAGAAAGTGAGGAAAAAAGTCCCATGAGCCTGATTAGAGAGATGGTTTTTTGCAGTAGCCGCAAGACTACTTATGATATCGAAGCGGCTTGACCATTAGATGACATCTATGTAGGCTTGGAGTGTAACAGCCCCATAATACTTATTCCGTTGAAGATAATTTGAATGCTACACGTCCGCAATGGCTTGAGGCTCAAGTTCGATCTCTCCCAGACTCGCGCGAATGTTCCTAGTTTGACGTGGCATTCTTGCTTCGTAACGGCATCTACGTATCTAAGCTCTGCTATGTTGAAAGATTTGAGTACGGATACTCAGTCTTGCGCTGCTGATATTGCCAAATGATCTGGTTTTGTTTGTAAGGTAAGAAGTAAGAATGGAATATATGCATTTAGTCTTCTTTGATGGTGAGAATTGTGTCTTCGATTTTTACTCCCTCTCTCACCTGAGCTGCGTTCGGAAACTTCTGCTCTCGATATCATGAATGGATGGTATATTCTCTTCAAATGATTTGCATTGATGAATCCACCGGTGCTCAGATCATGGAAATCGGATCAAGTTTCCGGCTCCATTAGCCTCAGTATCTCCAGAGCGACCTCGCGGAACTCTTGGCCAAACTGCAATACATCCTTCCACCTGCTCGGGATGGCGTCTTCTCCATGCCGCGCGCCTAGCAAACCGCCGGCCACGGCACCATTCGTGTCCGTGTCCTTGCCGATCCGCACAACATCCACGAGCACCTCTTCTAGACTGCGAGGGTCCAGCACGGCAGAAATGGCGATCAGCAAGGTCTCGAGGACGTACCCTGACGCCAGGTTTGGGAGGAACTCCTCAGGCGGCCCATCCCGGGCTGCGCGGGCCAGATCAAACCTGCGCCCAGCCCGAATGGCCGCAGTGACAGGCCCCTCGGCCTCCTCCAATTGGATCGCCGCCGCCTCGCCCACGCGGACGGCGTAGTCTGGATCGGCGCCATCAATGAGAGCCGCTGCACAGGCGTTGTACGCAGCACAGGCGATGGTACACCGGGGATCCGTGTGCGTGATGGTGCTGATAGACATGCTGTTGGACAAGACACTGGCAAGATCCGGCTGGAAGAGCGCGGTGGGCAAGCACCGCATCAGGGATCCGTTGCCCGCGGAGCCATGGCCAGCGCCGCTCGGCTTTCGAGGGTTTCTGCGGAAGGCCTGGATCCCAACATTGGTTGCGTAGCCGATGTCCTTGGGACGCGAGTTGGGCTGGCGCCCGGGCCAGTGCGTCCCCTTCCACCAGGCGACGAAGTAGTTCCCGGCGCGCGAGGTGATGTCCTGCTTGGAGAAGGGCGGGACATGCTGGTCCGTCGCGGATCGGCGGCGATGGAGGTCGTGCCAGGCATCGCGGTAGGCCAGGAGCACGCCCCGGGTCATGTCTGTGTCGTCGGTTGCATGGCCGGGCGTCCAGGAGAAGATACCACCGCCAACTATCTCGCGCAATCCGTCCGGATAGACGCGGCGAATCTGGTCGTGCGACTTGAATTCGACAGCAGCGCCCAGTGAGTCACCGGCGTGGAGTCCGAGCAGGGCGCCGATGATGCGAGATTCGCGGGCTGTAGCAGGGTTCGACATATTCGGATGCACCAGTACCAGTAAGGGACAGAGTATCAATCGGTCACTTTTTCTCACTGCCGTGATGATGTGTGTCGCGTGGGACTGAATGCGATTGGGTGAAGGAAGGGGGCTGTGTTATGGTGTGGCTGTTCGGTTGCAACAAGGCAGAAACACACCCAAGCAATTAATCTATTGATTTACTGAGGCTCCAGCAGCTGTCCCAATGTCCTTTTTTTGCGAAATTTCTTTGTGACTCAAAACGACAGCTTGTTGAGCGGCATCTTAGCTTCAGAGCTCTTAATCGATGCAGGAGCGTGGATGGAGATGAAGTGACCAAAGAGTCGTGTAAATACTGCCAACACAGTACCGTGCATTGTTTCCGATGAACCGTGCTTAGGTGGGATTCTTTCTTAAGTAATAAGAATACCTGCTTAGAGTACTAGAACAAGGTATATGAAGTAAAACTACCTAATATCAAGATCAGGCATTAATTAGCCTTTTGTTGATCATATTCCCTGCGTTCATAAACTACGTTTGAAGGGTCAGCTCCTGTTGCAACTAGCTTTCCAAAGATCATGTGATGCTATCTGTCAGACGCTACTTGGATCGTAGTTGGTCATTCCTGATAGTATTGATATCAGCACCCGTTTTTAGAAGCTTTTCGAGAGCATCTAGGTCGCCATTTCAAGCTGTTGCTAAACACAGTGTGGTCCAAGGCATCTCGTTGATTACAACAAGAGCAAGATTGACATCAACGCCAGCTGTAAACAACTTGTCAAGGATTTGCACGTGTCTTCCTTCGGCTGCTGAGAAGAGGACACTAAATCCGTGATGATGGAACACGTTCGGCTCATCTACTGCTAGTAAAGATCCTTAAAAATATCCTGATCTCCTGTTCTCACGGTCAACACAAACGCTGCCTCGTTTCTCCCAACAGCATTGATATCGGCTTCTTGAGAAGACCAGGACATTGATAGTGCGGGTCGCGTTCTACCCATACCTGCATTTCTATTGTAGTAAGTGAAAGAATTTTCTGCTAAATTGTGACAAAAGTACCCTCGGCCCTAGTAATTCTGCAATCTGGTTAATATAATAGTAATGAGATAGAAATCAAAGTTATATATTGTGACCTCACACGTAAACTATCCTAGCCCAGAATATTCCCATTGGAGGGTCTCGTAGATCAGACCATTAATAATTTAAGAATTTAGTATGTTTAATCAGCGTTATTCTAGGACACACAACAGGTGCAGAGGTGTTCTCATCAGGCCGAGCTAACCGCTCCGTTGTCCGCATTCAGGATTTGGCCATTAAGGCTTGATGCTGAATCGCTTGATAAGAACATAATTAGGCTTGACATTTTGTCTAAGGGAACCATTGCGCTTCCATCCTTCAATCCTGGGCAATTTCCCATCAGAAGATTCAGGCCTTCAGTGTCCGTGTTTCCCTCGAGTTCTTTGTAAAGTTCTGTATCCATTCCGCCTGGCTGGACTAGATTGCAGCGAATGCCTTTCTTGCCATAGTAGGATGCAATGTTCATGGTCATGCCACGCAATGCGTGCTTAGAAGCGGTATAAGTTATACCTGAAGAACTCGTTAATGAGAGGCAAGTCTCCAGGATCAGATAAGTATTAAACATTCAATATTGCACCTACCGGCAAGATAGCCTTTAAGCCCTGCGATGGATCCCACGTTGACAATATTGCCTCCTTGCGGTTCCTGAACTAGAAACTGGTTTACGGCTTCTTTTGATACGATGAAGTTGCCTGTCAAATTTACCGAAATGACTCTATCCCACAACGCTTTGTCTGTTTTCCCCACAGGAGCTGTATGCTGGCATTAGTATCTCTTCACAATGAAAGCAGAACGGATACTCACCCAAGGCATCAAAGATCGCGGCGTTGTTCACCACCACATCGATTCGTCCAAACTTATTGACTGCTGCCCTAAACAAGCCCTTGACTGATTCTTCGTTGGCAGCATCAACCTTCTGGGCAAAGACCGGTCCTTTTCCGGAAAGTTCTTCCTCGGCCGCCTTCAGCCTCTCCTCGTGGATGTCGCAGAGTACAACGTGAGCTCCGGCTTCGAGGTAGGCTCCAGCTAGGTACCGTCCTAGCCCGCCTCCAGATCCGGTGATCAAAACTACTTTGGATTTAAAGAATGTCATATTGAATTCGGCCGGTGAGGAGTGGTAATACTTGGGGGATTTTCAAAGAAACCCCTCATTTTGCATTCACAATGCATAGGGGTTCTCGTATAACAAAGGACGATCTCCCCAATAATCCACCCATGTTTCATGTGTCAATGGGGCTACTCAAAAGATGAGTGGCAAGGTTGTAGTCGATGGGAGGGGTTGAAGCGGTCCCGCAGGTTTCAGCCTAGAGAATGTTGCTACCAAGTTCTTGACAAAAAGAGGAAGTTCTACCGCTGCTAGAAGGGGGGGTGGGGACTACTTGTTACCTTAGGGTATTATATTGTAATCTATCTATTGGTGGAAATACGATGAGACTACGTGTGAAGTGTCTGAATTGAATGGTTAAACTGAACCTCATCTTGCTGGCGACCGTAGTTTTGCGTCCCTAGAGGAAGTATCGAGCATCTTTCTTCCAGCCACATAATAGGCAAAGCCGAGGTATGAAAACTAGCTCACTAGATCTCGATAAATAAAATTATGTTTGCATTACTGTACTGGTGATTAGGTACGGCTCGCCGGGTAACCATTTCCAACTATTACAGGGCTGCGGTTAAAGTATTTCAACTTTGGCAAGCGATTTTCGCATTTCTCGATGGCCCCAGGAGCGGCCAAACAGCAATCTACGATATCCACGTTCTCTAGGTCCGGAAATATATCCTATATGACGCAGTTAGACTGGCGATGAGATACAGAGTTAAGGACGAAGTGGAGGAGCGATTCTTACCGGTATCTGCTCCAAGATAGAACCCATCTCGTCTTGCATAACCCTGTAGGTATCTGGGTAGAGGTCGAAGGACGGGTCAATAGCAAGAATCTTGACTCGATGATTTCCGATTCTCGGGATGTATTCTGACTCTCCCCAGCCGGCCAAAGGCAGGTCCACACTCTCAAGCTTGGGAAACTCGAGCCCTTTTAAAGGCTCATCGTTCTCCAAAGCCTCATCAGGAGGGACACCAGCAATGACCGCCTCCTTGACGAAGTTGGCATACACCTGTCGCCGTGACACATCTAATTGATCAAACATCTTAGAGAGTGTCTGGTCCGACGCGAAGGTGAATTGGGTTGGTGCCGCCCATAACAATGGTGCCGCCTCGTCGAACCAGAGCCGATTGACGCAGCAACAGCGGGCAAGGACACCTTTTTTCCCATAAGTAGCGAGCAGTTCTGGTTCATCGTACTCATCGAGCTTTCCCGAATAAACGTCGTGACTAAACCAATCATCTATGTCGATCCATTTCATAACCTCGGCCACTATCTCTCTCAATAGGAGCGGATTCGTAGGGCCGGGGGTAGTCTCGCGGTCCGCCATGATGCCTGTCTAGCGTGATTATAGGAGACTGCAGAAGAAGAGCGCGTCGTGCGATGCGAAAGGAGAAGGAAGATTCTTGTTTTGTTGAGCAGGATGTCAATGGCTGGTTTCAATATTTATCATTGACGATCGAGTTTGTGTAGGATTGAGTCATGGCAAAACCGCCGGTCGAGTCATCTCGCCTGCTGACCACCCGTGTGCTTACTCTGGCTGCAGGGATACGAATTGGGCTAGAGAATTCTCGTTATCATCCGTGGGGCATGCGGCAACCATCAACACGAGTTTTCGAAGCCGAAGGATCTGCCACTTAGAGATGGATGAGCGAAGCTAGGCTCCTCGGCAGACAAAATCCCGTAAGAATACCATTGCCATGACTTAGTCTAGGGATGGGGATTCAATTGAAGATACAAATTTCATTTGCGCGAGTCCAAAGGTCATCCCGAGTTGAGCAAGTAAGTTTCAAAGTAATTGCGCTCAAAGAAAAGGGAACAACAAATGCCCCTTTTATACATAAAGTAGGCATATATTGCTACCTCCATCTTGTTAATTATTATCGTGAGTGGCATTCTATCTTTAGTTTCATTTCGTTTTATTGTGCTAGGCTTATTATTTCGCTTTACTTGTTTCTTATAGCTCAACCTCTCCTTTCGCAGACCGAAATACCTAAAAGGACGAACCGAGAATATTGATTGTTCATAGTCTCGAAAAGACAAACCTCACAGCACCTCAAGGCTCTGAAAGAAGACAGGCTTTTCTTGCTTCGTGTGTTATTGGGCAGCTATTAGTGAAACAACTACTACGAACGGAGAAGTAGGGCCGAGCGGGACAGCGGCAGTAGGCCACTTGAACTAACTTAACGGCGCTCATGTTATAGTCCCCACCAGCGGAGGAATCCCAACTTGGCATAGATTCTAGGACGAAAGCAACCAAAGCGACTTGAAGGAGCCACCTGCCAACTTAGGCGGAAATTAATGATGAACAAAGACACAGAGGACAATGTTGACTGGAGCTAGTGACAACAACCCAGAAAGGAATGGTTCTTGAAGATAATCTGGAACAGAAGCTGGCTCCTATGTTTATAATCTGAGCCGGCAAATATTATAGTTAGCTAAGAACCTCTGTCGTGAGGACTGGTTTGGTGAGGCACTCTTTGCCCCTATTGGGTGCCTGGGAGCGTTGGGTGAAGCTGATCACTTACTACTTCTTGTTTGTGATGGGTGGCCCAGTACTGTTCATTCAAGTTTATTTACACACGCACTAATACGAGATAAAAACGGGCATTCCGTGTTAATATCCATTACACGTCAGGGATGAATTCCCGGAATGGTTACATCTCAGATGGAACCATGCTTCGCGGTATGTTTTAGCGTTATCTACAAAATATGACTAGCCTTTTGCTCTTGACCTTGCGGACACATGGAAACGCTCTTGGCTCCTGGCTCTTGTGCGGCTCCCATCTCGGTAGTTGGTTTAGTTGCCATTCGTTCCGACCGTGACCCCTGATTGTTCCACTTTGCATCCAACCTTTAATCCGCATTCGTCAGTTCAAATGTCTCTCCAATGTGTCAGCCTGCTCCTATCGGTCAAGCAGACATGTGGAGCGGCGGACGTAAGTTCTGAATAGGGCTGGGTTACTCGAAGAAGGATCCGAATTATCATATCACTGTCTAGTTATTGGTACCCGCAATGGCGTTACTGCTTGCCATAACTACCTTGGTCCCGCTGCTATATTCATTCCTGCTGATCTACGTTTATAGTCGCTTTTCACTTCCTAGTAGACTTGTTAACTTTCTTTATAATAGGAGTTCACTTTTCACTACACAATTACTGCTGCTTCTCTACTCAGTTAACATCATGGGAGCTCGCACCAATGGCGAATCCGTCAACTGGTACGGATTCAAATTCAGCTGGACGCCGTACCATCAGATGCCGGATGAACTCAGCCACTACCTTCATACGTTCGATCATCTTTCCGCACAAGCGCTTGATGCCTTTGATCCATTATGCCCTTCCTCGAGGAAGGATAACCCTCACTCAAAGGACACGTTCAATATTTTGAAAGAGTGCGCCCACGAAGATCCCCATGTCCGTGAACTGTTGCAAGAGATCTATACTATACCACCCTGGATCGATTGGGATCAGATCGAAAGAGGCCAAAGAGTACTTTGGAGATATGCTTTGCCCTCTATCACTTGTGTAAGCGTCATATTTACTTCAGCAAGAGCGAGCTGAAAGCAATAAAGTCTCTCTAACCGAATACCAGTTGATATACATGTCATTACTTGGTGGGATGTCAAGTTCTCGGACTGTGGAAACCCTCGACCGGACCGGAAGCTTCGGGTGTTCGTCTGTTCGACGACGTATTCTTGAAACAGCCCAACATGCGCTTTATGTACACAAAGATTTGAAATCAATCCAGCCTGGTGGCGAAGGCTGGGAATCCTCGATACGAGTACGCTTATTACATAGCTCCGTTCGTCGCAGGATTATGCAGCTTGCCAAAGAACATCCAGACTACTACGATATCGACAAATACGGTATTCCGATCAACGATCTGGACTGCATCGGTACGATCAGTCTATACAGCTCTTGCATGATATGGCTTGGTCTCCCACAGCAGGGAATCTATCTCTCAGAGTGTGAGACGGCAGATTATCTAGCCCTCTGGCGCTACGTGGCTTATCTCATGGGCGTTCCGCACGACTGGATGAAGACGCCGCAGGAATCCAGAGCAATGATGGAATCACTGCTAATATCTGAATACAAGCCCAGCAAAAAGTCCTCAATATTAGCCAATAATATTCTCCACGGGATCGAAGGACAGCCACCGATGTACGCATCCCGACAATTTCTCGGTGCTCAAGCCTGGTGGCTGAACGGGTCAGAGCTGTCCCAAGCTCTGGGAATACTGAGGCCAAGCTTGTACTATACCGCACTCATGGCTTCTCAGTGTTTCTACTTCAGAATACTATCATCTATCATTGCAGCCATTCCATTTTTGGAAAGCATCACCACCAATGTAATCTATGTGATTAAACACCTGAAGAGTCGAAAGCTAACTTTCCTAGTTTTCGAAGAAACTTTGTCAGGATATCTTTGTAGAAGATAAAAACTTGGGTGCTCTTGGCTATAAGACAAAGTTTACTTTTAAATGGATTCCGAATTTGATCCGCACTACCACTCCGCCAGGCGGATCGAACGATGACCGAGAGAAGCAATCGGCGGGTTTCAACAGCCATCTTCTGGAACGCGTTGCCCTACTAAATTTGATGTTCATCTCCATTGTTGGTATTTATTTGGGATATCTGTTTGTAAGAGCGATTCATTGTATTTATTTCTTCTTTTTATTTTAAGGCATACAATTATACACCTGTTAACCGAAGGGTCGATAATCAATGACTCTACAAAGGACTTCTTTTGCATCTTCAACTTTTTTAAGTCTTCTTTCAGGATATTTTGTCAGCCAACAATGTTATTAACTGTATCGTTTCTAACTCTTTCTCAGACGAGAACTTCCACCCTTATGGCACGCACTTGATTCTTAAGCCCTATGAGCTAGGATAGTCCATTGTAAGGGAGTAATTTGAATTCACTTTTCATACGGACCGTTGTTGACAAATTGATTCAAGAACCTGAAACAATCAAATCCTAATAGATATACCGGAACTGCGGATTCTGGCGAGAGATAAACATGTAAGCTATTTGGAGTTATGTCTGGATTGGAGCACACACCTTCATATCCGTCAAGTCATCTTCATACGCATGATCGAATCCCTCGCCTACACCACTCTTATCACGGCGACCGTTTTCCCAAATACACACGTAGCGGTACACAATTGCCAATAAACTCGCCGCAATTGATGTTATAACGGTAACAATAAAACCAGGGGCGTATCCAGGCGCATCCGAGTTCTTGAAAACCATGGGGCCAACAAAGTTCCCTTCGTTGTTTAGTTATCATCGAAGATACGATAGCGCTGTCTCACACATACCTAAACAATAGCCAACAAAGACCCCCGAGGACGTAACTGAGCGCTTCGTATAGCCGGCAGTGTTCGCAATCTGCAGGCCCATTAGGACGGCGTAGCCGCCACCAAAGGTAGCTAGGATATAGCAAGCGAACAGTAGCCCGCCCTTCTCGCTACGAGGGAGTAGCCAAAGCAGAAATGAAGCTGCAATGGTGCCAATCTGGCAAGTAGCGATTATCCATGTTCTATTGCCCGGATATTTATATGCCAGGAGTGGCGCAACCCACTCGATCGTTCCGATCACCACTCCGGCAGGCATGCTAAGAAGCAATGAGTTGAGCGTAGAATATCCAAAGTTGGAAATGAAGATCGGGATAAAGGTCGACACAGGCCCATTGGCTATCATGATGAGGAATGCCATGGAGAAAGTCAGCCAGAAACGAATGTCTAGGAGGACTTCGAACGCTTGCTGCCATTTGAAATGTGTATTCCGGACACCAGCGTTATTAACCCGTAACCGTGCTACCGCGATATACCTCTCGCGCTCGGTAAACCCTCGAGCACGGATGGGATCGGGAGGCATGAAGAACAAAATGACAAATCCCCACAAGATGGTGATAGCACCTGCTATGACGTACATGTACTGCCACGAATTCAAGGTCCCGCCTTTGATATGGCCGAGGCCAAAGTTGATCAAAGGGGCTATCAGGGCAACATACCCGGCTGAGATCTGTCAACTTCAGTGTCTTTGGTCCTCATCAAGGTTCAACATACTAGCACAGTACCAGATCCCCATTCTCAAGGCTTGCTCATCGCGTTTGTACCATCCTAGCATAATTCTGTTAGTTTAGTCTGCCCTTCCATCCATCTTGATCATACTTGGGGAACATACCACCCACAACAAGCATGAACATAGGAGAAACGCCCGACTCCAAGAAACCAAGGAAGAATCGCTGGGCGTAGAATGACTGGTAGTTTTTGCAAGCCACGGTACACATCACGCATGCTCCCCAAATAAACACAATTCCACTGCAAACTCGTTCGATAGGGAACCGTTGGGCAAGCAGAATAGCAGGGGTCGCACCCACGATGAATCCCAGGTAAAATATGGAGGCAGAAAAAGAATAACGCTCGCCCACCGTAAGCCCCAAATCCGTACGAAGGCCGAAGAGAGCCTAAAGACCTCTAGCGTTAGCCAATTCGATCGGGTGGGATTCTCCATCATAAGACTCACTGCTTGTGACAGCATTGCTTTGTCATAATATTGTAAACCATATGTCAAGGTAAGAATAACAAGGAGCGTGCGGTCGATCCGGCGGACAAGCTTCTTTTCTTCTTCTGGTTCCCAGTCTTCATCGCCCACCCAGGCTTCGAGAACCTTTAATGCCTCGTCATTATGCAGTGTGTCGACGGTCTTGGCATGTTGCAAATCTGTCAGAGTTTTCGGTCCCCTGTCGGCAGTCTCTCTATGCTCTAGGCTGCTTCTCTTTTCTTCTGCCATCGTACGGCTATTTTGGCTTTGAAATGGATGTAATGAGAAGAAGTGAGTGTTGTTGTGATTCTGGTTATCCAAAAGAGAGGCCTTTATAGGTTTGTTGGCTGGGGTAAACTATGAGCGAGAGCAGGGGCTTTAGGATATTTCGTCCACGAGGTTATATGCCAAGATGCGGGGAAATGCTTACTAGCCATGATTAGATACATGCAGGCGATTGATCTCTCAAAACTCGTCATGATAATTTAGATCAAAGCTGAGCTTTCTCGGACATTCATACCCGAGGCAACGTTGCGGGGTAGTGGGTGTTGCCTCTTCTTTAGGAAGGGCGATCGTTGAAAACCCCCGGGATCTAGATACGCAAGGCAGGATAACCAATAGATGATAGGGATGGGTTGACATTCATACGCCAACTTAAACTAAACGGGTGCTGCGTATAGCCGTGGACCCGTTCTCGAACCGACTTTCGGGTTACAAGCGACCCCAATCCTTATCATTAACGTCTAAGTTGACGTTGATTGAATTGAGCATCTATTTCTTTGCATATGGTGCTTCTTAATTGCAGCAGGTTTACGCTTTCTTCCTATCTTCTAATGGACGAATGTTTCTATCCTCCACAGTCGAGTCTCACACCTTGTAGAATGAACTGCTTGACGTGGTCTGGGGTTCAACTTTTAGGACATGGTCTGTACAAATCAAGCCTTGTGCTATGTATTTTCTAAAACAAATTCAGTTAGCAACCGTCACCATACTAGCCTTCGCAGCAGTGGTCGGGAGCCACTCATATATATACATGGCTCGCCATGAGTATTACATCTTAAAGAGGTGTAACATCAGCTACCGCGTTGCATTGATTTCTACGATTATTTTTCTAACAGGCGTCTCTTGACTATGTCTGAGATCCAGTCACGTATGTACCGGGAAGGTTACAGGGTCAACAGATTGGAGTTGTCCTCATAGGTACTTGAAAATCAGTGCACCTTAGGATTCTTCTCTTCAAGTACAGCCTGGAAATCACCGTAAGATCCAACTCATTCCGATGAACATACTTCGCAGAACTATAACCATTTTCCAGGGTACTTGTCCGTCCGGGAAAATTAGGCGAAATATGTTACCTATACACCTGCCAATATTATGTCTGCGCCACTAGCATCTTACTTCTTTAGCTTGTAGCCGAGCCCAACAGCCTCAAGGAATACTAGAGCCTCACAGGATCAGGGTGATACTATTATCGACGCCCAGAAGATTCTGCAGGACTAGGAAGGCGAGCCCCTTCTACAAAAGCCAATAGGCAGCTATTGCGTCTTGGGTTAGATTAAACTTAACTCCTCAATTATCCCTATATCATACTATTTTACGTGCCCTTCTAAGGTCACTTGTCTCTAAGAAATAGTTCTGTGCATTCTCAAGGCAATGTACCAAAGTTAGAAGGTTTCAGCAAGTAATACAGAGCTCGGATTTCTCAAAATGCGGCATGTATTTCAGCGAGGGTCTTCCCAAATCCCTTCCCTTAGTGGGCCCCTGCCATGGGCTCACTGAAATAACACATCAGATAATGAGAAGTGGCTGGCTCAGCGACTGATTTCTAGAAGGCTGGGCCAGTCTTATAAGCGCAGATATGGAGTGGGCTCTAAGTTACCCATTTGTCACAAGTGACGTGTGTAGCCAGGAAGCTCCGGAAGCTTGGTTGGTGCGGGTGTTTCCCTATTACAGCGTACATGCATGTAAATAAACTAGCGACCACGCTTGAAAGGTCGAGACTGGAGGCTGGTTCTCGGGTACTGTATCCCTCCAAGGAGCTTATCGCAGCGACGTTGGTGAATCTTCAGGGGTCATGTCATTGATGTTCCACATACACGTCGCTTAGTACGAATGAACTCCCCAAGCCACATATTTTTGCGCGCCTCAGCTTACTTTATGCACCTCCAGGTGCCAGCCCTATGTCCTAAGCAAGGCCGGGTTGGGTTTGCGGCAATGATGAAGAGACCGAGATGATGGTTTCACTGACAGGTCTTGGCACTCAAGCGTAGTTCGGCTGTGGAAAGTGTGCGCAGCTCATTGCCTCCTTGAGTAAAGGGGAAATGCTTTCAAATCTCCAATGAATGTTTCCCTAGGTCCAGTCATTGTCCTTACCAAAGAATTAGAAAAAGAAACAGAAAACCCGAGAATAAAACTGAAAGCCATGGGCTGTCTCCCGGCCATCAATTGTCGACAGAGCCATTAAGCTTATGTGCATTCACACCGCGGTAAGCAAATAGCACTGCTGAGCCCGGGTACGGGAAGCAATTGCATCTCTGGCAGACGCGCCTCAACGTATGCCATCTCAGATCTGTGGGCAGCGGTAGCCGATCTGGTCTCAGACATGCTGTAGCGCCGGCATTTTAGTGCTACAGCCACATCATGCAGGTCACTGAACATAACGAGACCGAGACCGAGACCGGGAGCCTTGATTCTATGCAGAATGGACAGCAGTCTGGCAGACAAATCAACATGCCATAATCAGCCACAGGTGGAAGACAACGTCATGCGAGCTTCATATAAAGAGTTCAATATCCAGTTTACTCTCCTGTCTCTCATTATTTACAAAAATATCAACCACATGTTCTCGCCTAGTCTCTCGAACTCATCTGGATCTTCGATTTACTATTTTAACGCGTTTCAGTGATCTAAATCCGCATCATCAGGAAAAAAGCTTGAAAGTGAAAATGTCCAGCTCTGCCTTCGAAAATATGGAGAAATACTTCGTCCCACGGCTCAAAATGCCCCTTCATATCATTGAGGTTATCATGATAATAGTGGCTATTATTCTGGCAGGTGTTCGTCTCACAACTATTACTACAAGGACAAGGACAGATATGATGGCTATAGCGATGGTGAGACCTTCAGATATTAGCAACACCGGCGTCATTTTACTAAAAGTACCTATACCAGGGTGCCAAGTCGCTTGTCGTTATTGCGTATCAGCTCTTGTCAGAGCATGTGGCACAGTGGAAGAGATTTGCAAGTCTGAAAGCCAACCTGATCCTCAACGCACTCGAGATTGTTTTCTGGGCTGCGGTAGCATTCATGGCCATCCAGTCCAACACTAGGTCGTGCAAGGGTGCCAGCTGCGGTCTTGGTTGGGGAGTCCTTGTTATCACCATTTTGATCAGGTTCGTTCGCCTTCCCTGTCCAGGCCTGTCCTAGATCCAGGCCTATCTTAGAATCCAAGCCTGTCCTAGAATCCTCTATTCATACAGGCCTAAATGTGCAATAATCTGACTGACAATTGTCCCCCAGCAACATATCGATCTACATGACTGGTATTTCTTATTTCGCTTTTCGGTGGTCTCGAAAGGATAGGAGCAGCGGCTCATCCGACGCCCATCTCCGCAGTGTCCAAGGATCGGCTCCTCGAAGACATTCTTCTTCTCGAAGACACTCTTCTCACAGACACGCTTCTCGGAGACACTCTTCTCAAAGACACATGGGCCCATAGAATGTATTAGAGGGGAAGTATGCGGGCATGTTTCTGACAATTCTCGGCAATGCTCGTCAAAGAGGTTATCGATTATTCACGCTGACATACGGACGGATCGTCGTGCCATGTTCCATGTGACTTGGTTTCTTTAGTCGTCTGCTTCTTTAGGCTGTGTCATTGGACATTTTGAGGTTCCAATAAGTCTTGGGAAAGCAGATTCAATTTCTCTTTCTTTTCTCGTGGGCTGGGAGGGAGGAACTGGAGTTCAGGGAGAACGGGCTAAAATTTCTATCGACCTTGGACTGGACTATGATAACAACAACTAAACACGCAAACAACTTCGGTGCTAGAGAAGGGTTAGAGAGAACAACAAGATTGGGAGATTGTAGGAGAATAATATGTAGATTCGGTGTTATATTGGAATACTCGGAATGGGCTATCGTTACAAGGTATGGATTCGTTAAGTTGATTTATCAATGCTATGAGAAGACAGTACTACTATTAGTCCAGTTTAAGTTACTAGTTTTTGAGATAACGCAAATATTGGGTCTAATTCGTAAAGCCAAGTTTGCATTGTTTTATGTCTCTTTTTCTTCGGTCAACTGTGTTATTAATTCTTGGGGTGAGTATTATTCCACCACTATTTCAATTGCATGATGGTGAATCTTGTCATGCGCCATTGCATCCCAACATTGCGTTGTTGTACCGGGTAAGTTGAACATTCCGTGTTAGCAGATCACAACAGAGTTCAGCACACTTTGATTTGGCATGGGTTGCTTATCCCAAGCCTATTAATATCTTTTTCGGATTCTTCAACACTTTCACCGCCTATGGGGGATGGCGATCACTAACCTTGACAATTGCGGGTGCCAACCATGCCCTGCTGGACTGAAACAGGACGGTGACCAGTAAGGCGCCTATGAAACGCCGGGGTTGTTAAACAGATTGGAGCCCTGGTCATACTCGTGAAATTACTCCCACCACTATTAAAAGCATTTAGCCGCCGCTTAAAACTAGTGAGCTGTGTATGGCGGTAGAAATCATATCTTGACCTTTTACTCATCTTGTTGAGTGCTCCTGTTGGAGCTGGCTTTCCCAAGGTCCTTTTTGCTCGTCAGTCGAACCCAATTGTTCAGCACGGGAAGTTGAAAGAAAGGCACGGAGACAGCGATCTGGAATTTTGCACGTGCCCTCCGTAGTCTGTCAGGTCGAGATCTATTTCCAGGATATTGTGCGTGCAGGTAGATTATCCTGCCAGCTAAGGTAGTATCATCACGCGCCTTTCTGGCCGCTTTGCTAGCTGATGTGGAGTGTGGGTTGTATGGTTTCCTCATAGCGCTGACTTGTTTCCCCTTTTCTAGTATGTTTTTTTGGGAACTACAACAAGATATTAGGATACTGAAATAAAGGAGGATTTGGAAATCGGGTCAAGTTTGAAATATCTCAATCTGACAGTTCGCAAGAAGTGGATATCCATAAATTAGGAACACGTCCACGTAAAATTGGTTAAGATTTGTTCAGAAGCATGAGATGAAAATCATCACACAGCCCTCAAACATCATACGGCAGTGTAAGGGGGGAAATCACAAGGTAAGGTTCCGAGATAGCCGACGAGGAGAATGCAAAACAAATCCATAAGGAGATCATTTTTGAAAACAACCATGAGCAGGTTTGAGAAGAACGAAAAGTGCTCGATCAACTGGATTAATATAGAATAAACTTAACTTAGTCCGGACATAGAGAACAAGATCATTCCTTAATATCTGACATTAGGCTGGGTTGAGTAAGCGTTCTCGGGATGAGAAGTTGAGACGTGACATACACATGGGGTTCGCCGGCTTCCCCAACAAAAGGCAATAGGATTCGAGAATACGAGAAAGTCGAACCATCAGTCAGGGAACAATTGGTCATGATCACCTCCAGCGGCAAAAAAGATCCGCTGCTTTACTTTATGGCTCATAGTTGGGGGCATAATCCCGAGTAAGCCACGCGTGGAGAATGAAGCATCTATGGACTGAGGCTGGAGAGCGAGCTCGCGTCCGATTTCTCCATTGGGAAACATCACGCGCCTTATGCTAGTGTGGGCTAACCGCATCTTGACCAGAGAAGACGACTGCCTCTCCCAACATACAATCATCTACTGTTGTTGGAGTTTTCCGGCTTCTAAATCATTCAAATTGCTCAGCTCAACGGACCACTCAAATTGAAGTTTTTAAGGATTAAAACAGATATTTCAGCACCTGATAGTATAATCATCTGGTACGTTTGGTCTTCAAACATGAGAACATAATACACATGTATCAAACAGAACAACAAAATCAATGCATGCAGGATATGGCTACGGCTTGGAGGTTTATCGAGAGATCTCGCCAAGGTGTTGACGTGTTTCAAAGACCGGTGGACGACAAACTAGACGAAAAATGATGACCTTGCGCTGGAGGAAGAGGGGTCATAACCTTGTCCATCAGTATTTCGGACCTACTCGGCCTATTCTATACCGCCAAGGCAGAGTCTCATGAAATTAAACTGTTAGTCATGGAATCAGCACCGCCACTCTATCTCGATGGAAGCATTGGCCGAAACTTCTTACTTGCGCCAGTTATTCCAGCTATGCGATGTGTCTACACATCTCGCTAAACGGTAGTTGTCAAGGGATTGAACTTCCGGCATGTAGCGTAGGATGTAGCTTGCACCAGTTTCGAAATGGTCTCATGTCAGCCTGGCCTAGCGGCTGGATCTCCATAGCTGGCATCAGTGTCTTGCTCAACTCCCGCCTTCGGTCCCGGCATTGACACCCACATGGAGTTGCCTGCGAGTCTAGTCTTGATTGTGGTACGAATTTGATTCTCGCGGCTTTCAAGATCCCGGCGCTCACCCTCAGAATAGGAAGCTGGTCAAATACCAATGGCAACAAGCCCTAGGGATGAAAATGCCGACCGGAACATTCCACCAGATGAGCGACTGGGCTGCCTGGTCGGGGTTGGGGCAACTGTTGCCGTAGAAGGGATGGTGCTTACGGCATCCTGGGTTTCGAGGTCTTCCCCTTTCTAGCAGGAGATTCTGGCCACCACGAGTGTGTTGTGTTTTGTATGCGCATTGGGAGTGTGACTGCTCTAATAAAATCTCCCCCTTGGAAATTGACCTCATACGCAATATGTCTCTCGAAGGTCGGAACGCAGCTCTACCCCCAACGTCGAAGATGAGGTAGAGCTCACTGGCGCATCCTGTCGTACATCAAGGTTGTGCCCCGCCCTGTCATTCGGTATTTGAAAGAGTCGGTTAAGCCTGGTAGGGAATCCTGGGGTTCCAAATATAGAATATGAAGTACTCACATCGGGCCAGGTTCGTCTCATGTACAGCCGTTTTCCTGCTGAGAATCCGCTGTAAGCTTAAATGTGCCCCAGACCTAATTCCCAGCTGGTAGTCTCAACTAGTCGACGTAAAAGAAATGGTCTGATTAAATTAGCCAATTTAGTAGCATAAATGTTATCAGTTGTGGGCGGGCTTGCCGTCGTGGGTATTAAGAGTTGTATATTTGAAACACGTCAAGACGCGAATGCAGCCTATGATACTCCTTTAGGTATGTAATTACCATCTTGTCAGCATCTGGCGGGCGAGCACACAATCCTAAATAGGGCAGCCTTGTATCTCAATTTCGGCTTTTGGACCTTCAGTCATCCGTCCCACTTTTAGGAGTCTGTGTTTGAGGATGACCGGGATATATCTTACTAGAAGTCGAAGGCCTTGTCGTGGCCCATGTCCATGTTACGTCCGGGCGGTAATACCAAATTCCCAAAACACCGAAGCATTGGCACACCCCACTAGCATTATATGCTGCCAAAGGTGCATCCTGTATAGTTCTGGCAGCGGAACAGTCCCGGGACACTGACGAATAACCTGGAAGTCGTGCGCTAATTTCCCTGCAGGCTTGGACATTGGATGCGGCGTCATGACAGGCCCCGTTTGAGCTTCAGACATCCCAAATCTGGGAGCCACGTGGATCACCGTCCAAGGCACAAGCTGATCATTGGACGCTGGGGGAGGACCCGAAGGATGATTTCTCCCTGAAACATCTCCTGTTATGTTGTTATACCCATGGCCACAAGCATGTTGTAGGTTCCTGCTCATCACGTGAATGGATGCCGACGGGAAGAACGGCCGGGCTCTCCTGTACCTTCTATATGGGATTAGGAAGATGGAAGCAAGGATGTCAGGAAGTTATAATCTCGCCATTCCTCGATCTCTTTCGGTAGGTTTTCCTTGACATCATCATCCTTCTAGATCACCAGTCGATCATCTGTCTCTCTTTTTGTGATTTACCTACTCTCTTTTGAAAAGAAAAGTTATTCATCATGCCTTCCGCTCTTCGTCTCTCTGTGGCATCCGCCCTCTGCGCCACTCTGGCCCTCGCTAAGCCTACCGTCCGCGACGTTTGGCAACCCGCCGTTGGATCCAAGTTCGACATCACTCTCAACGGCAAGGTCGACATTTCGACCGTCAAGACCGATATCTTCGACCTCGACCTTTTCGAGAACACCGGAAACACCATCGATTTGAACAAGGTCGACACTTCCAAGATTGATGCCCTCCACGACGCTGGCGTTAAGGTCATCTGCTACTTCAGCGGTGGCTCATACGAGGATTGGCGCCCAGATGTCAAGTCCTTCAAGTCCAGTGACTTGGGCAGCGGGCTTGACGGCTGGGAGGGAGAGAACTGGCTCAACCTCAAGAGCGACAACGTCGCCTCTATCATGAAGCAGCGTATTGCCGTCGCTGCTAGGGCTGGATGCGATGCCATTGACCCCGATAACATGGATGGCTACGTAAGTCCCCCGGTCTAGGCAATTCTTTGTTAAAGCCTCTTATTGACGTGAATCTTAACTAGGACAACTCCAACGGCCTCGGCCTGACCGAGCAGGACACCGTCAACTTCTTCAAGAACGTCCTGTACCCAGCCGCCCAGGAGGCCGGCCTTGCTCTTGGTCTCAAGAACGGTGGCAGCGTCGTCGAGGATGTCCTCCCCTACGTTCAGTTCCAGGTCAACGAGCAGTGCTCCGAGTACGGCGAGTGCGGCGACTTCTCCCCCTTCATCAAGGCCGGAAAGCCCGTCTTCCACATCGAGTACCCCAACGGCGAGTCGGAGACACCAAAGATTCTTTCCGGATCTGCCCTGAACACCTACTGCACCAAGGACTCATCGGGATCCGACATTACCAAGTTCAGCACCGTTCTCAAGCTGATGAAGTTGAACACCTTCACCCAGTTCTGCGACGGCTCCGTCATTAACCAGTAAGAAACGGTTGCACGGGCTGCAACAAAACCTGTATTATACAGCTAGAAGTACATACACCATAGCAACAGCATCACCAAAAGTTGAAAATAGAGCAGGCATATTCTCTTACTATTCACAACATGTAATTTTGATGTCCCTCGTACCTGTAGACGGATATATTCCGTCAGCACCCACATCGGCCCCCCGACAGCTCGCTGATCCTAGAATTGCAGCATTTTCTTGTAGACATTGCCCTCATCATCCCGCATGCCGAGCACAACAAGATGCTTCTCCATGTGTTCAAGCTGATACCAGATCGAGCCGATGATAGGCACAAGAATGAGCATCTGTCATCGGTGATGAGCACTCCTTTGCATCTTCTTCCGGTAGAGCTACCCACGCAGGCAGCCGCGGTTAGACCCAGCCGGTTGTCTCAGCTGCTTGAGGACGGCATGCCTGAAGCGGAATGGGAGCAACGACCGTTTGGAAACATGTATTTCCAATTGCAACAATTCTTTTCTCGGGAAAATGGAGCACCGGGCCAAATATTCCGACTGTAGTCTGGACCCCTGAAAAATAAACCTTGTTTCTCGAGGATGATCGCTTGCGGCAGCGCCACGCCTTGAACGCGGGCATTGATTCCCCAATCGGATATCGACTTTCTCCCAGCTCTTGGAATGCTGGTGACGTTCGATAGACACTGGGGGGGATGAGACATACTTTTAGATGTGGACGCGCCAGTCTCGGCCATTCTGCTACAGCGCCTGCTCTTGACACAATTTTGCCCCGGTATCGAACGAGCAGCCAATTCGATCATGAAATATGATGTCAAATACGATGAAACAAGTCCCCAATCACCGGACACCTGGCCCGATTCAATCAGGGTTGAAAGCCGCAATGAACAATTGGGATCGACGCGGAGAGGCCTCAAGGGTCGACACATCCAACTCATTGCGCTAGGTATAGCCCGGCTTCTCGCACCTGTCTTAAGATATCATATCGACGTCGCTAATAAGCGGCAATTCAGGTGGTACGATTGGAACTGGCCTTTTCGTGGGTTCAGGCGCAACATTGGCTCAAGCCGGGCCTGGTATGACCCGACATTGAGATTTAGCTTGCCTTTCTCTAACGCGATGGCAGCTTCTTTGTTGATATCCTACGTCATTATGTCGGCTCTTGTTTGGATTGTTATGCTTGACCTTGCCGAAATGACATCCTACATGCCAATCAAGTCTCTGACCGTTCCATATCTGGTTGATCGATTTGTGGACAAGAGCTTGGCTTTTGCAACAGGTACTTGCAGTTTTACACCCAGCAATCAAAATCATGGCAATTCCAAAACTGATTTACGTGAATACTAGGATGGAATTACTGGTGAGGAAATATCCCGCCCAACTTTGAACGGGCACCCTTCTAACGGGCTGGCGACTAGGATTGCGTACACAATGATTCCCGGGGCCGAGGCTACAGCTGCGGCGGTTGTCCTCGAGTATTGGACGAGCGCGGTGCCAACTGTGGTCTGGATCACAATTGTCCTCGCGGGTACGTAAGGCTCAATGTTTTGAGATAGTAGCTTACATTTCATAGTCATTCTATTGCTGAACCTGGTTGCCGTCGCGATTTTCGGAGAGACCGAGTTTTGGTTCGCCTCGATCAAAATCCTGGCCATAATCGGTCTGATTATCCTCGGGGTTGTGCTCTTCTTTGGAGGAGGGCCAGATCATGATCGAATTGGATTCCGGTACTGGCAAGACCCCGGAGCGTTCCGTGAGCGCCTTGTTCCGGGGACTACGGGGAAGTTTCTTGGGGTTTGGAGCGCGTTGGTCAAGGCCGGATTCTCCTACATCTTGTCGCCGGAGCTCATCACAACAACGGCTGGAGAATGTCAAGCGCCTCGACGAAACATTCCCAAAGCGGCACGCAGATACATCTACAGGCTTATCTTCTTCTACGTGATAGGTGCCCTAGTAATTGGTGTCCTCGTTCCGTATAATGACCCACGCCTTCTGGGAACGTCCAATGCCTCTGCGAGTCCGTTCGTCCTGGCCATCAAGAACTCCTCGATCCCAGTTCTCGATCATGTTCTTAATGCCGTGATTCTAACATCGGCTTGGAGTTCTGGAAATTCGATGTTATATGCCGGATCGCGATTACTCTATGGAATGGCGTGCAATGGTGACGCGCCAGCCATCTTCAAGAGATGTAATAGGTTGGGGATTCCCTACATGGCAGTCTTGGCTTCCTTCTGTCTCGGCTTGCTAGCATATCTTAATGCTTCCAGTGGCGGCGCTGAGGTCTTCAACTGGTTGGCGACTGTCACGACGGTTAATGGCCTGTTGAGCTGGTCTGTTGTGCTGTTTACATACTTGGTATGTGCGAGTCCTGCCGTCAATCAGTATCATGCTTTTGTCCTCTAGATGACACCAACTGACCGATCAATAGCGCTTCCGCAAGGCGGTGCAATACTATGCAATTTCAAAACGTCTCCCTTTCAAAAGTCCGTTCCAGCCATACTCCACGTATATCTCGCTCGCCGGCATGGTTCTTCTTTGCATCACCAATGGCTTCGCCAACTTTATCCCTGGCAACTTCTCAACTGCGAACTTCCTCACCTCCTACATTACGATTCCCATCTTTGTTCTAGTATACCTTGGGCACAAATTCTTCTACGACAAGGGTCCATGGGTCCGCTCAGAGAAGGAAATAGATGTCTTCAGCGGGCTGGATGAAGTGGACGAGGTAACTGCCAGAGACATTGAGCCAATTCCCAGCGGAGTATTTCAAAAGATCTGGTTTTGGATTTGCTAGACACCTAGTGATAGACCTTGCTGCTTATATTGAGAAACCGAAACTAGGCCATGTGCACATGCCGTATTTGAATCAGACCTGTTCAATCGTCCTTGATAGCGCGTAGCCCTTCGAGGAGACATCAGTTCCATAATGTAAAAAGCAACGAGGCCAGCCAGTGAATACCATCGGTAGACAGGGATGGCTTTAGAACCTATAATACGCTACGTAGGGAAAGCTTCTAGGAAATGTCGACGATATTGGTGATAGCCCCTTGAAGGCTCTGAAGAGGGGCAACTGTGAGTCAGTTGTTGCAGCCTCTGTTACGACATGCAAACTTCGCTTGATTGTTCATAACATTAGTGACCAAGTTCCATGAATTTCCACGAAGAGCTACCTGCAACACGGAGCTGTCACAGCATGGTGACACTTGGGACAACACACGCGACAACGCGTCAAAAGTTGTTTGCTTGAAAGCACGCAGAGTTGAAAGGACAATTCACGCTCTCTTCTTTTCTTTTCTTTTTCTTCTCTTCTTAAGCGGCCTTTATTCTTCATTCTCACGGCTCTTGAGTCTTGCACAAAATACTCATCCTCACACAAAACTTTGATCTCTGGTATCAAAGCTTCTTATCCTCATCATCAGCTTTCACGAACGAAACTTCATCCTAGCTTGATTCTCTTGCACTCTTACTCGTATTTTATTATTGGTATTTTAAGGCATTGCTGTTTCCCCAACACACCAGCCCAACCTTCATTCAAAGCTGTTCCAAGATTCTGCTGAGCGACGCGATGGCAGAAGACGATAGTTCCAACCCGGAACTAATTCCAACGGTGGAATGGATAGAGTCAGCCGGGATCCAGGAGAGCCTAGATGAGTTCTTCCAAACACCCTTTGCTCGAGACATCGACAAAAAGATAGAGGCTGCTAGGGTCAACCCCTTGCCCGAAGCCAAGAGCCGCAAGTTGATCGGCATCCTCGTGGAAGCAATCCTTCTGCTCCTCGGTGTCAACCCTGACAGCTGCCCAGAAGCCACGGAAGATTGTGTCAAACTCTGTGTCAAGAACAACATCTTGAAGCATCGCGCATGGGGTGGCTTACCTTTTGTCCGGAATCCCGATCGCATCAGTGCCAGGCTCCTCAACGAGCAGGCTTTGGCCACAAAGATGCAGCTTGCATTGCCATTCCCCGAGGTTGGCATGCTCATGGTTGTCGCGTTGCTTCTAAAGCTCGAGAGAGGCTCCAAAAGCTCCACCTCTCGCGCCATCAAGGAGCATTTTCTTTTCGAGAGAGCTAAGTTGGCGGCCTTGGTCTACGATCGGGAGTCCTGCAACGGCATTTTTGCAATCAACAATTGCCCTGAGCGCTATTCTTTCGCCGCACAGGATGATGACGACGCGCCAACCGTCGCGCCAACTACAACTTCAGGCCCAGATGACGAAGGCAAGTGGTTGCGTTTTGGGGGAATCGAAGGCAACAGAGAGATCGTCATCAATGACAATGACAACTCAACAGATCATTCGCCACGGAGTGGAAAGCGTTTGGCTGGCGAAACCCCCCAGAGCACCTTGATCCATCCAACTCCAGACGCCGAACGAGAATCAACGGCGAAGCAGACCTCCAACATACACGGCACCTCGCGGCCAATCATTCACACAGGTCCTTGGGAACCACGGCGCATGAGGCACGATGATCCATCCATTCTCCCGTCGACAGCAGACATTGTGCCAAGGGGAACCTCTCGCCAAGAGGAAACCCCAAGGGTCCAAGCTGCTCCTCCGTCCATAACTGTCCAATCTGACACGAGTCGTAACGGTAGCGACATGGGCGTCTTGCCTGCTTGCGCCCGTGTGCTCGATGACGGCAAACTCGTCATGGAACCCGAGGCCGTTCAGGAGATGTTCAACGCCTTCCGAGCAATCAAGGGCGGCTTAGTCGAGTCCAATATCGAAGCCGCAGGAAATGCATACAATCAGATGATATTGGCCTTCCCAGAGAGTCTTCGGGATGCCATGGAGTTGAGCACGACTGGCGGGGACACTGTGGCCCAGGGCAAGTCGCAGACATTGAGAGCTCGGAGAGTCAGTAGCAGGATTGGCAGGATCTCCAAGGCTCTTGAGGAGATTGATGAAAGGGTCGCGAGTATACGTGCGTTGCTGTCACACGAACATCATGCCATCGCAAAATTGAAGCAGCTGCTCCATTCCCTGGAGGATGAATTGGAGTAAAGGGCAGCTTGTGGCATGCCTCGAGATGGACGGAGAAAGAAAGGTCGGGCGGCATAATGCGAAACGAAAATACAGCGGTTAGCGGAATGAGCTCTTTCGGTCAGATTGTTTACATGAAAGAAGACGTATTACATTCCTCGACAAACTCAAGAGATTAGTTGTCATTATATGGATGTCAGAGGACTATGGGCATTGAACATCATGGGATTTCGTGCATGTAGCATTAGAATAGTATGTCTAGGGCTTACCCGACATAGCAGAGAGGAGTGTTGACTAGGTAATGAGTAGGCAACAAGATTGTGGACATGTTCTATGCAGACTATTCTATAACCGATTCTTGAAGTGCTCGGACACCTCGATGACCTTCCACTTGTCCTCTCCAACAGCGATAGAATCTCCCACATGCCATTTCGACTTGCTCACCAGCACCTGGGAGCAAGGCAGTTCATCCTCGCCAATGCTAATGGTCCTCTTCCAGCCAGCTCCTCCATCAATCCACACCCAGCGCTCCGCCGACAACCTCTCACCCTTGCGGAGGAAACCCTGACAGAATCCGCCCAGCCTAACCAGGGACCCCTTGGCCACGTCTCCCTGGTCGATTTGCACAGTAATTGCCTCAAGGGAATCATCCAGGCCCTCGGGGAACGCGTTCAGATCCCGCCAAACCTCCTCGTAGTCCGTCTCCTTGCCCGTCTCGGGATTCTCCATCCTGCCAACCTCGAGCGTCGTCCCGTCAGCTTGCGGGTACATGTCGCCCTCATCTGCGAGATCTGCCGTGTCGGTGGTGCGCGAATCAATCCAATGGCGCCACTGACCGCGACTGACCTTTCCGGCCTCGCGACTCCATGACAGAGAGGTTCCGGCAATGAGCCAATCGATCCGGTCCAAGGGTATTTTTTCTGCTCAAGTAATTAGCATGCTTCATTTGGCGGGCAGCAGCGACAAGATGCCACTCACCTTCTGCCGTCGGCCAGTTGCTCGCGCTTCCTTCGGGACGGAGCACGCGGATATCGACGAAGTTGCGCTTGGGAGATGTGATGACCAGAGTCGATGTTGGCTCGCTGGCGGGCTCTGGCAGCCACCGGATTGAGTCGCGGAGAGATATGCTGCCCATTGTGAGAGTGAGGCTTGGAGCGAAAGGGAATGAAAGAGACGGGAGCTAATTGAAGAGACAAGAGAATAAATAAAGAGAGAAGTTGGCAGCCTGGGAGATTGAGATGGTGGTGGTGATGGCCTCAACTGCGGTGAAGCGGCTGGGGAATCATTTGTCCGGGCCAGTTACAATCGCATTAAGAAAGTAGAAGCGACACCAATAAGATCCATCCCCCTCATGAAAAATGCAGCCAACGTGATTGGGCAAGGCTCCGTCGTCTTCTCCAAATATTAACCCGATTCAGGCACAATCTGGAGAAGACGCAGATGCCAAGCCGAAACCTTCTCCGACTTGTTTGATAAGCCTCGTTCTCTTATCAGTTTTCTCCCCCTCCGGCACCGTTATCGCCATGCTTCGGTTGTGGCCAGACGGAGCCCGAGTCACAGATATTTAGCCATCGCTTCACCCTCAACACCCTCATCCTCACACGTCCACATTTCCCACTCCAAGATACCATGATACTCACGTGGACTCTTCTCCCAGTCGTGGCCGTGGCTTGGCTGGCTCTCTATCTTTGGCAATGCTGGACATCACCCGTGTCCAAGGTGCCTGGCACAACTCTCTCTCGGTTCACCTCAGCTCCTCTTCGCTGGCACGAGTTCCGTGCCAACCGAACCCTGTACATCCACTCTTTGCATCTCAAGTATGGCCCTGTTGTCCGCCTGGCGCCTGGTGAGCTGTCGTTCACCTCGTATGAGGCAGTCAAGGAGATCTACGGATCTTTTGGCAGTGGCTACGACAAGACGAAGTTCTACAACATGTTCCGGGTCTTTGGTCGCAGGTAACTACCTACTCTCCCTGCATCAGAGGAACCATAAAAGCTGACCAACATGCCCTAGAACGATGTTTTCAACACTTGAAAAAAATGATGTCCGTAGTTTCCTGTGCCCAGGATTAAATTCAGTGGATATCAGCTTACGTTAAATAGCATGCAAAGAGGAAACGCATCATCGCCGATAGATATGCCAATAGCAACGTCGTGAAGCCGGCGGCTGTCAGTGGCATCGAGAGCCGAGCACTCGAATTCACTCGCCAGTGTGAGGAAGCATCTGGCTCCAGCGTGGATATTTACGTACGCTCTCCCCTGCTATGATTGTTCCAGTGTTCCCTGTGAGACGATCGAGTACTGACTACCCACTTCAAGATGAAACTACATTCGTATGCTTGTGACGGTGTTACTCACAACCTATTTCACCCTTTTGGAAGCAATTGCTTGCAGAATGAGGAGGACCGAATCATGATGCACCAGGCAACCAATGACAACAGTCTTCAAAGTGAGCATCAACTTCATAATTATGCCATGCAGAACATTAAGCTGCTAACAATCAATCCCAGGTCGACTTCTCCAGCATCATTACCCAGTCATCTACACATACATGTCCCGGATTATCGACTTATTTCTCGAACCGCGTGCCACACCCCTCGCCAACGCATTCATCAACGAGAAGAGCAACGCGACGGATCCAGCGCCCTTCACTCTTCTCAGCCGACTTCAAGAAAAGATTGGTTCTGACTTGGATGTGACTGACATCGCCGCAGAGTGTCAGGATCACATGGTGGCTGGGATCGACACCACTGGCGATGCACTCTGCTTTCTGATGTGGCAATTGTCTCTGCCGGAGTCAGCCCATATTATGCAGGACCTCCAGAAAGAACTCCGGACAAATTGCGACACCAACTTCGACAAGCTTCCATTCCTTGACGCCGTCGTCCAAGAAGGCCTGCGCTGCTTCCCCGCCATTCCCATGTCTCTCCCTCGCCATGTCCCTCAAGATGGGAGAAACATCGACGGGTACTTCATCCCACAGGGTACAATCGTCAGCAGCCAGGCGTACTCTGTGAACAGGTACAATTCCGACGTATTCCCTGACCCAGACCGGTTTAACCCTTATCGATGGATGGAGCAGGAAGGAGACGCTGAGAGGAGGCGGCTCATGTTCTCCTTCTCTCACGGTGGGAGGGGTTGTGTTGGCAAGCAGTACGTACCAATTATATTTCTTTACTTTATCATTTCACCGCTTGCAGGATCCTCCATAGCCATCTTTACTGACAGTTGGTTTAGTCTGGCGTTCTTGGAGATGAAGCTTCTCCTCCGACATGTCTATGTCAAGTTCACGACGGTTCCGGACCCCGCCATGACCCGCGAATCCATGGTTTTCCATGACCAGATTATTTCCTCGAGGCCTCTGGGTCAGAATTGCCTTCTCAGATTTGTACCAATCGCAGAGGACTAGATGGCAAAATCAGACGTTGAGGGCAAGGACACTGCGAAAGGATTAGATGTGAGCATCGTTACCAAAATCCATGTACCAAGGTCTTCGTCTGAAGGCATTTTAGCTCGATTGGTTCTTTTGTGTGTCAAATATGAGGTCTTAGAGCCAAGGACTCATTCCAGAACCGGCAAATTCACTGTATATTTCCCAATTGGGTCTTACCAACGTAACAAACACACATCTAGATGAGCCGCTATGTTCTATCCAAGTGATTATCCAAACCATTTGGTCCCGATTTGTCTTCCGCATCGAGGTATCCGCATATAACCCCTTTTGGGTCTCGTTGACGACGGATGTCCATGAGTCTCCTTCCTTGCTCCTCGCCCCAAAACTTTGTGGTTCTACTTTGAAGGTCGAGGTCCCCAATATATGAACCACAAGAATGTGGTTTGATACTCTTGATGACATCCTTAACCCAGGAGATACATCTCTCGTCATCCTCTTTATTCTTCCATAACGTGTACATGGCAATGTAGTGATCACACTGCAAGCTGATGGCCATGTCTGGGAGATTCTTGCGGCTCCAGGGATTCATCGGATAATAAAATGAATAGGCCTCTTTCGATGGCAGCGATGTCAGTGCCTTCTCCAAAACAGTTGGCACGTCCTCCTTATTGTTGACGAACGCGTTGTCACAATAGTAGCGATGGCCAGCGGGGTTTGCATGACGCTGGTTGATGTACTCTTGCTCTAGGCTTGTTGCTTGGCAAAACAAGTGAACGAGTGGTTGTCCAGGGTGTGTCGCTTCGGCTGGTCGGAGGGCCTCTTCTGCCTCGGCCTCGCTCGACTTGAGGCTAAGAAAAGAAGCGACGATGCAGATTTGGTCTAAGCCGGGAGGGTAGCATGAAACCATGACTATTTCGGTGTCGATGTCAAATGTTGGTACAAGCTTCAAGGGTCAGATCACATCATCGGTTGCGGAGACAACATACTCACCTTGAGAACCCATTCAAACACTTCTTTGTATGCTTCCACTGGGTAGACATAAGTTGAGGAACGCATAGCTTTTGAAAGAGGCCTCGTTTTGAGGTGAAACTGCGTGACTACGCCTGGAAAACCTGGTCCAGATCCCCGAGCAGCCCAGTATAGGTCTGAATTCTGACTCTCATCTGCCCGTACAATATGGCCGTCAGCGGTTACTGCATCAATGGCAACTACTTGTTCGCATGCCCACCCCCAGCCCTACTCCGCGTTAGCATAAAGTGCATTTGCACCTTCACAAGTAGCAACCCATCGTTCATCTTACTCGAGCATTCCAACCGACTCCGCCTTGGAGCAAGAAGCCTCCCAGCGCCACGTCGGGACAGTGGCCACCACAAAACATTCTACCTTTTGAGCGGAGGTAGGGAGCCAGCCTTCCTCCAGTAGTCGATGCCGATACGCGAACGATCCCCGTCTCCTCATCAAGCTCCATTTCGTGGAAGTCGCCAAGGTCAAGTAAGATGGAATTGTCTCTCAGTGCCCATGACGCCCAGCTATGACCTCCGGACCGCACGGCAATTCGGCAGCCCTGCTCAGCGGCCAGTTTCACGGCTTGGACGATCTGATTCTCTTCGGTGATTTTGATGACGCCCAGCGAGAATCGATCAGGCACTCGCATGTTGAATTGCCTGTCTACCCTCGCGGCCTCATAGCCTAGGTCAGTCTGTTGTATGATATTCAATTTATCCATCATGTCGTGGGTTGTTTATTCTCGTTTGATCTAGATCTCGCTATGACGGAGCCAGATGCTTCCTCTTCCAATACTTGGACGGGTTCAACCTTTAAAATCAAATATGACGATTCGTCAAAGCGTTGTTATTCCAGTTTGAGGTGGGTACTGCTCATCTAGAACGGCCCAGCTAGTGGACACAAACTCAGCAGGTGACGCAGTATAAATGGGACTAAATTCCATCATTGAATATCTCAAGCTTTGGCTTTTTTCTCAATTCTCCCATTGGATTATGCGCTTTCAGCTATACGCCTCCTTGTCTTCTACAGGCGGAAAACAAGATGCTAACAACTAGCCTCAGCCACTTTTTGTCAGCTGGACTTTGGTTTCATGGGCTACGTTGATAAGGCCTCAGCTAAATGGGTCAATGTGAGCCTTAAGATACGCTATCCTACCCTAGCCCTACATTTGTCTCCTTGGTCAGTGGCAGTCGTATGCTGCAACGTGCCGTGATCGCATCTCAACAACACATAATGCGACATCGCTGAGTTATTGGGTCAAAGGAGAGACGATAGAACAATGTTGAAGCCAGGAGAAAGCTTACAACTCTCTGTTTAGTGGGCAAAGAAAAACGTCACGCAGCCAAAATGGATAGCCGTCCACAATCACGTTGATTAGCCATTTGATTCGACAGTCAGATAATCAGAGATGGTTTTTCTTATTTCTAACGTATGTGCTTGAAAGCGATCAAAAGATTCCAGACTCAACCATGGCAAGCCATGGTTTAAAACGCATCTGTTTCAAGGACAGCAGCTGACGACGAGGCACATCATGATTTACTATGGGACAGTTACGGGCCCTAACATCTTCCAAGAGGTCGAGCCAAATGAACGAAACGCTGCTGCTCGGTAGGTGTTGGTGTTCTGATTTTGGTAACAAATGTCTCATCTCTATACAGAGTCACTATTTTACATTATATTGCATATTATACCGTCTGTTGCTCCTATAGTTTAGTACATTGCATGAGCGACATGAAATTCTCGCCAACGGTGGGACTAGGTTTGTAGCTTACCGGCTGCAGTGAATCCTGATACACTCCAAGCCGCGAGCCCTTTTGCCAAGCCATTAATAACATTATCTGTGTGGTTGATCTTCTGGTACGCCTGGTCGAGCGATATTGCGCAGCCTCTTGCCAAGCGGTGGCCATGATGTTTTCTTGCTCTGCAACTACATCAACAGCATGCAATCTTTTTCGAAGATTGCCAGCCATCTCTTGGCGTCAAATCCGCCAAGATTCCTTCAAGGCATCAAGCTCCTCCTCCTTAGTTTTCAGTATCAAACTATATTGCTGGTCTGACTCCTGCAACTTTCGGGTCCAAAGCTTGTGTTCACGACAATGTAACGATAAAGGAGCTGAGGAGAAACAAAAAAACCTGGAGCAACAGAAACAGGAACTCAAGGCAGATAAGAAGCGAATAGAAAAGGAAGGGCTGCATCAACAACAACAACAATCAGTGCGCCGCCAACGACAGATGGAGATAACCCCAACGCCTTCCGGATCAAACCAACCTCTTACTCGAGGAAGACCTGCCACCACAGTGCCAAGATTGCCGCGATATTCAGTAGCCTTGAGAGGAGGGACTTTCGGTTTATGCAGTCCGAACTACTCAACTTTGTAAGTGACTGTAGTATTTTACCGCAGCGGTATTAGGGAACTGACGTTTAGCACAAGAAATGCCAACAGTCCCCGGCTGAAAGAGGGCTCTGCTTCTCTGCACATATTGGCCCTGGGATATTCGCCCAGCAGGCGCCCGTGAATTGCTCAATATTCAGACGGGACTTGGGGTAAGAGCTCCATGCATAATCCTATATATTTCCTCCTTCAACACCACCCACAGCCTCATTTCTTGAGCTTTCTTCCCGCGTAGAATAAATTGGAGAAGTGAGACTGCGACTAATAGCTGTGCTAGCTCAAAGCACACACCTGTCATGGTGTTATCCTCATTCGGTGCGAAGTTGGCCTTGCCTGGGCTTCAGAATTTAGAGGCTTGTTTCCTCGGCCCGGACCAAAAGTACCATGCAAGGCGGAAGGGTGGATCTTACTCGAATACCACCTCAAAAAATACTCGCGCAGGTATCAAAGATGCTATTCGGGATAGGTCTAAGATCGTGACTTTGGCTTTTGGTTATGGCAAGAGCCATATCTTTTCTTATTCGCGCACGCCGACTAGCTATTCTGCCGAATTGGATACGAAAAAGACCTAAAGGGTTACTATGAAGACCTTTCGACCTTTATATGTAATCATAATGATATTACTATACGTATGAGTTGATATTGCTTTTATTCTCGATTGATAAAAACAGAGTGTATCAGTCTATATACTAACCTGCTCGCTGAGTAAAAGAATGTTGCTTTGAATTACAAGAATAAGGAGGACTATATCTTGATTTATAGTCACGATAATGATCTTGAGAAAACACATATACGCTATCAAGTCTCTGATCACCTGGTTGGGTCAAATATTTTGGCTTGGTGGGAACATAGGGATTAGGCTCTCTAGTTCTAGGTAGTAAGTAGAGTTTATCCTATGATTGACTGACAAGGCAGAGGTGGAGATCCTACGAACGGCCTGGCACATCAGAAAAGGACAGATGGCCGTGTGAAGTGAATGCTGCTCTTGGCTGTTAGACCTATTCGAGAAGCCACGGCCGTTTTCCGGGGTCTCCGCTAAGGTCTCATTTCCGAGATGGGACAAGGCCTGTACCAACTGGTACGTTCCACTGGCAAGTTCTGGTAGACTGGCTCAAGTCGATCTGACATGATCGATCGTCACGTAGCAACCAGCCGATCATATCACCACTCAATCTGAAACAAATCGTCATTCTGCATTTGGCATTTTTATGCCTAGATTAAGAAATTTACGTAGGTATCTGGTGTCTATATATGGGAATCAATCTATCATACGTGGTTTCAAAACTCTCTTTCCGAATGCTTCTTGTCATTACCGGCCGTAACTCCCCTTCGTTATGTTAACAAAACCCAGCACAGAGGAAATCTTTCTCCAAAGTGTTCAAACTTACGCGATATCGCTTGACACATGGGAGTCGTTATCGCTCTTCTTGGTATCCTCGTACTGGACTGCGACGTTGGTAGTCCGCAAGATACCGTTGTAGGTCATAATTTCCTCCTCAGAGCCGGAAGGCGAGATCCCGCGGATCTCAGTATGTTGGTTATGTTTTCTGGAGGCGGGGTGTAGGTCCTTAAGAGCGTAGTGGCTGTCCCTGGCGTTGGACCTGTTCTGGGCTGTGACTCTGGACGTCTGTCCTAGGGAGTTGTCATAGGGCGTGCTGTTTGACTTTCCACCTGAATCTGTGCCGAAGAGCTTTGGGTACCAGCGGCTGAACAGCGGGCGAAGGGCGGGCATAGAACAAGAGATGACAGCGAGGTTAACCTCCACGGCAGTCCAGACGTAAGCGATGTTATAGTGCCTTGATTTCTCTCCAAGATAGAGTAGTCGGTAGATGTTGATAATTCGAATGATGGCAACGATTGGTACACTAGCGAGCAAGAGATAATTAGACAGGATGAATTTTGATGAAGTGTATTTCCGTTACAACTTACAATGCACCGATAAGGAACACTCCAAGCACGGCAATCTTTGCACCCCTGGCCATTCGAAGACCGAGGAAAATCCAAAAAGGCAGTACCAAGATAGCCACATCAGTGGCAATTGTGATGCTGGACTGTATAATGTGGAAGCTGTTGTCGATACACCTCGTATTTGGGTCCTTCCTCAACTCGGGATGCCAGTTCGTTGCAATCGGTACGCATTGGAAGAGAGCACCAAAGAAGACGGCGATGGCGTGGAGGATGGTGAAGATCATGAGAGCCCAGATGACTTTGAAGACAGTATCGTTGATTCCTCCCAGGCGAAGCAGGAAAACGAGAATGGAACACTTCACGAGCGCCAGTACGGGGTTATAGCAAAGCTGTTCGAAGAAGTTCCACCATAGGCCGGCAGACGGGTCGAATTTGGGTACCTTTTCGTCTTCCCATCCATAGTAATTAAGCTTAAAGACTGTTCCTTCACTGTTAGTCCGGAAAACTTGCTTGACACTGGTTAGGGTTGCATACACATAAATAGAGTCGATGACACAAGGATCGCCGAAACCTAGGGTTGTATGAGTATCCGAGTTGTCGCAGTTCGCCACATCGAGTCAAGTACTTACGAGTGCCATACCACAAAGATAATCATCTAGAGCGAAATGTGAGCAACTCGGGAGAAGATGGTTGGATCGGAACAAAACACGTACCCACGCCCAGTGTCCTCATCGTGACACGAGTATACACTCGCAGAGCGAAAATGATGATCGCGATGCCAGGAAGAACAAACATAATGAACACGCCAGCCGCCTGCAGCGGCGGAGTAGGAATCTCGAGGACATTGGGATAGGGGCCAGGTCCTGGCCCATACTCCGTCGTCCTCTCCCAGAGATTCGACTGATGCATTTCCGAATGCGTTTGTGTGCTGTCAGATCGCCAATCGAGAAGTCAGGGCCACCACCTAGTTTAAAAACATGAGGCAAACCGAAGATCCAGGAAAGATTCCGAAAGGCTGGTTATGAAAATTTAGCCTGAGCGGGGGACGATCGTATATTAATCATAAAACGGTCGATCTGTCGATGATCAGGGGAGGGGAGGACACCGTCGTTCACTAGGGCGATCCATCAAAAAAAGAAAGCAAAGAAGCTGAAAAGACAAAGTAGCGTAACGCAGTCGGGCTCTTCGTCTGGTCCGCCCTAGCTCGCTTTCCCCTTAACCGCGCGCTGCGCTTCAGTGACAGGCACCCTGTAAACAGGATAGTTTGGAAGATTTTAGTTTGATTTCGATAGCATGGGTTGAAGGAGTGTGTGTGTGTGCCTGGGAAAAGAGGAGGGATCGGCAAGAAAATTCGATTCTTTCCAGCAACGTTGCGAATGCCTGCCGGGCTGAGAGTGTGGAGGGGACGCTTCTAGCGTGTCCTCGGTCGATTTTGCCTTCTGCGGTCGATGATTCGAAAGTCCCTACCGAGGGAGTGTTCGACATGCAGCACGCCACGAGGGAAATCCAGACAGCGGGGGGATCAGCTACATTTTGTTTACAAATAGAAGGACTCTGCTCTGGTGTTCCTCATCCTCCACCCTAGTTCTCGGCAAGCATTCTGCCGCGCATACATACATTGCAGATCGGATGTCGTTGTCAGGCATTAGCGATATCCAGGGGAATTGCAGGTACACATCAGGATGGCGGCCGTAACTCATCGGTTTTACCATTGCGCTACAGATCAAGCTTAAGCCCCAAATTTAGCCATAATGTTGCTCTCAAACTAGGAGCACCTGTCACCGTGAAAAGCGTTTAAGCTAATTCTGCTCCGGCAAGTGCCCTTCTGCTTGCCTGGTGGCCCATCCATATCCGCCAATAAAGGCTGGATGACTCGAGGCCAAATGAACTCGCTTACTCCGGACCTGAGAGAGAGAAGTCAGGTCCTATCCGGGGATCCCTCACAAGCGTAGAATCTGCGACGTCTAACGCCGAAACCAGTTAGCCAGGCTGCCCCTGGTGCTTATTAGCTGATCTCCGAGATATATGGAGGCGATGGCGGCAGGCAAACGGTGGATACCCTAATAATCGGTAACTGATTATTACACAGCAGCCCTGTATGGCGCCTCTATCGACACCGCTTGTCAATCTGGCATGGGAGGGACGGAGGCAAAGACCGTTTTCAGGCTGTCATTCATGCTAGAAGATTGAAGTGCAGCGCGGTGACATATCCTGGTAGGAGATACAGATGCTGATACAACGATGCAAATGCCGGACGGGCAAACAACATCAAGGGGGTCAGTTAATATGGATGCAAGATTGATGCGCGGAATGTGATCCGGAGGCGTAGAATGCCAGGCCCCAGCAAAACTGCGTGCTTTTCGAGTCTTTGATCAATCAGACAACGAGGACAACGCGATACTGGCCGCCTCGCTTGTCGTTATCTCCACAGAGGGGAAGGCATCATGATGATCTTTTCCCAATACTCACAGGTCCCACTGAACTAAACAAGTTGGAGGTGATCCTTCCCGTATTTGATTTCGTGGAGGAGTACGCCACTGACGACAGGAGCTGAATCGGAGTCCGGTGCGGAAGGGATTTATTTTAGGGCAGACGAGCTCGGGAGCCTTCAGATGACAGGTCCTAGTTCGCGGGAGACGGAGTAAATATCGTGCTTGGCGTATTTACATGAAACAATGCGTCTGATTCCCATCTTGTGAGTGACTATCAAGGTGTTGGCCATGCAGATGCACGAAGCGCATGAATACATGCACTGTTCAGGAACAGTGAAGCGCAAAAAGGTCTCAAGAGGGGCAGTTTTCCTTGTCCTTGCCGATCTTTTCTGTATCATTCAGCCCCAGGTCAGAATTTTATGAGCACTAAAGGTCACCCATGCGTGGCTAGTACAGACGAACAGGTTAGTTTGCTTGCAGCTGAGGCACCCTTGTCGGATCACCATACTGATCTGGTCGTGTTAGGCGACGGAGGAGAGCAGCATGCGTTGCCTGCCGCATGAGAGTTAGCTAGCTGATATTGGAAGGAGATGAATGACTCGAGTTATGGAGATTCATGCAGCCGAGCGTCGGGAGAGCTCTTCCGAGGAGTGCAATGCAGGCTGAAGATTGCAGCGACTCGTGCATCTTTGAGATCGCAGGACTTCATGACTTTGTACTAACACGATTGTCTGAGCTTCAACTGGCGATCGGATCACCCCATCTTCAATAGGTTGATCACTTGGTTGAGTAAGATCTTCCCTTGGATTTCATGCTTTAGATCATCCAACCCCCGTTTTTCCACCGCGGGAGAGAACCCTGTGAAGAACTCAATAGCATGAAGAGGGACCAGTAAGGCCCAAGCCCCTGCGTTATCTGTCTGGTAACTTCCGTTGTAAGGGTCCCACGGCAGAGCCATTCTTATATGCCAAATCAAAACAAGCGGGTAGCTAATGTACGCGCAACAATAAGGCATATTAGCCATATTCAACACAGGAGACCAGAGGCCAGTGACCTGTGGCGACGGTATCAACACGGCCGTGATAAATCCGGGGTTCGTAAGCAGGCGAAGCTCCAAATGGTCTTACTTGGGACACACTATTACCACCCGTTCAATCTCCAAGGCGCGCGCTCTCGCCAATCTCCTTGCTAGATCAATCCCAATTCCAGGGGCCTGGTTCCCACCAAGCTGCGGGTCAGTCAGTAGCTTGAGCCCACCACGTGTGAAGTGAGACCCTTCATAAGTCTCTTGGTTCTCGCTTGTTCGTCGCCATTCTGGTCCTCAAGCTCGCCTGTTTCAGTGTCAGCCACCTCTTGTTCTCTCTGCTGGGGTATTTGTCACTTGTTCGACAAGGAGTCTGTCACCATGCGTGTGCAGCAAGTAATCGTGGCGACATGCTCGCTGATTGCCACGGCCTCGGCCCAGACCATCGTCGTCGACGGCCAGACAGTTCGTATGTCATCTGCCCCCCACGCCGCACGGCCACGTTTTTGGATGTGGTCAGCTTGCATATTCCTTTTTCTTCCTGCACGCCACCCTCCTTCGGTACTTGTGCAGTCTTGGCTAATTTGATTTGCAGAGGCGGACGAATCCAACGTCAAGCCTGCTGTTGAGACGGTATCTGGCTACGAGGGCTTCGAGAGCAAGCAGCTCACCGAGGCTGCCTTGGCCAACCTCACCGACCTGCAGCTGAGCAATGTTTCGCTCTTCTACTTCGACGATGAGGTCAACAGCGCCGAGAAGAGAGCTCTGTATGAGCCCAAGTGCAAGGTCCTGCCCGGCGATGCTGCTTGGCCTAGCAATACGCTCTGGAAGATCTTTGACATTCTCACCGGCGGCGCCCTGATCAAGACCGTGCCTCTCGGTGCGGCCTGCTACCAGGGCGAGCACTATGATTCCGCCAAGTGTACCTATCTGTTGAACAACTGGAATCGCTCTTATGCTCAGTGAGTATCATCGCGCAACACGGAATGATAGCGCCAGCTAACAAGTGCTCCCAGTGTTGATGACCCTACTTCGGTCATGTCTCCCCTCTATGAGAACGCCACCTGCCAGCCTGCTGATGCTGCTCGTGGAAAGGAGTGCACCATCGGCGGATACTCCGAGTACTCGGTCAACATCAGCTCCGTCTCCCAGATTCAGCTGGGCATCAACTTTGCTCGCGCGCTTAACCTTCGTCTTGTTGTTCACAACACTGGCCATGACTTCCTCGGCAAGAACACGGGACGGGGTGCTCTGTCTCTCTGGACCCATCACCTGCGTGACATCAAGCTCATCAAGAACTACAAGGCGGCTGGTGGCCGCTACACCGGGCCTGCTTTCAAGCTGGGTGCTGGTGTCATGGTCTACGAGTTGTACGAGGCTGCTGAGCGTGAGGGATACCTCGCCGTTGGTGGCGAGTGCCGTGTAAGTCCCATTCTCTCCATGGCTGGGTTTCACTTTACTGACAAACCATCAATAGACTGTGGGTGTCTCCGGTGGTTACCTCGCCGGCGGTGGTCACTCTCCCGTCTCCTCCATTCACGGTCTCGGCTCCGACCAGGTTCTCAGCGTCGAGCTCGTCACTCCCGATGGACGTTTCATTACTGCTGATGAGACTCAGAACTCGGACCTGTTCTGGGCCATCCGCGGTGGTGGTGGCGCCACCTGGGGCGTCGTCACCTCCATGACCGTCAAGGTCCATGAGAAGAAGGTTATGTCCGGCATGACCTGGGACACCACCACCGTCGCCATGAACATCACTGACGACCAGTTCTGGCGCGCCATCGAGGCCTACTGGTCCCGCTACTCCGAGTACCTCGAGGCCAACAGCTACGGATACTGCCGCATGTCAAAGATCGCCACCGGTGGCTACGCCTGGCGCGCCCTCCCCTGGATGATCCCCGGTATGAAGCTCGTCGACTTCAAGAAGCTCGTCCAACCTCTCCTCGACGAGTGGGCCGCCATCGGCGTTGACCCCAACCCCAAGTTCTTCGAGCACGAGAGCTTCTATGACGCCTGGACCAACCACTTCCCCATTGAGAGGACCGGTAACCCCTACGCCCGTACCGCCAACCGCCTTCTGCCCCGCGAGAACTGGGAGGAACCCGAGATCCGCAACAAGACCATCCAGACCATCCGCTCCGTCGTCGAGGAGGGCGCTTTCCTGGTCCACTACAACATGAAGGCCGACGTGCAGCCAAACACGGCCGACAGTGCTGCCAACCCTGCCTGGCGCGATCTGATGATGTTCACCATCATCGGCGTCACCTGGGACGAGAACACTACCCAGGACCAGGTCGACGTTCTCAACGACAAGCTCACCAACGATCTCAACAAGCGCATCATTGATGTCAGCCCCAACGGTGGAGGTTACCTCAACGAGGGTGATGTCATGGACCCTGAGTTCCAGAAGACCTTCTACGGAGACCACTACGAGCGTCTGCTCCAGATCAAGAAGAAGGTCGACCCTCGGGATGTGTTCTGGGCCCCTACCGCTGTCGGCAGTGAGGGGTGGTACATCACTGACCAGAACAAGTATGTCACCAAGCAGACTGGCCGTCTTTGCCCTCGCCAGTGATTTGGTCAGATGGAATAGTGTTATAGTGTATCTTAGTGTATAAGGCTTTCTCTGAAAGCAGAGATGTTTATAATAATAATTCAGCCATCATCATATCTTTCAGTACTTGCCAGTGCCAGGAATAACTGCTCTATGAGTTAGATTGCATCTGCAGGACTCCGTCACCGCGTCAGCTTATCTCATCTCCGGTGAGTAAACACGGCACCTTGTTGAGGACAAGACGCTAAAACCAACATCCGTTCTTGTAACCGGACAGGAGACAAGCCGACCAGGGCGTATCGCAGCAACATGCGGGCACCAGGCAGCCAAGTAACCTTGGTTATTGCCAGGTGTTCGTTTGACAGGAGACGATCTCCGCGACAGGAGCACTGCGGAGAGTCAGCTGGCAAGGACCAACCTGTGACTCCGGTGGCAGCTGACCTCACGATACCATGTCGCCATATTGTGAACGTCGGTCAGGTTACATCCAATTCTGTTCAACCCACCTCACTGAGTCAAGGTTGAAACGAGCGAAGCATTTTACGAACTCAGGGCCAATACAAGGTCGCATTAGCTTGCTTGACTGGGTTCGTCACAGCCCATCTCGTGCTGCCGGAAGCCAACTTTGCTTCTCCCGCGGCTACCGATGTGACATTGTTGGGGGCCCTTACCCGGTCCCTACGCAGGCAAGGTAGGATGCCACCTTCATCCCTGCAACCATGGTCTTGGGTCAAGATGAAACTTGACGGGCAACGGCGCACCCTATCAACGGGCCTTTCGTTCCCCAGCCATCGGTCGAGCTAGTCGAGGCTATTCGATCGACCAATGACTTGCCTCCGGCTACTTGACTTCCTCGCAGCGGCGAAGCGAGCAAGCGAATGGGTGATTGTCCCAAGGATTCGTGTCCTGCCACGGTGAAACTAGGGGGTCGTCGTAAAACTACCTGCAAATAGAAGGTCTGCAGCAGACTGTGTCACCGCCAGCGGGCGTGATGCCGATACCCGGAGCCAGGGGCCAGGATTTTCGTCTTCTTCATGCTTCTTCTCTCAAGAGAAGTTCTCTCTCCCCTTTGACGCAGGCAGGCCGCGCAGCATCTGCGGGAATTAATGGCCGTTGGTTGTCAGCGGACATGCAGCCCCAACCGTCATTCTATGCGGCCCGCGGACTTGGCCGGGACTAGGGATGCAAATAGAAAGGCCCTAGTCATGTTTGCTTTTTATTAATTAAAGATGCAGAAGCTAGTTCGCCGATAACGTGCCGGTTCGCTGTAGACCTTCTGCAGCTGGCTCAGAACCATGAATGTCATCAGCAATTTAATTTACCCTTTTTTTTTTGGGTACGTCATTCAAAATCTCCCACCCAGAGACTGAGACTGAGGGAAGAGACATGATGTGATGAGCGCAAAACCCTCTCAGAGGAAACGTAGCACCAAATGTTCCTTCCACCCGTGCCGTCCTCACCCATCCTATCCCCCGTCACGGGGGTCTATGAATACCGCAATGATCTGCCATTTCGTGGGGTCAGGGTCCTGCAATGTTAAAAAAAACTTGTCAAGTTGTCAAGCGGAGAGGGGTTACACTGCCACCCACGGCATTGAGCCTGGAGCCAGGTAAAATTCCACCCAAACCCATGCCCACCGTCCGAAACACATACCTGAACCAACGGCCCGTGGCCCTCGATCTGCAGCAGGCCCACGACGCTGACGTGCCCGTGGATAAGCTCTCCGAATCCCGGAAGGCATGCCAGCAGTTTGATGGGAGCAAGTGCCAGCAGGCGGCTTTGCCGAAGCCAACACTGCCTCGATCGAGGGCATCGCACGTCAGAGCTTCACACGGGGGAGCAAATGAGAGTTTGACAAATTGACGGCACCCGTTTAGTTGACAAGCCCCGCCTCGGGTATTTGAGGATCGCTGGTCCAAGCACCGGATGCGGCAGCCACTGAGATACGGGAGATGGTGTTGGCCCTTGGAAAGGGGTGTGCTACATACCAACATACCCATCACTCGGCATTCCTGTCTCAGGCGCTTTGAGCAGTTTCCACTCAGGTGAGAGGGGACGGACGAGGGATCGAGCTAGAGAGAAAGCATGATTTTAGTTCGCACCCGATGAGCAGGGATGCCGTGCGGACAGCACAACAACGAGCCAACAAGAGAGTCTGTCACGTCACGGTGCAAGAACAATGACCAGGGGGGACGATAACTTGCCTCTTGCTTCGAGCTTGACTTCAGTCGCTACAGGTAGGCTATTATCCCGGTATGATAAGCATCTGTCCCGGTCTGGTTACATACGGGCGTCAATTTCGCTGGGTTTGATCGACATTTACCCGACAACGGGCTGGTTGCCCTCTGCCCCCGCCTCGGTGATCTTGCAACTCCAGTCCAATCAGTGCCAGAGCGCTGGTCTCTCACGGCCACCGATATACCGCATTAGCCCTCTTCTCCCCGCAGTGTCACAGGTGTCTGCAACCCCACCATGCCCAAGGCTCGCGCCGTCGCCCTCGCCTTCGGCAGTCTCACGTTAACGCCAACAAGTCCGTCCATGTGTCTAGGGCTAGGGCGGAAATACCCACGTACGTGTTCGTGCTCGCTCGCAGGGGGAGGAGAAGGACAGCAGGGGAGGGGTCGCGGAAGTCGAGGCCCAAGCCGTAATTATGGCGATGATGGGGGTGGCCCCGGTGGTTCTCGGGGTCGGGTTCCAGCCAAACGACCTCGACCATCTCCATCCACTCAGCGCCCTCACCCACGTTCAGACGGAGCGAGGGACGGCTCACTAGCGTCGGCCGCTTAGCGGTGAAGGATCATCAGAGTCGCACGATCCAGGGCTTCAGCTCGCCAAGAATCCCAAACCCTGGACAACGAGGTGGCAACGCCATACCGCAAACGGGCAACGACCGTTCCATGTCGCACGGCCAGGCGCAAATATGTATGAACCACCGATCCATCTCCGCTCCATCGCAGACATTCTTATTCAAATGTGCGTCCTGACAACCGGCTGGTCTCGCAAGTCCGTCCATCCCACTCTCACCACCGACTTCACCCATCAGCACACTCGGCCCAACGACGGCGACGTAGCGCGCATCGAAGACACTCGCAATGGTGCAGCAAAAGGTTGGAACAGGCTGCGGGAAGGACTTCGATGACCCCTTCCTGGATGACATCATTCTCATCGACCAGCTCGGCCCAGAGATCTGGACAGACGGCATCTCCATCAGACCGTCTGGACACGCCTTGGCAGCAGTCATCGAGACCCCACATCTCTACCTCGTCGACCTACGGTTCAACCCCGAGGACCCTTTCTCCAGAGGAAAGCCGCCAAGGATCGTACAAACATTCCCCGATTGCACCTCGGCAGTCAACGTCACGCGCCTGCGCGGCTCGGAAAGCGAGGACTATGCCGTAATAACAGCCCACGTAGATGTACCGCGAAAAGCAATCAAGGACGTGTGCATCTGGCGTGTATCGTTTGGCCCGGACGGCCAAGACGACCCCCCAACCCTCACCAAGATCGCCATGCTGCCCGACGTCATCTTCGGGTTCGGCATGATCCAACTATCAGACGACGTCCTCCTCGTCGCCGACACAACGAAAGGTACCGTCTGGCGCGTACAAATCTCCACCGGGGAGCCCAGCATCCTGTTCCACGACCCCGACACCACGCTGCCCTTGACCCAAGAAGAGGCCTTTTGCATGAACCGAATCCAGATAGCCGCCGGGTACCTGTGGTACACCAACACGAGCCAGGCCAGGTTATACCGTGCGCCCATCGAGTACATCAACGACGGAGCCGACATCAAGGTGACGGGGCCGTCGACCATCGTGGCCGAGGGCTGCCCGCACAACGACGGCATGGTGGTCACCAAGGACGGCAGCGCCGCCTACCTCAGCAGCTACGTCCTAGGCAACCTGTGGCGCGTCGACGTCGACGAGGAGACGGGCACGGGCGAGGTCAACTCCCTCGTCGACCTCGTCTCCCCCACCGCCATGCAGCTCGTCTACCACCCGTCCGACGAGAAGCCCACGCTATACATCGCCTCCTGCGGCGCCTGGTCCGAGGAGCAGCTCGCCGGCGAGCGCGGCAAGTGGCTCGCGCTCACAAACGCGGACCGGTCCAAGCTGAAGATCCGAGTGCACATCACGGTCGAGACGACGGTTCACTACGAGACCATTTCATAGCCTGAGCGAGCAGCGAGGGAGGGGGGGGCGTGCTTTTCCTTTCAGAGCGTTGATAGAGCATTGTTAGGCGCACATGGAGTGCGCGGGTATGGGAACCATGCGTCGCGTCCCTTTTTGTTTTCTTGGATTAAAAAAAGGCAACGGGCAGTCGTGATTTCTTGGTTTTGTCGCTAGATTTTTGTGCATAGAGTCCATGTCCGAGCTGTGGAAACGCAAATACCCTGGAGAGAGATATGCATTGCGAATGATCCTAATATTCATATATCCTACATTTCGTCTCCGCGCGCTTAGTACCGTGAACTGTGAGAATGATCTCTCGCCTGGAGCCAGCGCGCAAAATGATATCACGACCATATTTGTTTCTTGGTCGAGGCAATTTGTCAATCGACGCGTGAAGAGGTACAGGGTAGGCAAGTAGGCAACAGCCGGCAAGTTCCGTGTGGGATCGAGCCAAAAAAAGCCTTAAACGTGGCCCCTCAAAAGTTCAAAAATAAATGGTCACTACCAGGATCGAACTGGCGACGTCCGCATTACTAGGATATCGGGTAGATATATTAGTACGGCACTCTAACCAACTGAGTTAAGCGACCATGCTAAACGACTTCTAACTAGTGTATATAGAGAGTTTCTTCCGGAATTGCCGGTGTTTGAATGTAGAATTGCCCGCGGGCGGCCTGAGCGGTACGAATGAGAATCAATATCATCAAGTTAGTTTATCAAGCTCGAGAAAGTCATTCGCAGTGCGCTCGATTGTTTTGGTGATGGCCCAGTTGGAAATTGAATCCGTGGCCAAAAAATGAAAGACGTGAACAGTCAAAAGTGTTGATTGCTTACCTTTAACGGCATAAGTTGTTTCCAAAATCGGACCTAAAGACTGCTCAAATTGATTTGTAGTAGCCTAGAGTAGCCTTAGCTAATTGATTTCATGTTTAGTCACTCGTTATGTGATAAGGCGCGTTAGAGATCTTGCAATGATTGTCTCTTGTAGGGTAGCCCGGACTCGGGTGTCAAAAACCTAGATATGTTCTTGGCTACCCTACAGAATGAATCAAGCAAATTAGAGAATGAAACGTAGGTTAGCAAGGACAAGATCTTCTAATATTGGATAAGCCTTTTGGGTGAACCCTCAGCCATATTTCCACTCTATATGTCCCTGAGAAAGGGTACTTGGACATGAATGCGGCCTCTGCAGTGACATCCCCATGGCCAGCTCAGCAACATGAAGGAGAGGTAGTTTCGACGTATGCTGCCATAATATTCAATTTCGATTCAATAAAAGGTTGTGGATGGAAATGTTTTTATTTGGCAGATCTGCACGTGGATCGAATTGTTGCGCTATTTGGCTGCGTAGCGGATACGGTCGACTTCCATACTGGAATCTTCAATGCATGGGTATTATAAACATGGGCTATGTCGGCACCATAGCAACCAGTCAGCCTGGTCATGGAAAGATCTACGTTTAAAAAAGCATGATGGCCAGGAAAGTTGCGACCCTCGCCAGTGGCCAACCTTGCCAACTCGTTCGAGACTTGGCCGAGGGTAAGCATTTGGCAACCACTTGACAAACCGGCCCTACTCGGGGGAAATAAAGCCGTAACGGCATGTACCCCGGTTTCCGTCACTATATCCTTCCGTGTGACTTCGATGGATGACACGAACCAATGGGCTGGGACCCAGCGGTAGGAAGAATCTGGGGTCATCCACCTTTCCGCCTTGCGTACTGTACTGACTTGGGATGCTGGATCCAATAGCAAAGAGGGTTAAAGGGGTTGGATGGTCTAGAGCATAAGCGATGGGGGGAAGAGCATGCTGGAAGTGTGTGTTCGGGGACGTCGCTTAGCGCAACCTGATAATCATGACAAGCTGGATTCTTGCGTCGGGGAGAATTCACTGAATATTCCAAGAATGGTAGTGGGAAACAAGGAGAACGCGGCTGGATTTATCAACACAGTGAAATGAGCCGAGAACAACCACTTTCATCAACTGATGCTCGTTTCTGACGGCAATGTGATCCACCTCGTGTTCTTATTTTGACACGCGCTTGCGTGACATCCCGGCGCCTACGAGCAAATCGAGGATGGGGATGAAGATGGCCGTCTGGTCCCTGCCCCACACAGATGGCCTCTGATCCAGATCAAATCTTTATCCATACTATGCTCTCTTTGTTGCTCTGCAGCAGAGCCTCCTTTTTTAAGTTGGAGCATGACACAGGTTGTATTAAGTGGACCAAGCTGTCTCGTGATCTTACCTCTCATCAAACTCCAAAGAGTAGCCCAAGGAGAAGAAGGTATGACCGGATTCTCAACACATAATTCAGTACCTTCCCTCATAATTTTCGCTTAAAGACTTCTACCTCGGGTGTAATCTCATCGAGGTCGAAAAGGTGTTGACATAAGGAGGTGGGTTGACTAGACGGGCACCATGGAAAGCTCACCTGGTGCTAGCAACTCAAGGTTTGGTAGGGGCAAAGCCTTAAACGGAGATAAGTCCACCGGGGAAACATACCAACCTTACTTCCCGATCAAGACAAGCTGATTCCAGCCGTCAGATCAAAGCAGAGCCAGGGGGCGGACTGGCATCTTCCGACGGCGTGGGCTGACTCCTCATCTGCTACCTTGAATCCCACGGGGTCGGGCCACACATTTTAATACCCGGTTATGATGGATCTTACAGCAGGCTTGGAACGGCGGGCCATAGTCGGCGATCAGAGGAGCGTAAACATTTCATACCAAATTTGCTCGATAAAGGTAGACCGCCGAATGTTTTCTCATTGTAAGAAGCGGCCAAATGAGGCTCTCACTCCGACAGCCCTGGTCATTTGCTTTTTCTCCGTCGGGGGCCCCAGTTGATGACACCTGGTCCCCCGCCCCGCATCCTTTGTAGAAACCCTCTGTGTCTGTCACCTGATCCCTCTTGGGTTCTTCCTCAAGTGATTAGGCAGAGTTTTCTGCTGTTTAAGCAGGGCCAATTGAGCGACAAGAAAGGCCACGCTGGGCTTTTGTGTGGGCAAGAAGGCCGACAAGTCATAATATGACATGTTGCCAACAGGTATGGACGAGCCAGCACTCCGTATTATTACTGAACGTCCCAACCATTGTGCAAAAGTACTGAATTTATGTTACACAGCTACTTGAACCCTGACGTCAGGAGCATAATTGAGCTGATCGCCCGTCCCCAGATTTATGCGCCCGAGCTTCCCCGAAAGTGATTGAATAAAGCATCGTCAAACAAGGTGCATGTAGCAGGCTCATAAGCTCCAAGAAGATCAATCCTGTTGACTGGGCGTTTTAAAGTTGAGTGGTCGCCTAACTGGGCTTACTGACAGTTTGCGGAGTTGGCGGAATCTCCCCCGCATCCTCTCCCACATTGTTCCGAGAAAGACAATTTGCCCGTGGTGTGCTGAATAACCTAACCGGCCCTATTGCTGATCAAACTGGCAAAAAGCTCAGCAACCTTCATTTCAACCTGTTGTGGCATCTAGTCCTTGATCAGCAAATCTAAACCCAACCGGGAGATAGCAGCCCCTTTCTGGCATGGCATTTATGTCGTTTGGCTCCATGTTCTCGGTCAGTAAGGGTTAGTTTGGTAAGACTTACTTTAATCGCTCCCCAGCCTTCATAAACACCCGCTCGACATTTACCCGGGCCGTATAACCGGCCCCTAGACTGACTTCTGCGGCCCTCTTAGCCGCCCCTCGGCCCCTTGGCAATTCTCGTCACCACACCCTGGCTCCTCGTCTGGGGTTACCCACAAATTAGCTTCTAGGACACATCCCCCCGGACTCGAATGGGCATCCGGTTGGAACATCGTTGCTTGCCACTTGCTGAGACTGTGAAAAGGTCTGTCACACACCACGTGAACCCCCACCCTCTCTGCCTCTGAGCTTGGGAGGTAATGGTTTGTAAGGTGGGGAATACGTATCTTTCTTCCTGGTTGCACGTTTCTACAGGGGGTCGTTATAACCGCAAAAGACGTCCCCGCGGAATTGGCCTGTTGACTGGCCGGCGTATATATCCCAGCGGCGATGCCACCTACTTAAACCCCCTCTAAGAATTTCCTCACCGACTCCCAAGCTTGCTGTCTCTCGCATATCAACTCCCCGAGAGATCTCTGTTCATTTTGGGATCTCGTACCTCTTCACTTTGCCAGCAAGCTTGTCGTCCCGCAACCGCCACGATGGTCAACGTCGGCACGGCAGCCGACCCCATCGTCACCCGCCTCGTCGAGGAGGACAAGGTGCCATGGTATAAGAAACGGAACCTGCGCCTCATGTACGTGTGGCTGTTTCTGTGCTGCATGGGCGTTGAGATGACCTCTGGTTTCGACTCTCAGCTCATCAACACGTTGCAATTCGCACAGCCTTTCCACAACTGTACGAACAACCCGCTTTCCTCTTGCTGAGCATTGATTGACAGATTCTCTTCTCTTTAGACCTCGGGGGTGGTCGCCAGATAACTAATAGTCAGGGCGAGCTCGAATACGCCATCGAGCCTGGCATGCTCGGCTTCGTCAACTCATCCTACCAGCTTGGTTCCATCTTTGCGGTACCAATTGCTCCATGGTTCGCCCAACGATACGGACGCCGGTGGTCCATTATGCTGGGATCACTCATCATGGTTTTTGGCTCTCTCCTCCAAGGGTTTGCCCAGCATAGTAAGGCATTTCTCAACCTCGGGCCCATCACTCTGAGTTACTAATGGTTATCGTAGTCGCTATGTATATTATCGCCCGAATGGTTCTCGGGGTGGGTATCCTGTTTTGTATCATTTCAGGTGCGGCCCTCATCGGAGAGCTGGGTCACCCTAAGGAACGACCTATCCTGACATCGCTATTCAACTCTTCCTACTTCATCGGTCAGATTCTTGCATCTGCGATTGCTATTGGTACCACCAAAATGAAGAGCGACTGGGCCTGGCGCCTTCCTTCTCTTCTTCAAATCTGCCCCTCCCTTTTGCAGATTGTGACCGTTTTGTAAGCCGATTCGCGTCGAAACTTCTTGGGCATGGATTTGGGGAACTGGTTTGCTAATCCTGATCGACAGCCTTCTCCCCGAATCTCCACGTTTTTTGGTTTGGCACGACAGAGACGAAGATGCTGCCAAAATCCTCATCAAGTACCATGCAGAGGGCGATTCTGACTCGGAACTCGTCAAAGCCGAGATCGTCCAGATTCGCGAGACTATTCGAACTGAAGTGGAGGCTTCCAAGCAGTCTTGGATGGAGCTTCTCCGCACCAGCGGTATGCGTCGTCGTGTTCTGGTCACCGTCTTCATCGGCCTCTTCACTCAGCTGTCCGGAAATACCCTGCTCAGTTACTACTCTGGAGTTCTTTTCGGTCTGATGGGTTACACCGACTCCCTCCTCAAGACGCAGCTCAATCTCGCCAACGCCTGCTGGGGCTTGCTCAACGCCACTATCATTGCACTTATCGTCCCTCGATTCGCCCGTCGAAAGATGTACATGCTCTCTGCAGCATCCATGCTCGCGATGTTTATAGGAATGACGGTTTCCCTTGAGAGAATGCAGGCGTCACTTGCGGTTGGCGGGAAAAACAAGGCTGCTGGAATTGCCGCTCTGTTCTTCTACTATGCCTACAACCCCACCTACAATATCGGCAACAATGCTCTCACATACAGTATGTTTTATGAAACTCTTGATCAATTACCATTTTTACTGACTATCTCTAGCCTACTTGGTTGAACTGTGGCCATATGCCCAGCGAAGCCGCGGTATCGGTGTCCAGCAAATCTTCGGCAAGTTGGCGGGGTTCTTCTCCACCAACGTTAACTCCATCGCCCTGAATGCCATCAAGTGGAAGTATCTTGCAATTTACTGCGGCTGGATCGCCTTCGAGTAAGCTTTGGAAACTCTACCACTCGGGTAACAGTTTGCTAATACACTGGCTAGGTTTTTCATCGTTTACTTGCTATATCCCGAAACTTCTAACCGCACACTTGAGGAGCTTGCCTTCCGTGAGTTTTGTTGTAATCTTATACTATTTATCAGTTCATTGCCTGACCATTATACCTTTCAGTCTTCGAGGACGATTCCCTCAACCAGAGGACAGTTGCGGCCGTCGAAAAGCAGATTCACTTCGGGGACAGGGAGACTGCTGTCAAGGGAGGTCCTCAGCAAACCGAGCGCGAGGTCGTTTAAGCTTGGAGAGACTTGCATTGGGTTGTTCTTGTGTAACTCGATGGACCCCAACTTGATATCCTGGTATAATTTGAAATCGGTCTTGGGTGGAAGATTCCAAGTACCACTGGCGATACACGTCTGGAAGTAAATACTTGTTAGCTTTTGCCTGTGGTTTTATTCCTGTGTGGTCAAGAGTAGTGCTCTTGATGACGTCTTTTAAGCTGTGTATGCAAAATGAGACTCAGTTTCCAGTCTCGCTGTAGCCATCACTGTGGAACGAGCGATAAGCATAATAACTCCGTAGACTCTGGTTCCGTCATAGCCAGAAGACTGAGCAATAGCTTGGCAGCCAGGCAGCCAATGAGTTAATAAAGTGCCAAGGCCACAAAGTCCACACGTCTGCTACCCAGCTCGCCAAATTAGCTGTCATGCCTGCAAGGCATTTGATGGAGCCCATGACGCGAACAGACCGGCTGAATTCAATGAGCGGCAGGAAATGACGAAGCCCAATGGAAAAGAAGAGTATACCAAGACTAACCTTCCCGCTTGACAAAGCAGGTGCCTTGTGTTGAAGATAGCACTAAGCACAACAAGCTGATCCCAATGCCTCTGTATATAGACTGCAAAATTTAATTGACGACAACGACTGGCCATGGAGCCAATCGTAAGCCGAAGATAACAAGAAGTGATCTAATATATACCATAACTCGAAGGTAGCCAGCATCGTAAGAGAGTGCATTTTTCTCATAGTGGGCATCACTGACTTGTTGGACACTGATTGCTCAATGACGTGGCAGCGTGACGGTGAGCAGATGTTTTGGACGACTTGCTTTGCTGGCTGTAACCTGAACTGAGAAGCCGGATTTTAGAGTTAAGAGACCTAAGATGTTGCAAATCCGGCGCGGTGGGTTTCTTGTGTAAGATATGAGAAGACTGCATTGTCTACGGGCTTTCCACATTCAAGCCCAGTGTTGGTGGACGGTTAGTCCTTCTACTCCAAGAGAGTCAGTCATAGTCCACTCAGTGAAGATCCCGCATTTCGTTTGCCGAGATGGTATGCAATCCCGTCCATGCGCTAGAGACTCGGATAATGAGGATCTCAGTCGCCTTGGCTCCCGGAAAACCAACCCCGTTATGATGCGGGGACCAAGTGGTTGACGATAATAGAAAGCACAGGGACATAAATATAACCGACTGATATATGATTCTCAGAGATATGATGCATAAAAATAACAGAAAATTTCACCCAGTTTATTTCTTTCGTTCTGCCGACAAGATGCCTCCTAAGGTTGCTTTGATTTTTGGTGCCAGTGGTGTTACTGGTTGGGCATTTGTCAATGAAATACTAAATGACTATCCCAAAAAAGGCAGTTGGAGTGGTGTTCATGCTCTAACTAATCGTCCCTTGAGTGCTGAGAAAGCATTCTGGCCAAAAGATGACCGACTGGTTATAACTTCCGGGATCGATCTCTTGGAAGGAACACAAGAGGACCTGAATTCAAAGTTGGGCAGTATTCCAGGCATCGAGAAGGTCACACATGTATTTTATCTTGGTGAGTAACGTCTAACTTGTCCTGTTCAATGATTTTATCCAAATGTTGAACTTTGGGTAGCGTATAAGGCCAACACAGATAACCCTCAAGAGGTTCGCGAAAATGTTGAGATGTTTAAGCGGGCTATTATTGCGAGTGACAAGCTCTGCCCTCAGTTAGAATTTGTGGTCAACCAAACGGGTGCAAAGACATACGGTTGCCACCTCTTGCGCAACCGCCCAGGCTACCTTGTTCCTCCCTTTCACGAGGATGGGGTGAAGCTTGGCGAGCCGGAGTCCGCAACCCTGTTCTATTATCCCATGCTGGACTGGTTGACTGAGTACTCCAAAAACAAACCTTGGTCATGGGCCGAAACACGGCCGGATATCATCATTGGCTTTGTACCAAATCAGAATTGGTACTCGCTTGGTATGGCTCTGGGATTCTTCCTAAGCCTCTATCGGGAGATTAATGGAGAGGGAGCTGAGTGCCCGTTCCCAGGAACAGGGGACTCATGGTTGGCCAAGTCTCAGGATTCATCATCAGATATGATCGCTCGCCAGACTCTCCACATTGCGCTTTCACCTGATACTCCCAAGGGGCATGCTTATAATGTTGCTGATGAGCAGGCGCCTCACTGCTGGCGAGGCAAGTGGCCGGTATTATGCTCTCTGTTTGGGCTCAAGGGAGTGAAGTTACCAGACGACAATCCTATCGAGGTACGGCGCTATATCAAAGAGAATTATAAAAGGTGGGAAGAAATGGAGAAGAAGTATGGACTGCAAAGCGGACACGCCGATAACGAAAGGGTCTTTCCTGGCTTCGAGTATTTTCTCATCACGCAGTTTGATACCGATCGGTGGTATGACATGAGTCGGCTGTATAAAGAGGCGGGCTTTACGGAAGAGAGATCAGCTAAGCAGGCTTGGGGCCCCGTCTTTGATAGAATGAGAGTGGCTAAGTTGATTCCTGCGGAATTCAAATAGAGAGCCTTTTGTAAGAAATTGTCTATTGCAATATTGGTATGGAAGTTTTTTCTGCTGGCCCTCTTGCTTTGCTTGTCATGTGGTTGGTATGTAGCTGCATCGTACGATCTCTCATTTTGCTGCCTTTTATAGATGGTTCTTACACTGTCTACCCCCCATCTTCAATTGTTGTCCCATCATTTTGAAAATCATGCGTAAGCGTACTGAAGAGAGCTAGATCGACACCTTGCAGGGCCCATTCTTCCACATTCGCGTCAAGCCCAGGTACCAGAAGACAGCTATCTGGCGCCTTGTTGGAATTGGTGTTCTGGTAAGACTGATTCGAAGTTTCAGTCATTGTATGTTCAATTGATGGACCAGAAACACAGAGTTGCGACGGAACTGCTTGCCAATCCGGGTTGGCAGGCAACACGTTGGTGACTTGATACCCAGTCGGATGCGGGACTGGTTGACCTGCAGTGGGAGATGTGGATGTTAAGTGAGAATTTGCAAGAAAAAGGAGAGGCTCTTCAGCATCAACCTCGGCGGGGCGGTCCTCAATCACGATTGTTCCAAGATACGGAACCTGGATTCGAATGGCATTCCCATTCTCTTTTGCTTCAGCATGATAATCAGAACCCTCCTGCATGGTCTCTGCCGAGGAAGTCCAGATGCTGTATGGCCTTCCGGCCGACGACTCGTTCTCGATGACGAGAAGAGGATTTAGAATACTGGACACTTTGGCGGCTACGGAATCACCTGTCCGCTCCGCCATTGTATTCATGATGTCGAGAATTTGGTCCAGAAGTGCTCGATCGCTCAACCTCTGATGTTGCAGTGACCGGAAAGCGCCGACACTCTTGTGTCGGCGTCGTGATTGAATATGTGCAATACACAAAACCGTGCTTGCTATGAAGGCAATAAAATCTATGCCACGGCAATATGCGGACGAGGTGAAGATTTTGCGAAAGGAAACGAACTGAGTGAGAATGGTACGACTGGTATTCGCAGCTGTGATCTTATTATAATCATATCTTTCATCTCCGTATGGTGGTAAAGCCAGATACGGGAGATGGACCTGAAGTAGTAGATGATGATGTGTGAAATGACTCATGATACGGATTGATTCCCTCAGTGCCTTGGCGTCGTTGCCAACCATGACATTAAAGTCGAGGATTGGCAGCCACCAGCAAGAAGATGCCACTGCGGATGCATCTTGTAACATTTGGTCAATTCTCTGTGTTGATGTGGCATTCATACTTTCGTTCATATTTCTTTGCAGGATGAGTCCGCCAACAACAGCCTGCAAACGTTCCATGCGGTCCACTGCATCACAGTGTTCCAAAACCTCCGGAAGGGCAAAGACATCATCATTTACGATGACATGAGGCAGGCCAAGGAGGAGGGAAAGGTAACGATCTGACATGATTAGGCGAGCCCACATATAGTCTGAACGAACTCGATGCCTTGTTTCTTCCTCGATGACAGGTGCTGGCGGGCTGTTGCTTGAATGCAGACGCAAGAGTTGTGCCGTGGAAATTGCCCTCTTATTTGCCAACCAAGCTCGCCTTAAGTTTCCAGCATTGTTCAAATACATGCTCTCGATCATGATACATTCAAGGCCTTCTATTGAGGTAAGGGCATCATCGTCCTCTGTCCCTAGCCTTGTAGTAGCGACTCTGAAGGCTGTGGTCATGATAGAGCGAGCATCCTTGCTTAACCCGGGAATCTGCATGGAATGATCCGCCGGAATACCCTGAAGAAAGGTAGCGAGTAGCAGAAGTTTCCTTGTAATTAGAATGGGATGCATGTATCGTGTGGGTGATTGTAGCATTTGACGGGGTGATAGGATGTTCTGAGACATCAACTCGGAGAATGGCCGACAAATGACACCATGAAAGAGTACTGAAGAGCTCATTGGAGCCTCCAGTAAGATGTCAAGATCTTTCGGACTCGGCCATGCGGCAAGAAGAGATTTCGATAGCTCACTGGCCTTGTCACCACCCGATGGAAGATTCAGGATGGTCGTTGTAGCTGGCAAGTGCATCCCATGAGCGTCACTATTCCATTCACCTTGACGGCGCTATCTCCTTAGAGTCAGTAAGCGATTAAAGCGAAAGAAGAACCCTGCTTACCTTGCACGCAGTCTGGTGCGGGCTAACTGCCCTCGTAGCGACGAGTGGTTTGTCAACGATACCCCCCTCAATCGGCTTCTCAGCTGCATCTCGTCCCTTTCCGTAGAGATGCTCCAAGGTATTCTCGTAATCAAACTCTTGACTGATGCATTTCGTCTTCCGGCTCCTGCATCCATCGCAAGTGGTATCGGCTGGAGTTGCAAACGTGCACCGGATCTTCCGCCGTTTGCACTCCCAGCAGCTCTGTGTGCCTTTGCGAATCTTTCGGCGTTTTCTGCTGGAAGTAGCGGCATTGTCTTCATCCGCGGCGGAAGTATCTTTGATCGGAGGCAGAAGCGACATATTGGGAGGGGTTTTTGATGAGAAAGTAAAGGTCGAGGCCGAGTTGATGGACTAAATCCAATCTGATGTCTTCCTCCGCGGCGGAGAAAGTCACTCAGGGAGCTTCTCCACTAATAAATGCAACCTGTGAAACATTGAAGTTCCGCCGCGGTCGAAGGACTGTCCAAAGCTTTTCACCCAAGATCCGTCTACATATAAATAACATGCTTCCTTATTGCAGTGACGAATTTTTAACAGCAACTATTTACTCTCAATATAGGTTAATTTCACCAAACCCACTCTACAATGGTCAATATCGCTATCGCCGGTGGCTCTGGGCGTACGTGCACCATTTCACTCACCCGCACGAATTAAACTAACGTACAAACTGTTTAGAGGTGTCTCAGGAAATCGTAGATGCTCTGCTTGCATCTAAAAATCACACAATCACGATCCTCAGCAGAAAGGTAGGCCCAGCACGATAATTGATAACCTTCAGAACTGATGAATTTTCTAGGGCACTCCAACGGCCCTCGGAAGATCCAATATTCATTGGAAAACTGTGGATTATGACAATAAAGTATCCCTGGTCGATGCTCTACGGGGTGTTCATACCGTCTTGTCATTCATCCAATTACTCTCTGACCCCGGCCAAAAGTCACAAAGGAACTTGATCGACGCCTCAATTGCTGCTGGTGTGAAACGCTTCTCACCTAGTGAATATGGAAGGTGTATTTCTGCGAATCTTTCTGTCAATGGAAATCTGGCTAACGTTCGAATCAAAGCAAAGGAACGGTTGATATGAGTTGGTGGGAGGGGAAGGAGAGAGTCCGAGAGTACTTGGAGGAGGTGAACGCTGGAGGGCAGGTTGGACTCCCTACGAACCTTTCTATCCCAATTCATTATTGAACACTAGCACTAACATTGCGTGCAAGGTTCTGGAGTACACATTGTTCCAGCCTGGCCTTTTCCTGAACTACCTTGCGTATCCTCACAAGACGTCGAAGCATGTTGATCCTCTTCAGAGTGTCTTTGATTTTGAGAACAAGCGGGCAATTTTTGTCGAAGACCATGAGGATGCCATCATGACACTTACCACGGTGGCAGATCTTGCTGCAGTAGTTGCTCGAGCTGTTGAATATGAGGGGAAGTGGCCTAAACGAGGCGGTATTTGTGGAAACAGGATGACCTTTTCCGAAGTCATTGAGCTTGGAGGAAGGATTCGAGGTAAGAAATTGATAGGCCCTCAATCACAAAGCGCACCATCTCGAATTACTGATGACGATTATTTAGGGAAACCATTTAGCATAGACAAAGTTTCGATCAAAGATCTCGAAGCTGGCGATCTCAAGACATCTTGGAATCTAGAAGCAGTCCATAAAGCTGTTTCGGACGAGCAAGCATCGTCTCTCTTGAAGGCTGTTTCCATCGGAATACTACTCAGTAGCACCAAAGGTGCTTGGGATATTTCGAATGAGTGGAATGAGCTATTGCCGGATTTCAAGTTCACCCAGGCCGAGGATTTTCTTGGAAGCATTTGGGAGGGAAAACCATAACTGATGCTGATCTGATGGTTATTGGTAGTGTTGGGAATTTTTAAGTTGTTGGGGCCCTCGTCACTTCCCCCGCAAGGTCCATTGAATCATCTTCGACAAAGGCCTGAATTTGGGACTTTGATATGCGAAGTAATGTGTGCATCAAAATCGGCCACATGCTAAGGGAATTTCTGGGCTTGTTGTCATTATTACAATCTAAATTATGCCTAGATATGTGCTTCATCGCCATTCTTCCGGCTTGCCATGAGATTGAGCGCGCTTCCTGATCTAAAGTACAAAATCTGCTCGGGTGTCATGGTGTGTGTCACTTCCGTCTTCCATCCCTCCCTGCCATCAGTCGGATCGACAGCAATCATAACGGGCCTACCAGGTTCCAGCTCACTCAAGCCTCCAATGCTCAGACGGTCTGATGATCTTAAGCGGTCATAGTCCTCTTCTCTTGTAAACGTAAGCGCCAGAACGCCCTGCTTCTTTAGGTTAGTCTCATGGATACGAGCGAAGCTCTTGGCTATGATCGCTACGCAGCCGAGATGGCGCGGCTGCAGCGCTGCGTGCTCTCGTGATGAACCCTCCCCGTAGTTGTAATCACCAATGACCACCCAGGGCTGTGATGCAGCACGATATTTGCGTGCAGTTCCAGGTACATCACCATCTTCTCCTGTAAGCCAGTTCGTCACAGTGTTGACCTTGTCTGTTTCCGCATTGACAGCACCAATCAGAGTATTATTGGAGATGTTGTCAAGGTGGCCACGGTAGCGGAACCACGGGCCAGCCGGCGTGATGTGATCTGTTGTGCACTTTCCCTTCGCTTTGATGAGAATGACGCAGTTGTTGAAGAAGTCGTTACCAGACCACGGTGCGAATGGAGAAAGTCGTTGCAGTCTCTCAGAGCTTTCCTTGATTTGTACCTCGACACCGCTGCGGTCCTGCTCTGTTGATGGAGGGGCAGTATAAACCTGGTCTGCGGCTGCATATCCTTTAGATGGTAAGTCTGCTCCCGTGGGAGGGTGGAATCTGAATTGTTTGCCCTCGGGGGTGAGAAGTGTATCCTTGGTTGGATCGAACGCGAGGTCTCTGGAAAAGATCTTGGCCATGACAATTTCCGGCGAGGCTAGAAAGATATGAGTGGCTGGATTACTGTCCAACCGACCAGTAAAATTACGATTGTATGAAGTGATGATGGAATTCGGTGTTCCCTATACCCCCAGTTAGATTTAGAAGTTTTTATCTTGCAGATGTCATGCCATGGCGCTCACCTTTTTCATGTCTTGTCTGTCCCAGGAGCCGCAGCAGGGTCCGCAAGCATTGGTAAGAAGAGTGGACTCAAGGTCCTTGAACACCTGCAACGTCCCATCTTGATTAAGAGTCTCCCGCGTCTTTTCGCTTCCAGGAGACACGAGCAGCGGCATCTTGGGTTTCAGACCTGCATCTAAGGCCTGCTTGGCGAGCGAGGCGGCCCTGGTCATATCTTCGAAGGAGGAGTTGGTACAAGAGCCGATCAATCCGGCGGTAAGCTCTTGGGGCCAAGAACCCCTTTCAATGGCGTCTGGGAACTTTGAGAGAGGATTACTAAGATCAGGCGTGAATGGTCCGTTGATTCGAGGCTCCAAAGAGGAAAGATCGATTTCAATGACACGATCATACTCGGCTCCTTGGTCAGCGCGCAGCTCATGCGAGGCGAACCCGAGTGCTTGGGCAATCTCTTGGCGATCCGTTGCTCGGAGGTAACGGGCCATTGCGTCTGAATATGGGAAGATGGATGTAGTTGCTCCAGTTTCGGCACCCATATTGCAAATAGTTGCCTGGCCAGTGGCTGACAAAGTCTCTGATCCAGGCCCAAAGAACTCAATGATCGACCCAGTTCCACCCTTGACGGTAAGAAGCTCAGCCAACTTGTTGATAACATCTATAGTACTGTGTCAGATACTGTCTGTTGGTATTAGTTGTTGGAGAGAAACCTCAGTAGCCGCTTACCTTTTGGAGTTGCCCATCCGGACAACTGCCCTGTTAAACGAACGCCAATGATGCGAGGCGCCGTCAACTCAAACGGAAGACCGGCCATCACATCAACAGCATCTGCGCCGCCAACGCCAATAGCGATCATGCCCATTCCTCCTGCGTTTGGCGTGTGCGAGTCTGTGCCCACCATTATCCCGCCGGGGAATGCATAGTTTTCCAGGACAATCTGGTGAATAATACCAGCACCAGGCTTCCAAAAACCCATTCCGAAGCGGCTTGAGGCACTCGACATGAAGTTATACACCTCGCCGTGAGTATTCAGTGCGTTTGGTAAGTCTTTGTCCTGACCATCTCTGCCTACGATCAGATGGTCGCAGTGGACAGTTGTCGGAACGGCGGTAGTCTGTAGGCCTGCTGACATGAATTGAATGATGGCCATCTGAGCTGTGGCATCTTGGCAAGCAATTCTTTGAGGCCGTAGCTTAAGCTGTGTCTTGCCCCTTTCTACCACATCTAACTCGTCCGTGTAGGCGTAGAGAATCTTCTCCGCGTACGTCAGAGGACGCCGTTGACTGTGACTTATCAGTGGCTGTTGTTCATCGCAATCCCTCACAGTGGAGATACTTGCATTTCGCGGCTTTTCTTTATTCTGCGCGCCAATTGGGAGTAGTCAATAAACTTGTCGGGCTCCAATCTGCTGAGAGGGGCTTTTGGTGATTGTGAACTGGCTGTCGCAAGACAACGCAAGAAGCTTGGCGCCCTCTGTGAACATCGAATACTCTGCCACATTTCCGGAATTGATTGACGAGTAATAATGGAGTAAATTGTAATCAAATAATAAATTGGGAAAAAAGCCCTGCTATGCATTCGTGTTTCTTAAAGAGGTCGCCCTCGTAGATCGATCCACCACACCTTCAACTTGCCCCTAACTCTCCCATCGGATGCATCCGAGAGAGTTCAGTTTGGCGTGTCGGGGATGAACTCGATAATTGGAGCATCACTTTAAAATTAATATTAATCTTACCATTCTTGATCGAATAACACTACGAATAAACAGGCTCTCGTTTGCATTTACTTTGCGGCACTTTCACCATGGCTCAAGCACTTGACTACGCCCTGGTGTCTCAACCGGCGGTGACGAAGAAGACCACGCCGTGGAGTAACCTTCTTGTAGGGGCCGGAATGAACATATTCCAAGGTTGGTAGCCCCCATGGTCCTCACCTGATGGGGATCACAGATGTTTAAGAGTATTCGTTAGTTACTACGCTGGGTCAACCGATGGAGGTGATCAAAACACATGTTAGTGTATCTGAACCAACGACCATCACTACGGTGTATTAACATCAATTCCAGGTTGCTGCCAACAGAGGCGACTCATTGGCGGAGGCCGTTCGCCAGACTTGGCTTCGTGGTGGAGTTCGTGGCTTCTATCAAGGTCTTATCCCATGGGTATGCTCAATCATTAAGCCAACTGAATGAGGGTAAAGTCTGACAGGTAATAGGCATGGCTTGAGGCCTCGACTAAGGGCGCCATCTTGATTTTGACATCATCAGAAGTGGAATACTACGCCAAGAAGCATTTAAATGCATCAAACACTGTCGCTGGTGGTCTCGGCGGTGTCGTTGGTGGTGCTTCGCAGGCTTACTTGACCATGGGCATGACAACATGCATGAAAACCATCGAGGTGACCAGAGTGAAGAATGCCGCGCCAGGTGGCCGCATCCCTGGCACGATGGAGACCTTTGTTCAAATTCTAAGAACTCAAGGAATCCGCGGTGTCAACCGAGGAGTTAACGCCGTGGCATTGCGACAGATTACGGGCTGGTCGTCCCGAATCGGCATTGCGAGATTCGCAGAGAGTCCCATCCGCGCATTACGGGGGAAGAAAGACTCGGAAAGGCTGAACTTGACCGAGAAGATTTGCGCTTCTACAGTGGGAGGGGCCCTAAGCTGCTGGAACCAGCCGTTCGAGGTGAGAACATGCTCTTTTCACTTTGAAATTTGGTTATCTAGAATCTCACCTTTGTTTAGGTCGTTCGCGTTGAGATGCAGTCGTTGAAAGCAGACCCTACGCGGCCGGCATCACCAACGATGTTGTCCACAGCAAAGCACATTGTTCAGACGTCAAGGCCTTCTGGATTGCTTCGAGGAGTTGTTCCCCGTATTGGAGTCGCCACTTGGGCGACGATATGCATGGTCGGACTGGGGGATTCGGTCAAGGAGGCTGTGACCGCAAGGAACAAAACCATAAGGAATTAGAAGGTGAGGCTGCTAACTGGGACGTTGATCTATTTTTCTTGTAAACGGATAGAATAGTTTGATTCAAATCCAATACGTTGTCAAAGTTACGATTTTCTCCTCAATATATCACATTGACTCCAAGCCTCTCCAACTGGAGTTTACTTGCACTATTGTTGCTACACAATGGATTATTCCCGTAGACTAAATAAAGGCATCAGAGTAAAAGTTGTTCCGGAGGTCAAATCCCTCATCCAATAAGTCAATCCACGCTACGTCAACACTCGGCGTTGTCTGACTCTCAACGGAGGGCTGTTGACACCGCAGACCAAACCATGACATGAACTCTGTATCCACCTCCTCATCGACGGTTTCAGTTGTCTCGAAGAGGGCAAGGATTGATTTTCCAAGCCTCTCGACAATCTGTGCACTTCGCTCACCCACGGACCGACCGCCTGATATGCGCCGGAGGGCGGCTGCGCAGGAGGCCACGTTTGACTGCGTCACCTCCCTTGTCAGTTCTTGACGCAGCAACGGGCTGGCTCGGAGAACGTAGAGAATCGTGATGGCCGCCATGAAAAGTGAGACTAGGGCGACAAAGGTATAAGAGACTTTGTTTTTGGCGTAGAGAGAGTGATAGCAGCTGACAAGGCTGATTGCCGAGTCCGCACAGAGCCGCATCCCGTCGACTGAGACGACGGGAGAAACGAAAGAGGGACGGAAGAGAGTCAACACAGCTTGATGATAGGCAATTTGCTGCCATTCAGCTGTCTGGTGCATTGACGTAGGCCCAATGTATCTGGGTGCTGCAGCAAGCCATCCATTCAACATGGCGAGATAGTGGTACCTGGTAGGGTCGGTTCCTTCGACGGGAGCGTTGCCCGCTGCGTGAAGGGCAGTATAGATTTCAGCATTGATACGTCGGAGTCGAATAATGTGGAGGAATGTAGAGAGATCATCCGGACTTGGCAAAACTGAGGGGACGGCCGTCTCGCGAGGTTGAAGTAACTGATCATCAGACAAGCATAGTGGCAAGGCGGCGGTGATGTCCACGTCTTGGAGCCCGGTGGGTCTGCCCATGGCTATTGAGATACTTCTATCCATCGTGTAGATGCTCCAAAACAGCCGTTTGCGCATCTCTTCCTGCACAAAGCTGCCGCATGGAGTCGTCTCTTGCCGATGCATGTCGATCCCAAGCGCCAAGCGTAGAGCTAACCCTACCGTATACCAGAGGTCGACACGTTCAGGCTCGTTGCTACCGTATATACACAGTAGGAGTAAGCTCTGGATACATGACACATCGTCGGAGGCTAGGACAGCACCCAAGTGTTGTATGGCGGCCTCGAAGAAGTGATCGTGTACCGCCACCTCACCCGGACCAGTTCTCGATTTTTCTGACGCGCCTATGGCTAGGACAAAGTTTGCTTGGAACTTGGTCAAGCCATTACAAATTTCACCTGTGATGAAGGGCCCGTATACGTCCTTCATGAATGTGGGTTTGTGGAGAACAGGGAATTGTGGCCATCGACGGGCGAAGAAGAGTTCGGCAAACTCCCCAGTGTCCGCTAAGTACGATGGTAATGATACCCCGGGAGTTGCTCCAGCCTCAGCGTTAAGCCCATGCCAGAGATGCCAGGGGCTCGTTAAGAATGATGTGTTCACCCCATCGCCAGTGTTCCGTCTCCGGAATGTTGGCAGTAGAATGCGCCCGCTATATGCAACATGCTCCTCTGAGTTGGTTTGGGTTTCCCTTCTCGAAGAACTTGGTGTTAACGGTGGAGCAGGATCTTCTAGAGGCACCTCGAGGACAGGGGTGCTGATAAACTCCGGTTGGAAACTGTCTACTGGACAGTCAAGCTGGTGTCTCAGCCTCTCATTTTCCGAGCGTAGAGCTTGCACCTGATCCCGCAGCTGTTCACACTCACAGCATGGATCCGACCGAACTACGAGACGCTCTGAAGGGATGCAAGTTACTCCTGCGGCGAGACATGGTTCGCAGCTCGGATGCTTTCCGTCGCACTGTTATCGTCTGTGTTAGACAAAAGAGAACCTTGATATGTGGAGTGGCCGACGATACCTTTTGCTTTCTTTGCCTGCACCTATGACAAGCAGCGGAGCTTCGTTTCAGGCCCCGGCGACGGCGAACCGGTGTTGAGCCCGCAGCAGACTCGGCGCCGTCCAGTCCGGACACTTGGATGGACGCCTCTTCGTCTGACATGGCCTTCTGCGCTCCACAACGGATCGATGCGAATGGCACAACTGGATCATGGAGTCTAGGATGTCTGAGGGAAGATTATGAGGTGGCGAAGGCCAAACTTCAGTCCTTTCCTGTCCGGCCCTATCCGGTACTATCCGGATCCCCGCAACCAGCCAAGCCCCTTCGGATGCATCCGATGCCCATCAAATCTCCCCTGACTCAAGTGCTGGCCGATTACTTAGTTTAGTGTGAGTCGAACTATGCCTACGACTTGTATTGGTGAGAGCTTTCATGTTATCAATTTCACGAACCCATTGGGCCCGCTGCAGCATATTCACCCCAAGATTCCAGGCCACCCAACGCGTGATTGACTCTGCTAGACCCAAGTTCTTCAATATGAGTACTGTCTCTGATAACCGGTGAGTCCATCTCCACATGGACAACCGGAGATCCGATGAAACTGACCGCGACCAAGTGGTGCACTACCGCCAGGTGCCTGGGATACGCATATTCACGTATTTGACACCTCAATCGGGCCATTTGCACCTTCGAGGGCCTACACTCCGGCCCAAGCTTCTCTTTCTCAGCTGGTAGATTTTGGTCGGAGCTTCACTCAGACATCGGAGGCGCCTTCGTTTGTCATTGTGCAGCCGTCTCCATATGGCACAGACAACACCGTACTATTAAGCACCTTGAGATCCCTCCAAGCATTGGGCTATAAGGGACGTGGAATCGCAGTCGTAGATGTGCAGACCATCACAGATGCCGAATTGAAAGAGATGCACCATTTGGGCGTTCGTGGTCTTCGGCTGAATTTCCAGGCTGACGGAAAGAGCGTTGATACAGTCGCCTTCAACAAAAATCTCGTGGCTGCCGCTGAGCGTATTGCTCATATGCCTGACTGGATGGTTCAAGTGTTCATTCCGGGATATATTTGGGACGGTAATTTCACCACCACGCAAACTTTATTGTGCCTGTTCGCTAACGACCGTCCTAGAAATTTTCGATACTGTCGTTGCTCTGCCAGTACCAGTCATTGCTGATCACATTGGTGGACTCAAAGGTCCATCGAAGCTCCCAGAGGGGGCAAATATAGTCCACTCTCAGCAGCTTGGCTATAAGTCGCTGACTGAACTTGCGCGTAGGAAAAAGGTTATTATCAAGATTTCTGCTCTATATCGGGCATCAACAAAAACGGACACTTCCCATGATGATCTTGCGCCTCTTGTGCGCTCCCTTGCGTCAGAAGTTCCAGATCAGCTGGTTTGGGCCAGCGACTGGCCACATACTGGTGAAGGGAAAGATAGGGAAGCTAATGGAATTGACAAGGTCGAATCTTTTAGACATGTGGATAATAGAACGATGCTTGCATCGATGAAAAGCTGGATAGATGATGAGACAACATGGGTAAAGATGATGGTAGACAACCCTTCTCGCATTTACAAATAGACGAATAGAACACATGCCATCAATAAATACTGCTTCTTGGGTTTATATCAGTTCGCTAAGGCGATGTAGCTAATTGAAAGGCTCAAAGTCGAGGCCACAGGTTAGATAAATCCGAAAGTCTCATATATCTGTTAAGCCTCCCTCGCGCTGATACTGAATAACGCGCGATCCAACAACCTCCTAAACCTTCGTGCAAACAAGAATGATGAGTAGGATAAATGCTTTGACCCTTTGGCGATAAAAAGCCCTGGCATTTTGTTAAGTAGCCAAGTTTACATTCATACGAAAGAAGTCAATTTTGACACCGTGTCTGTCAGACAGCATTCTACGTCGGCAGATTGAGGAGAATAGTGAGGCGGGAAATAAAGTAAGCCAATGCGCCATCCAGGGAAGAAGGAGCCCCGCGTGACAATATTTGTTGGAAGACGTTTGAATATGACGTGGAGAGGGGAACCAGGAATATTATATATTGGCGTCTGTCCTCACTCACGGATACGTATGCATATACGACTCGTTCAAACCAATACAACCTCGGTCATCATGGAATAATTGCGACATTTGTTATAATATTGCCACACATGGCCGGATCCGGGGAGCAGAAGGTTCTAAACTACACCGTCACCCATCACAGAAAATACAGTGATTTTGGCTGCGGATAATCTCTATTCTACACCCAAATAAAATTTCGTCGAGGAGTTAGTTGATACCAATAAGAGTCTAGTTCTCAAGATGCTTTGCAGAGCCCATTTCAAGTGCTGCGACTTGTGCCTTTTCCGCAGCTCCATACTCCTCATCTGCTGAACGGGAAAGAGGCTTCCGCATCTTGTAAATAGGGCGTTCAAAGATGGCATCCATTTCATCCAAGCTGAGGCCACGTGTTTCTGGCACACAGAAAACAGTGTACACAAATGCGACGACACACCAAGCTAAGAAGAATACGAAGGCACCCCAGACGGCCATAGAGGACAGGATGCTAGGCGTGGCTTTCGTAATGGCGAAGTAGAACAGCCACTATCGATTGTAGCCTGTTAGTACATGCTAAAGTATTGCAGTAGGAAAATGATGAAGGATTGAATACGTACGTGGAAGCATTGCGAGACGGCACCACCGAAGGAACGGATGCGATTAGGCCACAGCTCGGCCCCGAAGAGGTATGGCAATGTGTACAAACCCACTGCCCATCCAAAGGCGTGAATATAGATGATTGCAATGGCCGCATCTGAAGCTCCAGAAGGTACAGATGATGGATCAGAGCGGAAGTACTTAAGGTACCCTGCCAGATAGGCGTGGCACATCATCTGTACAGTAACTCCCAGCATAAGTGACTTCCGTCGACCTAAGATATCGACAATGAAAAGCGATGCGGCGAAGCAACAAACCAGCTTGGCAACAGCATAGAGTCCAGTCGAATAGATCTTGGCGGAAGTGCCTTTCACTCCAATCAAACCAAAGATGGTGGGTAGATAGTTGGTAATGGAGTTGGCCCCGGAAAACTGAGCGAGAATGTAGGCAACAATCGTAAGTTGCACACGACGTAAATTTGATCTCTTGCCAAATGTCTCCTTGATGATGGCCCAGTATCCGTCCTGTGGATTCCCGCTGTTTTCATCCTCGATATGAGAGACGAGCTGAGCATACTCCAACTGCATTGAGGCATCGTCTTCTGGAAGGCCACGGAGCTTGTAGAGCGTGTCTTTCGCCTCTTCCATGCGGCCAGTAATGGCCAGCCATCTGGGAGACTCGCAGGTGAAGAAGGATAGTCCGATGGCAAGAGCAGGAACAAATGTTTGGACAAACCAAGGCACTTGATACTGAAGGTCGAGAGCTGGCGAGATGTTTATGCTACACCCAAGGACGGTGAAGCTGCCCAGCGCCTGTGATCCAAGCATGCAAATGTTGAACCATAGGGTGAGGAAACCACGAATAGTCTTTGGTGCAATTTCCGCGATAGCCATAGGCCCAACAACACTGCAAGCGCCGATTCCTAGGCCAGCAATGATGCGACCAGCGTATAGTGCTCCCGCATTCCCGTATGAGAAGCAAGCAACTAGGGAGCCGATGGCATACAGAGCTTGGTACACTCTCATCGACCAAATGCGACCGAGCTTGTCGTTGAGGAAGAACGACAGGAGAGCGCCAACACCAGCTCCCACATTAACCAGAGACACAATATTAGATATAGTCGCATCGTCGAGGTGGTATTTTCGAGAAAAGGAGGCGAGCGATGTAATCGAGGCTGCAGAGCCTTCGTCCCAACCTAACTGGAGTGTCAGTGATTTTTTATCCAGGAGAGGAACAGCGAAGAAGTCGTACCCTTTGGAGTACCGCACATTCCAAACACGAAGCAGGAGAGAAATAATCGCCAATTGAGAACGGCTCGAGGCAAAGCCTTGATGCCGTTAACATGATTTGCCAACGATGATTTATTAAGACGATCCATGATAACGTGTAATATGCCTGGTTGAGAACAAGGTGACTGAAGAATCTCTGGAGAACTGCAAAAGCATCAGTGTCCTCTTGCTGGTCTAATATATATCTTCATGCCAAACTTCAAGCAAGGGAAATTTTGAGTTTCCCCAATTTCAGTTACCCCATACCCCGCGTGTGGCCGACAACATGATCTGGGCGCCAATGAGGAGATGGCAATTATGACCTGACCTGGATCTAGCCGATGAGTCTCCCTTCGGATCGCTCCGATACACTCAACGCGAGGCTGTCGTGGCTCCCCTCGGCTTCCAGGCGTCACAGTCTAGGCTGGGTCTTCAGTCTCATTTAATTTCGCAACTATCCGAGCCTTTTGTACATATTATTCATAATAGAATACCCTCGTGGCTAGTAAGTATTCCTGCTGAACCCCCACTACTACCTGCCACTCCATGTCACTCTCATATCTACGAGCCCTAGCCCGGCCGGCTCCCCAAAGCCTGGCCCAATCAGCTACCGTTTTTCAAGCTCCTACCGCCGTGCGTTTTGCTAGCCAGATTTCTCGCAAGCAGAATCGTCTCCCGGCTTCCTACTATCGAGGTGGTACATCACGGGCAATCTTCTTCAAGAAGGATGACCTCCCGGCAGACCCCACCGCCTGGAATTCAATCTTCCTCAACAGCATTGGAAGCCCTGACAGATACGGCAGACAACTAGACGGTCTCGGAGGTGGAATATCTAGCTTGTCAAAAGTCTGTGTCGTAGGCAAGAGCACGGAACCAAGCGCTGACGTGGACTATACATTTGTGTCGCTGGGCATCAACAACACCAATGTTGATTACTCGAGCAACTGCGGCAATATGTCCGCCGCTGTTGGCCCCTATGCAATTGATACAGGCCTGATATTAATGTCCAAAGAAGAGACCGAGGCTACTGTCCGTATCTTCAACACCAATACCAAGAAGATAATTGAAGCCGCATTCCCCGTGGTCGAGGGAGAAGCAGAAGCCCATGGAGACTATGCCATTGACGGTGTAGATGGAACAGCGTCAAAAGTAACTCTGCGCTTCTTGAACCCGGCTGGTTCAAGGACAGGCAAACTTCTGCCTACCGGGAACGTGGTTGATGAGATTGAAGGGATATCTGTTACTCTCATCGACGCGGGAAACCCGTGCTGCTTCGTGCCAGCACAGCAGCTCGGCGTGGATGGAACCCTCACACCACAAGAGATTGACGCCCACCCTACGTTGAAGAAGCAGCTAGAAAAGATCCGAGGGCAAGCTGCTGTCCGGATGGGCCTCGCTGAGACGACGGACAATGTTCCCGGAAGCGTCCCCAAGATTGCCATCGTTTCTGCGCCGACGGACGGATCAACGGATAGCATCATTGTCCGTGCCATGTCTGTTGGGCAACCACACAAAGCCGTTCCTGTAACAGTAGCGCTTGCCGCGGCGGCAGCGGCGGAACTACCCGAGACGGTGATTCATGGGCTGGTGAGCCGAGGCAACGGCTCGGAGATGGTGATCCATCATGCTAGTGGTCAATTGGCCGTCACTGCTGATTTCGACAGCTCGGGAGACCTCAAGTCATGTACGGTGTTCCGCACTGCAAGAAGGCTCATGGAGGGACATGTCTTCTGGAAATAATGATGGAGTTGTAAAAACTGTGCCGGATGAAGGTCGCCGCATGGGGAGAGGTTATTCATTGCCATATGATGGATCAGTGTAACAATTCATAGCGAAAAGAAGATTTCATTTATTCATCACTAATAATCAATCATGATCGTTAATCATAACAAAAAATTACTCAGAAGCAGCAGCAACCGTATTGACCAAGCCCAACATTCTCCCCACAGCCACAATCCTCATCACGGTCTCGGCACTCTCCCTCGTGAGTTTCTCTGCCTCCATCACGGCATCCTCCAGAGTAGTTGGGCGCTGAAGGATACAGGTAAAGGCGTCGATGCCCACGTCGTAGTTCACGCGAGCCCCTGGACCAATCGTCCCGGCAATGGCAATGACAGGAAGTTGGTGTCTCTTTGCGCGTCGGGCAATCTCACCCGGGATCTTGCCCCGTGGAGTTTGATCATCAATACCGCCCTCGGCGGTGAGGACAAGGTCACAATTATCAAAGAGGCTGTCAAGGTCAATATACTCCATGACAACCTCGTATCGGGGCCGAAGGCGTGTACCAAGAAGACGTAAGCCTGTCCCCAAGCCTCCGGAGGCACCACCACCAGGCGCAGAACCGATCTTCTCATCGCCGAGGATTAGGCCCGCGATATGTGCAAGTGCCTCCATCACGGTAGAGAGGCGCCGAGTTTGTTCAGGCGTGGCACCCTTCTGCGGCCCGAAGACAGAAGCGACCCCTTGAGGGCCGCATAGAACGTTGTCCCAATTGACGGCTGCCTCGATTTGTACGTGTTTAATGCGCGGGTCTACTCGTGAGAGATCGATAGATGCAAGATCTACAAGGGACTCGCCACCCATGGCCACGGGAATCTCCAGCCCCTGGGAGTCATGGAGACGGGCACCCAAGGCTTGGAGCATGCCAGCACCGCCATCACAAGTCCCAGAGTCGCCACACCCAATCAAGATGCGGTCTACCCCGTGACTCAAAGCGGCCAGGATCAATTCTCCGACCCCGGAGGTTGTCGTCAGACTAGGGTTGCGCCGATCAGAGGGTACAAGGCTGAGACCTGCAGCAGCTGCCATTTCGATCACTGCTGTGCGTGGCGAAGTGGTGGTGGCAGTCAGGGCGTCCGACTGTGGACCAAGAATCCCAAAGAATGACATGATCGGCTCGCCAACAGGGCCCGTCACGCAAACTTTGTGGATATCGCCTCCTGTAATGGCGACGAGGGAGCGGGTAAAACCCTCCCCCCCGTCGACGAGAGGTACTTTGCGGACCTCGGCAGTGGGCTCAACTGCCAAGATTCCTGCTTCGATGCTGTCGGCAGCAGCATCTGGCTCTAAGCTCCCTTTGAAGCCAGAAGGACAAACAAGAACTCGCATATTTGGCGGGGTGGGTACGCGGAGCTGTGTCATGATGAGGAGATGGGTAAGGAAGAGGTGAAGCTGGTCTAGAACCAGGAAAAAAGGTACAGCGAGAAGGCTATAGCGAGTGTAATAGAGGAGTGTCGATATAGCGAGTGGGAATGCAAGGGACAATTTGAAGATAGCGAATGACAAACAGAGCGAATGTAATTGATACTCAGCGAGTGTGTGTGAACTAGGTTGATGCTTTGATCAACAGCTACTAGAAGCTGGGAAGAGAAGGAGGTTATTATAGTTTGATTGTCAAGTCCTACAAGTTCGAGGTTCGGCCAGCAGTTCACGTCAGGTTATCACTCTCCCGGCTCTCTTTCCTGGGCTTGGATGCCAAACCTGCTCAATGGGCTAATTTTACGCTGCTTGAGTGGCTTAGAGCTGTGACAGGATCTTGGAGGGGGCGTCTGGAGACCCAGCCATCGAGCTCAAGTTTCTGCGAACACTAGCTTCCCAGTTGCCTCATGGCAAAGAACCATCATGGTCCCTTCCCTTCTGCCGGGCCCTACTCAGCAACTAACCGCAAGGAACCTCGAGTGGGTGTCAATGGTGCCTGAATTGGATGCATGGTGTCTACGAAACAGACCAAATTCTTGGCAAGGATCACGCGACCTATGTACAACTAGGGAAATGTCACCGACTTTTCATGCGGTTTCGGGGGAATTAGGGTTCCACGTCATGGAGGAGGTTTGGGTATTCTCAGCCCTGTGTCGACCAAAGTCTAGCTGCCGAAGCTCCATGGAAAAGCCTGCTCAGCCTCCTCGGGTTGCGTCGCCGCCAAGATGGTGGCTTGTAGGTATTTCGTGTTTCAGCCAGAAGCTGGCAGAGGCCATCAGGAGAGAATTTAAGCTTGTTTTTGGTGTGTGTGGGGGTGGGTCAGCGAGCTCTCTCTGCTCTCTGGTCTGGTCTGAGGTGAAGCACATACCATGGGTTAGGGACAAGGGCCCGGATGTGCTAGACAGCATGAATGGTGACGGTGTAATCCATGCTGGACTCTTTACCGAGAAGGGACAAGGCAGAGAAGGTCTACAGTAGCCGAAGTAAGGTCCGACGCGTGTCTTTCTCAGCCTCTCCTTGGCAGCTGCTCCAATGAGTGCCGTCCACGACAGCATCCATGCTTATTTTTAGCCACATAGGACTTTGAGCTAGGTAATTCTTATCAGACGGCACGGGAGTTGTGTGGGAGGGAATATGTGTGATAGCCATGTCCCGATATGCGGGTACTGCGTTGTTGATCACTACACAGCCACACTCATGACGCCAAATCAACGACGCTATCCTGCTATCCAGACGAATAAAGTTGCACAAAATTCATCGAGGCTAGGAGGAGCCTTGTTTGATAGGTCCCTTTTGGGTGATGAATGTCGACTCTCATCCCTGCTTCCACCACAACCCGATGGCCCCCACAACACGAATCTCCTGATGGGCCCGTTGGAGGCCGCCAAGATTGAGTATCTTGAATTCTGTTGTTTCAGCTACTTGGCGAGCTGTGAGTGAATTTGTTGCCAAGAAGCCTTGAGGCTGGGCAGGCGCCCACCACCGTCATTTCTCGTGTTCACTTTGAGTTATGTCCTTGTGCTGAATCTAAGCCCTGGCAGCGTACGAATCATCGCCTAAGGGGGACTTTCATCATTTCAAAGTGCTTTTGCAGGCCATAGGAGATCCACATCCCAAGCCTAATAAGATCTTGTCGTAGGATATAGGATTATCACTTCCAGATGTCATTCTCTCGTTGTCTCATGTTTACATGCTATTCTTCTAGCGTGAAGTCTTGTCACTTGCTTGGTTTTTTTTGTCAATCGCTCAAAATATCGACGGTATTCTCCCCTTTTATTCGTGAAAAAATGCCGCCAAGTCGTTCGCTATCAGTAGCCACGTCGAAGTCATCACTTTGGCGCTACTGGAATGTAAATAACACTGGCGAGTATGAACGATCTTTACATAGATTCCCTTGGTTATCGAATGATATTGGGGAAGGGATTAGAGAGAATACTTATGAAGCTCCCAGGGAGCCTCCTTCGTTAGAGTCACTCTACCAAGACTCGTGGCCGCTACGCCCTGAGCCTTGCCAGGACGCAGGTAATGTCCGGGTGCTGCGCGTGGCGGATCTAGAAACGGACTCCCTTCAGCAGCCACCAGAAAACTGCATTGAGGTGTCTTCTGTTGATAACTATGACGCCGAATCTGGCCGAGCATTCAACGGCGATTATCAAGCTGATTCAGGGGATGAAGACGGTTCTGAGCCGCCAGAGGATCCTAATTTGGTACGTGAGCGACATTGTCATGCAGTGATTTCGAAACCCCAAGTGTATCGAGAAACATCTACATATGGCTTATCATGCTCACATCTTCTATTCTAGGTAACTTGGTGCGGTAAGGATGACCCAGACAATCCACATAACTGGCCACGGCACAAGAAATGGTCCTCAACGCTCTTGGTATCCTGCTTCACCTTCATCTCGCCTGTCTCGTCCACCATGTTAGCGCCTGCTCTCCCAGCGCTGGCCGATGAGTTCAATACCTCCTCCGGGATCGAGACATACCTTATCATGTCTATATTCCTGCTGGCATATGCCGTTGGCCCTTTTATATTAGCACCTCTGTCGGAAATGTACGGTCGCGTGGTAGTTCTTCAAGCCGCCAATATGGTATTTTTGATCTTCAATACCGTTTGCGGATTTTCTCAGACAAAGGCGCAAATCCTCGCCTTCCGTTTTCTCAGCGGATTAGGAGGGGCCGCACCACAGGCTGTAAGCTTTCGCTCTCTGACATTTGACGTTTGCTCCGATTGATCCAGTATTTATGCTAAATGTTTCTAGCTGGGAGGTGGTGTGCTTAGTGATTGCTGGAGAGCTGAGGAGCGAGGAAGCGCCACGGCTGTCTACAGCTTGGCACCCTTCCTTGGCCCGGCCATTGGTCCTATCGGTATGCTTCCTCTATTACCAGTCCTCCTGCATTATACAAGAAACTGACAATTACAGCTGGTGGATACCTAGTCCAGTATCTCAACTGGCGTTGGATCTTTTGGGTCGTCTCCATTGCCGATGCCGTAGTTCAGATTCTTGCCTTTCTCTTTTTGCCAGAGACTTACCCACCCAAGATTCTCGCCACCAGGGCGAAGAAGCTACGAAAAAGCTCCGGCAATAAAGACCTACATACAGAGTACGATCGCCCTGATCGAAGCTTCGTTAAGATCCTTCTGAACAATCTCGAACGCCCATTTGTGATGTTGTTCACCCAGCCCACCATCCAACTCACTGGGCTCTATCGAGCCTACTTGTATGGGCTCATGTATCTTGTGTAAGTCTACCATCCTAATTCAACCATATGAACACAAACACAGGACTCACACACATACACAGCCTTGCATCATTTCCCATGGTCTGGGAGGAAAAGTACGACCAAGAACCAGGTCGAGCCAGTCTCAACTATTTGTCATTAGGAATAGGGTTTGTCATTGGATTGCAGGTATCTGGTCCGATGATTGACAAGGTATGCAATATCTAGAGAACTAAGCATTTCATTTGAGCTGGCAGCTAATCATGCTTGACTATATATCAGGTCTACAAGAAGCTTAAGGTTCACTATAGCCACCCTGGCCGCCCCGAGTTTCGCATTCCCCTTATGTTTCCCACGGCTATCATTGCACCTGGAGGCCTTCTCTTGTATGGCATCTCGGCACACTTCAAGACACACTGGATTGTCCCCAATATTGGAGCGGCGATATTCGCTGGAGGATTGATTCTTTCGTTTCAATGTGCCCAGACGTATGTCGTCGACTCGTACGAACGTTACGCCGCCAGTGCTACAGGCGCTGCTGCCTTCATCCGCACCATGGCAGGTTTCAGCTTTCCCCTCTTTGCACCAGGTCTCTACAAGGCCGTGGGAGTGGCTGTCGGAAACGGCATATTGGCCGGCATTGCTGCTGTCATTTGCTTAGCTGCACCGGCAGTTATGTGGAAATACGGTGAAAGGATTCGAGCTCGAAGCCAATACTGTGCTGGCTGAGTGGCATCATATTGGTCAAGTATAAGAGAATGAATTATTGCGACATGATTCAACGATGAATCTGATGAACGACTGGGTACAATAGCAACCCTTATGGAGGTTTTCTCCCCTCGATGTACTTACATGCCTGTCTTTTTGAGTTTCCTTCCCTTTTCTTTGTGATTATGATGGAAGTGTCATCAAGCCCTCGAGATGCGAGCGCTCAATCTTTGGTACATTTATTCCAATCAATGGAATAATTGATCCATCCACCTCATGATTTTACGAAATGCTTAGACTTTCTGATGTAGTTTTATTGTCCGAATCACTTTTCATTTCTATCTTCGATAAATAGACTATCTTCTTAACCTCTTTGATGTAATGGACGATTGACTGTGATTATATACCTGTCTTCAGAACCCCATGGGATATAAGATATTGATCTAGCCTGTAGCAAACTATCTTTTCAGCGTAATTCAGATTTGGCAGGGCTTGCTATTAGAATATTCAAGGCTGAGGTTATTTACTTTACGTAGGAATTATAGAGGAGGCCACCAAGTATCATTTCAGCAGCTCAAACCTATTATGCCCATGCCAGTTTCTAGTTGAAACGTGTTGTGAGCAACACCATGAGCTCAGTCCAAAGTCCGCCCCTCGATTGAACAGTCTTAATCGTCCAAAACATCATGCAACGCGTTCCATTCCCATTTCGTGACGATAGGCGGGTTGCATATGACCTCTACTCCGCGAGGCCGAAACTCTTCCTGAAGTCGCTTGATTCTGTCCCACGGGTACACTGGATCAATACGGGTTGCTGGAATGTTTTGCTGGCAGACGATTTCGAACTGCTGCAGGGAAAGATTTCTGGCGAGTGCACCCTGAATAAGCCGCCGTACCCATGTTTCATCGTCGGACTTGAACTGGCCGTGCCTCTGCCGATACATGTCGCGACGCGCATCATACGTGAGCCTTTTGAAATTCGGGGCGGCAACCAGATCTACGTCAGTCTCTTGGAATATCGGGTCGACATCTCCGAAATGCCACCTCGAGACTGTGAGCTCTTCGAGGGCTGTGAAATCGGATGTATCCAATGAATCTTCAATGGGGACTCTGGCACCCATGGAGCATATCTTTATGACCTTGAGAGTTTCTTTATGCTTGCGCAACATTTGTAGTATCTCGGGTAGAGCCAGCTGTCCGCTATGACTCCCTGAGCGTTTAAACTCATCGAAGACAAAAGTCGTCAACATTGAGGGCCAGTCGATGAGAAAGTTCAGGTGGTGTGCTTTTACTCTAATATCAACGAGAAACAGTTGGTCGAAAGTCGCCTTCTAATGGCTTTGAGGTCAGTCCCGTCCATCACGAGTTGTTACGGTTGGCTTGAAAGGGACTCGTATCTACCTTTGTTTCTGGTCTTTGCCAGGTTCCATGTTCGGCAGAAGCGCCCGAAAGGCGGAGTGTTTGCAAAGCCCTGAAATCGACTTGGTGGACAAGCGGGAATATCTCAAGGTCGTTTATATGACCGGTAAGCTCCAAGTGGGCTAGTTTGGGCATATGTTGGGCGGCTTGCTGAAGAACAAGCCATGATGGATCGCCAAGAGTGGCTGACAGAGGCCCGTTGAAATCCAGCGTATCGACTTCAGTTAGGAGCGGGACTAAATTATTTGCAAAGTAGGCGAGGGCTTCAGACAAGTCGTCGCTTGGAAATCCCGTGTAGATGGACAGGTTTTGACAGTATCCTGGAATCACCGAGTTCGCCCGCATAATACTGTGAAGGTGAGCTATGGAGGCAAGTGTGGGCGGCCTTCTCCAGCTATCAATCCGGGGGCCGAGGCGGATAGTTTGATAATTGAATTTTAAACAACTCCTGTAGAATCGCTTGCACACGGAGGATAGCCTTCGGCAGATTTTCAGATCATAGCTTGCAAAGTCAGACCTTGCGGCAAGATCCCAGTTGGGAAGCTGAACAGCATGCCGGAAGATTTCAGTGAGCAATTCGTTTGGGAGGCCCAGTATTGGGGACTGTTGAAGAGTGCTCATGGTGGTAGTTGCAAGTAAGACGTAACCAAAACCAAGCTGCTGAGCGAAATACGAGATTGATTGCGGGGGATGGCTGGTTATTTAAATACTTATTCTTACTCTCGGATCGACGGCAACAGACATGGAATGCCCCACCGGGGGAGAGCAAGTTTTGGCCGTATCGTCTCACTCTTCTCCAACAGGGGTATGGTGGAACAGCGTCGTGGTCGGAGAGACAACAAATATGTGCTTGAAGCCGGAGACATCGTAGATGATAAAAAGATAGAATCAATAGTGTGATGGAAGCTGGATATTAACATGCGATATCAAGCTGGCAATTTCTTTTTAATATCCTGCTCAACAGCGCCTAATGCTAATACATAACATGCATAGCGGCAACACCGTGAGGTCGTCACTTTCTAGACACGAGCAAGGACCGTGTTGAAATTGTCATCCTCTTGGTCATCAACGTGAGCAGGATCTCTTGAGTTATACCCCCATGCTGCCCAATTAGCACTCCCCCTCGGGTAATCAAAGTAGCACCATCCTCCCAATCTTGCCTCACATTGGACCCCGCGCTCCCTCAAAGCCAACATCAATCTTCCACCTGGTACCTTCGTATCCGGCCGCGTCTCCGGCCTCACGCCGACGGCAAAGCCGTATAAATAAACCCATTTCAGAGCAGGAAATAGGTTCTTATCCGTGATAAGGTCCTGTACCAAAGCAACCAGCGCGTGATTGACATGGCCTGCCCGGTTCAACTTGACATAGTCTTCTTGACCCAAGGCATCGCCTTCTGTATACTCTGCGCCAGTTCGCTGATCAAGCACCAGGATCTCCAGGTTCTCACGAGAACCTAGCAATAAGCGTCTCCAAGCAGCAAAACTCGCTTCTTCGGCACGGGTCGACCAAGAGTATTGCATCATGAATTCATCGTATACTTCGTCCTCCTCGAAATCACCATCCTCGGGGCTGGAAACTTCATGATAGCGGGGATCCCTCGCAGGTGAACAAAGAAAGAGGTGTTTCAATTTCGGTAGATCAAGCTCTATATCGTTAGGCAAGAACCCACCCATTGGTCGAGGAATCAGCACCCCATCGTGCAAGCTGCCGTAGTCAGGTGTACCATTCCACATTGTCCCGACCGCCTCCTCTGGAAGGGGGTCGTATCTGCCCCATCCGTCCTCACCAGGGCAGATCGGCCTGTCAAGCAACCCGATCTCCAGGCGTTCGAGAGTGGAGCTAGATCTCATTATCCACTTGACGATGTTTCGTGGGATATGCCCGAATAGCCTTGCGAACCGAAGTCTCGCGAGACTTGGCCAGGTAATCTCATGCTCGGGGATCTCTTCAAAATCCGCCTTTGGATCCGTTCCGTGCAGTTCAAGTGTCTCAAGATTTTGGAAGAAGGACAGAATAATGCCGCATAGTGGCCCTTCGGGATACACAACGGTGCAGAGGTGTGTAACGCGGCTGCAGGCCACTTGAAGCCGAGCAGGGTCATTATTGTAGCGTTCCTGTAACATCCTGCAGAATTTCTCTCCCGTCAGCTGACACTGATGGTAATGATCCGTGCCCGCCATGATCGGTCTGGGGTGTCGCTTGGCCGCTGGAATGAAATGCGGTGGCACATCGAGATCCCACATGTGGTGATAATCGCTCTGGTGAAATTCAAGAAAGGACCAAAGCTCAGGCTCAGCAGCATTCATCAGGTGACGACACGTCAAACTGAGTCGGCAGAGGTCACCGTCGCAGAGATGTCTCATTACGCGTGCTAGTAATATCCTGGGAAGCGTTGTAAGAGACATTGCAAGCTGATAATTATTAGTATAGAAACAAGATGATGTGGTGAGGCTGTTTAGTCGTGAAGATATCTCGAAGCCTTGAAGCAGCCTCGTTTCTATAGGTTGAGAATTTTTAAGAGCTGCGATACAATATTTAGCCACCACTCTATGATGAGCCTTTTAACCGTGGATTTATTAACGAGTGCCAAGATGAATCCTCCAGCTTGAAATGTGGATCATCCCTAGGCATCATTGCGCATGGCCATTTTATCAAATAGATTGGATACAGTGCAAGTAATTATTTGTATGGACAAATGAGATGTATTTATTACAATGTATTGTAAAATTAATAAGGCTAATGAAGTGAATGAAGAAGTAGACAAAGGAAATAATAAGAGCCAGGTATCTAATAAGTTCTAAGATGATTCTTGAATCGACCAGCCAGTGGTCCGTAAGTCGTAACGTTCGTCGTATCGTGAATGCATATAGAGAACAAAGGAAAATAATTAAGAATCGCCTCCAGTGCGATGTGTGCCGGGCCAGCCTTATTAATGTATCGTCATCCGGCGGTTTCCTTCCTCCAAACTCGCAGGGTCGCTGCTCCCGCTGGCGTTGCTCGCTCTACGAGCCCCGAACTGCTCCTTCAGCCCCTGGCCGAAGTTGAGAGTGCATATCAACGCGTTGAAAAACGTCGAGATGATGAGGCTGATGGCAACAATGGCAAACGTGGCCAAGGGCATCTTGACGGCACGGTAGTAAAACTGCCAGTCATTTGAGAAAAGCCTTGCCAGTTTGAAGATGAAGTAGATCAATGCCCCGAGATAGAGAAACATGGTCGCTACCATGCCCCATTTCTTTTCATAGTGCGTGGAATACCCAGCAGCGAAGAGAATGGCAATCGTGATGGGGATCGCGGCAATGGTGAGACCAAACTCAGGATCCCACTTCTTCGTGACGACGCCAACGAGCTGAATCAGGAATCCAACCACGAAGAAGAAGTCGAACTTCAACAACGTGATGTAGACCTGGTAGTAGACGTACCGCTGCTTCATCGGGTAGTCGGCGCCGACCAGCTTGAGGATCGTCCAGGCAAACTCTTGATAGACCTTCCAAGTGCAGAATGCCATCAAGATCGTGGCCAATGCCATAATGCAGGGGATAGCAATGAGGAACGCCTGGGTATCGCTCAACAACGAGGCCGCGGTCTGCCCCTGTCTCAGTGCGCCCGAGCTCTCCATGACCTGCAATGACTCCTTGATCTGTTCTGCTTGGATGCTGGTATAAACCGCCAGGACCAGGTTTGAGATGCACACGCCGATGACCTGGATGGTATTCTGGGCTATCAGGGCATCCCATACCACGACATTTTCGTAGCAGAAGATGAACACGAAGAGTGGCAAGAAAATGGGTATCACTTCGATCTGTTTCTCGAAATTGGACTGGAACTGAGGGTTCAGACTCCATTGGAACCGCACGTAGATGTAACTGCATTAGAATGGATTGTTAGCAGTGTTCATTTGCCATAACACTTGTAGGCAGTGTCCTTACATTTCAAAAGCCAGACAAATTGTCGCTTGTACCAGCGCGACAGCAGCGAAAATAATGGACCATCTCCGTCGTATTAATCCATCCCATTCCGGATGGGATGTTGCTGGAAGCTGCAGAGATGGCTTCTCGATTGAGTTCTCGCTCCGGCCACCAATGCTGCTAGGAGAAAAGGTGGGATACATTTTGCAGCTTGAAACAATCGTGAAGCACGTTTCGCTTGGGGTGGCCCCCGTGTAGTATATGAGGATTCGGCCGTAGCTAGTCGTCCCGTGTCAACAAATGCGGTGGAGGTCGGGTGGCGATGTCGAGGGTCAAGGGTCGGGATGCTTGTATAGCGGCCGGACGGGAAGGTTCTCAAGGGCCAGCCGAGAGAGAAGATGAAACAATTAACATTACATTGGCCTGCCGGCAGACTTGACGCAAAGTCGACGGGATGAAGTGAGAGTGAAGTGCGTGAATATAACGCTTTTCGCAGTAGGCCAGGGGCCAGGTCAGACGCTGGCCATGATGACCAACAGACAGTTTTGTTGGTTGGTTTAGCGGCTCAAAGCGCGGTTTTGCTCACCGCGCGTCAAATCAGAGGCACAATTTGCAAAGTCCTTCCAAGATAGCGCGCTTAGTATTGGTTCAGGGCCCAAAGTCTCTGGCAGGGACGGAGTGGCAACGGGCCGCCCAAGGCCAGAGCAGGGATCCGGTTTGCCAGCAACGAACTGACAGGCTCATTTTATGAGCCCTGCTGACGTGGGACCAGCAGAATAAGCCACAGACGTGACAATCGCGTCAACAAAAGCTTTGCGAATTTGCGAGCGTTCTGTCTTCAGGACCCAAGAGAGCAGCTGAAAATAACGACCAGAAGCCGCCGAGGTCTTAATTCACCACAGTCATCAAGTTTATCTCTCTTCTCCCTCGTCTCTTTTGCCATCCTTTGCATCAAGACAGACCCACAGACTGGCAGCGCGTCGAACGCGTGGGCTATGTCCGTTCCCCTTCGGTGCTCCGGTGGACCAAAAACACTAAAATAAGCACACTCAACACGAACAGGGAAACATAACCCACGAACTGCCATGGAAGATCCACAATCTCAATCTACAACCACGTGGATTCCTTAACTCTCCAGCCCACAAGGGCTGTTTCCCAGCCCAAGCGGTTCTCGCTGGTTAATCAAAGCTGTCATGGCACCGGGCTGCGGCAGGCCTAACCGGCACAGTCAGCATAGGGCTTTGTCAGATTAGGGCGGCCGGACAATTTAGCGTTCAGGTGGCTCAACAACTTTTCGACAGTGCGTTGTTAGCAAGCTTAATGCTGGGCAGCCAGCTCAATGCTAAGGCAAGTGGTTGAACTCATCATCATGCTAACGCCTACGTTTATGTTAGTCCATTATACCATGCGTAAAAAAGAGACCAAAGATGTAAAATGCATTGCCGGTGGCCTCGTTCCCATGGAACAGATTGCCAGCGTCCCTGATTAGGGACGGAGTTGAGCAGGCATTAAATGCGGCCACAACAACTCCAATTTTGGACCCTCTGGGAGATAGGCCCAAACATTCTCTCGTTCTAGTAAAAAGATTGTGGTTTAAAAATCAAAATCAATGACATAAGTAGCTGTGACCGCCCAGGCTGAGCCATTCTTCCTGGCTCACGGTCTCAACACGCCTGCCGTCGAGGACAGTTGGAATACCTTACCAACATCGCCAAGGCAAACATGAAAACATACTCATTAGACTTCAAGAACCCTGTAAATTGTCGCATAGATTTTTCTTATTGAGGAACTCAGTGACGCTCGAAAGAGACAACCGGGTCCGCATTCCAAGTGCTCATGGTTAACGCCCGAAGGGGAACCAATTTCCATCTTCACCTTGGTGCGGAATAGTGAGTACGGCAATGCGGATACGCATTACCTTGACAGCTTCGATATGATCAGCGGGCAGTTAGTTTGGGACCGATCGTTTGTTCCAAATTGCTCGTCGATCGTGCCAAAGTGGGCGTCTGTAGGGTAGTGAATCAGAAACTGAACTCATGAAGCAAATGAAAAGGCATAACCCTAATCACAACATACCTAATTAATGGCACATGACTCAGGTCGAACAAATTTCATCACTCTTAGAAAGTCTCAGAAACTTTGCCCAGGATACTTGGCAAGAACGAACTTATAGAAGCACTAGTAAGGTGGACAAGTTTGAGGTTAAAAACTAGAGATGTTTGTTCATGCATGTAACTCTTTGAGTAATGGATATGATTTGGCGATTAAAAGGAATTCAACTACTGTCTAAACGCAGATGTAATGTTAAGTGTAATTCTTAGCTTCCTCATTAGGGGTTTTGGGAGGCCCCATAGTTCACATCAAGGTCTGTGGTGTACACACTCTTGCACAGCATATGATATTACAACGGAGCTACAGTCCTGAACTTAGCTTGGCATGATAAAATTTCTAAGGCGACATCTTATCTATATTTCTTTAGCTACAAGTGAATATACGTTCTTTTTCCTCTGAATGGAATATGCCGACGTAACACAATCACCACTCACACTCACCAAAATCCAAGACATCTGTGAATCATTAGTTTGTTCCGGCATATCTTCCTTTAGTCGTCACATCCAATGAATATATTTCAAGTTACAGTGACTCTGAAGAAAAACAACATCATACCTATACACGTAGACTTAATCACTTAATCATTATTATATAAAGGACAAAGCTCCACGCTAAATCTTAGCAGACCGAACTTTAGTATAAATAGGAGTCTTGGTTAATATTTCCAGCTACTTAAACCAGTCTGCTCTCATCTATCTACTCGCAATCGTAATTCTCACCAATAATAGAACCAAAGCTCAAGCCTGTGCCAGCAGAGGTATCATTTCGACAACCTTTGCTACCAAATCCTTTCCCAAAATGACTCCAGACAAGTACAGAATGCGGAATTGACGCGAAATCTCGAAGAAATGACCCAAAATCGAAACAAGTACAATGAAGGCGTCAAAGAAATGAAAAAGCTTAGGGATGAGAGGGATGGCTTAGATGAGAGGGCTAATAAGGGTGAGATCGATGCGAGAATGAAGCAGCTCCCGGAGCTAAACAGGGAGTTAATCAAGGAATCTGGGAGACTCTATGAGGAGTTAAAAAGCCTACGGGAACGGAAACATGAATGATGCAAGAACCCATTGAGAACAACTGTGCACTTTATTCTGTTGGAGTAGAGGGAGCGAGATACAATCATAGCAAGTCGTACCACATCTTAAGCTACTACTATGGATGTTTTCTATGACTTATTACGGCATGTAGATTACATGCTGACGATCAATGGAGGAATTCACGTTTTCTCTCCAAAGGCCTAACTTGATGCTCTATTGAAGGATAAATCTACGTGAATAATTTGATTTGCCTATGATTAGAAGACTTTCAGAAAGAATCAGGCGTTTGCACATTGGGCTGATTTCTATATTACAAATAAATTTCTACATGTTGCTTGGGCTGCATTATTAGTCGGCGGTTCATGTCTGGGGTTGCCCAAAGTGTAAGTTGTGGGCATCGCTTGGCAATCGTTCAAGATTTCAAAAGGCAGAGAGCGCCGAAGGCATTATCTAGTATTTTACTAAATTTTGATACTTCCGCAAGCTTCGTCTGACTCTGACCAAGGCAGATTACTGCGTAGATAAGCAGCCGATTCACACTACCCAACAGGTCCCCTATGCTTGCGAGACCATTACAACCAAATGACTCTTAGGATACCTAATAAACCTCGAAGAAAGTTTCTTCCTCTGTCTAACTTTATATGGATTCCCTTTACTGGGTCGAGTAGCCTGGCGGTCAATGTTTATATTGTGGCTTCCATCGACATGTAAGGACACACCGCGATCCTTTCCTCGCATTCATATTTTAAGGCAAAGTTTAGATAAGTGTCACATATTATCGGTGGCTTAACTTACCAAGAACAAAAGCAATACCTCGGAACTTTAGGCTCGGGCAGAGCCTGCTCTCTGTGTCGGCTGTTCTTGATACCCCTCCGTCTCCTCATCGGCGAGTTCAGTTGATACTGTAGCCTCTCCCTCCTCCGGCTCCTCGTGAGCGTGAAGCTTCATATTGACAAACATAGCCCACAGTCCAAGGTCATACAGGAGTCTCAGGGAGCCGCCCACAACATAAGCGACCCAGAAATGATTCGATTCAGCCAGCCCACCTGTGACTGATGGGCCAATCGTCGACGCCAGTGTTCTCACAGTGCTGGTGATACCCATGATAGCAGTACGCTCATGGGGCTTTACCGCCGCAGCAATGAATGCCGCGCGGGGAGCTTGATCCATGCTGTTGAGACCAGTGCGAATGAAGAGCAGAATGATCGTAAGCACCAAGCCACTAGGAAGAGGAAAGAAGAGAACGGCGGCGGAGGACGGAATATGGGTGAAGACCATTGTATTAAGGAGGCCAATGTGACGTGCACAAGGCCCAGCGAAAACCGTCGAGACGGTGCCGAGAATGTACGCGGCTGACATGATGCTCCCAAGGGTGGACTTCGATAAGTGAAACTTCCCATCCAAATAATAGTTTGTCAGGGAGTATGAAACCATACCATCAGCCACACTGTCGACAGCGAGAAGGAACCAGAGTTTGTACATGATCGAGAGAGTGGTGGATGATATTTGGGAGATCTGGACGCTCGCTTGAGAAGCTAGGGCGCTGGACTTGTTAGACGGTTGCTGATCCGCTGGAGTCGCGGTATTGTAGTCCTCGTCGTCCTCTGACCCATCAAGCAGCCCTTGCTCAGACTCATGAGGTGCTTGTTCTTCGGAAACGTGAGAGATCTCAGATTTATCACTCATCGAGAACGCAAACAGCATGTTCAAGACTCCCATGAGGATATAGATCCAGAATGTCGAATGGTAGGTCTTCAACAAACCCCATCCATGGGCCTTCTGAACATTTTCAATATAATGTCCCACCACTCCCAAGCCTGCAGCCGATCCAAGGCCGGAGCTTGTGACATACCAAGAGAGCACGTCTGCACGTGTGCTAGGGGTGGTAAGATGAGACAAAATCGACTCCTCTATGGCCCGGAAAGGTCCGAAATCACCACCGGTGATGCTCACAACGCCAAGTACGGCAGCGAAGAGCAACAGCCAAAAGTTCTCAAAGTAGGAGAATATAGCGCCAGACAAGGCCATGAAGAACCCGCCTGCGAAGAGGACACGACGTCGGCCCAGGCCATCGGCCAAGAGGGTGACAAGCAGCCCCAGAACAACATCACCAATGAGGGTCAAGGTCATGAAGACGCCAATCTGGAAATCGGAGAATTTCAGCTCGGAAAAGAACAAGGCAATAATGAGAGAGACAGCTCCAAAGGCAAACATGCGACAGGTCCGAGCAATGATGACCAACCAGGCGTCCTTGCCGGCGCCCCAAAGAGAGGCGATTCCGGACTCATGGTAGAGCCATTTAATGGTCTTGATGCTTGGGGAAAAACGACCTCCTTGCAAAGCCATGGTGAAATGTATTCCAACTGCAATATAGCTTCTGGAAGCCGTGAGTTGAGGAAGAGAGAATAAAAATTTTAACTCCTAGAAGATCGGCCTCAATGAAGAGTCACGGTCGGATTATCCGTCGATCAGGCGATATCGCCGAGCGAATCCGCCATCGGCAACAAATCGGACTCACCCCGCACAAGTTCAGATGACGAGCTCATCGGAAAAATAACACGATGGAACCGGAATGGATGATCACGTAAGTTGGGAATGGAGACAAACTAGTTATTCCCGGCGGTGTGAATACTACCTTCTTGCTATACTGCGCTATACCTCGATCATACTAGGAAAAGATCACTCGCCACAACCTCACATGACTTGGGAACTTTGATTTTCAACTAAGTAGCAGCGCAGGCAACCTCTGGCTTGAGCAGCCTGAGCTCGACATCAAAACCGTCCCCAGACGACTTGCCAGACTTGACTAAACCGGGGGCAAGAACCAGTTCAATGGTGCTCTTCTCATCGGCCTTCTTCTTGCCCGGCTCCAGCTCCATGGTCTCGGGATCAAAGACGAGCGACGAGCCTTTGTCGATAAACTTCCAGGTAATGAATGCTACCTGCTTGCTGATCTCCTTGTCGATCTCCAAGCTTTGGTTGATGAGGCGCACGAGCTGCTTCTCGATTGCGTCGGGTTTGGACGAAGACAGAGGAGAAATAAACGTGACCATTTCCTTGGCGTGGTCAGCACAAACCTTCTGCACGTTACTGGCTGCCTCTTTGGGATGTTGGTTGGTGGCCTCAAGCAGCAGAGAGCTGGTGTTGGCCCTCCACATGTGAAACTTGCGGCTGGCATCGGGTGCGTCTTTTGAGTTGGCCTCAATGCCCAACGACTTCTCTGGTGATATCATCAGTACCAATGTGATTTAGATCTATTAAAGGGACTATTTGGGAAGGACTTACTAATAAAATCCGACATGTAAAAGACACAGTCTGAAGCTTTCACTGGGGCCCAACGATACTGCCAGAAGACCTCGCTCTTTAGGAATCCCCAGAAGAACGCCCTGAGCGCTGCAGACCTGATTTCCGGTGTCTTCAAGTATGTCTCGTAAGTACCATCTGGGAGGTTCAAGTACTTGTTGAGATACTCCAATAGCTCCTCATTGATGTTGACGTCCTTGATTTGATCCTCAAAATACTGGATGGTAAAATTGCGGATTTCAAAGCGCAATTGACTGACTTTCTGGATGAGCTCCTGGTCCGTCAATTGATTGAATCCCTGGTTCTGCCGAAGATACCTGTCCAGCTCGCCAGCCGCTTCTCGCCACCGCTTGCGCAGGTCTGCAGACTCGTTACTCTTCTTTTCGAGATCGGCCTCAGCCTGGCCGCGATACGCCCTCTCTTCTTCGAGAGCCTCTTCTAATTCTTTGACTTTGGCGTCGACTGTTGTTGTAGCAGGGATCTCTGGAGCCGCCCCTGGAGTAGCTTCTGGGGCAGTTGTAGGAGCTTCCGCTGTGGGTGAAGCCACATTCTCTGTGACCACCTCTGCCTCAGGGGCTTTATCAGAGGCTCCGTGCTCTGTTGTAACTACAATTGGGTCGTTGGACATGTTTGGTTTTGTGAGTTCAGGTTGCAATAAGCGAACTCAAAGGATTCTTGTTCAGTGGTGCCGTGAAACTACCCAAAGATAATTAAGTGAGTAGCTTCGCTTAGTTTCGATGACTGATGAAAATTACTGTTGTGGGTTGCCCAAGAAATGATGTCAGAAGAAGACTGAACAAAAGTTCATCAAGAGCGTGGCTTCGGAAGCGCCGAGAGCTGCAGGACAATGGACATAAAAATACGCCTGAGTTCCATCTTGCGGCACTCTGACGACAATAATGATGGTTGGACTGCCACGTCCTTGCTCCCAATGGCATGACATCCACCCCCGTGGCGTTCTTTTCTTGGTCACTGCCAACGTGGCTGAGAATGTGCGAAACATTCTTGCTTGCATTGTCACTTATGACGACACGATATGCACAATTAGGATCACTTGCATGAATGGAGCCCCTGAGTAGGGCGTCAAGTGGAGAGTATCGCCGTTGGGGGTTGCTGCAATTCATATATCACCGATTGGATGCCGACGTCCAACGTGTAAATGACCAAACCCGGGATTCCATCACGGGACCATTTCTATCCAATCCTAGCGGGAAGATCCAACCGAAAACCGGGTGAGAGACTCCCAAGGGTTGTCATGCTTGGGCTGCGCGTTTATACGGTCCTTGTTTTGGGGCTTATGTGGTGCATACGCATTAACGCATTAACCTGGCGACGCTTTGGGGATATCTCCCCCACAGACAGGTTCATCCATGACCAGTGATTTGTCGTAGGGTCCCTATGGATGACCAGGAGAAGTTGCAGTAGCGTGAATCACCCTGTTGGCGTTGAAGATGCATCTCGCTTCTATTCTTGGACAGCCTGGGCTGACCATGACATACCAATTGCTTCAATGCCGCGTGGCTGTGATGAAATATTTCACCTCGTGATCATGAAAGGCAGATTTTAGCACTTCTTGGACTCACTACAGCATCAATACAAAACACGAATCTTCGTCTCCTGTTTACAGCACTTTCGTTAATCATATAACATTGTTAGCGTTGCTTGTTATTGCTAAATTCTCTTACTGGTTTCCCTGTTACTTTGAACGGCTTGGATCTCGACAAAATGGGTTCGTTGAACGCAGATGAGTACAAGGATGATGCGGGTTACTTGAGGAAGAGCTCCGAAACCCCTGAGCATCAGCGCTGGTCGATGAAGAATTTGATCAGCAAGATCAAGAAGAAGAATGACACAGATCTTGAAGACTTCATGGTCATCGGTATTGACTTTGGAACGACGTAAGTATCGATTCGAGTGTATTTCTAAGCTAAGTCCCAACTAAAGTTTATGAAACTAGATACTCTGGAGCAGCATGGGCTACAGTGGCAGATTTCGAGTCTGAAGAGATCAATCTCATAACCAACTGGCCAGGAATTGGAGGCGAAGAGGGAAAGGCTCCCACCGAGCTGTTCTACGAACATGGCGACGTGATGTGGGGATATGGAATTCCCGCTGACGCCGACCCTGTTCGCTGGTTCAAGTTGCTCCTCTTGCAGGAGGAAGACCTGGCGCCCGAGCTTCGCCAGTCCGACTTTGTGCTGCGTGCGCGCAAGATGCTGAGAGAGAACAACAAGACTGCTACAGACCTCATTGCCGATTATCTCAAGGCTTTGTGGGCTCACATCCTCAACTCCATCAAGAAGGCCAGAAGCAAGACTGTCATTGAGGCTCTCAGATTTCATGTTGTCATTACGGTCCCTGCCATCTGGAAGGATTATGCCCGCACAGCTATGGAGGAGGCAGCAAAGAAGGCCGGTATTCTTGACGATCGTCCTGCCGGTAGCACTACCCTGGCCTTTGCCCCCGAGCCTGAGGCTGCCGCCTTGGCTACGCTTTGCGAAAAGGGCCGTGTAGCTAAGAAGGACGATGTGTTCGTGATTTGCGATGCTGGCGGTGGTACAGTGGTAAGTGGAAAAGATATTAAAGGCGTGTTTCTTTTGTATTCAAGGGCAATTCTAATGATGACCATAAAAGGACTTGATTAGCTACCGAGTGGGAGGGTTGGAGCCCATTGAACTCCATGAGGCGGTGCTGGGTTCAGGTAAGCACCTGAAGTGAGAGCTGTTCACGCGCATGACTGATAAATTTTCCCAGGCGGCTTGTGCGGTGGTATCTTCATTGATGAGGCCTTCGAGAGTATCTGCAAGGCGCGATTGGGGCGACAGTGGAGCAATCTCAGCCAGACTGGTGTCAAAGAACTCATGAAAGACCAGTGGGAGTACGGCATCAAGCCTCAGTTTACTCCCGAGGACAAGAATAAGGAGTACATTGTTGCTATCCCGGCCGAGGCGTTCAAGAACGGCGCTGACCAGAATGATTTGGAGCGAAAGCCGGTCATTAAGAATGGTCGAATTCACTTTACTAGGTAAGGACGTCCCTGTAAGTATAATATGGTGAAACATGTACTAACCCATAGCATAGCGAGGACATCGAGAAGGCATTCGCCGCTGTTTTCGCCGACATTGTCAAGTTGATCGATGGTCAAATCAGCAAGGCCAAACAGGACAACATGTCGGTCAAGGTAAGTGATTATACTGAAGTCGTGAACCCAAAGGTCAAAGTTCTCACAACAATCGAAGGGAATCATCCTTGTTGGAGGCCTTGGCTCAAGCCCATACTTATATGAGTACCTCTCTGAGAAGTATGGAGGCAACGAGATAGACGTTCTACAGTCCGCTGGTATCCGACCGTAAGTGGATGATTTATAATACCACTCTTCTTTAAGATTCATAATTCTGACGACAATGACCTTTCTAGACGCACCGCCATCTGTCGCGGAGCCATCTTTAAGGGATTCCTAGATGCACCGAGCGGCAAGCTTAGTAGCGCCATGACTGCAGCCGGAAAACCTCTGCAAATGCCTGTTCGTGTCGTGTCTACTATAGCTAGACAAAGCCTGGGCGTTGAGTTCACGCCTCTCTTCGAGGAAGGTGTTCACCCTGCCGAAGACAAATACTGGGATAAGGACGAAGGCGTGTGGAGAGCCGGTAAGCAGATGCTGTGGTATCTGAAGAAGGTAAGCCAAAATCCGGCGAATATGTGAAGGCATAAACCAACCTAACCATCTACCTGCAGGGCGAGAATGTGTCGAAGAAGGAACCTGTTAAGAACACGTTCTATCGAACCTTTGCAAAGGCTGAGGACTTCAAGGATACCGTTACCGAGACTGTCCAACAGTGTGAAGATGATGTGCCGCCAACTCGGCTTGGGCCTAGCATCAAAGAGCTATGCAAGATCCACTGCCGACTTGACGATATTCCCTTTGAATCTCTTGACGACTACAAGGGTGAAAACAACCAGGATTTGAAGAGATACATGTATGACATCGAAATGGTGCCATCCGGAGCTTCAAACATATTCGCGGTCTATCACCAGGGCACAAAGATGGGGTCTCATGATGCAAGCGTCGAATATACCAAGCATTAAGCTCGATGAGACAGAGGAAGCTTTGTTTTTGTATAGTAGCGTAGTAGAGGACAAATAGTGGGAAATTGAGTGTTGACAACCTAGCGATCAGGTAGAATAAAGCTTTTGAAAAGTAGGCACAAGCTTTGCATCTAATCACCAAAACAGAGAACAACTGGCCGCATCGCCACCCATAACGAATGGATTGCCATCAATTGCTGTGAAGGATCATTAAAAGTGTGGAGTACCTATATAGTGAAGCATATTAGGAACAACGTCTTCGCCGAGGTCACACCTAGAGGCCTCAACCATCAGTGATTATCGACAAAAAGGAGGATAAAAATGCAGGGCCACGACCAAAGAGCCAAATTTAAGTGGCAAATGAATGAAGAGAAGTATCAGAAGCAAGACTGCCAGCTACCAGCCTCGATCGAATCCTACCAAGTCTGTCTCAATGCGAGGACCGTTACATCATCCGTTTGGGCGCTTTACCCGAAAGGGATGCATATACGGCCTCAACACTAACCCTAAAGAGACGCATATACGGTGCTGACAACATCAAGCGAGGGTTGGGGGCACCAGGACCCAATCCTAAAGTCCAAGGAGTGCAAGTTCTTCTAGATATAAATTGAAGACCATTAGAACCCTTTGGGTGACTTAGACATCAATTTCATGAGGCTTAGTCTTAACTCTACTCATCCATTTATATTATTGCCAAAGATGTCCTCCCAAGAAAAGCCAGTCATCATGATTGTTCACGGAGCATGGCACCAGCCGCTTCATTATACAAATCTCCTCAATTCACTCCAAACAAAGGGGTACACTGTTCGAGTTCCAGCTCTCGCTACGGCAGGTTGGGATCAGAGCGTGTCTGGAAAAAGTGTCTCTGATGATGTGGCCATCTTAAAGAGCACCATGAAAGAGTATCTACAAGCTGGGAAGGAGCTTGTGGTAGTGTGTCACAGTTTCGGTGGCATCTCCGGAACGGCCAGCGTGGTCGGAGAAACTATTCCAGAGAGGCAGGCCCGAGGAGATGCTGGAGGAGTGAAGGCGGTCGTCTTCATCGCATCTTTCGCTCCTCCTTCCGCCGGTTTGAGTCTTGTCGATATCATTGGTATCAAAGACGAGTCGCAGCAGCCAGACTGGTGGACGCCTGTTGTGAGTAACGAAATTCTATTATATTGCTGAAAGAAATTTACTGACTGTTCATGTAGAACGGGCTGGGCTTATTGGAACCAAGGGCATCGGATCTCTTGTACTCCGGGCTCGATGATGAGATTGCCAGGGTGAATTTCCATGCTACAGCGCCCCAGAGTCTTCAGAGCTTCCAGGATAAGAGCAATAATGCCTCGTCCGATATTATTGTCCCAAAAACGTATGTCGTCACGCAGAAAGACGCCATTATCCCCTCGGAAGGCCAAAAGGCAATGGCAACCGCGGCCGGTGCAAATGTCATAGAACTGGAATATGGGCACAGCCCGTTTTTGAGCGCTGAAGGGGCATCGAACATTTTGAAGATCATTGAGCAAGCATCAGTTTCTGAATAAAGTATGATAAGAGATGGAGGAAGAAATGCGGGATTCAATCAACATATGCCAAATGTATTCTCAGTCATTAGTCGCGAATCATGAGCTCATGAATACTCATTCTAGGATATTGGCTCCCCCAAGTCAAATAATACAGCATCCCAAACCTGCCGTGCAATCTCTTCTTGCAAGTCTCCCCTGGGCTGAGGCCATATGATGTTGGATAAAGAGCATCGTGCATCCGCCCACTCTAGGACTTGATATGTGCGAGCCCATCCCCTTAATTTGTTGTGAAGCCACGAGCGTATTTTTTCAACTTGCTGATTAGAGCCCTCTTGAGGATGAGTTGCTAGAGCAAAAGAGGCGGTATAAAGCATCCAGAATGGAAGCTCGCTTGCCTTCTTGGATTGCGTATTCCAACCATTTTTAAGCTCCGGTGCGTAATGAAGGAGGGTCTCCAGAATCCTCAAAAATAACCGTCGATCAATTGGCTGACCTGAGTTCCAAAGAAGGAGAACATTGTTCAGGTATAGCGCTACAGATGCGGCTAAGGCCCGCCACGAAGCCAGCAAGGCCCCTTCTAAAACCTGGTTTGCAGTCGGCAGGGTTGACGAGACGTGAGCTTCGGTGAATGCGAATAGTAAGCAGCTTAAGTTTTTGCAACCGGTGCAGGTAGCTGGGTCTTGACTATCACAGATAGTTGTCTCGTTAGCATATGACGGGTCATGTACAACATGGGGTGCACCGTCGTTAACTCGTCGCTTTCTCACTGCTTCGGTTAATCCTCTCAACGCGTCAATGACTTTGACGGCCATGATAGGGTGGGTGATGAGCGGCCGGTCCTCCTGGAGGTAGAAAGGGATTTGGCGAAGCGCAACGAGGTTCTCTGACATTCCGGTGAACGAACGCTGCCAAATGCTGGCATAATTGATATCGCCAGCTAGAGTATGTGTGAGGCGGCTTTTTACGGCAGATGCAAAATGATGTGCCCTAGAAGATGATGGTCAGCCTTCCTATACAAGATTGCAGTGTAAGTCAACGTATGTACACAAGTATAAGCCGCTCAAGAGCCTCTTCCTGTTCAGGGAATTCTGGTCTTATGTTACTAGAGCACTTGTTTTCTTGTCGCATCTCAATAAGAGATAAGAGGCCGGAGAGGTGAGCCTCAGCCACGGGATAGTTTCCAACACAGCTCTACACGAGTTAGTCAAAGCTATCTTAGTCTGAAGAGCGGTACAAACCTCAGCAATAGAGAGGATGGCAATCAACTTCAGCTGTTTACTAGTCATCAACCTGATATCCCCGAGCAGCCAGGAATTGACAAGCTGAATTAGCTGTTGTTTGTGGAAGAGGACGGATTTTTCAAATTCCTGAAAAGCTCCGACTTTCCACATGTAGTGCAAACCTGCGAGCATTAACGTGCTTCTAAAGTAGGTGGGCTCGACCATCGTAAGGGCGATACTGCGTGATGGGAATCAGAAAATGGTGGTAAATGGGAGCAGGGATAGGCAAGCTGATGCCGAACGGCACCCACCAATCTTCCTTTGGGTGCCCTTGGGTCTGTCCTGTCTCGAGGAGTAGATTTCGGTTTGGCGTCGCTGGCGAGGCGGCGTTATCAAGGAGAGTCTCGGCCCCGAGGACTAGCAATGAATGATTAGACACGGTCCCAGATCCGAGGATCATACATGCCTCCGTACAGTAGTGGAGGAGTTCTTGTGACCTGAATGGCATTTGTATCGGCAATGCCTCGAACGGATCGAGTTTGTTGATGCCGACCCTCCATACCATCAGACCGGGTGCGTTCATGTGACACCATTTCTCCTCGTGTTGTGAAAGAGCCGGTGTGGGATAGGCGCAGAGGGAGCCGGTAGCCACACATTTTGTGCTATCAATCGCATCAATTAGTCGAGGAGCTTGACGTCACAGAAGCTCTCTGATGAAGCTCACCACGAGGGCCGGAGTTCATCGCATCGAGCATGTCTTTTCTTACAAGCCAGGCATCCTGCTCTACTTCGGCTATGGTGCTGTCGTCGTCTGGGCTCATGATGGTGCTGCATGGCAATTGCGCCTGCGCGGTCACGGGGATGTAGTGAGGTTGGAGTGAAGAGGTTCAGGTGAATCCCGGAGTAATCTTAATTTTATATTTAGCTCAGTGGTTTATTGATTGCTTACGGTGAAGACGCGTCTCACGTACCTCCTCACCGCGTCCTTTTGTAAAAAGGATTCTGAGTGCGACTGAAACCTAAGTAGATAGACGTGTATCAGTGAGACTTCTTATATCTAGAATTAATTACTGATGTAAATGTTGCCGAACCTTTGTACCTTCTAGGCGGCGTAGACGATATCTAATGATTGGTCGACCGATACTCCGACACTATTCCAATATTACTCACAAACCTCAATCTTTGCCATAGCGGATCTCTATCTTAGACGAGTATTGATATTTCCATCTATGTTGCCATTGTTTTCAGCACAGTCCTTTCGTATTTCACTATATAATCTAGCATCTTACGCAACATCTGCGTACTAAAGGATTCAATCCAGAATAAGTAAGAGGCTTGCTATAGGGTAGCTAGTATTTCATTGGGTGAAGAAGTAATGCTGTTGGCTTTGCTACTAGGATTGTCCTATGCCACCGTCGTACCCTGTTCGGCCAGCATTAACCTATCTGTATGCCACTATGAAATAATCCAGGTCAGTAAGTTATTTTATTTCTAGTTCCTTGAAACAATAAACGGACTGCATGGATCATACCTTGCCACATGAAATCGGCTCGTAAAGAGCTGGATGATCTTTGTCTACACACGTGGGCACAACCTGCAATGTCGCCTCAGGGTTGAAACCCAGGAAGAAAGGCATAGAGTACCGCGATGTGCTCTTGCGGTTGTACACACGATGGACAGTCGACTTGAATCTGTTGTTTGACAAGCGCTGTAGGAAGTCTCCGATGTTTACGACCAGAGTTCCCTCAAGCGGCCGAGCATCCAGCCACTCCCCATCCGCAGTCAAAACCTGCAGGCCGCCCGAGTTGTCCTGCCAGAGAAGGGTGATGCATTGGATGTCAGTGTGCGAGCCAATACCAACGTCCACATCTGCAGTCATATTCTCTCTAGGGGTAGGAGGGTAGTGAATGTAGACAGCATCCGCGCCAGGATGTGTCGTGACAGCATCAAAATAGCTTTCCGGGAGATCCAAAGCCAGGGCCATGATGCGAATCATTCTACGCACCAGCTCCAAACGTTTCTGCCAGAATTCGACTAGTGCATCCTGGAAACCCTTGAGATGGCTGGTCTTTTCCCAAATCTGGTCCACCGCGTCTGACCTAGACTCGTCTGCCGGCTCGTTGTCGTCTCTTTTAGGGTCAGCCCGTGGATCGTACCGCATGGAGAAAGTCTCTTTTCTGTCTATGTGCCTCGAATTATTTAGATACCTTCTCAATGTACGATTGAATCAACGCCATCCATAAGACGCCTTTGATCCCAAAAAAAAATGGATTTTTCGATTTCTACATACCTCTGCTTTCAGTATTATTGATTTGCGAGCCACCGACTCCAAGGTACCCAAGGGTTTGGCCCGCATGGTGAAGTGAGATACTCTCCTTAGTCTCCTCGGGCTGATCAAAAAAGGTTTGGATTTGGCTTAGTGCACTTTGGATCAGATCTTCAGGGATGCCATGATTGCGAACATAGAAAAATCCAGTCTTTTCTGCAGCAGTCCTGAACTGCGAGGCGAGCTCCTTGCGCGCTGCAAAATCTCCATTGAGAGCACCAAGATCAATCACTGGCATCTCGTCTTCCTCTGGTAACCGAGGAGGCTTGGTGCTTACTCGGCGGTACTCGGGGCCGTTGGGAGTAGCCAATTCAATAGTTGTGTAGGTCATAGCCGCCATGGTTGATCAACCCGGTGTTGCGCTTTGGTAGAAGTGTATGAGGTTATTCACTAGACTGTGCAAAAACACTAGAACAAAAAGGTAGGGAGCAAGTAGTAGTGGTACTTGATCATCCGCGAATAAATACTCGATGACTTTACTGCTACGGAACCGACGGTGACCGTCGGCTGGGAATTAATAGCCATATCAGCGGGTCAGTTGTTATTGGACAAGAGCACCGACCGACGGTAATCGTCGGGGACCACTATATGACATAGCTGAACCCCATCCCCCCAATCGGAACCCCTTTGATTATCTCGATTTGATATCTCTGAGATTCTGGGGTAAGATTACGTTCAAGGACTGAGATAGCCGAGCAGGTTCAGTACTTACGGATAACAAAACCTTGACTGCACTCGGTCTGGGATATTTGGTTATATATAATATACCAGAACCCCTTGCTTCTAGGCAGGTTTCAATCGCTAGGCCCGTTCTGTCAGCGACTTTATTACTTTTGTCTTGGGAACAATTTAGAACCGAGCAAATACCCGCAATATTCGGCATAAGACCTACCATATCAATCCATTCAATATGTTCTCGAAGCTCAGTGAGCGTCTTTTGATCAAGAATCGTGATCAAGAAGGGAATTTACGTGTCGTTGAGTATCTTGACAATGACTCTATTCGCCCAACGCCTGTCAAGGACCGCACTTGGACACAATTCACATACACCTTTTTTTGGTTCGCTGCAACAGCAAATGTTAGCAACTTATACGCCGCGGCAACCGGTCTCTCGGCAGGTCTAAGCATGTGGGAGTCGCTCGCATGCCAACTTGGCGGGCAACTGCTTGCAGGTCTGCTCATGGCACTCAACGGACGTGCAGGAGCCATGTACCGAATACCTTTCCCTGTTCTTTGCCGCTCGAGCTTTGGTACCTGGGGCGCACTTTGGCCTACTTTCAACCGTGCGGCCATGGCTATCGTGTGGAATGGAGTCAATAGTGTCCAAGGAGCGCAATGCCTTTAGTAAGTCGCGTTTCAGAGATCCATAAACCCTCCCCCTAGAATGGAATATAACGGCGTTTACATTGATTGAAATCAGCGTTTTTCTCCATGCTATATTCCCTTCGATTGCTCAGATTCCTGATAGAATGGGGCCTAAATCTGCCCTAACATCTGCTGGCATGATGTGCTTCTTCATCTACTGGTAATTGGTAGCCCCCCTTACCGAGTTGGGATATGAACTTATTCTGAACATGTGTCGACTCTGTAGGCTTATCAACTGTGCGTTTCTCCTTATCCCGGTGCCTCGTATGAAGGGTTTCATCTACGCCAAAGTATTTGTCTTCTTTGCTGCTACAATCAGCATGGCCGCGTGGACGTTGTCCCTGTCAGGGAACGCTACCGCAACACTGAATCAGCCTGGTACTACCCACAGCTCCGAAAAGTCTTGGGCTATTGCTCAGTTCCTATTCCTTGGCTTAGCAAGCTGTGGTACCTTTATATCAAACGCGGCCGATCTACAACGGTATGCTCGAAAGCCCAACGATGTCATCCTCGGGCAGGTTTTCGGCTTCCCAATCTCAAACTTTCTTGTCGGCATTCTCGGTAATTTGATTGCTGCCTCAAGCGTGAGAATATTTGGTGAAGTAGGTCCTTTCCTTGCTCTTTCTATACAAAGAATGCGTTAACACCGCTATAGTTTGTCTGGAACCCGCTTGACACTCTCGATAAGTTGATGGCCGGTGACCGATACACTCCTGCCAACCGCGCCGGTTGTGCCTTTATTTCTTTGGCCTTGTTCTATTCCACTATATTCTCTGCGATTTTTGAGAATTCTATCCCGTAAGCAGCCATTCTGTTGTTGGTCATATTTATTATGCTGATATAAGTGTAGCGCTGGAAATGATATTGCCGGCCTTCTCCCAAAGTACATTGACATTAAACGCGGGTTTTTTATTTGTGCCGGTAAGTTAATATACAACCAAGGATAAGTAATTTCCATTAACCGAGTTTAACTCATTGCTTATAGTTCTCTCGTATGCTATTTGCCCATGGTACCTTCTCTCATCGGCCGCTGTCTTCATAACCTTTCTTGCGTCCTATCAGATATTCCTCTCTGCCATTGCGGGTATAATGATTTGTGACTACTACCTTATACAGCGTGGCCTTCTTGATGTGCCTTCTCTATATTCTCTGCACAAAGACGGGCCCTATCGATTTTTTCATGGGTTCAATATTCGAGCATTTGCTGTTTACTTGCTTGCCGTCGCTCCAAACTTCTATGGGTTCCTCAACCGTCTCGGTGTTGCGGCTCCCCTTGGTATTCAGAAATTCTACTACGTAGCATATCCCGTGGGTGTGCTGTTGGCCTTTTTGGGATTCTACCTCGCCAATCTGCTCTCACCCGTTGGCATGGTCCGAAAGACTGGTTGGATGGAGCCTAGGGATTATATAGATGCCTTTGACGCCACAATATCGGGAATTGTGGATGCTGTAGAACCGGAAAATGAATCAACCCTGGGTAGTGCTGTGGGTGGTCAATCGAAGAAGATAGAGGAGGCGCAGAAGTGCTGAGAAGAGAAATGTTGTATCTTTCTAGTTGAATTAAGGCAATGCAGAGGAGTTTCACTTCATTCAAATCAGTGATTCTACTTCGCAATTTGATCATTTATCTTCATCTTGGCTCTTCTCCCTCTTTCTTAAACTGTTGTTTACATTTAGATACCCATAGTGATGTCGGTATCATCGGCAGTCCCTGCATACATGATAAAGTCCAAGGGCGTCCACCAGGTGTCCGAGGGATGGAACAAATTAGAACTCGGCGGGGAAATAGCGGCGGATTCGTTGCCTATATCTGCAACCCGCTTTGACATCATGGATTTGGCCCAGTCAAATACAGGTTCTGGGCTCATGAAGCTGGGCCACTGGTCGCTTACTGTTTGCATCAAGTCGAACACTTTCTTGACATCAGACAAGTAATCCGAATACTCCACAAGAGTGACGGCGGCATAGGCGCCGAGGAGCAAGTCGTATGTGGTTATTGGTCCAATGGACGCAGCGTACTTTCCCATCCCCTCGAGGACCAAAGTACAGTGTCGTAGCATAGAGCTAATGAGCCCTTCGTTGCAGTGGCGGTATGTTATGGTAGCCTCTCCCTGTTTAGTTGGGGCCGATTTGTCTGTTTCCTGGTGTCGCTGGGCGAGCTGCCAACGCTCAAGAACAAGCATAACAGCTGAAAAGCCCATTTCAAGAGAGAGATCGCTTTCTAACGACGAGAAGACATGTGTGAGCTAGGAACTGACTGAACCTCAATTGAACCGCCAGGTGTTACCCGTTCTCAACCTACCAGAATCGTTGATGTTATGCCATTGCTCTATGTGACTTCGTACTTCCTCCTCGGGAAGGACTTTTTGGATAATTGCTTTGTAGAGCAGAAAGTGTAGCTGTAATTCTGAAGCCACGCTTCTATCACTTTGTGTGCTTCTTGGGGATTGGTTCACTGTAGTTATGAAGCTAATCAGACGATCAGGCTCAAGGACCGACAGCTTGCCTGTTCCCAAGGAGAATCTGAGATCGATTAGCTACACTTGTCGCATGGCAGCTAAAACCATAACGGGATGTAGGAGCGAGCAGATGATGTTTCAACATACTTGAGATGAATCAGGCAGGCTGAATTCCAAGCCAAAATCTGACTCCTAATCTTCTCATCTTCCAGAGGTTCGACGTTATCGGGGAAGGAGAAGTCCATGAATAACATCAGATGCAAGATAGTAGAGCCGCTTAGCAGCCAGGTATCGATGTATCGCGATTGAAACGTCGGATGAAGGTTAAAGGTACTGGAAATGAGCATGGAGTAAATAGTAGGCAGGCTCAGTGGGGTAGCCAGCATACTTTTACCTAACGTATTCTTCACTTTGACATATAAAGACTTGTAGGAATTCGAGCCATGAACATTTTCTGCGGTTAGGCTCCCCGCAAGAACGCATGTCATGGAGAGTAAACTATGACAGGGTTCGTTCCCGTTTCCTATATAGGCATGTATGAAGTTGAGTCGAGGTGAAATGCGTTTAAAACTTTAAGAGCCTATTAGCTTCGGCAATATGTACCGAATGATGATAGAAAGGCGAAGATGGTGATTAATCACTTACCAATTGATCAGGTAGTTTGCTGTTTCCTCTGACTCTAAGTTTGCTGTTGATCCCTCACCTTCAACATTGGCGAGGCTGCTGTCACTATGAGCTCCATTGATCCAAACGCTCATCTCCCGTATAGTCTGAACGGGGGCGATTTTGATATCTTGCTGTGGCGATCGAGCACGGATCTTTTCGTTACTTGTGCCTGGATTTGTGATTGATGGATCAAGCCCTTCTCTCGCTTCAACGGTGGCATAGATACCTGTTGATGGTACACTCGGTGCAGAGTTTTGTAGAACAAGAAGCTTCAAGGTTTGCTGGATGTCAGCCAAGGATGCCTCCACAGCAGCTAGTCTAACGTAGAATGGACATGAACAGTCAGTAATTATACAACGGCACATATATTATACAACTTCTTACCTGTCGTTGCATGCACATGGGTGCTTACCAGGGATGTGGACGTGAGTTCCGGTTTTCTCAATCTCAGGAGTAATGGTACGATGCACGGCATATGGAAGCTCACACTCTATCCTTCAAGGTGCAACTTGATTAATCATGAGCGACGTTAAGTTAACACTATCCAAATGTGAATCAGACGTACCCGAGATTTGTACAACGTACGCACTTGGACGAGCCAGTGGGGACATTACATCGAGTCTTCAACCGACGACAGGACGAGCAAGTCAATACCCTCCTTTGCTGTGGCATACTATAATTTCGTGCAGGAAATCAATCAAATAGCGGAATAGTAATGATAGTGATGGAAAACTAGTCAGTAAAAGGTAATCTGGTCAGAACACTTTTGCCTTTCAAGCTTATGAACAATAAATCAACTTGGGTGAGGAAAGAAAGTGAGGGATTAGTTCAAGAATCATGGACTTATACTGGTGTTAACACACATTACGTAATAAAATTAATAGATAAGGCTTTTTCCATTACCGGGAAAACCTTAAAAATATGATACTTCAGACGACTAAACTGTGGGGCCCTCCAATCTATCACAATCTTCAACGTTGTTTTGTCACGTGCGATATTGCGGGGTGGAACTTGGGAAATCACAGAGTGTTATTTGCAGTCCTAGTCATCGTGTTGAGATGTCGGGCCTAGCATCTTCTCTTGTTGTTTTTAACTCTGTTCTGTTATTTGGGTTCCGGATGCTGGCCCAATGATAGGCCTATTAGCACCGACACGCAGGTCATAAAGTGACTGCTGGAATTTTATATTTCCATATACTCTTTGTTAGAAAGATAAGAGTAGGATCTGGACTAATCTGGACCAAGATTTGGTTCTTCTCTAGTCATCGTAGGTTAGCAACGTGTCACTCCATGTTTTCTGGCGATAGATTTGGAGGACATGGGTTTGGTTCAGGCAGAGCTTCTAGAAAATCTCAACTTAGGAGGGGGCTATGCTGTGGAACGCTTGGTGTTGTTCACTTAAATGTGCGAACTAGATAACACTCTCACGGCTCGGTCATCAATCATATAGCGTAGCTACCCCGAGAAGGGCCCTGGCTGAACCACACCTTAGGAGGGTCCGTCTGCTCAGGAGGCTCACCACCTGCCCTTGAATATGAAACACTCGGAGCCTATCACGCCCAAAATATTAGTATTCGTATTATCATATTCTATTTTTACCTCTATGAGAGATGCTTCAGAGAGTCTTTGCATCTTCAACGGCCTACGCGTTATCAGCCACTAATTGTCCGAGTAATTGGTATTCGCACGTACTCTTAATCAAACCAAATGTGTACCACTATGACTTTGACTTTTCCCTCTTCCTTCATTTCTTACTTCCCTACTGACGCTATCCTAGCATTGACTTAGGCCTGCTTAGCTACGCAAGAAGAAATCAAAGTTAAGTAGCAGGAACTCGGATAGACGTGGTCGGTTACTGAAGGAAGCTCAGGGCAGGGTGCCGATGATAGAAGAAGGAATACAGATGTTAGAAGTAACAATGATGAGGCATGGCGTTTTTTCAGTTATCAGCAGTTGCACTGACTTGCGATTAACATAGCGGCGATCTTGAAACCGCACACCGGCTGGAAAACTTTATTCAGATCTGCTAAGATTTACAATATGTCTTCCAAATTCTGCCAAGTCTCCCACATCTCGCCCCGTGAGATACCAATCAGGGTTATCTAACAGCGATTGGAAGTGGGCAAAATATTCATCCATTGGTATGTCTATGGGTATTATATCGTCACTTGGCACAGTGCCGATGTTGGCTGATGAAGGTATCCAGACTGGTGACATCTCGGTCGGAAGGTTTGTCGCATCTTGTTCGGTGCCTAAACGCAGCTCTATGCTGTCTTGCTCAACACCATTCAGGCCAGGAACGGGCCTCGGTTGGCCTAGACCCACCACCAGTTGTGTTGTATCATCTGTCACGCCGTCATTGTTCGGGGGCTCTGTATGATCATGAACGATGGGTCCGTGGCGAGCGTCACCCGCCAGTTGGTGTATACTGCCATACACAGGTTGCGAGTGATCGCGCGAGGGGACAGCCGTATTCTCGTTTGTTCGTAAGTGTTCGGGCAAATGACGCCAGATATCCTGGACCTTTTGGAGTCGTTCAATGGCGGTCGTGTTGTGGTTGTCAGACAGGTATTGCAGATTCTCTAGTGCCTCGGCAAGTCCAGGCGACGGGTTGATCTTATCCTTGTCCTCACAAATAGAGTCGAACACAACTGTGAGAATCAGGACAAAAGTGGCGGAAAAAATGGCGTCGCAGTCAAAGAACCCAAAGATGGCTGAAAGTCGGTAGTTTTAGCCTCAAACTCGCCTCCAAGTTACACACTTTGTTTTGAGGGACGTTACCTAAGAGATTCATTCTTCGCAATGTCAAAATAGTGCGCACTATACGCCGAGCTGCTTCGGTGCATGCTCGACAAAGCTGCGTCAGGGAAGAGTTACCCAGTTGCTCCAAGCCAGATCTCTCTCCCGCAAGTATTAGATGCGCTACGTGTAGCATGACAGGGCGTATTGTGAGTAAGGTGGCCTGCTCTAGTTAGTTAGAAAAGCAATAGCTGAAGCCCGGTGAGCTGCGGTTGGAGGTGATTTACCTGGTATACCATGAGTTGAAGTGAGGCTGTTGTTCTCACAGAAACATTCGCGTTCGGTCCGTGAGCTACTGTTGCCAGATTCTCTGGTATCTCACCTGAAATGTCATGCAGACATTTGATGATTTCTTTCACGTTAGTCACGAAAGAGTCTTGATTTTGGAGCTTAGGGCTATATAGGTCTAGCCTTTCCCTATCAGCCGTAATCATGAAGCAGTTTGTCCGACAGGATTAATACCTATAAGGATGCGACTTGTAACTCTGGCTATACGAGCATTTGTACGTATTGGCTGACTGGAGCTGAACCCAGGCTGGTCGACGGGATACTCAAGTACAATGAAAGCATCGTCGATACCATATGGGTAGCCCGTCGCTGCTGCCAACCGTCTAGTGATCGACATGTTAACGGAGTAGTAATGAGAACATATTTTGGCACAAAAAATACCTTTCTTGCATATAAATTGTCCACCATAGCCTTCCAATGTGGGCTTTCTCGGACCGAAACATTTGTGTCCCTTCCAAGGGACGGTGGTAGCCGTGTGTCACAGCAAGCCGTAAAGCTATGCTGGTCTAAATGCTCATTCATAAGATTAATGAAATCCAATACAGATGATCAAAAACGTACGTATATGTATGCTTCTTCCTTGCGGTTAATGGCTTGGAGGTAAACCCCGAGCAGTGTCAAGGTCTCAATTGCGACCCTTCCTTGGGCGTACTGCTCACTGGGTGTTGGCAGTCGTGTGTGCACGTACTCGAATAAACTGCTTCCTGGGTATGTATCCCCATTGTTCTCTGTGTTCTCTCCACAAAGTAGTTTCCCAACCGCAAGTATAATGGTCATTCGCAGAACCCACGGCGTAGATGGTCCCAGCTGACGTTCCGGGTCAGCATAGTAGAGCTCGATGTTATCTGAAACCTCTCGGACGTCGAAGTGGCTTTGACTCTGACCAATGTACAAGCTAACGAACTCAAGGAGACGGTAGGCTTCTTGTTCGCTGGGTAGAAGGGGCAGAGAGCGATGATGCGTGACATAGGCCTGCGTTGGAGAGGATTTGTTATTGTTAGAGAGGTGGGCAGTTGATGTAGGTTGGGGGGTCTCGTGTATATGTCGGGCGTGACTGAGCAGGTTTTGAACCCTGAAACCAAAGGTAGCACTCGAGCTTAACGACGAGTCGGTTTCTATTGCTGTACGACATGTTAGCGCGTGCTTCTGCGTATATCAACGTTGAATAGTGTACATCGGCCGGTTAATGGTATCGGGGTCTCTGGTCCAGTCGTAGGTCTCGAAGTTGGTAAAGGCGCAGGGACACCCGTGTCTTGCGATTGTTGAGCATCGAGGCAGGCGGTAAGTGGACTTCTAGAACACGGTTAGCTGGTTTAACTTCCAATTTACGTAGGACGGCAATACTAACTGGGAAGGATCATCGGCAGCATCGGGAAGCCATTCTCCCATATCTTGATTCCGTCCTTCATACTGGGCGAGGCGATTCTCGAGAGCCTCAACGTGACTGGGAGAGTGTCAATCCGGACCAATAAAGGCATGGGAATACGGGAGGCTTACGTTACGGAATAAACTTTCCTTTCTTGGCGAAGAGGTACACTGCACTGCAATCCACGCTTTTGACAGTATTCACAAGGTACGATCCCGGAGCATTTGACCTTCTTCTTCCGACATGTTAGGCATCTATGCGTGTCAGTCCGAAGATTTGCAGGTGAGACACAGGTAGTCAGTGGGCGAATTTACTTACGCCAATGGTGCCTTGTTCTGTGTCTTCCTCACAGCCGAGTCCCTCGGAGATCGAGACGACATTGCTGCTGGCCTGACCACGAAGGAAATGAAGAGTTTGGGTTCGGGGAGCGGGTCCCGAGTTTTCATACCTTTAAACCCGCCCGTACAGTACATTCGGCTTTGATGGCCTCGGAGGGAGGGTCCGAAGCTAAGCCTGGTTTGATAGCCCGATGTAACGCGTCGTAAGTTGAGGCGATCATTGAATGGTTGAGAGAATGAAGGATAAAAGCGAAGCATAGTTCAGATACAACAACTTCATGCTCATAACGGCATATATGAGCGATAATTCACTCGTCTGCCACCATGTTCTTCGACAATGTGCAACAGGGTGCGCCCGATGTTATGTATGAGCTAAAGCTTCGAGCTGATGGCGATACGAGCCCCAATAAGGTCGACCTTGGTGTCGGTATCTACCGCAATGAACAGGGTCTTTACCATGAGTTAAAGGCTTTGAAAGATGTAATATTACCCAAACACACTTGTTCTTGTTGCCAAGACACAGTGACTAACTACGCAACAGGCGAAAGATCATCTTGCTGTGACAAACCCGAATCACGACGTACGACAAGCCAATTGCGGACAATTAACGAAGAGATAGAACTAATGAGTATGAAATGTAGTACGAAGTTACCACAGGCAATGCCGAATACCTGCGTAATGCTGCGAGGATCGTCTTTGGAAATTGTTCCGACATTTTACAGTCGGGCCGAGTACGTTACCAAGGGAGCCTACAATGCAATTGATACAAGCTTCTCACAATTGTTCTAGGTCGCTTCTGTGCAGACTATATCTGGAACAGGGTCAATTCATATTGCTCTCATGTTCCTCAGCCGTTCAGTTCAAGGCTTGGAGAAGACTGTGTATGTAGGAACACCCACATGGGGCAATTATCAGCCAATGTGTGCAATTGCTGGCCTCAGCTTCCAACCTTACAGGCATTACTCCCCCGACACCGGTCGTGTAGACTGGAAGAGTGTGCTGGAAGCTGTTCGTGGAGCGGCCCCAGGCAGTATCTTCATCCTCCAGGCTTGTTGTCATAATCCGACTGCGGCGGACTTCTCTCAAGATCAGTGGGAGACGTTAGCAAAAGAGATGAAGGACAGGCGCTTATTCCCTTTGTTCGACATGGCGTACCAGGGTCTCGGGAACGGTCTAGATGAGGATGTATTCGGCTTACGCCATTTTGCGCAAGAAGGTTTCGAGCTCCTGGCTTGCCAGACTTTCTCTAAAAGCTTTGGTCTGTATGGAGAAAGAGTGGGTGCACTTCATGCTATTTGTCCTACAATTCAGGTGGCATCTGCTGTGCATGATCAGCTTCGCTTCTTGATCCGATCCGAGTTCTCGTCTTCACCAGCATACGGAGCCAGGCTCGTGACCACAATCTTGTCAGATCCTCAGCGAGAATTAATTTGGTAAGTCTTCCATCTTTGCAGCCAAGACAGTACTCTTATTATTATTGCAGGAGGGAAGAGCTTAATACTCTCCATCAACGACTGCGTGCGCTACGAGAAAAGCTATTCCATCTGTTACATGATGTTAATAAGGTGCGATATAATACTTCGGTGTACAGGCTGAATGCAGTAAGCTGATATTTTTTGCAGACTCCAGGAAATTGGGAGGTCATCACTCGCGGAACAGGATTATTCAGGTAAGCATACTCTACCACGACCTATCAATTCATAGAGCAGGTTACTGATAAAGAAAGTTTTCTGCCATTGACTATCGAACAATGCAAGGCTCTACAGACCAAATATCATATCTACCTAGTTCCCAATGGTCGCATAACCGTATCTGGTCTTAACGAACGAAATATCGAGTATGTAGCGTTAAGCATCGATGAGGTCGTACGGGCTTCGGAAACATCCATCCGAAATCATATCTAAATACCCCATGGGATAGTAAATGCAAGCAACCTCATTATAGAAGAATAGCTAGAGATAATAAAACCATCGGGGCTTGTTGTGACTTGTTCAAAAACAACGCTTTTAATCCATGCACGTGCCGTATCTAAACGTCCCAGATGCGCTGAATAGAGCTGCAGGGTTTCAAGACTAGACAATGAAATGCAAAGGGACTAGAATCTACATGGAATTTTTAAATTCTCTGAGCTTTCGGAAGCCCCTCCCTAAGGTACTGGGCAGTTGGGTGTTCCCATGATCTAGTGGACAGAGAGCTTCGAACTGTGAAGGGTATGGGGCCAGGTTCGTTGCAATCAATAATTTAGATACCAAATTCACCTTTGCGTATAACTTGTTAGAAGATAAGATAAATTCTGAGGCCTTATCAACTAGCTACGGTTGTACGATTTTGTCAACGTATATTATCCTGGATATTGACCGTGCTGTTACAACCTACCTGATAGCCGAAGCAAATCCGCAGCAGCTTTGGCCATCCCCCTAAGAGCAAGTTAGCCTGATCAGACATACCATAGATAGTTCAAGCATTTCTTACCAAGAGGCCTGGTAGCCCGAGCCACCTGGGCCGTAATTGTGAATCACCTTGGCGCCGTACTTTCTCTCCAACTCGATTCTGGCGCCATTTTTTCTGCTCGCTTCATGTTGACCGTCTCGTTAGTCGTGTTTGAATAAAAGTTTCAACTCCAGAATGAGAAATATTTACGTCTGAAGCCCACACCTTGCTTGATAATGCGCAGATCCTCTGGCCTTCCGAGCTCCGGGACGAGGGCACAACATCTTTCCTTGGTGCCCTGGCCAATAACCGGATCAAATTGTTCATTTGAGTCACCATTAAGCCTACAGCCACCTAAAATCACACCCCCGTCTTTCCCTCGAGGGAATACATGGGTACTGTGGCTTCCTAGGCGTTGACTTGAACGGAAGTACATCTTTGAGATACCTGACGGTGGCGCTTCGACAAGATAGACCTGGCCCTGAGATAGTGGTTAGTATCTAATTCCACGGTGCTCGGAAACGTCATGGATTTATACTTATGCTGGGTATACATCGTGGTCTTCGACGCCCTTCAACGTCAGAGAGCCAAGTCCTGTGCAGTTGAAATTGGCTGAAGCGGTTGGAAATCGGCCTGGAATTTCTGACAAGTCGTCTATGATTGCTCGTCGTACCTCAATGTCGAGTCTCGTCGCCTCAGCTTGGAGCCTTTGAGTCTATCAATTAGCCTTTACCGCACTGAGCAATTGTTTGATGGAATGCTGATGATGCTTACCATGGCAAGTATTTCTGCAGATTGATAACAAATGTCGAGACCTCAAACCCAAACTTGGTTCCTTGCGGAAGCTCTTCCTTTGGCAGGTACTGATCCCTCCGACGAGGTCATTGTACCAAATCTTGTTGGTTCAAGAGATTGACGTTCTCAATAGAATCCTCAAAGACAGATAGCAAATCCATTGCTTCTATACCACATTCAGGATGAGTCATGGCTAGTTCCTAGGATTTGAGGTATGTAACACGATCCCATTCTTCCTGAGGGCCATTGTCGGTGGCACTCGAAATCCAGTTTCTTCCAGCCCGGGCTGATGCGTATGTCGGAGCAGAATCTCCGGGGAGATCTCGGGCAAGAAACAAGATATCGCAGGAGGGATATTGCCTCTTGAGCTCGAGCGCAGTCGTCAGTCCGACCACGCCAGCTCCAAGAACGACGTACATTGCACATTAACTTGTTAGCCTTGTTGGTGGCTGAACCTCTGGTGGCAGGGGATATTGAACGAATGCGCGATAACAAGAAGCTCCTGCAAATGTCTAGCCACCCAGATATAAGTGTGCTACTTGGAAAGACTTGTAAGACCTAGACCGCAAACGTACAATCATACTACAGAAATGAAGAAATGACCATATCGTCAACCGTGAGCTAGCCAGCCCGGCGCTTCGGAGAGCACTCTCCGAGATACTTTCCCTTTTCCCCACACGTTCCGAACGATCGTTTTGATAAGACTCCAAGTTCGGGGCCATCCCTTCGTAGTTTGCGGGGTATCATGGGATCAGACCGGCTAAGATTGCATGACTCGCTTTCCCTTCGGTGAGTAAAAACCGAGGCATGATAAACTTTCGTGATTGGTACTAGGATCAAAGGGGGTTGGTCTAGAACTTGATCTTTTTGATAAAGAGACATGTCAGACGTATCAAGAGCTTTCAACAACCCACAACGTGATAGCCCAAGATATTCAAAAAGCCTACTTCAAAATGACAGAATCAATCGAGAAAGAGAAGGTCAACGACCTCGGTCCGGTTGAATCCCAAACGCAGGGCGAGATGGCTCAGCCGAACGAATTGCGGAGGGACTTCAAGCCGCACCAAGTCTTCATGTTCTCGATTGCTTGTGCAATTGGCACAGGACTTGTCATTGGTACAGGTAGTGCTTTATCGAGAGGAGGGCCTGGCAGTCTCTTAATTGCATATATTCTTATCGGCATCACGGTTTTCTTTGTTATGACAGCTATTGGAGAGATGGCGACATTTCTTCCCATGAATAAAGGATTTGGAGGCTATGCGACGCGTATGGTTGATCCAGCTCTTGGGTAAGATGACCTCTTCTATGGCAGTTTCCTGGCTAACATACTATAGTTTTGCAACCGGCTGGAACTATTTCTTCAAGTATATCATAGCCACGCCGACAAACCTTACGGCAGCTGGGCTGGTTATCCAGTTCTGGAGGCCAGACCTAAATGTGGCTATCTGGATTACAGTTTTTGGAGTTGCTATTGTAACTATTAATGTGCGTAACCTACAAATCGAGCCATTGTCCTTCTTTACCTCTGACAAGCTTCCAGATTCTCCATGTGAACAGCTTCGGCGAAACCGAGTTTTGGCTAGGCTTTGCCAAAGTCCTTATCATGACGACTCTCATAATCACGACTTTCGTGGTCGCCATGGGCGGCGGCCCAAATCACAATCGATCTGGCTTTCGATATTGGCAAGACCCTGGAGCATTTGCCGAATACCTACTCGAGGGACCTAAGGGAAGGTTTCTTGGTTTCTGGGCCTGCTGTTGCCAAGCGTGCTTTGGGTTTACGGTACATACACTTGATATTTGATATGACCCCTGTACTAATTATGTGACTAGGGTACTGAGGTCGTGGGTATGACTTTCGGTGAGACACCAAACCCAAGGAAGAACGTTCCTCGAGCTGTGAAGCAGACATTCTGGAGAATCGCCTGCTTTTATATCCTTGGCGTCTTGGTGCTTGGCATGGCTATTCCTTACGACAACCAACAACTTATTGGCGCCACCAAACAAGCAACCAGCGGAGGTAAGAAAGCCACCTGAGACTTGATTGATCGGTTCGCTAACGCCATGCTTCTAGCCGCTTCTCCTTTTGTTGTTGCAGTGTCCTTGGGTGGTGTCCCCATCTTCGCCGACGTCATCAATGGATGTCTTTTGGTGTTTACTCTAAGTGCCGCAAGCTCGGGTACGTCAATTCCGTACTATTTTCACATACTTGAACTAATGTTGGTAGACATATACTGCGCCTCCAGGTCTCTTTATGGCCTAGCGAAAGATGGTCAGGCCCCTCGAATCTTTGCTAACGCGCGCGAAAACGGCAACCCAATATACGCTGTTGGTATTACTTCTTTGTTCATTTGCTTAGGATATATGAATGCCAGCAAGTCGTCTTCGACTGTTTTTGGCTACTTTGTCAGTTTGGTGACAGTTTTTGCTGTCCTTAATTGGGTTGCCATCCTGATTACTCACATTCGTTTCCGTCAAGCCTTGAAGGCACAAGGCATCGTCTCGGCTAATCTGCCCTATGTTGGGTTTCTCCAGCCATATGGCTCATACTTCTCATTGTTCATCTCACTCCTAGTCATTGTCTTCAATGGTGATTACCCTCGCTTCGCTTCAGTAACAAGAGCCCTCACTAACTGGGAGAACCAAGGTTATGATGCTTTCATCCCGCACTTCAAGCCCGATCTTTTTGTCCTTAAATACCTCGGCACCATAATCTTCATTTTCAACGTTATTTGGTGGAAGATCTCGAAGAAGACGACTTTTTGGTCTGCTTCAACTGTGGACCTAAGCACAGGTAGACGAGAGTGGGGAGAGACGGAGAGACAAGAGGAAGTGCATTGGGAAGGTGGGTTTTGGAAGAATGCTCTTAGGAGGTTTAAGCGATGAAAAGCATCATTACCTCTAGATACGACAATTGAAATATCTCGCGCTTTACTCGGACAAGTTCATTTTGTGACATTCAGCTAGACGCCAGAAGTCAGAGACAAGATTATAAACACTCGTTGCCTACCAACTTCCATTTGATGTGATGTTAGTCTCTGGAGCTACCGTAAAGTTTGGGCATAACTTAACAACAAGGGTCTAAATATCCGTCCTATTGTCCGAATAATCATACGTCCATTTCGAGGTGACGCGGCTTATCTGGTGGCGCTCAAGCTCACTTTGGCATCGGGCTCACACGAACAACAATCACCAAGAGAACGATGCATGCCAGAGAGCCGTCTGTGAATATTCACACATTGGTTGTCGAACATTACCTCATGGTTTGACAACGGAGGCAACAGGGTATTGTGATACTTCTTAGCCCATCATGGGTACTCGGAGGACTCTTCGGAGAGTGGCTGTTCCATGACCCAGTTTCGGACACCGGTTGGCAGACGAACGGAACCAAGGCTTTTTGAGAATCTCGCTACCCGACCCGCACAACAGCATCCCTATGATAGACTAGCGTTCGATAAGCCCGAAGGCATTGTCCACCATGGCAACGATTGCCGAGGACCTCAACCGAATTTCGGAGAGTGGTCCCCGAGCTAGAAAGTGGCCTCCGAATACCGTTCGGAGAGCCCGAGCCCAGGGCAGACCGACCATCTAGTTAAAGCAAGGGTACCTAGTCAGCCTAAAGATATCTAGGTGAGTGTTAACAATCCACGATTTAGTCTAACAAAATGCTCGCTTCCCGGAATACCCTCAAGACAAGAACTGCCGCCGGGCAGCTCTGCAAGGTATGTATGCATCCCCTGGCACTACCATCGAATGAATGCTGCCTGCAACATAATCTGAGTGCCTTTCGTGTTTTGTCATTGCTCCCTAAGCGTTTTAAAGCAATTTCCGTCCTGCTAGGTGCTGATATTGTAAATTCCTAGGCCCTTGGCATACGACTCGTCACAAACCCTCAAGTAGTGCAGCTAGCCACGAACGCAGGCTTCGATAGTCTGTTCATTGATTTGGAACATTCCACGTTTTCTCTCGATGACGCTGGCAAACTATGTGGTGCTGGACTTGCTCTCGGCATAACGCCTTTTGTACGAGTGCCACACCAATGCGGCAATGGATACATCCAGAAAGTCCTCGACGCTGGTGCTATGGGAATAATATTTCCTCATATACAGAACGCAGGTAATTTACACAGAATGTACCTGCCTATCCTCTTTACCAAAGCTAACCTCACCCAGATGAAGCAAAGGCCGCCGTGGCTATCTCGAAATACCCTCCCCAAGGCTGTCGTTCAATCACTGGCCAACTGCCAGCCTTGTCTCTCAAATCATTTCCTCAACCTGACGTGATCCGTGAGACTAATGAGCACGCATCATCAGTATTTGTTATGATAGAGAACGAGGGAGCGGTGGAAAGAGTAGAAGAGATCGCCGCCGTAGAAGGAGTCGATGTCATATTGATTGGATCCAATGACTTGGCTATCGAGCTCGGTGCTCCTGCTGATTTTGGCAGCGACAAATTCCGCCAGGCTTTGACACGTGTAAGCAAAGCATGCAAGAAGAATGGGAAGGTTATGGGTCTTGCAGGTATCTATAACACGCCAGATATTCATGATTGGGCCATTCATACGTTGGATGTGCGTTTCATGTTATGCCAGCAAGATTCAGGCTTGATCGCAGGCGCTGCTACGGAATGTCGGGCTGCCATAGAAAGTGTTGAGAACACTCCTTTGCCAAATTACACGAATGGATCAACTTAGATAGCACATTATACAATCCTCATCCAATGCTGTCTCTGGGTATTCGATAAGCTCTAACTTCAACTGCATTCTAATTCAGGGAACAGCGATGGAGTGACAAGATATGTGCGATCCAGGGAATGGCATATCCATATAAATATTCTTATATGCTATGCCAGGGTACCCCGAAACGGAGTGGATTTGTGCGGGAGACGCATTTCATCGGTCCATCAAAAACACCGTCGCCCAGTTTTGGGGGATTTGGAGACCGACGCTTCAAGCCAAAGCTTTGTCCGTGGCGGACATTTCATTCTCCGCCATGACCCCTCATTTCCCCAACTGGAGAATCGTACGAGTCATTCAGTTCCGGTCATCCACGGCGGGGTTTGATTGTTCCGGCTTAGAAAGGTGAATTTTACAATCGCTGGAGAACAAGCTGCCGTGGCAATCAAGGCGTCTTGAGAGATGGATATGGTTCTCATGATTGAGGGCGAAAAGGCCGAAGAAGATCCTAACCTCGGACTTCAAACAAATTCTGCCATCGACACTTGAATTGAATTTTCCGTTTTGCCGAAAAATGATTGATAAAAAATCAGTTTAGCCAAGCTCATCGACAAAGTTCAACGATGTAAAAGCTCGGATTATCGGGCTAACAGGGCAGTGGCAAATCAACCTGGGCCGTTGCTTTGTCCAAAGCTCTAACTACACTACACAATATGGGATAAATACCCGTATTTTGTCCTAGAACGACCTCTCCTCTGCTCATGCCGAGCTCCAGGCCCTCCGGGGAAGCCAACCCCGACAGCAAGCTTCTAGAGTCACGGGGCCTACCTGATGCCTACGTAGAGACCCTTGCAATCCCTTGCAAGTGACTTTTTCAGTAAAATCTAGACCGTCAATTACCAACAATATCCCAACGCTTCTATTGGCTGGCTAAAAAGTCGGTATAATGGGAAAGGGGGAAGAGTTCCCGTGAACAAGTGGGAAAGGTTCCTATAGTTACCAATCCAGATGTCCTGATCCTCGAGAGGTCGTTTTTAGGCACCACGGATGACGAAGTAAAAGCAAAATGGAGGAATTTGAAAGCGCAGGGGATGGAATGTACTCAGAGCCTCGGTAATCACGACCTGAGCCATCTTTTACTGATCAACAAACATCTGCACTGGTATTGTGGGAGGTTTACCGGTCCATAGGGCTTTGACGGCTGTCTACCTTTGAGTAGAAACGTTGTTTAACGTCTATGAGCGGAGACTAGACAAAGAGAGAGCCCTCTGGAGGCATAACCCTGGCATGACGGACGAGCAGGAGGTGGGTTCCGCACCCGAGTACGAACTTTCTTAGAGAGTCTCTGAAAAGAGATTGATTCTTTGCCAGGCTAACCAAAAGTCAGATTTTAAAATATGAGCACACTCGGATTATCTTGAATAAGCGAAGGGAGGTGATGCTGGTTAGACATGTAGAGTAGCTTGTAACTTTGATGAATACATGGACTAAGCGATGTCTGACAAACCGTGATACTGTCTTATACTCTGCTGTTGTATATTTCCTTATCCCTTGCATGAGGAAAGTAATTTCCTCCATATCCAGAGTCATCTGGTCTCCCATGCAGGAAGTAGAGCCCGATTCAAGCCAACCCCAAGGTTTGGTATTCGTTTCCCCGCGCTTTGAGTTTAACCTCACCCACATTTGCCATCTCATCCCCCGGCTTCCCCGCAGCAACGGTTATTTCTTTGTCCGCGAGCCTAAAGTTATTGAGTTTAAGCTTGACGCTAGGAAAGTCGAGACGCTTCGTTTGCTGGATGGAGAGCCTGAGGGGGAATATCAACCCCGGAATCTGGGGGTGATGCTCCGTTGTGGGGGCACCCTGGCATAGAATATAAGATCCCTCGGTCGGCGCGCAAGATTCGAAAGATTTGTTCTAGCAGCAGTCTCAATTGCTTTTTTCCTCACCCAAAGCATCATTCGACCAATTTACCGCTGCAAATTTCACCTTGTTTGAGAATGGGATCGGACGAGAAGCGAAACAGCGCTGAACGGCCTCATGAGGCTCAGCTTGAGATGACTCCTTCTGCTGGCCTCGAAAAGGGCGGTGTTCTGGTGGGAGAGGAAGCGGACTACTCTGGAGCGGTAAAGAAGTCCGACCCTGAGGAGATCCGTCTTGTTCGAAAGCTGGACTTTCGTATTATGCCTACTCTCTGGGCAATGTACTTCCTCAACTACGTGAGTGCCTCCCCGGTATGATTGACCCAGTATGTCGTATTAACTCCGCAGTTCGTAGCTTGACCGCAATGCTATTGCGCAAGCACGATTGAACAACCTTGAGAAGCATCTGGGACTTCAGGGAACTCAGTACAATACTTGCATCTCCATTCTGTTTGTCGGGTGAGTTCCATGTCTTTCTGGTTATTCAATTGTAGTTTGAAACTGACAGCGATAGTTACCTGCTCATGCAAATCCCTTCCAACATGCTCATCTCCACAAAACGCGTTCGTCCTTCGGTCTACATGGCGGCGTGCATGATGGGATGGGCCGTTGTGTCCGCCTGCACGGCACTCGCCAAAAACTATGCCGGCCTTGTCGTCGTTCGATTCTTCCTTGGTATCGCGGAGGCACCTTTCTATCCGTCAGTCTTCCCTCTTTAATATCTGCATGTTTGTTTGATGTTTCCCACTTTCGAGGGTTAGGATTGAGGAGGCGTTGGATGGGATCTTAACTAACCGCCACCACTTTTCTTCTCCAAGAGGCTAACGATGAGTTATAGAGGCGCGCTTTACATGCTGTCGATTTTCTATACCCGCAAGGAGATTGCTACACGACTGGCTATCTTGTACTCTGGCAACATTTTCGCCACGTCCTTCTCCGGTCTTATTGCAGCCGCCACCTTCAGCACCCTCGACGGCGCCCACGGGCTTCACGGATGGCAGTGGCTTTTCATCATCGAGGGTGTTGTTACCTTTGGTGTGGGCTTTATCGGTGCCTTCACACTGGCCGATAGCCCTCTCACCACCTGGTGGTTGACCCCTGAAGAACGACAACTTGCGCATGACCGGATGATCAAAGACACTGTTGGCCTGGAAGAAAGCAAGGGAGCCCGTGCCGGATTTAAACAGGCTATCCGCGACCCTCGTCTATGGCTCTTCTGCTTCATCCAGAACATGCATCTTTCCGCCTGCTCCTTCAACAACTTCTTTCCCACCGTGGTTGGCTCCCTCGGTTTCAGCAAGACCATTACTCTCGTGCTCACCTGCCCGCCATATCTCGTCTCGGGTTTCTTCGGCTACGGCGCTGGTCTCTTGTCCGGAAAATACAACGAACGCACCTGGCATATCACGGCCTGTATGGGCATGGCGCTGGTGGGCTTCATCATTTCCTGCGCGACGCTAAACACTGCCGCTCGCTATGTCTCTTGCTTCCTCTTCGCCAGTGGTGCATATGCAGTCAACTCGATGATTCTCGGGTGGGTGTCTGCTACGCTGGGGTCCACGCCCGAAAAGAAGTCGGTCAGTTTGTCTATCGTCAACGTGGTCGCCAACGCATCATACATTTACACCGCGTACCTGTATCCCTCTTCCGATGAGCCCAAGTATCTTACTGGAATGGCAAGCAACGCTGCCTTTGCGACCATGACGATCGTATCCACCTGGGCTATGCGTATTTGGCTTGTCAGGGCCAACAAGAAGATGGACCGTGAGGGAAACACGGACGCTACTCGCTACGCTTATTAGTCCAGGACAGATTCGCTCATTGGGGATGATTTTGCACCGGTTGATCAAGGTTGGTACAAAAAGTGAAGGAAATATCCAAAGCGAAAACCGTGGTTCCGGCAGTGGCCGGTAGCCTGCCGGCGTCTTCTACTCCTGTCATGAGCTGTTTCGGACGAGTCATCACGACTCCAATTGAAATTGTATTATGAGAATCACACCATGTCTCGTTAAATATCTAACAGATAATATGGGAGTTACACCTGGCAAGTATTATAATAATTGCAGACTAGATATTTGTTTACCTGAAAGCTTGCGTGCCAACGTGATCAGCTAGCTATATGGTGTCTTCACCAATGATGGCATTACTAGTGTTGTCCGTATGAATTGTGTGAAGGATTCATTTCGCTGTGGTGTCTAAACTAGGAGGTTGACGATCTGAACAAGATGCCTTGCAATGCTCAAATGAGTTGACTAACTAGATGCGGAATCTTAAACGATGCTTATGGGCTGAGCATCGTTGATACGTTCATTTACGAAACCGGAACGACTCCAGTCCTGCCAATTTAGCGGTACGCGCACAAGGGTGATGCTTACAAGCTACACGTTACAACACCACAGAGGGAGAGTATCTGAGAAGAAGTAAATTTCTATACGTGCTAAAGACAGCAAAGAGGCAGATCTCATTTTAATGGGCCGAAAAGAAGCAAAGAATCATTCTGCAAGTTTAACGAGACTCGTCTCAACCAAAAGCAGGGGAGCCAGCTTACCAGGTTCACAACCACCGCAGGATCATCGCCACATCCATGCGAGCCTTGGCAAATGTAACCCCAGCTTAGCAGACAACTGCCTACAAAAACATGACTCCTCTCACTTCCATTCATTCGCCAAACTCGACTCATTTCTTCCGTCTCGCACAGAAAAAATGCCTTCAAACGAATTTTTCGGCTACACACTCACCAACCTGGGTCCCCTGACCACCACGTTTACGGCCCCATCGTCATGTGCGACGAAAAGTGACAACTTAGTATGGTATTCGCGCTTTGACTCGACCGTGACGGGAATAGGAACAGACAGGTACCTTGGCCAGGAGTCATGCGGCGACGGAGTGACACGAGGTGCTTGCACACCGTCCGGCGAGGCTATCGACAAACTTGTATCGGCATCTCCATCATCCAGTAACATTTGGTATCACTCACCGGGAATCGCCTGTCCTAGTGGTTGGACAACCGCTGGCACACTAAAAGGCGGTGCAGAACCAACGGGCTCTGGTGTGTTCAACCAAGAGGCAATCACACCGTGGGGAAACGAGAGTTCTTACCAGGCCATCTTACTTCCCCAACTGTTCGCAAATGCGCTTGGCAACGATGAAACAATGGCTATGTGCTGCCCAAGGTTAGTTTGAACTCTTTCTCGCTTCTTTGCATAAAAGTCGATAGCCATCATCTTGCCAGTGCCAGGCAACTTTACTGACCTCGAGATCTAGTGGCTGGGTAGCCGAACCGCTCGGTGGATCATGCTCATCCTCAATCGGCAATCTCGGTTCAGTATCGCAATCAACTGCTTGTCATAAGTACTGGACCGACTTGGATGTTGACGATGTGTATGTGACATCGTATGCTGGCAAGACGTGGGATCCGCCTCTCAGATCACAATCTCCCATCACCGAAGAACCCATCACCGCTACGAGGACTTTAGCCAACACTGAAACCGGAACGTTCGTTCGTTACGAAACAGACAGTATTTACTTAGCCACGCAAACAGGAGGCTTACTCATGGTCTACAAAGAGGCCGAACTGAACGCATCAAAGGGGGACGATGGGAAAGGGGCAGGAACCGTGACCAGAGTTGGGATTGTCTTACCAATGCTTTCTGTGGCGCTCTCCCTGTTCTTGGGTTCAGGACTAGCACTGTGAGTATGGTGCCATGAGAAGACATATTTTATGATTATCTAGACCTATGTATTTCCAGCTCTTATTCCATTGCATTCTCCCATGTGGCCCAGCTTATCGAAGAACGTGAGCGAAAAACAGCACTGTTTCCAAAAGCGAGCTAAGGTGAAAGGACAATCGTATGTGAACTTGGCCGATTCAATTTTCCAAAACTCGCATCTCATTTCATATGATGGCTCATAGAGACATGAATTTGCATGAAACCTTGGGCCGTCATTTATACCTCGAACGCTGTCAACTCGAGACACACGCTAGGTTAGCTTCCCTCCTGCCAGAAGCTCTGATGCAGCCTTTTTCACAGCCTGCATGGCAATAGCATGAAGGCTTGGTCCTACGCTGATCCTCGCGACTCCCTTCTCCGCCAACCCAGCTGTGGACAACGCGTCTGGTTTCATCGACGCCTTCACCGCGACCCTACCACCAAGTTTCTCCACGAGGGTTGATACTTCTGCATCTCTCAGACCACGCCCTGAGCCGCCCCAGAAAAACACAGTGGTGGCGCCGGCCTCAAGGTAGGCTTGTCCACGAGCAACGGCTTCATCCATGAGAGAATCTTGCGGGAGGTAAGCCGAGCTCGGGGGGTAGAAGGCGTCGCACCGCGCATTGAGGACAAAGTCGGGACAGCCCGCATCTGCAGCTGCATTTAGCGCAACCTTCAACCGCCCAACCTGCTCCTCAATGCCATAGAACACCCCTGTTTCTGGGTGAGTGTCCTCGATATTGGCTCCCACGGCGCCGGCTTTAATGGCCGCAGTCACAGCCTCGGCAATACGGGAACCGTATCCATCCTGGAGGTCGGTGGAAAGTGGTAGGCCTGCTTTGGCGGCGACGGGCGCAAGCCTAGCGATGGCTTCAAGATTCTGGTCGTAACTGAGTTGCTCGTCCGGGATTCCCAAGGTCGCTGCAATAGCGTAAGATGCGGTAGCAATGGCCTTCACGGGCCTGTTTTCTTCGGTATTGAGAGAAATGAGTGCGTTAAGGGATGCGATGTCCCACACATTTGGAATGATGAGGGGCCGCGAAGGGACGTGTAGGTCCTTCAGAGTCTTTGCAGTATTGTTGGAAGCCATTGTCGAGAGAGATGTTGGCTGGGAATTGATGTTGGAGAGTTGATATCTTTGAGGGCGACGATCTCGAATGACAGATGGATGGAGTGAGTCATACTGGATTCACGCTGGAGACAACTAAGGCGTGAATGACACTCTCCCCGCACCATCAATAGCACACGCTCTCCACGTTTCCCCAAGCGCTTGAATACTCAGTAGCTAGTGCAGTGGGTTGCCTGCCAGAAGCCGCAGCTAACCGATGAGGAAATAACCCGCAGGGAGATTAGTTAGGTGTTCTCAAGAATGCAATCTTCGGCTCACGCTAAGGATTCCATGCCAAGTACTGAAGGGGCAATTGATTCATTATAAGCTGAACTACATTGCCAAGCTGTATCCTTCCGTTGCAGCCAACATGCCGCACCGAACCGCGATTATCAGATACCGACGCTTTAACTAACCAAGCGCATACGGTGACTATTGCCAGACACTGGTACAAGGAGAGAAGAATCAATGGTAAAAGCTCACGGTTCAATTCAAGTAGAATTAAAGAAAAAAACCAAGGAAACTTTTAGAACGAGAACATTAGATTTCAGTATCATCTAGGTCTCAGCTGATTTCAGGGTACTCGTATGTCTTCCTTAGATGTCACATTTGCTATGTAGTAAAACACCCCCCTCAGAAAAAAAAGTAAATGAGGTGTAGATCCGGCGTAGCTCGACCCATCCTTCGATATGCGAATTCCCCGAAAGAAGGGGTTGGCAAAGAATTAAGCCAAAGCCTGATCCAGCTCCAACATCGAGCACTTCCACCTGGTCATCCATTCTGAGAAATGAGAATTTTAGATGCGTTTCTTGTGCTCTTCTTCCAAACGTTGACTGAATGGCTTCAGGTTTAGAACGATCTGATCCTGTATTTGAACGTTGTTAGAAGGACACTCCTGACGTCTCAATACAATGTGACTTACGACAAAACTTTGCGGTAGGAGCCACAATGCTGTGCGAATAAGTCTTACACCGCCGCCGACCCAGTGCTTTCCTGTGGCTCCCTTGACCACCAAATGTAAGACCTCCTGAGCAAATACCGGCGGTTCCACGCCATAGGGATTTTGCTCAGGCTGGCCCTCGATTATGTCTTTGATACTCAGGTAGTATGAGTTTTCGGGGAAGGCTAGTGTCTGAAGATTGGCGAAGAAATTCGTAGCAATTCCTCCCGTGATGAGAGTGATAACTCGCACGCCCAGAGGGGCCATCTCTAGACGCCAGGTTTCGCTCGCTTGGATCAAAGCTGCTTTGGTCGCGTTGTAGATACCTATAGAAAGATCAGATTAGAAATTAATCCAATTATAGTAGTTCCATCCTGCAGACTTACTAGAGAATGCAAAGGGTATAGTCCCTCCAACAGAAGAGTTGTTCACTACACAGCCGTTGGCTTCGACGAGCATCGTGCTGAAAGCCTGCATCATGGCCAGTACGCTAAAGAAGTTAAGATCGAAGAGCTTCTTGGCTTCGTCTATGGACTGATCTAGACCCGGACTCGTGAGTCCTAAGCCAGCGTTGTTGATCAGCACATGTAGAACTTTCGTACGTTCCCGGACTGATTCCAAGGCTGAAGCGATGGATTCGGCAGACGTCACGTCAAGCGTAAGAACCGTAACGTTTGGTGCACTATGCAGAGATTCTGGAATCTTGGAAGGTGACCGAGCAGTCGCGAAGACGTGATAGCCCTTGTTCATGAAAGCCTCTGCAAGGGCGGCACCAACTCCACCAGCTGAGCAGCCCGTCACAAGGCAAGTCTTCTGTGTAGCGTCCATTGTCATTGGTGTGATGAAATAAATACTAAAGTAGGATAGGGATTATTTTATCAGGAAACTCAACTCAACAGAGGTCTGAGCTCACCTAAATACCTACCCGGCCGTGGCCAGATATCACCCTCTGTGATCTTACATCCCGTAGATCCACTAAAGTACTCGAGTAACTCGGCACCAAACTACGTCAGCCTATTCCGTATGGAGTGCCGCATAACTGCATAGCTCTCTCACTTACTATTCGGTATGGAGAACGAGTAACACCGAGTCCTTACTCCGTAGAACGACCTCGAGGTCGTGACATATTCAGGCCCCTGTTTAGACCGGGTCAGCTCGGTTATGATTGGCTGCGACTCCGGACAAGGAAAAGGTGATTGGCTGGCGAACTCCGGAATCCTCAGCTGTCATCAATCGGCACATCAATTCTTACCATCCTCAAATTTTCTGCTTTATTCACACAACTCCCATTCTCACTTCGCGCGCTCTGATTTGACGAGAATACCGAAAATTCTCATGCCTAAGAGCCGGGCGAAATCTTGCGCCCAGTGCCGCGCCGCAAAAACCCGCTGCTCCTTGTCAATCCCATACTCACGATGCGCAAATCGAAGTCTCGATTGCCAGTATCTGCCTACGCAAAGGGGTGCCGAGCCTCGAAGCGTTCGGAGTCTTACTCTGAGGCCTTTACTCTCTCGTACATTTGGCGCTCCGAATTTCCCGCATGGCGGAGGGATTGATGAGCCAATATTGAATCATCAGCTTACTTCACTTGCTGATCCTATTGTGGCAGGCACAGAGGAGAGGCTGGCGAAGAAGTCCGCCGGTCCTGGCTCAAGTTTGGATGTGGATCCTTCTATTGCTGAGATGGCTCAGTTGTTGGGGACAGATCCCAGGATAACGGACTTGTCAATGATTCCGAGCTCTACACCACCCCTTTACGCCTCACCTGAAACGTCCCTACCACTGTTTTCCAGCCCCTCTGGATCAGCGGACTCTGATACAAGTGGCTTTATATCCGGCATAGACTTGAGGTCAACTCTTGCTGCTGCATCTGAGACGCCAACCTTGTCCTATCCAGCCATGTTGACGATGCAGAACTCGCTAATCTCGGAGCCGCCCCTAAGCGATGCTGACATTTCCAACTTCTTATCGACACTATACTCCCCGGACTTCGCTTTTACGCCTTTAAGGTTTAACTCTGATCGGCCTAACTTGCCATTCCTACCGAACCCCAGCCATATAGGTCTCGGGCTTCCCATAAGTCCAGAAATGGCCAAGTCTGGACTCAGCTCAAACCTCTCAGTGCGTGTGAGATCGTTTCAACAAGGTTCTCTAACGAGCAAAATGCTGTTGAGCCAGGTAGTCGACTATTCGCGCTTGTTCTCGGAAGGTAAACATATGCCACCTTTCATTTACCCCCCATGCCGGCTCAGTCCAGGGATGGAGTGCCTTTCAGGCAAACATCACACCTGCCTACCTCCAATATTAGCCATTTGTACCCATCTAAGTCGCATGTTCTACTCCCGAACTCCAGGAAGCACACAATTCGTCGTACAACAAATATACGTACACTTACGCCAACTACACGCTGAGGTAAGGCCAACCTTTCTTGTGCCAGAGTGCAGTAAATGCGATATTGAACCATGCCAGTACGAAAAATACGATCAAGAGAAAATGTTGCAGTCTTTACAAGCAGCAGTAATTTATGGCCTGCTTTGTTCTCAATGCCCAGACATCGTATCGGATGCCGATGCAGCTTGGCTAGTATCAATCACTGAGGTAAGGTTTCTTCTGGGTGTCACTTCATGGGCCAAGAGCACACCTAACACGAACGCGCATTATTAGAAGTTCTCTCGGACGTTATATGGTCAAAACTATTCGCTTCTTAGTGTAGATTATATCTGCTCATCACGTAGTGGCTGGGCATTTATGGAGAGCATGAGACGGTATGTGTGTTTTTTACAGGCCGGTTCGCTTGATATAAAATTTCGGACAGTTAATCAGGCAAAGCAGACTCGGTTGCCTTTTGTATTTGATCGATTTACTATTCCATGTCGACGCCCGAACTCCCTCAAGAGGGGATTGTCCTGAATTTGTTGACTTGCCGCTGCCTTCAGCCCGCGGACTGTGGCAACCGATGTGCCATGAAGATTGGAAAAGGCGATATGAAGAGGACAATTATTCAAGGAAGCTAAAAGGGACACGGCAATTAACTATGGGAGATCTTTTTAGGTTGAAGAAGTCTGGAATCAATAGTGATCAAGTGTTTCAGTCAACAAAGGATAGTGTCACGGAAGAGATCAGCGAATGGGTGAAGGACGTGGACGACTTTTCCATGCTTTTGTGGCTGGCCTTTACACTAGAAGGAGGCGGGCAAGCAATAATAGACAAGAAAGCGTAGCTTTTGCTCTTTTGAAGTGAATTATAATGGTGTATTTCAACCATTGATCTTTTAGTGGTAAATCTTGTGAAATAGTTCGGAACTCTTGCCGACTTCATTTTCATAACTTCATGTGTTTCAAAGTTAGGAGCCCGGGATTCAGGCCAATAGCAAGAGTAAATTGTTTTAGACAGTAGACTTCACCTGCATACCTACATGCGGGAGGGGGTAGTAGCCAAAGGCGCGCCCTTCGCTGGATCAGTGGGTTCATTGAGTCTATCTGGTAATCGAATCAGGAAAGCCCATCATACTCTCCTCCCTGCTTGTTATAAAGCTGCGCAGATTCTATATCTTGATACTCGATGTAAGCTATGAATCACAATGAGGTGTTCAGCTACAAACCGCACTATCTGTCAGCCTTTCAGCGCGATCATCGTGCCCTGCAGATCCGTCTCCTCTGAGATAAACTTACGCCAATCTTAAGAAACGAAGACGATTGGTTTTATTAAAGGAAACACAACGTTTGCCACGGAGGAATATTACAGGGCAATTAACCATGGCATACGGCAGCGGTTAGGAGGTCACCATACCGGTGAGATTATCATCAACTCCACGGACTTTGCAAAAAGCGCGCACTTTTGGAAAACGTTCTTTGGAAAGAGGGATCCAAATTTCTCCATGGCAAAGCTTCAAGCTTACAAAGAGCGGGTGCGGATTTCATTATCTGTGTGTCCAACACATGGCACGTACGTGCAGACGAATTTATGAAAGGCATCGACATTCCACTCCTGCACATTGTCGATCCCACTGCCAAAGCAATCGACGAGGGGGCTACAAGAAGGTAGCTTTGCTGGGAACTATAGTGACTATGTCCGACCCATTTCTCAAGGAGCGCTTCGAGCAGTTAGGGCTTGAGGTAGTTGTCCCGACGACGGATGCGCAATCGTTGATCAACAGGATCATCTTCGTAGAGCTTTCAAAGGGAGAGGTCAGGGAAGAGTCGCGTGCAGAGTATCTCGCGGTTGTGGATGAGCTTTACGCAAACGGCTCCGAGGCGCTGATCCTTGGCTGCACAGAGATAAGGCTGCTCATTAAGCAAAGCCACCAACCGAATATTCCCATGTTTGACACTCTTGCTATACATGTACAGGCAATTGTACAACTAAGTCTAAGTAGCGATCCCTAACTTGATTCAATTGACAAAGGCTGCCTGATGGTCACAGTCCCAGTGACTAAAGAGAGTCAAAGGAATGATTGCGCAACTTTGACGGCAGGACATGTCAATTGAGAGCTGTGAACTCCTCTCGCTTTCCACACTAACTAACAGATGACTGCAAGACTACCTTTATAGAGGTTTGGCCATAACCCAATCCTTCAACATCGAATTCCCTAATTTGAATGTCATTTGCCCATGCTTATGGTAACCAGACCTGCTGTACAAACGCTCTGCATTTGGGTTGAGCTCCCATGACGCCAACCATATATTCTTGAATCCCATCAACGCTGCCTCTTCTTCTGCTCTCAAAAGCAGCTGCTTTCCTAGCCCAATCCCTTGGTGCTTCTCGCTAACGTAGAGTCGTTGCAATTGGATCTTGTTGTCGAGTTTGTCAATGCACCTTTCTGAACTATCTCTTCTCAACTGGGCGAAGCCAAGAATTGCATTGCCTTCCGTTGCAACAATGAAGGTTACAGCAGGATCCTCTAACTCTGCAGCGATGCTAGTGGCTGAATATGACTGCGAGAGATATATCTTCAAGTCTTCACTTGGCATGAGGGCTGAGAAAGAATGTGCGAAGACGCGTGAGCCAAGTATCGATATTTCCAAGGCGTCTTCAGCCTTGCCGTGTCGTAATTGAAAGTTGGGAAGCATTTGGGGGTTTGACTGATCGTCGCAAGGCCACGTTTGCGCTAGGTGTCCAAAATCGAGAGATTAACAATGTTAGGCAAGAGACTAGCGATTCTTTATTGTCTTATGGGCGTGCTCATTTGTATTCTTTCGATGATTTTCTTCTACTTTCTTTAAGAGTTTGTGGAGTGAACTACTCACCTAGAACAACTCGCGCCCTGCTAATCGCATGAAGGGCGTGTCCCACTTCGTCCCAAATTCTACCTTGAAATTGCCGCAGAAACCAACATTCACTAATGACTTAGATAGACAGCGATTCACAGATTCGTACATTGCAGCTCAGAAATTGAAGTCTCCATAGTCAAGAGAGTCTAGTCCTGATGCTTTGATGGTAAAGCGGTGATTATAATCAGGCTAGGCTTACACTTATCAACAAGTAAGCTATGGCCTGCTCACCCCGGGACACAATCTAAATGTATATCAAAGCGGTGTCATAGTAGGCTACTGATTCAAAGGTTCAGAAACGCTAAACTAACTAAAATCTTTCCTATCAAGTTTATATCCCTAGTAGAGCTTTCTACAAGTATAATGTGTGACATTATATCTGAACCTCGATTCATGAGTTGAGAAATCAAAGGAACCGCCCCTGTTGGAAATTACTGCGCTCGTCAGCACGGGAAAGATTACCCCGGCGCATCTAAGCTCGTTCAGCTTGGACGGATGCTCAGAGGTTGCTTATCTACCCCGACCCGACTCCTGCATTCTCTTATATATTGCTTCCGTCCGTTCCGTATAAAAGATGATTGAAATTGGCAACGGCAGGCTCAAATTCAGCCGCAATGCCACCTTGTCTTCACGCGGTCCCCATATCTAGCTGTGGGTGGGCGGGTTATCTATCCCTTGGGACCCCCTTTATTAGCGAACTGCACATGGCACCTTACCATTGCCAAGACGGTAGCATCTTCAGGTCTCCTCTAGTGCGTGCAACGATCAGCATCCGCGTGCTTACCAGCCGTGACGCTGCCCAATGTCCGGCTTCGCATTTGGCACCTCTTGCGTCAACACTCCCTCCAACGGATCCGGGCGCCAAAGACCGCCGAGCGAGCAAATATATCGCACATGACCAGAATGACATGGCTACCCTGAAACCTGCTGGCTGCCGTCAGAGCCCAAATGTGACTCTCGGGACCGTACGATTACTGACAGATCACTAAATCCGTAAGCGAGGGGAGGGGACTGGGGACAAAGCTGCATTCCAGAGGCACAAAGCCATCAACAACCAGCGACACCGGCCACTAATATGTTCATCTTTGTCCCATCGTCCGTGCTCTAATGGCGCGCTTGCTTTTCCACCCCCAGAGATCCATCTACAGCTGGACAAGCTCGCTGCGGCACGTAAAACTGGCCACACGCCGCATGAACCCAACGCAAGTTTAGGGCCGCGAGCCCACCAGCTGCAGGAGGTGAAACCAGATCATGCAGGGGGCGTGCCCTTTTTTCGTGTGTGTCGCCACTTCGGCTTACTCTGCACCCACGATGAACTCTGTTGATGGTGTGTTGGACAAAATGTATCTTACTCCCGCTTCGTTGGGAGTGACAACCCCCCCGTGGCGTCCATGTATATGAGGGAAATTCACCCTTTCTCCAGCACTGCCGAGGGATTGATTGCACGAACTGCCGTGGTAGACATTTGCAGTCATGCCTGGGCCAGAGTACCCTCGCAGCAGTGAGAACATGGTCCTCATTTGGGGTGCGGCCGATACGGGGAAATCAGCCTTTGTTCAGCGAGCCTGCTACGACGTGTTCCCCCCAGAAGTAAGCAATCTCAAATTGGTGGTTCCCATCACAAAAAGCATCCTGGACATCAAGACTAGCCAGCTAACTGCGATGCGATGGGACAGCTTGACCCGTTCGACGGCGAGGGAGACCGCAAGTTAGCCGTGGTGGACGGCGAGTCCCGCGCGCTCTGGATATTCTGCGTGAGCAATATGGCCGCTACGGGCATGGTGGAGAGCTTCGTCAGACGGAGCGACATGTTCGTGCTGGCCTACAGCGTGGGGTCGGACGATTCTTTTTTCCAGATGAACAGGGCATACTATCTAATAAGGGAGTTGAGGGGTCTCTGGGCTGATGAGCATGTTCCAATAATCATAATCGGCAACAAGTGCGACCTCCCCTCGACGAGGAGGGCTTTGCCAGGAGGGAGGCGGCGGGGCTACGGGTCTTCCTCCCACGACGAGGTCAGAGTTGTGTCCTACGAGGAGGGTGCCTGTTTAGCTGAGCAGTTGGGGTGCCCATTTTTTGAAACCTCGGCCAAGGAGAACATTAATGTCGAACAAACATTTAATGAACTAATCAGGTCACACAATAGGCTAGAGGACCTGCGAAGAGAGACGAAAAGAAGGTCGTGTAGAGTACCGCCAAACCGCATTTCACTACCTACGTGTACAATGCCCACGCTACCTGTGGGTGTCGAAGGAGGGAAAGAACGGTGGCGAAGGGCCATTAGAAAAGTCATACAAACTAGAAGAGTGGTACAAAGAGGAATGACAAGATACTAGTTTCATTCAGTCTGGAAACTTCTTGATGTTCCGTGAGAGCGAACCAACGCGTTCGTACTGCGCTTCAAGATAGGTTTTCCTTTGGTGATTTGCTAAAAAAAGACTCTTCTGACTTTTACTATGATGAGGTTCGGGTTAGAAAAAACACTGTACCTGTTCTTAGGCGCTTTGGTTATATTCGTAGTGCGATTATAATAGTGCTTGTTTTGTTCTCGGTCGGTTTTGTACATTGGACATTTTCGCTTAGTTACTCTTCAAAGCGCACCTTTCTGCGAATATGAAATCACCAAGAATATTCGTCATTAGTTGACCCGCTGGGTTACGTGAAACCCTGAAAACGGTCCTTATAAGCCTACTTGAAACGTCTATCCTTCTCCAAGATGTAACTTCCAAACTGCCAAGCCTCCAGTCAACACCGTCATATACCTTCAGTGCTCCATTTCTTTCAAGCATCCAGACTAAGATTTTCATAATGGGTCTTCTTGGAACCTTTCAAGACTGCGAGGATAGTGATTGCGTGGTGAAATGCCGAGGTGCAGAGTTCAAGGTCCACCAGAGTACTCTCCGCGAGGCATCCCCGCTCCTCGATGTATACTTCGGTTGCTGCTCTAAAAAAGACGAAAAGGTGGTCTTGGGGCTTCATGATTTTGGAATGCACACTGTTCAAGCATTGCTGGAGTTTATGTATTGCGCAAACTACTCGCTCGGGTCAGATACCATCAAAGACCTAAAAACCAAATGCGAAACAGGGCCAGAAGCAATGGGGACCGCAGCATTTTGGAATTCGGAAAACACTATCGGACAAGAGAATCTTGTAGCCGCTTGCATGTTCCACATGACCGTGGGAATCGCCGCGCGATACTATGAGATGAACTCCCTCGACGATCTCTCCAGACATAAATTCGAGATGTCCTTGTCTGGGGTTGAAGCCGAGGGCTTGGCTCAAGTGGCGCGGAACGCTGATCGACCGACAGTTGACTTGGAGACGCAACGCCTGGTTGCTAGGGCAGTTGTAGGGGCAATGCAGAATGAGGACAATAAGCATCATCTCAAGTACCTCGACATGTCAAAGATGTCAGAGGAATTTCGTAAACTAGTTAACGAGAATCTTGCGTGTCGGCTGAAAGCTGAGGAAAACCTCTCAAAGAGGCTGCAGAGAACAGGAGTACTGCTCTGACCACCAGTCGTTTCTGGACAGATGAAATGGAATCGCACAACAGTTTTGGCTGTTAGTTAGATGAGAGATAGATGATACAAGGCTTTCTTCCATTCACTGATGTTCTAGTATTATTATAATTATCATTACATGACCACATGTGCATGTCATATCATCGTAAATCGCTACGCTAATTCAATAAAAATCAGTCCAGTCCCTCATCGCAGGTTATATGTCTCCGATGCCATCTTATTCCTGTAAACCTGCTCTGCAACTTCCCCCGCCATCACGGGCGAGTCTACAATGTAGCACTGCCCAACGAGTTGATAGTGATCCTGCATCTTGCGCACTACGAATGGCAGCGGTGCCCCGAAGAAGACCACTACCTTGTCCTCTGCCCTGCTTCCCTTGGGACCCAACCCGAGGCGTCCATGCTTCGTGAGGAAGACTCGCCGAGCGTTCGCGTACTTGACCACTCCAGCAAAGAATTGGGCAGCGTCTCCGTAGAGCGGTGGAACTGGTTCGCCGTCTGATCTTGCCTGTCCCAAGCGATCGAGAAAAGCCCGGGCTTGCCGTCCGTCATCAACACGACATTCAACGAACTGCTGGACGATGTTATCTGGGTCTGAGACTGGGAGTATACCAACGGGAGGAGCATCTGGCAGACCACCAGCGGAAAGTGCTTCGCAGAAAGCTACATCCAGAGGCCCGCTATCTCGATATTGCTGCCCAGATGGATCCGCCAGAGAGGAAGGAAAGAAGTGCGACCAGGTCTGCTCCATCAGCAAGATATTCGCCTCCTGGGTGCCTATCTCAAAAGACAGAACATCAGAGACGGATTCGATATTGTCCACCCAAAATCCATCAAGGGAAAGTTGCAGCGGGTTCTTCGGTGATCCCTTGCTCGGGTTGTCGTGGACTCGAGCACATGGGCTTCGGCCGGTGACGAGGCCTGCGCGGAAATAGCTATGCATCACGCTGCTTCCTCTCTTTTCAAACCACTTCGGTACCCAGGTGGGATAGCCGTCAGGTTCAGAATCATTATGGTCCACAAGGTTGAGGACATCCAGGTCGCCTGGTGGTCTGTGGATCAGAAACCTCGTGAGGTCGACATATGTTTGTACATCCGACTTGTGATAATCGGCCGCAAGAGCCGGTATATGATAGCTCCCCATCTTCCTTCCCGGCCATTTCGCGCCTACCTGTGACAATAATTGGAGCCCTCTATATGCAGTTCGGCGAAGAAGCGGCCCCGTACGCGTGAGTGTGGCGATTGGATCCAGACCCTCATCACAGATTCCTCGTAGACCAAACACCCTGTCCCGTACATCATCCGAATGAAAGCAACGCATCGTCTCCAGCAGCTCGAGAGCACTGCCCATAGAGCCAGGGACATGGGACTGAGGCATGCCAGGTTCAGGCCGGTTTGCCCACACCTTCCACCAGACCTCGAGCGGGGAGTCCTGCTGCGGCGTAGCATTTGCTTGCGCAGCGGAGGACAGCGAGGGCCCAATATCATTGAACGAGATTTCAAGATCTCCGCTCTTGACGATGACGTCGGCAGCCGCCATGACCTCCACGACGCACCAGTAGTGGGTGAAATAGGGCCGCCGAAACATCTCGTGGAGCTGGTGCAGGTTCTCGGGGGAGAGGCCGTGCAGGAAAACCTCCCTCACCTCCTCCCGGGACTCGCTATCGACGGGGACCTCGCTGAGCCGGTCCTGCTCGTCCTCGACCTCGCGGATCCTCGCTAATCGGTGGGCCAGCTCAAAAGCAAGATCCATGCCCTCCGTCTTGGGGCCGAGCCAGGCGATGACGCGAGAGGCCTGTTTGTAGATGACGCTCATGTCGCGGACCTGCCGCGAGTGCTCATCGACGTCATCCTTGTTTATGCAGAGGGCATCCACCCATAATGCACGCGGCTGCTCAGGATCACGCAGGGCGAGCAGCGCGGCTTCGAGGTTCGGCCGGATGGGGACCGCGTGGTTCTGGATCCATAGAAAGGCGCTGGGGTCGTTGGCAAGGCCTGGATGGTGGGATAGCGCTTCGTAAGGGAACGGTGGTGATGTGATGTCAACGGTCTGGAGGTGGCCCTTGAGAGGATCATCGCCTGATCCGGGAGCGAGCTGGAACACACGGGTGAAGAGGCGTGATCGCTCCGGGGAGGGGAGCGCCTGGAAGTAGGCCATGGCAGGCTTCTTTCGGGTCTGAGCAGCAGTAGAACGAGCGCGGGGACGTAGGAAATAGTCAACGAGGTCGAAGGTATCCGGAATTACGTGGACGTGATTAGCGGCGGTGGAGGACGCCATGATGCTATATATTATCAAGGACCATGATATGATATGATATGTACGGAGCGTGTACGGACAAGTATGTACACACAGAGCAGAAGCAAGCAAATCAAAGCAGGGCTGTTTCAGAATGTCGTCGTAATTGTCCCCTCCTGACGGGAGATGAGCCCAATGGTCCGCGGGCGGCGCAAGGCAGCTCGTCCACGGCCCCAGCTATTACGATCGCCAGCCTATGTTTAGATGTCGGCAGGCAGGATGACGTAGCGGGGAAGAGGCAGGAGTCCAAGTCCAGGAGGCGGCTGGCAGTGGTTATGCGAGGGCCAGCCCATGCAAAACAGCAAGACAGTGAACACGAGCCTGTGGGTGGGTTTCTGATGGATTTGGTCAGGTTTCGTGGCAGTTGATTGATTTCATTTCGGTTGGTGTTGCGTGGTCGGTGTGTGGCGCAGTTTGTGCGTGGGGCGGAGTCTTTTTCCCGCTGGCTGTCCACTGGCTGCCCGCTGGCTCCAGGCCTCTTGAGCCCACCGACAGTAGGCTGCGGCCCTACGAACACGCTATTATTAGAGCACGTTCACTGAAGGCAGCAGCCAGGTGCAGGTCACGGGACCAGCGGTGTGGGTTGCTACGGCCTCCGCGCGCAGTCATCCTTCAACCAACATAGCATGGCTTTATCTTCTGCCCATGCCTGCACTTCTGCGATACGAGGTCAGCCTCTTTATTGAGCTAATTTCGCATTCCACGAAATAGACTTGGAAGGTTAGATGGGACCGGATGAACTGGGATGAGGGGGAATGGGAAGCGGCTGAGGCTCACAACAGGTGGTATTGTGCCGTGGCGCAGACTCACTACCCTATACTTGTTCCACCAATCGGTGTGATCTTGCCGCAAGTATGGTCTCACTCTCACTCAGTTGATAATTGGGCAAAAGAGTTACGATATCTCGATTTGGTCAGTGCTTAGATTCCGATTCATTACCCCAGCGATTAATCTATCTTTAGTTTCCATCCGTAGTCTCCATCGTTCACGAGCTTCGCCTTCCACGACGGATCCACAAAGGTCTGGATGCCGACTACTGCCTTGATTTCCCCATGTTCCCCTTGCTGCAAGGCAAATAGCTCTGCTGTGTTGGCACTCTTTACGATACCGACTTCCAATATCGCCGTGTGGATCATGACCGATACGAGAAATATAATGGTGATGGTGATTTGTGCGGCCAGGAAGGCCATCCAGCCCCAGCGGATCTCCACATACTGCTGGAGATCCATGATATCTCCAGTCATGCCGCCCAGCTGGTCGTTTGTCCGGATACTAGAAAGATCAGTCAGCTCATGCACCTCGATTGACACAGCCGAGATCGTGTCCTCCAAGGACTTACTAGGATGTCATAGCGTCTGCTATCCTTGTGGTGAAGTGTTCTAGATTGACCCAAGTTTTTCTGTCGAACTCTGCGCTGGACGTGTTTGTGTTGATTTCATTATACAAAGCCATCCCGAATCTCCTATTGAATATAGATGCCCTGCCACTTTGCCAGCTGGAGGACCATCCCCCAGAGAAGGCCTGTCGAAAGTAGTCTGAAAGTCTGTCATACGACCAGACCGCCGTGATGTTGAAGGTCTGGCTACTGTCTTTGTTCTCCAGAGTGAAGGAATTACCGTTGCTTCCCGTTGGAGAGAATCTCTCAATGTCTCCAATTCGGGTTGTCGTATTTGTAACGGTGGTTCTGGCAGTGCCGTCTATGACTGCCACAGAATACTCGTTGACGCAGAAGTGATACAGCAGTTCCACGGCCCGGTATCTGTACTTTTCGTCTGGATTGTAGTTGCTGTAGATGAAGAAGAACTGGGAAAATGTAGCCCGAAGCAAGTCTGGGTTACTGGCGTTGGCGAATGAAATCCGCTCGTCGGGAAATGGAGCGTAAGGGAAATCTTCAAGACTCAGCTGAGATTTGCTCATATTCGCCAATTGTGCGTTGTATTCCAAGTTGGTTCCTGGAGATGTCATATTGACAATCTCCCGAATGGCCTCATTGTCGTCTGTGGAGTGCTTGACGTATGCGATGTTGTTTGGTAAAGAAACATTGAATATCGTCTCTGAATTTGACGAGTTTACTTTCTTGACGGAAAGACGGCTGGTCACGTTGGCCATACTAACACACACAGCCAGCGAGCTAAACGGCTTCCAACTGCAACCAGACGAAGAGCAGACAGGCCCAGGCGCGGGCCAAGAGTCGTTGAAAGGGAGAAAGGTTGCTTGATATGCCGAGTTGGTAATGGCATCTAGAAGATCCTGGTCTGTTTTGGTTGATGACTTGTCAGACATTATCCAGCTTTGCTTCATTTTCTAGGAACACGTACCTCCAATACCTGATTCCCTCAGAGCCATTGGATACGATCGGGCCGCCCCTGCATTACAGTTCTCTTTTGTTCCTTGCACGGTTTGGTAGCGATAGGTAATTGCAGATTGGGTGAGGAAAGAAGTGACCAGGCCTAGTGCGTAAATCAGGGTTGCAAGCACGATAAGAAGTATAAACCTGAGAAAGCCACCCATGTTTAGCCATCGATTAGGACACAGAATAGATAATGGAGAAATTACCTGCCCCTGGTTTTGGGAAGCAGACGCAACGCGCCAAGCGGCCCACGGCTGGCCTGATCAAACAAATATAGCTCCCTGACAGATCGCTGTTTCGTGGCAAACCAATTCCATTTCAACTGAGAGACACCTTCGATAATTGGCACGAGCGTCATGGCTCGGCAGACAGTGGCCAGAAACGCAACCAGCGTGTTGAGTGTGAGCCCCATGGGCCAGTTCGGCATATGCTTGTTGTCGTACTGCGAAAGAACGACAACAAGCACGATGAAGATAATGATAATGAGTAGACACCAAACCAGCTCTTCTATCCATGCCCATACATGCGCCAAGAAGCCGGAGGGGCTCTTTGGCTGTACTGGTGCTTCATAGTCGCGGTATGTGGTGAACCCAGCTTCCACCTGTTTGTCAGCGTTAAAGTCCGGTAGACGGGAATTTCGAGCGCTTATGGGCGAGATCCCGGGATCTACGAAGCCTCTGTCGCTCTCTGCGCGTGAAGTTACCGGTGACACTGGCTGCAAGCTTTGCCTTGGCTTCGAGAGTCGCGCATTGGCTGTTGTCATTGGTGATATTGGCTCCAGATGCAAGTCCCGCGTTTGGTTCGGCTGATAATATGAGTGTGGAACCAGTCCATCTTCGTCCTCCGCCCGATATGCCATTTGACTGCTGCTTCCCGCCATTTCGGTCTCTTGTAACTGCTCTACGGCCCAAGGGCGAGATCAATCAATCATTCAACCCCTCCCTCGTGGCATACAGACCCCCGAGTTCACGATACGTCGGCCAGCGAGCGAGGAAACATCGAATCTAGAAAGGAGAGAGAATAGGAAGAAGAAAAGTGGTGAGCATTTGTTCAAGACTGAAACACTCGGTACGCTTGGTAATCTATTCTGGGTGGTATCCGTGATAATCCCTGGCTTGAAGGAACGCTGACCTCCATCGCACCCCAGGGTCGCGTTCGAACCTTGACCAATTGGAAATGGAAAGTCTGATTCGCATCCTAATTTCCACCAGCTGTTTCCGACGATCTGCTCCGTCGTGGAATCCCACGGGGGCGACCTCGGTTCGTATTTTCTCTAACTACCGACCTACAGTACCAGTTCTGCAAAAGCAGATGCCGGTTTAATCTATTTGAAATCATAGAACTTCCATTTAGTCTTGAAATCCGGCTGCAGTTCATCGCCCATGATGAGTGCCTTGACCATTTCGACAGGCAGCATGGCCATCTTCAGGATGGCATCATGATACTCCTTCTGCGTCAGGTCTCCCGTGTCCACCACCAGCTCCCTGAGCTTCCACAGCTGCAGCGCTCCCAACATGTACCCAGCCTGGTACAGAGGTGGATAGCTGCCCTCAACAGACCGTCTCACCTCGCCCTCGGCGTTGCTTCGCTCGTGGTTGATCCTGTCCACCAGGAGGTCGACCGCCTCTTGCGCCGTCATCTGACCCATGTGGAACTTGAGCGAGAAGATGATGCGGAGACATCGGTGCATCCTCCACCACAGCGCACCAATTCTCCCCTCGGGCGTGGTGTGGAAGTCGTCGCGCTCGTAGAACAGCATCTCCCAGTACAGAGCCCAGCCCTCGACGAAGAAGGGCGTGTCGAAGAGCTCTCTACGGTGGGAGTTGTACCGGTCTGCCATGTACAGCTGCAAGCGATGGCCGGGGAACATCTCGTGGAACGCCGTCGCGCGGGCGAAGTGCCTGTTGTTGCCTCGCATCACCATGAGCTTCATGTCGTGCTCCATCTCGACCACGGGGTATGAGACCCAGATGGTGGGACCGCCGAGGAAGAAGGGCGAGACCTTCTGGCGCTCTGCTCCGATCATGGTCATGCGCCAGGTCGAATTGGCCAGCGGCGGGACAGTTACCAGATCTCTCTCTGTAATGAAGTTGCTGCCCTCGACGACGAGTTCGCGCACCAGCTCCGTTTGCTTGCCCGGCTCCACGTAGTCGTTCTTGACATGCTCGAGTGCCTTCTTCCAGTCGTCGCCGTAGCCGAGCGCCTGTGACTGTTTGATCATTTCCTTCTCGCACCACTCGAATTCTTGGTTGCCAATTTCGATGATTTCTTCTGGGGTGTAGGGGATCATCTCGGCTTGGAGCTCAATCTCGACACCAGCCCGGCCAATTGGCTCCCCGACGATAGCATCCTGCCCACCGTCGTTACTGACTCCCGCGAGCTTGGTCTGCACAATAGTATGGTATTTGGTGAGAGCGTCAAAGAGTGTTTGCCAGGGTGTTGTCGCCCAAAAGTCAAAGAGCGGATCATAGGTGGCGTAGAATTTGAACCATTCTTGGAGCAATGACAGAAGCTGCTTGATTGCTTGGGAGGCTAGATATCCAGTGGTTTCCGAGACGTCGAAGCCGCCTCCCTCGACCTTTGCCTGGACCTCGATAACAGATTTGGTAATCTCATTCAGTGTCTTAGCAGCATCCTTGGCAATCAGTGGCTTAACATCCTGACGAGCTTCCAAAAGTCCCACGAGCTGGTCGGCGAAAGGGATGATGATAATGAACTGCTCTCTCGAGGCCTTTTTGAGCTTCAGATTGTTGAGTTGCCGGTTGTGAAAGGTCCACAGCATGATGTAGTCGACCTTTCCATCTTGGTCCAGGGCGTCAAAGTCGATGCCTTCGAGCATCTTGAGCTCGCTGTTGTGGTAGCCCTCTGTCGCTTCATAACGGCGAGGCGCAATGTCAATGTTGTAGAGTGCATTTATCTCTCCAAGGTCGGCCTGCACACGGCGAACATGATCAGCCATAGACATGCCATCGAAGTTGCTCGTCGAGGACGGATCCTCCCAAAACCCGTTCAGCGGTTGCTGGACGGATGCCATGTCGAGATCAGGATATGGAATAGAAGAACCGGTAGTTAGGAATGGCAGGGAGAAGATTACCCAACCTAGAGACAAACTCTTCATGTTGCAATGACGTATCCCAATCGGATATTAATACTCGAGTTTGACAGGTGTTGTATGCAGGAGTATTGGCCGTTTCTGCAGTTACACTGGCTTTAACCTGATGAATGACTACACTCACATGCTGACAGGGTTCCCCGCCCATGTCCCGTGTTCCGGATAGATAACAACAAACCTGATTTGTAGGGTCTTTTGCCGGCCCCTGGACCGGGAAGCCGCCCGAGGGATAATTCAAAATCGGCACTCAGGCTCCGAGTTAGACAAGCTGGACGGCCAGGCTAGCCGGTGAGAAGAATCAAATCAACATACCTGACCCGCCGCAATCAATGCTGTGAACCAAACTCAATTCGAATAGTTGGGCTAATGCCACCAGGGTACAACGAATGACATTTCGGATGAAGAGGAAGGGCAAATTGCTGATGACACGAGTGCCCACATATTCTCTCGGATTATGAGGCCCAATTCATACAGTCTACATCAGGAGACCATGATCAGTTTATTTCCCGCACTTTTGACCGCAACAACATTAATCCAGCATCTGCTCGTACGAAATTACCTGTTTTGATCGAATGCCAAGAGGGTGTTCATCGGAAGTGATGCGATTTCCCGGGAGAAGATCCCGCGGAAGGTCAAAGAGGGAACGTGCCAATGATTACTTGTTGCTTTGCCCATGCCCATGCCCATCCCTGTTTAAAAAGATGTAATTTATGGTGGCTTCCAAGTGAAGGAAATGTGCGTTGCGAATCACATATTGCAGGCTCTGGGTGTTACCCTTACAAGCAATAGATCTTGCCAGAGCAGTATAACAAACTTCATTCCAATGCTGTGCGGCAACAATGAGTTTTCTTGTCTTGAACTTTTTTGAACAATCGCAGCAGATCGGTCCACAATGGAAGCTTGCCTATCTGTGTGCAAGTCTTCCAGTATGGCCTTTCATAGATGTGTAGGATCTAGTAAAAGGCACTCTTAGCGCGGATTCTATTAATTCTCTTGACAATATCTAATACTAAAAGCAACGTCAGAGTTATCCAAGTATGTTTGACTCGAATGTTATAGCAAATAAACAGAGCATAGAGCCTTGAACTACCTAATGATTTGCCGGTGTAAACCTCGTTCACGACCGAGAGGTAGATTTGCGGTAAGAGAGTTCGAATACAAAGTTAAAAACAGTAATGAGAGATGCTAGACCTGACATGTCAACAGCAATGAATAGAAGGGAGGATATAACGTTGGAATATAGAGTGTTGGTTGTAATTTTCCAGCTTCACCCGTCTCATGCCTGCAATGTCTCCTGGCAGAAGTTACTCATTTTCACGCCGACTTTGTAATCTCTAAGCATATTTATCGTTGTGAAGCCACCTTCCTAGCACTACTAGCCTGTCAGTATATGTCATTATCCTGCATATACTAAAATTACCTGCCACTTGGGTTTTGACCATTAAACATGTTAGAACTTTACTTTGATAGCGAACAAGATTGTAAATTTGGTGGCGTAAGTCGGGACCGAACTTCCTGGCGTCTAATACGCAAGTATAGATTTGAGAATATGTGATGAAACAGAAGTATCACAGCAAGTGCTCACCATGACGACAATTCATAAACAATAGACTCTATTCTTGCGAGATTTGGGGGTTCGAGGGCTTGAACGCCAAGTACGAAGTATGTAGGGGAAAATGAGGGTTAAACCAATACAATAGGACAATAGAGGGGTCTCAATATTGGAGACTAAATGTGCAGTTTGGCTAAGCATTTCCTCGATATTATCAATGTTACGTCGTGGGAATGTATTGATGTCAAATTCAATTGAAAGGGCCAAAGCATTGACAAATCTTAGAACTTTGCTTGTGTTGACGATGCAATAGACTCATTATGATAGACTCATGGATTGGTCTGTTGAATTTCTTCTTTTACGCACATTTCACTTGCTTAGTTGACTGAGACGCAACCGGAATCAAACATGAATTGCAAGCGGCAGGGTTTGCAGTTCCTAAGGCCACGACGGGAGTGTTGTTTTATTCTTTTGGAGCAAGATGGCTGGCTATTTATACATTCTGTAACAAGTATACCTGGTGTCAGTATTCCTGAAAAGAAAGTAGCTGCAGCGGTAAGGTGTTGCGGTCATTGTGTGCGTGTGATGAACATATTAAGCGACATAAGCTTACATTTAGCCCCCGTCTAATATACGTGCCCGATTTAGAACTATTGCACAATTCACTTCTTACTTTGAAACTGGCTTACTGATTGGATCCCTGGGCCACTAGCCAATATGTGTGACCCTTCAGGCGGATGTTGGGTTGCAGTTGAATGACAGTTTGGGTCAGCATGTGGTGCACATAAAGGGGGTGCAAAATATTTCCCTGGCCTAAACCGCTCAAAATGAATCCTGATAACCAAGCATGCGGGTAGATTTCCCGCCAATCCGTGACGGAAAACCATATCACCATCCATAATTCATACAATATCAGGTTTTCCCTGAATATTGCCTGGCAAATACTTCCTCACTAGGCCAGGAATTGTTCTAGCTGAAAAGATAGACCGGTCTGGAATCGTATCGCTCGTATCTGCGGCTGGTATTGCCTTGTGATCCGTCGCCTTATCCTCCTTGCTAGCCTAAGCTTAAGCGAACTGCAAATGGCCTCGCTTCCCGGGGATTTGTGTAGGGCTGAAAAGAATTGAAGCTTAGGGCTGGTAAGGATATGCATATCTATAAACGAGCGCATAAATGTATGTTGTGAGTTAGGCTGAAACTCAGAAAAGTGTCCCTTACCGACGGAATGAGACAAATACGCCTTACCATCGCCTGTAATCCTGACGTTACTGTAGCATTGGAACTGGGTAAGTGGCATCTCATTGGTGGCCTGAGCAGTCATCCCGACCATGGAACCCTGCCCACGTTGTATGTAACGCTATGGGGAGATCCTTCGTCAATAGCGTCAGGCCAGACCCTTACCCATACTCTCCCGCATCATTAAGTCCGCCAGGGTTCGGTTAAAGAAACTCTCAAACCCACCTAGGCCCTGTTTACAATGTGTGCTTGCGTTTATATCAAGCTACTCGCTTACAATTGTAAGCATCAGCATCTAAATGATCATAAATGCGGTCTGATTAAACAATATGGCCCGCTCCTCACGAGATACGTTTTCTGGCGAGTTCGAGAACATCGCGTTCCTGTTCGATTCGAGCCGAAAGATATCACTTGATTTGAAATTCCCCGTCGATACCAGCTATCCACCTTCGACTACCGTTGAGCAAATCCCACCTTACGTACCACTGGAAGCAAGCGTGAGGGCCCGATGTAGGCAAATATGGGTGCCATTGACAGCTTGGATTACCAGTTTTATTGCCACCATCTTGTACTCGCTCTTCATCTACCGAGTTCTTATCGTTAGCAATCCAAAAATTGGGTCATGGATCGTCGACGCTTCCGAAGCAAACTTGTTGCTCTCTATATTCTCCCAGTTGTACGCTATGCTGCTCTTGTTCATGCTACAAGGTCTACTTGATGCTATGAGGTGGACGCTCGCGTCGAGGGCTGATGAAGGGGGGACTTCGGCTTCAAATTTCTTTCAACTAAGCCCAGGAACAAATTGGTATTCCGTGTGCAGATTGATTTATAACAGCGGCTTCAGAAACTCGTGGGGGCTTTTAAGGTACGTCGGGGAATACTATAGAGGAGTTGGATGTTAATTTTTGGCAGACTTGCCCTACCGTTTGTTGGCCTGGCGTTTGGATCTTTGTTAAAATGTAAGTCTTGTGTCTCGTTTGTATGCGTGAATGCGTGAATAAAAGACTTACTGTTCCTCTAGTCCAGAATACTTTCGAGTACCACTTTGTATCCGGAGAACCGACTATCGACGTCTTCGCGGGAACTCTGATCCCCGATATCACAACCCTCAGTTCGATTCCAACATCATACATGGCTGCATTCTTCGATACTTGGGCACAACAACTGAATAATTTTCCACGCTATGCAAAGACTTGGTCGCTAGATAGCTGCACAGGAGAATGTAGTTCTATGTTTCTTCCTGGAGGAATGGAAATTGCTCGGCGTGTTGGCCCTTTTCTGAACAAAACAATTCTCAACGGCGGTACATTTGAGAACGTGGAAGCCATCAGTATCGAAAGTGCACCAGGGCTAGCCCTCCGGTTTGATCCACTGGACGAGGATTTCGAATTCGACATCGAAAAAGAGTGCAAGGCTTATATAAGTATGGGCGATGGAATGCAAATGTGTTTACGACAGATGAACGAGTCAATCGCTGCTGGTAAGTTTTCAGCCACTTGAGAAACGTTACTGGCCTCTCTAATACATGGATCAAAGGCTGGAGAGCATGTCCCACGCTCCATACGATAATGAAGACATGCAAGACAATAGAATACTGGGGAACAGACCCCTTGAAAACAAAGACTTTAATGACAGTCTACCGGCAAAATGCAACGACGATCTACAGCCGGGATAGCTTAGCGATCCAACAGATCACGAAGACTTCTGAGCCCAGAATTTCATTGGTTAGTGCCTCAGACACGCGAGCCATCTGGGATCACATTTTCACGCCACGAAACAAATCAGGCGACCTAGATTATCAGTCTATTAATGTTACGCTCCACCGGCTGGCGTGGAAGTACCGAACGTACTTTGAGTGGTTCCCTGATGATGATGCGCCAGTTGAGCAGCTTCAAAACTTTCTTGCTGTCCCGATGCAGTTTGGCGTTACAGCAATGCAGTATACCAATTATACAATGGTGACGCCAGAGGACAAGCGCGACTTTACCCGCGAAATGGTCACTACCGCTACCGGTGGCAAGTCAATTCAGAAGTTTGTTGGTCAAACTTGGACATCATGGACTTTTATTACTGCCGGTATATTTGTAGTCCTTTCGTCGGGCGCCGCATTCTGGTGGATCATCACGAGAGGCAATGTAGTGCCTAATCCCTCGGGTGTCATCGAGATTGACTTTGCCTCCAAGTTGGTTGGCACAGCAAGGCAGTCAAGGAAGGAATTAAACCCTGAAAGCGATATTGAACGGTATAGAGACATGGTCCGTGACTCTAGTCAGAGAATGGACACGGACTCTGCCTCGCTGTTCAAAGCGTTCAAGAGTTGGAGGGTTGAAATTGAGGGTACTGAGAAGATGGAGCAGAAGGAGCTCCAAGACGGATATCCGTCCTTGCTGAAATTTTCCGCGGCACGGGATCAGCTAAATGGTGATAAATCATAAGTCATTGCCGGTGGGTTATTTACGAACATACATGAGATAAAGAAAACTTTTCTATTTACGAATTTATACTGAAGTCGAAGGGACTGAATTTAATGAAAGGTTCTTAGCCCTTTGGTCATTAATCAAGAACTTAGCTATGTGCTCGACGAAAGAGCGCAGGTTTAGCATGTTATAACTTTCGATATTGCTGTGCGAGTGAATTTTCAATGGCTAATGTGGCGTTATGCTGGTGAAATTGTTACTTTGGATGTGTCATGGCAGGATAGGGTGCGTGGGTCGGCCAGATAAATTCACGACTAGCGGCCTGTAATAGAGCTTAAGGATGGATGAGTTATTATCATATTTGGGGCAGGTGTCATTTCATTCATGTTACTACCGTGTTAAGTACAGCCCCTTGTTGTTTCTCTTGAACTTGTCTAGCTTTGCCGACTCAGCTTCTCAACCCAAGCAGTTTATTGCGATCTCTCCATTAATGTTCTTTCCAGAGTGAACAGGAACCCAAATGTCCGCCCAGGTCTCACTTGGGAAGAATTGAGTCTGGTAATAGTCATAGAAAGGGTAGAACAGGACCTGGCCGGTCTTGTCGCACTTGACGTCAAACGTTAAGCCTTCAGTGACAGTGAAAGTATCTTCACGGCTGACTGTGATCCCCATACTGGCCGTGAAAATATTCCATGCACCGCCCAGCTCAATTGAGGTGGACACAGACCATTTGGTGCTTTCTGACACCTCGTACTTGTAGCCAACTCCAGTGCCCAGGCGGGGGCCATACTCAACAGCACCGGTATTGCGGACGCCAATTGCAGAGAATGGAGTATTGAACTCTTTGTCGTCTTTGACGCCATCGCGCTTCTGATTTCGTACTCGCTCGACCATCTTGGCTGGGATAGAACGTGCTTTCTGACGAGCTTCGGCTGGTTCATCCTTTGGAGCATGTTCGGCCTTCCACTTGTAATAGGCCTCTAACGATGTCTTGCCCGATACAACTCCACTTGAGCTAGTGCTAACATCAGTGAGGGCTGGTGTCGACTGGTCCTCGTCGTTGAAAACGTCGGTGATGGTAAAGGTCTCGGTATAGGTGCCACCGGCTCGCCACGACACGCACTTGTCGTGAACCTTGTCGTAGTCCGAAGCAATTGCACTTCCGGTACGCTTCATGACAGTTCCAGCAGCATCATTTGTCATTGTATAGCAGTGGGTGATGCGGCAGTTGCCATCATTCTTATACCACCACTTGCACGAGGGTTGGGGGATGCTGTCCTCTCCATTCTCGTGGAAGACTTCCTCATTGTCTCTCATTGCAAAGTCAGAGATAACAGTATCGCCTACAATTATTGGTTAGTTAATAGACAGTTAAAAGCAAATATGCTCAGGGATATCAGGAGGAGCGTACAATCGTCATACGCGGGCAGACGGTACCCGTTACACTGCATCTGCGCTGCTACCAGATTGACTCCGAAAGCAGCAGCCAGGAGAATATTAATGAGTGCCATTTTGTATCGACTAGAAGCGAGTCAAAATGTAGTTGAGTGAATGTAATGAAGTGAGATAAGGGGGCCAGTCAAGACAAGACGCTGTAGAGACTCAATAACAAAGTCATGTTCGGGCTGGCCGTCGTGTCTTTATAGCCAAGTCCAATATCGACCGACAATACAGGACAAGGGTCAAAAACATGTTCCACAAATTTGTTTTTCACACAGAGTTCACTTGGACAACGTATTTGCCAAGATCTATCCTGGTTTCGCTGTTTGAGATCGTCAGGAGAATAGACGTTTCCACAACATACATGGCCACTTGTTTCAAATGCGCCCCTTCTAAACAGCCGATCAGGGCTGAGGTCTAAGCTTAATGCATGTAATACTTCATATAAGGTTACAATATGTCAGTCTTGGCATTATGCTCGTCGTCGCACGTTCGACTTAAGACGAATAAAATGGAGAAGATAAGAATCAGGAGCTTAGAGACGAGGTGAAGCTGCCTTTGTTACAAACGACATGAACAAGTGCGATTTGGAGGATCAGCTCCCTGACATCACAGCTCCAGAAGCAAAATGTAAGTCGTACCCGCAAAATGCTGACACCGCCACGAGCATGGAGCAATTACCAATATCTTGGGAATTCTCCTCTTGAGAATTGGATACAAGGCAGCAGTGAAAGCTCTTCAAGAAGTTAAGCTTCATACGATGGTTTTACACCTAAATTTAGTGTTCTTTTTGGCTCACCATCAGCAACCCAGAGTCATACATTTAATGCATCACGGACTAAGGTCAGGTAGTCTAACATGGAGGCTGACACAGTGCTGCTTCAGAGCTTGGACTGTGCCTTGAATTGCTTCATTCGGCAGTTGAATAACTCATGCTAATGTCAGGGCGATCGGCTAGGCGCCGTGGGGTAAGACTGCTTGTTTCGGGGCCTAGAAACTGGCCAGTGCCTTCCAGATCAAGTACAATTGGTGAAACAGCTCCATTTAAAGGCTGTTTTAGAGCCATTCTAGGCATTTCGAATATGTGGCACAGCAGATCATCAAATTCTAATGTCGCTGAGTTTAATGTTGATGATCATTGCTCATGTTGAACCTGATTTTGACTGCTGCCTGCTTTGAATTCAGCTTAGGGCTTGTATCAGCATTCTCAGAAGCAAGGGGGTTTGCAGGTGAAGAATGATCTAAAAACAGCCATAGAAGAAGAGTTGCTTTGGTGGCGCTCCCATCGGCCTGCTCGATTCTCTTTCAAAATGTTTCCAAGTATCTCACAATCATGGCAGGCATTCCTCATCCAGCGCGACAGCTTCCAAAATGCTCACTGCACTGTTAAATAGAATTAATAAACTCTTTGGGCATCAGGAGAAATCAATTTTTTCCCGTAATAGAAGGGAAATTAGTGTTGAAGTGGTCACAGAGTTTTCTTGTATGTGTGAAGAGCACCAAAGAACAGGAGGGGTTGAGGAGTTCCCTTGCTAAAATCATAAGTGTTACAGCTGCTTCGCCGTACATCAACCATATCTACGGTCCGGGCTGAAAACGGTGATGTAGTCTACTTTCACTAAAGAAGCAAGCCAAAAGAAAAGCCTCAGTATGCTATAAACAATTTCGTCAGGATTATGCCATCTGCAAATATCTTTAAAGTCGATGCTACCAAGCGGTTAATTGGTTTTTTCCATGATACAACGCACTCACAGACGCCCTGCACTCGGACTAATGCACCTCTTTTTCTCCATATTGGGATCCCATAAACTTTTGCTCATCTCATTATATTTTCATTGTCAATAGCTCTCAAAAGCCATTTTTGTGGTCTTCTATTGCATTCTTTGAGGCGCAATTTTTACATGTAGTATTTTAGCAGACGGGTATATTGAGTTCTCTTAAGGGGCTGAAATGCTTCCTTCCGTCTCGTTACGACTATGATAGACGAAAACACCGAGAGAAGAGGGGAATCAAAGTAATGCACAACACCTCATAGAGCCAACATAGAAATAGAATTTATATGTCTTGGGCGCAAGACGGTCCTCGTTTTGTTTTGGCGACGTAAGTTGTGTCAATGCAGTCCTTCCCAACTTGTGCAATTAAGAAACAACTTGACATGGAAATTTACTCAACTGAACGGCATACTCTGCTTTTATCGGAAATCTCAGAGTTTTGAGCCTTATGTCATCTAAGCTCATTGATATTATACTTTCCTACCTAGGAATAATAGCGAAAGGGTTGAAACATGCCCGGAGTAGCTGACGATTAGATTTGGCTTTCTTTCTAAGCAGAGCAAGGGGCTTTACTATCTATAGATCCTCGGATAGAGATGATAGTCTGTGATTTAAGAGTTCTTAATCCAAATAAGAAACGACTGATGTTTCCGGCAACCGAACTTTCCTTGCGACACAATGACCCTTTCTCAAGGGATCCGTGATGCAGGCTCCGTGAGAGCTAATAACACCATGTACGGCCCGAAATTACTTGCAATCATGCATCAGATCCAAACATGCCACTGAAATCCACGCTGGTACCTGCTTTTTTCGTTCCAACAATGTTGTTCAAATAATGAACACCATCTAGTCAATATCTATCACACGAAATCATTCGACAACTTCTGTCCATAACAATCGTATCATTCACAAAAGCACCAGTCCAATGTTTGATGGCAGGTAGTAACCAAAACGGGTGAATCGGCGCGTGGTCCGCCGATGTCCCAATGAAGCAGGTGATGAACACAGCTGAGAAAAGGGAACCAAGTCCGGTGGGCGACTGACACGTGAAGACTCCTTGGCGAGTGATTCGGCGCTGCATCTAGAAGCAAGTTCTAGAAAACTAAAGGGGACTGGTGGTTGTATTATCAGTGCATTTGAGGATTCATGTATGCAGGAACGGAGCTTCTTTATCATTCATTAGGCAAGGTCCTCTTCTCTAGCCCCATTGATAGCCTTTGACAACCCTCAATACGGAACCCCTGTAATACAACGGACATCGGCTGTTGATTAGGTATGTCACTCCATTGGAGACTCCAGCCACCAGCGTGGAAAGCTTCCAATCAAGTATACGAAGATCAATCAAAAGCAAGGCCAATTGCTACCTTATCTTCAATTAGGCAATAAGGCCGTGACCTAGTCCACAAAGATTGCAAGTAGAGCGTAGCAATTCCCACCCAATCGAAAAGGGTTTCCAAGACGCGTGGACGCAGTTCTTTCTGCTCAAACGCCCGGATATGTCCATTTTGTCGTCGTCACGGGAATATTTGATGCTACCTTGACGGCAAGTCATTCTCGACTACTTGAACTCGACATCTCCTCGGTCAATTTGGCTCAATTCCTGAAATTCCATCACAAACAAAGGCGAAAATATTTTCCTCATAATTAGTACACGTCGATACCGCAGCAATATGCTAGGGCAGTCTTTTTTCGCTTTCGCCGCGTGCGTATCCGGTGCTGCGGCAGCATCCGGTTCGTTTAGCTTCCTCACAATCAACGTTGCCGGCCTGCCAGCCTGGATGAACGACAACGGTGTGCCGGGCGACAAGACTACCAATGCTAAATCAATCGGTACTCGTTTTTCCGAATTGAACTATGATATCATTCACATGCAGGAGGATTTCCAATATCATGCTGCCATCTACTCGACTGACACTCACCCATACCGCACTCCTACGACTGGAACAGTTGTGTTTGGCTCGGGGCTGAACTCAGTTGCAAACTATGACTGGACTGGCCTTACTAGAGTCACTTGGAACAAGTGCAATCTAAATAGCGGCGATTGCTTGACCCCCAAGGGATTCACATACATGCGAATGGTAATCCAGGGTGTTGAAGTTGATCTTTACAATCTTCATGCGGATGCTGGGTACGTTTTCTGCATTTCCACGTTATGACTCAAAAGCCTGACAACAAATCTTCGAATAAATAGATCCGATTCCGGCGACGTCGACGCTCGCTCTGCAGGAATCGATCAGATCCTTGCCTACGTGAACGCCAACTCTCAAGGCCGCGCCGTCATCATTGGTGGTGATACCAACGACCGCTGGACCAACGCTGGAAGAAGCATCAACAAGCTCACGGACGCGGGTTTCACTGATTCATGGGTCAGCCTTATCAAAAAGGGAACTTATCCCACAGCTGGTGCTACAGCAGATCCTTGCGGCAACCCAGCTGATGATAATGACTGTGAGATTGTTGACAAAGTTTTGTGAGTAACTACTTTTTCATTGGCCCCCGAGAGAACAGTTACTGACTTGCCTATGTAGCTTCCGTTCTGGCAGCTCGGTTAAGTTGAGCGCGACTTCATTCAGCTATGTTGGGAAGAGTTTCTTGCAGTCGGATGGCAACATCTTGACAGACCACAATCCTGTTCTTGTTCAATTTTCATTCACATCCTAAGTATGGGCTTTAAATTTGACTGGGTGAAAGTATACCACCGTGTTACTCAAGCAAACTTCCAAATTCTTATGACTTTGATAGTAAATTGCTGTCAACATGATCCTTAGACTACCCTGTAGTCCACGGTAGCTTGGTTTGATGAGTTGGAAAAGGTGTCCTTAGTTTACCCCTCAGAAATAATAACAAGCTATTAAGCTGGGGCTAAGCCTATATAATACTTATGCTTCAAAGATTTAACTCAGTAATTAAAACACATGCTGCGAGGGCACTTACTGTAATCCTGCTGTCTTGTTCCGCGGTTCCTGTGTTTCGATAACACAACAATGTACCATTGTTTGTTTGTCTCCGTAATAGTTCTACGCCCCAGCCTTTGAACTAGAATATATAGATCTAACTGCAATAAATCTCACAACGAACCCACCGACTCTAACAAGATCTACGTAAATACCTCTTATGTCTTGTGTTGTTGATATTACCTCGAGGAAACTCTTGTCGCGAGTGCTGTGAGAATCACGCCAGGGGTAAGCACTACTGCAACTAGTCACATAGACGATCCCACAATGAAACGCGGATGTCCCAACCACACCCAGCATCTTACGGCTTACCTAGTCCGTGCGCGCCTTGATGGGTCTCAGGATGAAAATGCCCGTCTGGGGCTGCTCTCATCTCGAATCAAATGCCGTAGATATGGTCGACCAGTGCCGAACCCATAGCATGCTAGGCAGGGCTAGTCCTGGGTCGCAGCTTTATGAGTTTCGCGCTGGTTAAAGCCGGCTTTGCCCCTGAGTGCCTTCTCTGTTTGTGTCCCTGGTCCCTTTCCCGCACTCTGCATCTTAACTTCCTGCCAACAATGGGCTTCTCTTGATTTAGCCTACCGCCCTTGGTCTGAGCGAGGGCTGCGAATAGGGAACATGAAGCTGCTGCGCGGCTTGGCCGCTCTGGCGCTTTCTGTAGGTTTTTGTATGTTTTCGCGTGGTCGCTACGAATTGCGCAACCTTGTTCAGCTTCTAATGACTTCTCCCAGGCCCGACAGGTTCATCTGCAGGACTATCCTACTCGACGGGGAACAACCAAGATATAAAGTTTCGATGGGAAGTGAGCACAGAATCCAACAATGTCTACTTCAAACTCGACGCGCCCGTCGCCTACTCGTGGGTCGCCCTCGGCATCGGCAACAGCATGCAGACGGCGGAGATATTCCTCATGTATCAGGACGGCGAGGGAAACGTCACCCTCAGCACGCGAAAGGGACGAAACCACATCATGCCCGTATACGAGGAGAGATCCGGCGTCGAATTGATATCGGGGTCGGGCGTCTTGAATGACAGGATGACGGCAAAGGTGCGATGCAGCGATTGCAATAAACTCGACCTGGAAGGTGAAAACAACTGGGTGGCTGCATGGTTATCAGGCGAGACAATACAGTCGTCGAGCGTTCAGGAGCCTATCGACCATCATGAGGGGAGGGACCTATTCAGCATCGACCTGGCGATGGCGGCTACAGACTCTGAAGTCAATCCGCTGGCGGATTCCGACGACGACAACGATATCCTTTCGAGCGGTGCCGTAGTAACAGACGCAACGGTTGCTAAATATGATTCCATCCGCCTGGCTCATGGTATTATTATGACTGTCGTCTTTGTGGCAATGTATCCGATTGGGGCCTTGTTGATGCCGGTTTTCGGCAACTGGTTCCTTCATTCCGCTTCGCAACTGCTGGCGTTCATCCTCATGTGGGCTGGTGTTGGCCTTGGAGCTACCTTTGCTAGGCAATATTACCTCGTGAGTATTCATACAAGCCACCGAATCGCAAGTTGATTTAATCTAACTCGAATATCTCGTACTAAGTACGGCAGGCAAGCGCATACAATCATAGGGAGCCTGGTCGTGATCTTACTCTGCCTCCAACCGGTACTTGGCATCCTCCATTCACGGCATTACGCAAAACACGAGGGACGTGGTCACGTAGGAATTGTCCACGTTTGGTACGGCCGTTCCCTGATGCTCCTTGGTGTTCTCAATGGTGGGCTTGGTCTGCAGCTCGCTGGCCACCGGGGGAGTGCCTGGGTCATTGCTTATAGTGTCATTGCTGGGCTCGCTTTTGCCTCCTACTTGGCCTCTATCATCTTCAGCATCCGGAAATACAGCCGCCGGAAGCAGGAACCTTCTGAAGCTGACCTTAATCGCAATTGGCCGCCCTCTAATCTTAGTTTGGATTCATATCTTACCCAAGAAGGCCCGCATAGATAGATTAATATTGTTGCACATAACTCATGACAGGAACGAAGTCAGATAGCAAATTGAACTCTTTCACGGATCAGCCTCTAGTTTACACATTTGATTCGACCCAATTTTGTGGAATTCGCTCTGGGAGAGCAGACTCACTCATTAGGGCCCTAACCTACCCCTTTGACCCAATTATGGAAGTCTGTATGGAAAACTTCGTATTAAATGATAGATAAAATAATTAAACGGAAAGTAAAACACTTGGAAAAATCTATTTCGCACAATCTGTTGGTGGTCCAGCATTCTAAAAAAAAGTTTCTACTACAAGAGTCGCTTCTTGGGCACTCTCATCAACCAGTAAAGGAAAAGCGCGGCAAAGACATTGAAGACGATGTAGGCCCACATGATCCCATAGTTCCTCCACCTCTCGTCATACGACGCATCAATGGTCTGCAAAAACGCATCTGTAGTGGCCAACGGGCAGAAAAGGCACGTGTCTGTCGAGTCCGGATTGGTGACATTCCCACCTGCCAATTCCATGTATGGCTCAAGGTACTGGCCGCATGTTGCTCCTTGGGAAGGCTTGAATTGAAGGAGCTCTATGTCGGAGCAGGTTACAGGGTTTTGGGCCAGACCTGTTGAGAGAAGGGCTGAGACCAGATATGTCAATGGTGAGACGCGGTACATGAAAATCCAGAAGCCGGGAAGGGCAGTTCTTGAGACAATGACACTGAGGAACAAAGTTAGTCAGTACCGTGTTAAATAAAGAAGCTCACGAGGAAGACTTACCCGCAGAAAATTAAACAGAAAGCAAATAAGATAAGGGAAACCGTGGCTCCCACCTCGGCCATCTCGACGCCTGCAATAACCATGTTTGCAAAGGTAGACTCGAACAGCATGAAGGCCCACAGAAGAAGGAACATGAGCGCGCTTCGCTCATTCACGGAGTCAGACAGCTTCGCATTATTGTTCATCCCTGTAAGGTAGTAAAATAACACGTAAAGGAGAACACCGACTAAGGAGTTCCAGGGAATCTCGACAGCAATATTTGAGAGCATGAAGACGACCCATGAATACATCTTCGATGACCTTTCTCTTGCTTCATAGATCTCTCTTTGCTTGATGAAGTTCGGCATCGTCTGGTAAGAGAGGAATGCAAACACGACGAGCAGCATGAAGACTGCAAACATCTGGTCCTGAAGGCCGGTTATGGAGAGGTCTGCATCGTAGAAAGACACACCGATAAACAAGGCCTTTCAAAACATTAGCATTATGTAATAAACCTCACCGAATATTTTGTACTTACAGTTCCTCCAGAGAGAATCAATTTCGCGTAGATGTATGATGGCGTTCTCCAGTACTGTTGCCATACTCGGTAAAAGCAGGCCACAAATTGTTGCTGGAGAGACATTGCGTAAGTGGCCACATTGTCTTCGCCAGATACCTGTTCACCGCTCCGCGACGTCGAAGAAAGCTCCTCAAGTCGTGTCTGGACCCGATTGTATTCGGGGCTGTTGAGCCAGGCTTCATGCCAGTCTCGCGTAGCCTTGGATCCCGGGGCGGCCCCAATTACTTTCAGCATCCATTCGGCAGGATTCTCCTCTGGCTGACATTTCTCTCCTCCTTGTCTCTCGAAGTAGTCAATCAGCTGTCGAGAATCTTTTCCGAGGTCGCCAAAATATACCGTCTTCCCACCCTTCGCAAGAAGGAGGATGCGGTCAAATTGTTGGAAGAGCATAGCCGATGGCTGATGGATAGTACACAGAATGGCCTGCCCGTTATCGGAAAGCTTTCGGATCAAGGTGGCAATGCTCCAAGCGGTTTGGCTGTCAAGTCCCGATGTTGGTTCGTCAAGGAAAAGAAGCAAGTCTGGCTTTGCAGCCAACTCAACCCCAATCGTGAGGCGCTTTCGCTGCTCGACATTAAGGCCTAGCATTTGAATGTTAGAAAGGTTTGTTTAATTTTCCGAAGAAAAGATACCTTACCTTCTCCTGGAACACCGACAACGGCATCTGCATATTCTTCCATCTCCAGCAGTTCAATCATTGATTCAACATACTCAAACTTTTCCTTTCTGCTCACGGTGCTAGGTTGACGCAGGAGAGCGCTAAATCGAAGAGCTTCTCTCACTGTAGACGTGGAAAGATGGATGTCTTGCTGCTGCACGTACCCAATCTTTCTCTGGAAACTGTTCCCACGGGGAACACCATCAACTGAAACCTCTCCGCCGACGACGCCCATGGTAACTCGGTTGGCTAGCACGTCAAGAAGAGTCGTTTTCCCAGCACCTGTGGCTCCCTAGAAGTATGTTAGTATCAGCTAGGGGGTTTATATCAAGTGATTCGGAGGGTCGCAACAAACCATAAGAGCCGTCAAGGTTCCCGGCTGCACCCATCCGCTGACACCATCTAGAATACGCCTCGGCTGCCCTTTGATGGTAATGTCATAGCAAAGATTGCGCCAGTGAAATACACCTCCCTTGGGCCTAGATTCTTCCTTTTTCTCATCTTTGACCACGGTACGATCGGAGTGGTTGATCTTCTCGCCACGAGCTACAGATTCTTCATCTACGACCTCAGAGCCAGCCGCACGATTGGCATCATGACCGCGCTGGAACACCAGCACTTCTCCCTTGGATCTCCCCGTAGTGATGAACTCCGCGGAAAGGATATAAGTAGCAAGAAAGAACAGAAGGTAGGCGACAAGAATTCCAAAATTTCTACAATGCTGTTAGTGCACTGGTCCTGTCTCAGGCTATTCCGTGAGGAAACTCA